CAATTCGACAGATGCCTAAGAATGCTCGCTTGTAATCATGACTTCATGACAATGTGCGCAGCTCAGCTGTGCCTCGGAGGTCCTTGACTTTCTATTGTATTTTTATTACATTGATGCTCGACCATATTGCATCGTCGTTGTACCTTGGCTTGACAATCGACTTGTCTGTCCGTCTATCCGTGTCCAAAGGCCTGATGGTTCTGCTTAATCTCCGTCATGTTTCATCTCCGTGTAATCTCGACCTTGTTGACTGCCACTTCGAATCTTGCAAGTTGCTCCGGATCAGGTGGTATATCATCCTGAGATAGTAAGGGTTTGAGGTCGGCTATTCTGTAATATTAGTAGGAACAATAGGTGGATACAAGGACTCGGAGCTGTTGTCTTTTAGCGAGGTAGCGATCGTTCAGACTTCCGCCGATGTCGCCCTATCAGTGGTCTCCTGCGCCAAGCAACGTCCTGACTCAAGGTCCGGGAGGCTTGATGGGAAGCTTCATCCTCATGGCCTACCTCGTGAGATAGGCACGGCTGCGTGTCGCATGCTCAACCTCATTAGACTACAGAGGGCGAAGAGTAACAACCATTGCTCGCACTGGCAGGAACTCCCGCCGAACTCGAAGGAGCCGATGGTGTCGGCCAGAAAGGATCTGAGTGCTCCTGCGGATTATGGGAAGAAACTCATTCATTATTGGCCGTTTTTCAAATCGATTCAGAGAACGTGCAAACGCTCATGAGTTGGCGATGCATAAGACTGCGTGTTATTGTTGCAAGAGCGAGTGTGTTGTTTCTAGCAATTGTTGGGTAAATACTACTTAGTAGTAGAGTAAGTAGAAGGTAATGATCTGGATTGGTCTGAGTCGTGTACTTATGTAAATAGACATGCTCTTCCGTGAATGGAAAAAATCCTCACAGTCTCGTAACAGACCAATGTAAAAGGCGAAAAGTAACGCCGCCCACATCAACGGTGGATGTTGTCGTCTCAACCTTTACCTCACCCTTTTTAAACACGATGCCATCCCACAAACTCATCCAAGTTTCTCGGGAGTGGCAAAAGCAGGAAATATCAATGCCTAGCACTGTGTGATGAACGATGCCTTTCTCCGATGCAATTGAGTGAGTACCGCAGATTGTGGAGCCAGGTTCGCAGGATAGCAAGCCTCCCAAGGCGCGAGCAAGTTCAAGTTGCTTCTGCTCGTCAAATAGATGAAATAGCTTGGAAGCGTGGATGATACCGACGTGACCGTGAAGGTCGTTTAGTGACCGCAGCGTTCGAATGTCCGGCATCGCACTCTCTGGGACAAACCTAGCTGGCTGCGAAATCGATAGAAATGCGGGGTCAAATATGTCGCCGGGTATGAATAAAATCGGCTCCAAGCTCGATTTAAAGAGTTTGCGTCCTAACTCGGAAAATGCTACCATCCAAAGTACTTTGTTAGTGACAGGAAGAAGATATTTTGAAGGAACCAACCTTCTTTAATGTCAGAAGCAATGATGTTATGGGCCGGAAATCCATCTTCAACTGCCTTCCTAACATCGGCACCAACTGCGAGAGTAAATCAGGAATGACATGCAAGATCTAAGGGGGTTGTCTACTTACGACAAGAACCGACATCGATTAATATTGCTCCTTCAGAACCACGCTTCAAAATGTGGTCGTAAATATGTAGTTTAGACATGGTTTGGCTACGACGACGTCACCGATGTGAGTAACTATCCTCTTCACGAGTCTAGGTGACCACTCACTGCAAGAAATCAAATCCTCGGATACAAGCATAGGGAGCTACCTATAATTCGCGATAAGTATATTCAACCAATCTTCGGATAAACCGCAGAGCACCTTGTATGATTCCCTCTGCACATCAATTATGTGTGTCTTCAGGTCCACTTCATCTTGAATGCCAGTATGTCTCCTGAAGAAGGCAATCTCCTCAGGGTCTAGACAATATAATGAATCATCCAAGGGGAAAGATGGAATTATTGGTTTTACGAGAGGTTCAATGTCGCGAAACATGAGCAAGAGACGAAGGGAAAGAAAGTAAAAGATGCAATGTGTTCACTTGCAGGCCTTCTTTTACATCTTTGTTTCGTCTCGAAGCACAATTGGATCCCATGAAACTCAAATCCGTCCCTTCTAGTACAGGTACTTACTAGGCCAAGTTACAGTGGGGGCTACCTATCTGGGTAAAGCAAGCTATCCTATAATTTACTATTAGTGGGATCTCATCTGTAGATGAGGGAAACGCACCTTTAGGACCTGTCAAGCATGCCGTTTAAATTGAGCTGTATCGTTGTTGCAGGCGTGAAAAGTGACTTGTGTGTTAGTAATAATCTGTGAAACCTGTTTTCAACAAGATAGCCATCGTTCAGACTGATGAATAAGTACGTACAATTAATCGGTGGGTACATATGTGAGATTAATTTTTTTCCAAACGGCGTGACACACGTCGACGCGCCAAACGTACACAACGAAGCAATAAATTTCGGAAGAGGAAAGGAACTTTAAAAGGTATAGCTATTTGTATTCGCGGCGTGCAATCGAATGTGCTGTGAAGCATAGATAGTGTGACCGCGACTTGTCATTTGTGGAAGTACAGCGTGCGGTAGCCTGAGGAAGGAGTCGAAAGTTCTGGAACGATTCAGATAGATGGGTACTTGAAGTGAAGGAGCTTGAGGTCCCCGCCATAGCAGGCTGTCAGCCGGCGATACGATTCTTTACCAACAAATTGACCAGATGGGCTTAAGACTCGAAGGGAAAGGCGGGACCAAAGAGGCGGGAAGAGATCCTTGCAGCGAATGACCTGACGTAATCTGTCTGTACCAGCCTTCCAAAAATTTTAAAGACTCACTATGGATCAGCGCTCACCTAGCTATGGATCTCCGGCTGGCTTGAGCGTTAAATTGCCGGCCTTTTCCTATTTTGCTCATTACCGTCCAGGGTTGCCAGTGGCGGCCTAAGTACATACGTACATATGGATTTCGAATTCGGTATACTGAGCTCGTCAAAATTTCCCTACACGAGCTTTCTAGAATTCTGCCCCCCGTGCGTCTTAAATTTTGACAGCTCCTCGACATCTGAAGTTTCTCTGCAGATACTTTTTATGAGTGACCGGAGCAGCAAGTTCGAGTCCGTTACGGTCACACACGGTGTGGGTCAATACTTCACGTCATACTGTAATCTGAAGTTGTGGTTAGTCTCGCGTATCCCACTTATAGCCACGATAACATCTTCTAATTCACCGACCCTTCGATAAATGACACGCACATTAAGCCAATAGCCCCTACATGGACGGTTCAGTACCATGTTTTCCTGGAGGTTGGTTCAGGATGCCAACCAGGTCGTTCTGTCTGCTTATTGGCAACCTGCAGTGAAGGTCTCAATATATATATGTGATGTACGACATAGAGGAAGTATAATTTGAATAAATCACCTTGCCTACGAAAATGTACTGGTGTCCTCAGTAGTCGACAAGGGATTGATAACTTTGCGCATAAATCTGTAAGATTGATATTACTGGCAACAAGGACAGCATCCGGACAAGTTGGGGCCTCCGCTGACCTGGCTTCCACAGGGATTCGCATGGGTCATGCGCAAAATGCCATGAACGATAGAGGTGCTCTCATGTCTATGCGACAACTTTGTCTCGAAGGAGTGATAGCGATTTTAACGAGATGCGTTTGCCAGCTCTTTTCTGTTCCTCTTCCCATTCCTGATCTTCTAGGTACTGATCAGCAGCACGTGCTTCCAAGGTGCTGGCACCAATGCCGCCAGTTTCTTTGCACTTGAAGCCATACGTGGCTTCTTCGTCAGGATCATCGGCCAGAGCCACGTATGCTTTCGCCACACGCCAGTCTACCTCTTTCGTCAGCATTTGCAAACGCTTCTCGGCTTTCTCGCGGACGCGCCTCGCTTCTGCATCCAGATCCGCATCACGCGTAACGGAGTGAGAGTTGGCGGAGGGTGGGAGGACGATAAAAGTGCGGGTATGGAGTAGATGAGGGGTAGTAGAAAGGGTGCTTGGGGGTAGGTTATTCAAATGGCACAATTCCCGACCCTTTACGATGGCATGGCATAGGTTAGTGTTGGCCATTAGTGCGCACAGCGTATCTTACATTAGCTCCATAGCGGAGAGCAATCCCTTGTAGTGTGTCCCTAGAATTGATGTAATATCTAGAGGGGATACAATCTTCCGCATGTTCCGCGGATGTATCGCTAGTCTGCGTGGTGAGTATCGATTCACTGTTTAGGCTGGATAATGACGATGGATACGCAGGCGGAGGGTGTCCGGAGATCGGTGATACTGAAGCAAGCTCGTGAGCTTCGTCTTCATCATCTTCATCATCCCCAAGAATAAATATATCTTCATCCTGCACTGTGTCATTATTTGCGGCGCGGATGTTCTGTAGGAAAGCCGAGCTAACCACGCCCACGCCGCCCAAACAAGACAAGCAGGGATTATAGCTCCTTAGGCGAGGGTTTGAGCTGATACAGGTTGGACAGATGGGGCGAGTGCAGCATTTGGTCATAAATAAGTCTGGGGCAGCTTTGGGTGGAAGACACGATGAGCAAGTCGAGCAGAGCGCAGTTGAACGCATGATTTAGTCTAAGAGATAAAGCGAAATTGAGCTTCTACTAGGGTGGCGGTTAATGTAACGCTCGTAAAAGTCATCATCTGGTCAACGATGATGGCAACCAATATTCATCCTCTCTCAGTAGTTACTCATATTTCTCTTGTTCTTTCATATTCCACAATATTCTTACTCTACAGTATATAAACCGTCGTATACCTACTGTTAGAGCAGTTGATCTTCCACCCCCGAATATAACTTTAGTTCGGACAGTTACCCTGCTCGAGTCCTAAGTCTATTCAGCCTTTTCAACTCTCACGTGTGAACGTTCTACGAACGCCACAGTTAACTACTAGTGAGTCATACATAATACTAGCACAGCCACACCGCTGGAAGCCTTTGGTGACGACCCCAACAGCCTGAGCTCACGTCCTGACATGGCCTCCCCACCACCTGGACAGCAAACAGAGCAGCCTCATCTCGTTTCTCTAGTTCTGCAATCTAAGAAAGCACTTCAACACGGCCAACAACTTTGTTCCAAGGCTAATAGCCTTTCAAACGCGTCCGCGCAATGTTCGCTAGACGTGCTTACACTAGACGCGAAAGTTAAGTGGATCACAGAGGCCGTCCTTGAGCAGCTCAAGGTGCGTTATTGTTGCCCCAAAATTTAACTTGATACTAGGGATTTAGCGATTCTAGCTTGCGGCGAATGTTGCTAAGAGTATTGAGTATAAGCGTGCTCAGCTGGATAAGCAAGTTAAGGTGCGTGGCGCTTCCCCGTGTATTAGACTTGTGACATTTCTACATAGTAATCTATATAGGCATGGGATATTGTGCGCTCGAAACGTACTGAGGCCCTCGACAATATCCTCGAGTCCCTAGGGGCCCAGCTAGTACCACCTGGTTTCCACCAGTCTTCCTCTGGTTCTTCCCTGTTCGGAAGTCAACACTCCATTGATGGCAAGAATGGCAATGCACTTTTCAATGCACAGCAGAGCCCTTCCGCCACTGTGCGGGATAACCCGTTCGACCGTCACGGCAAGAACGCAGACCGGACCAAGTGGAAGACACTGCGCGACTTCGTGGATGAGAGTGCTATTGAAAACGTGCTGGACACACTAGAGAGTGACAGAACAAGGCTAGACGTGAGTTTTGTCTGCATGTTCAGGAGAACACCCCACTCAATCTGCGAAAAGGATATTATGGCTTCAACGTATGATTACCCAGAAACTCTCTCGGCTGCTATATCGTCCATTCGCGAGTCTCTTCCATCGTCTAGTAACGTACCTTCGATAGAGGACATATTGAATGCACAGCAGCAGCCTTCGGAGCTCATGGCACGCCACCTCAGTAGTCTTACTTCCCACTATGAGCAAATGGCAGACGCGTTGAAAGAAAGCGAAGCTGGAGAGATATTTGGCGAGGAGGACTTACAAGGTATTGAATCAATTTTTCGCAGTGTCTGGTCTTCAGCTTTTGACTAATGCGTCGAAGACATGAACCGTGATACGGAAGAGCTACCTTCTATCATGGCTGAACTAGAAGAACAAGTACTCTCGATCGAAGATACTCAGTAAGCTAGTATTTTGCTATGCGCATGATGTGGCATTCTTATGTTCTGCCTAGCCAACAACTGGTGACAGCAAATACAGCTGCTCAAGAACGACTAACCACACAATCTATAACTCTCGATAACCTCGACGAGCTAGGTGAGATCATGTCTGACATGTTACAGAAGCAACAAGATGTCGAGGTAACATTTCATATCATATATGCTGAGGTCAGTATTTGATCTTTTGACAGAATGATTGCCAAGAGCTTCTCGACGGCCTCCAGGAGCGACTTCTCATCGTTGAAGACCTTCATCACCGTTTTATCCAGTACCAAACTTCATTTAAGAAACTCCTTGTTGAGATCGGAAGGAGAAGACAGTACAAAGAAGCAGTAGAGAAGGTTGTCGAGGGGATGGTCCTGGAATTAAGGGCAATGACTGAAGGTCAGCTTTATTCGTCTCTTTCCGGTCGCTTCTTGGGGTAGTTGCTGAAGGAGTAATAATATTATTCAGAAGAACGTCAGGTAAGAGAAGATTTCAATGCAGAGCATGGGCGACATATCCCAGAAGACATCTGCTTGTGTATCGAGAATCCACCAACGAGATGGGATGTTGTGCCTCGGGAAGGGGATGTGCGAGAGAGCCTGCCTGAGGTAGAAAGTGATCTCCTGGCGCAGGTTAGTAATGCCGATACCCATACTTACGATCATTACTGAACCCTTTACAGGCAAAGGAAAAGTTGGCCGTGGTAGATGTGTCATCAGCCGGTACTGAGAGTGTGTAGAACGTTCCACATATTGTATACTTACACGGATAAATCAGCCTAACGTTGCCCTCACCCAGTTTAGCTACATAACACAACTGAATTGAACCTTCCTCCTAGCTCACACCCATATGGTATTTGGCATCAGGATGATCAGACCGTGTGTGCATCTCAAAGAAGAGTAAAAGCTAATTGATACCGGATTCACCGTAGCGTTAAAAGTGAAGTCTTCACGACGTCCATTGTAACATGCCCTACACATAAGGACTCGTTGAAGCCATCTTCTACACATCCAGTGCATACCCTCCTATCCTGGATTTGAAAGGTGCTCAGGGCTTTCGTTCACTTCTGCAAGGTACACGGAAACTACACGCTCGATTAGGACCACCGAACCATTCGAATCGCAACCACTACGGCATCTCTGTGGGTCCCGACGCCGCGGCCAGATAACGGAGACCCGACTTGCGCATAACATCCTCGGACCACCGGAGCTGCTTATTACCTATGGGCAGTGGCACCTGACTGTTGGTGGTACGTTTTTTTGCTGGAACGTGCCACTGCGTCACGGCACGCACGGCATTTAAGATCTATGCCCTTCAAATATGGTTGTTGTTGAGTCCTGAAAGTTTGACATCCACTGCGGTCCGGCGTTTGCTCAGTCAGCTCATAAATAATGCGCTTATGGAAATATTGAAGCATGATAATGGTCCATCTATGGTATGGATCGCCCATTTTTGGTGCTCGCATCCTGTCTGAAAGTCTACGCGATTTTCGCATAAGTTTATGGTCGGTAAACTGCGAGCAGCACTGTCTCTTCGTGTTAGCTGCACGACAGTTGCAGGAAATCTACCGCACACAAGACCCAGGGTAGCATATCGATCTGCACGGGTAAATTCTGGGTACTGGGGGCCATCCCGGCAAAAACCCGTACCTGCAGGTGATAGTATTAAATTAGCTATTCTATCAACATGAAATGTAGATATTGAAAAAAATACCAACCCAAGTACCAACATGCGCAGGCAAGTGCAGACGCGGGCGCGAACAAATGGGAACATGTGCACACGAGTGTCAGAAGCGTGCAAACAGTCACGAGCCTCCGTCGTTGAAGACGTAGTGGTGAAGTAGAGGACGTTGGACAACGTTGAATCGATATTACGAAGCTGTTGACATTGAATACTCCAGCGCACCGCCGTGACATTCTGTAAAAATAGAAATAAAGTCATTGAGTCGAAGCCCACGCTAGCGAATGAATCAGATGAGCGTGGTATCCGACATTCGAAAAAAAGAGCCGCACAAACACAACAGAAAGTAAAGATTCAGAACAAAAAAAACGCGAGCACTCACATCTACCAATTCCTTCAACACAACGTCCATTGCCAACTGACAGCACCACCGTGTCGATGGCGCAGTCGAGCGCAGCGTCACATTTATCTGGATGGTGATGGGTAAGAAGCAGAAATAGATGAGAGTGGTTGGAAAAATACCTACGAGGCGTGGACCCGGTGATTGGTAGTGAGCCTCCTTATGCAGGTACGCGGGCTCTGGTTTCGGAAGGAAAGAGCTACGAAAGCGAGGGAAATTCCACTCACCGGCAAGGTAAGCTTGCTCTCTATTACGCTGGTGGAGAGATAGTTAAGGCGCAAGCTGACGAAATGTTGGCGCCATCGGATATCACGATGGTCGGTCGTCTAATAGCGCGTTGGCGTTGGCATTTGCATCTTGCACAGTGCAAATACATACTCGTAACCCGCACAGCCTGTAGGTCACTGAATTATTAGCCACCGTGACAGAAAGTACAGATAATTTAGGCTAGGGGACTCAATTCTGACGAGTACATTGAATCCTCCGAGCTCAAGCTTAAGGCGTCAACGTTAACTGGAGTGATATATCGAGCAGATTTTTTAAAGATCAAGTATACCAAAGACCATAGTTATGATGGTCGAAAGTGAACATGGACTGGCAATGTTAGTAAGCACCGTTAACAACGTGTAATTGCATGGCATGTGATTCTGATTGCAGTTCGTCTTTAGTACTCTTAGTACTCTTCCCACCATGTCCACACTACCAGACGTCTTCGCCGACCTAGACGATTCCCAACTCGTTGCCGACGCTAAGAAAGACAAGCCCGAAGATCACGAGTTCAGCTACACCGAACGCGATGTCATTCTCTACAACCTTGGCGTCGGCGCGACAGCTAAAGACCTGCAATGGACTTATGAAAGCCACGAGGAGTTTGGGGCACTTCCAACGTTTGGAGTGATCCCGCAATTTGCAGCCAGTTCTGGTATTTCACTAGGCTGGCTGCCGAACTTCAATCCTGTGAGGCACCCTGATAGAATTCAATGTACTCCCGGGAACCTAATAACGAGTCAGGCTAAGCTTCTTCATGGGGAACAGTATCTGGCTATCAAAAGCCCTATACCCACAGAGGGAAACTTTGTAAATGAAACCAGGTTTGTGTATATTCGCACCATCCTCGCGCCAATCCCAATTTCGCTACACAGGCTCTTGGAAGTCCTGGACAAGGGCAAGGCTGCTTCGGTCACCACCATAGTGTACACGAAGGATGTAGCCACAGGTAATGTGATCTTCGAAAACCAAATAACGGTCTTCATTCGAGGGGCCGGCGGCTTCGGTGGCAAACGTTCTGGCAGAGGTATTGAAGTTTCTATTCGAACACTGGCATATTCAGGCTTATCTGAGTTTACTGCAGATCGAGGCGCTGCAACAGCCGTAAATACACCCCCAAATCGTCAACCTGATGCTGTGATCGAAGAGAAGACGAGCGCCTCGCAAGCTGCACTTTACAGGTCAGAGTTCAATATGTTGCTGTATCTTCTCGCTTTTCTGATCCTAGTATGTAGACTAAGTGGTGACTATAATCCTTTACACGTAAGTCGTACAGATATGGTGCAATTACTCGAGGTAGTCTTTATCTCCAACACAGATTGATCCTAGCTTCGCGGCAATTGGCGGGTTCGATCAACCCATTCTTCATGGTAATATCCGAATTCTATGCCTGTATCTCAATGCATACTAAACTCGTCTCAGGTCTATGCTTCATGGGGATCGCAGCAAAGCATGTTCTACAATCTTTTGGTGCCTACAAGGATATTAAAGTTCGGTGAGCGCTGTTCCTATTATGCTCAAATGCTGTGCTCACATACCCGCAGTTTCTCCGGCGTGGTATTCCCTGGTGAGACGCTTGTCACAGAGATGTGGAAGACAGATAACAAAGTAATATTCTGTATGTCCGATATACACTTTCTCTTTCAGGTGTTGACGTCGAGCCTTCTTTCACAGCCGCCAAGACAAAGGAGCGAGGAACCACAGTGCTGGCCGCAGCCGCAGTGACACTTATCGATACCGATCTGATGGCGAAGCTTTAATGCGGTACGTAACGCAGATTAGTGTCAAGGTTTGACGCTAGCACGTCGTAAGCATGCTCACGGTCAGTTGTACACAGGGTTTGTCGAGGGCGAGAATGCAAAGAGATATGATGTGTCGATTCACAAAGAGGGACAAAGGACAAGATTGTGCTAATATTGTATTTCCAGAGTTGCTACTATAAACACAGTAGAAGGACCGACCGAAGGGGTATTCTTATAAATATATTGTGCTAGCCAAAAACTGCGAAGCAATCTACGTACACCGGCAAATTAGACGTAGTACTATCGACCAAACTCCTGTTCAGACTAGACCGAGGCAAGTCTTTGCAGCAGGGCACCCACAAGTACACACCCAGCACGGCGGAGAGAAGAACAAATGATATATATAATAGGAACAATGCCACAATGTCTAGTGGTCAGGAAGTCGGCCAATATAATATCGTTCGTTCAATAGGTATCAACATCATGAGCAGGGGATAGGTGGGGTCCATTAATGTTTGTTGGTCTTAGACTTATATGTCTTGTAGTAGGCCCAAGGGATGTACTGAAAGGAGTGGTACGGTTGTGTTGGTCATTAGTCTTCTGAATATCCAGTATGTATTCATGGTCGTGAGCCATATTCGGGAGAATAGCTAGTGCAGTGTCAGCCCCATTATCCTTTCTAACACAAAAAGATGCCTGAGGTGCCTAAAAGAGAACTACTCAGTACCTCGACAATTTACAAATATTTTAGTCGGCAACGTACCAGGGTAAAACCAGAACGTGACAGCCACGATCAAGTATAAACCTACACAATGGTGAGCATAAACGCGGGCCAAAATGCAACTGGGACTTACACATGAGAATCATGCCCTCCAACCAATTTGACTTGCCGTCCTGTACAACGTAGTTCACGGTGATGACTGATAAATGTATTTGTTTGATCATTATGTCATCATGTTGAAACTTTGTACGCACCAGACAAGAACAGCACGATCGACTCCAACGGGTCGAAGAGGAGCGTCAATTTTTTACCCATAATCCAAGCGAGCGTCACAATGAACCTGCAAAATACGAACGGTGAAAACTAGCGGCAGCAGATACGACGAAGAGACGTACGGTATAACGAAGAGTGCAATTTGCTAGAGATCGATCAGAGATCTCATAAAGACATGTGGGTAAACAAACGCACGATACTTGATCCAACAGCAACACCCAAGCTCAGAGTTAGTTTGTCCTTCACGGACACTGTGACAGCAGTAACATGTTCCGCTGCATTACCGACTATGGGAAGCAAGATCACGGCAACAAACTCTTTACCGATGGCCCCAGATGCAGTCAAACCGTTGATCGAATCGACAAGGAACTCCGCGGTAACAGCTACCAACTAGAGCGGGAACAACTTTAAATGGTTGTTGTCAGTACAGGCAGTGGCACGTACCACAGTTACAACGACCAGGAGCCCGAGGGACACAGGGACACTCATATCTGGTTCTACCTCAATGTCATCCATAGACGCAGACCCATGCTCTAAGTCGCTACCTTCAGCAGACACAGTAGAATTGGGCGCAACTCCGTCGTTACTCGCCAGTGGAGGGGATTGCGCAAGTTTAGCCTTTTTACGACGGTAGAGTCTCAATTGTAGCCATGGATTCTGGCCCTCATAGTCTTTTGTCTGTTGTATGTCCGGGCCACGTTCGTGATAGAGGGCTTTATGTGAAAACAGTTGGAACACCAGATATGAACCGTAAACTAGACGAGGGTGATTAGGTTATTGCCAGCTGTGCTTTGATTGACCTACTGAAAAGGAGAATGATGGCAACCTGGATGAGGGCAAGGGTGTGAGAATAATTTTACCCATTTCGAGACATCAGACACGTACACCATGGCTGGTCTTCAGTATATTGTAATCTGTCGAGAGTTCACTATATGCAGGCTGGCCCTGCAATGCCATGTGGAAAGCGCCAGGCAGTAGAACAGCAATGACGCTAATGGTAAGTAGTGACGAATTCAGTTGCACAGCACCTGTCCACAAAAGTAAGAATCAAGGCTCCCACTTTGGAACTACTACAAACATACTTTGTCCAAAACCCTGTTCTGAAAAGCGCATGCCTCCGGCAAAGAAGCACATTCCCAATACCAGAACTAGTGTGTGGTCAAATGATTTCAAAAACGGAAAAGAAGAACACATACGAAGATTGCTCAAAATAGATCCCACCACTGAGAGTAACTGTGAGTCTAGGGTCGCAAGGGAGATAAGAAGACATACAGGAGGACTGGACGATCGTGAGTTCACATTTTGTGAGGGCGATAATCTAGAGTGTAAGCCTTAGCATCTCGCCGTATACGTTTGCTAATATGGGAGCGCACAGAAACGATGAGTTCGACGCTATGGAAGAAAGCACGAACAGTTAGATAATGGTCGACAGAAACGACTTTTGACTGACGCATTTCCCTAGAATTTGCAGTCATTAGATTGGAATCATGAAATAGCAGATGGCGTACGAACCAATGTAGCATTAAGAAGACCTGCCAAAGTTTGGCCAACCCTTATGGAGAGTTCGTCCGTAGCGAACGCCAGTAGCTGATAGTGGCTCAGTGTGATACAATTACAAAAAAGCGAGCTTGTAATCACCTTAGCCAATGGTATGATGGCAAGAAACGTCACTACAGCAGCACGTTGTAGCATCCGGAAATTTAAAAGGTAACTTGTCAACTTACAGACAAAGATCAAGCTCTGTTGATCAGGGAGAGCAAAGTTAATTGCCCACTTCAAACAACGACTGGTCAGAGATGATTCAAACTGACACGAAAATGACATACAGAGATGGGAATGAACACCAGCAGAACGTTGAACCCTACACAAGTAAATATTAACACAACCTATAAGCTGCAAAAGAGTCTCCCCTTACATGATGAAAAGATGATGGCGCAAATACTTCTCCAGGTATTGGGGGGTTTGGCGATTGTTTTCTCCGGGGTGAACATCAATGTTGCAGCTCTCCGTAAACTGGGTAAGAAGGCCATTTTTTCATGACCGATGTCACTCGTGCTTTTTCTACGCCCCAAGTTGGCATGGGATAGCTCTTGCGGCAATCGGATGTTGTTACCCGTGGCAGTGTGCCTGCGGATAATTCTTTCTGTTGAGAACCTGCCACCATCTGAAGACCTGTCCATTTGGACAGGAAGGTGGGATGCTGAGGAATGTAGTAAATCGGATCAGCTGTGCTTAATAAACACCAATCCGAGTCGTACGTACCCATCATTGTACAGCAAGTCGCAGTTGAGTTGAGTCGAAGTGTATCGAAGAATGTCCAAATGCTGTGAACTTGTCAAGTGGGGATTCCTGCCGACTAGTACTAGTAGTAGTAGTACTCGCTGTTTCAGATTAAAGGCTGTAGCGGTCGTTTTTATTGTTCTTAAACAAGTCAACGAGGGTGTGGTAGCACAGCTCACTTATCTGAACCACTTATAAAGGCTTCTATGGGCTTCTATATAGATTTCTAAATGACGGTGATCAGTCCTCATACGTAATCAATACCCAGAGTCTAGCCGGTGGCGTGGAGCCACAAACACCCGTCCCATCGACTCCACAAGCACTTCACATTAATAGGATTGCTACTTGGAATGTTCACAGTGGACAACCTATTAGAGCGCACAGAACAGTACCAGTACTTCAAGGGACATTCAATGCAAAACTAGTAACCACTGTCACTGGCAGTGTCAGCCGAGGCCCGACGGTCCGACTTAGCCACAGTGAAACAAGAACAAAAGCAATGAGGACATGTCACTAGGAGTGCAGGTGAGCGCATGCAGGCTGCAGCTGTGGTGCAACTCTGAATTTTCAGGAGTTGCCGAGGACCGCTGCCTTTGATTTCAGCCTTGAAGCATAGCAACGTCGGCATGTTTAAGTGGGCGACATAACAGGACATCCTAGTCCAGCATATTCATCAGCAATTTTCACCGCCTTTGGTCTTGGCAGGACTCGATTCAGAGCCTAGGGTGCAGCCAATTGCCATTCAGTGTCGCTCCGCAGTACGCTTCAAACATTAACTCCATGCGCCATGAACAGCAATTCGATTCAATGACACAAGGATGACATATACAGTTGATATGCTCATACTGCATATATGTCATAATGCACGGACTTTTGAGGATCCCAGCATGGGCGGACTAAAAATGCAGACATATTGCATAAGGAATAATGCATTGCTATTGTATGGGTAATATGCATTATCAGAGGGTCGTAACTAGGGCAACGAGACATAGTAAGTAGCGCCCGAACCATTGTTCTACAAGCATTGTCCTGCTCAGCTATGTAAGTGTGGAATGAATTGATGTCCTGACTCGTAAAGATGTCCTTAAACTTGAAACGGAAGCCACGCGATAAGCCTGCCGCATACACTCGACCTGCAATGCCAGTGACCAGGCTATTGCTGATGAAGTCCGTCGCGAGATTGCAGTCACAAATGGCGAAGTCATCGAGATTGATTCGGATGATGAGTCAGAAGACGATGGGCCATCATTCACGCGCACGAAATTGTGTCAGCAACTCGAAACTGGATGCATGCAACATTGTGATCCACAGGTTTCCCTTAATTTGTTATCACAACTCCGCATTTTTCGTGCTCAGTTACGGCGAGAGGAGCTACTGAATGCCAAGCAGACTTCTATAGATTGTTATTTCAAAGCATAATACACATAGGCATTGTGGATACTGTACTTTTCGTGTCACAAATTTGGCAGACGTCACAAACGTCACACCTGTGTGACATATGTCGTCGTGCATATATGTCTTATAATGCATCAAGTTTTTGGCGCCCCAACGGTATGCGTTATGAGCATATCAACTGTAATATGATTGAACTCGACGTCATTAGCCCACAGACTTCACGCACTTCTCCTTCACAATTTATGCGCATGATCGTTTGGACAATCGTGATGATTCCACGGAATTTCCACCAGTAACTATGCATGTCGAGATCGATCCACTATTGGAGTACGTTGCCCATCAGTTGTATCACTATCATAACGATCCCTGTTAAACCAACAACCATATTAACATTCAGCCCTCCCAAGGGCACTAATTAATCCAGTACATGAAATGACTAGTGGGGTAAATTCGCTGGTGCTTATGAAGGAAATAACAGACATTGCTCCTAGAGTACATACAACCCAATGCTTATGAAGCCGTCAACGGCGGGTAATGGAAAACGTCAACAGGATAACCAAGGCTAACCCTGATAAGCAAACGACACAGCACCATACAAGCCGTCCTCCCGACCCAGCATGCCACAACCGTGTAAGACCTATAAAAAGTCAGCGACCCGTTCCTATCGGACATGAAAGGTGAGCGACTCACTTCCATCTTTCTCGCGTGCCATCCGATGCCGCTATTTACGTTTCCATTGGCATCTGCTAGGCGACACATTTGAACACGAAATGGATGCGCTTTGGGAAGGTTTCGTTGCAGCCCCGCGCCAACCCAGCCACTGGCCGTGTCGACATACCAGCCTCGACCACCTTTACTTCTTATTATTCTCCAGGATCCGGCGCCAGCGCCGAGGGCAGCAAGGGCAGGTGCGGAAAGCTCAATCACCCGAAGTCGCGTAGGATAAGGAGGTATTACAACCGCCTGCGAACGTAGAGTGGACATGTAGGGGGGTGTGCATAGCGGCCCGATAATTTGAGTGTGTAACGCCATCATCGCCTGTTGTGCCGAGCCTCGAGGTGCGCCAGGCCCAACCCTGCCCCAATCTAGATCAGGGCTAGTCTGGACAAGCGTGAGTACCTCAACATTCACGGCTTTGCTCTTTAAAAATTGAGCGATGACGTTTAATTCGAGATCAGGAATATATGATAGACCAAGCGAACGCAGCTTTGGCTGCGGCTTGCAGACGTCAACGAGAAGCTCTTTAGTCACAGGTGCGCTCGAGAGATCAAGGTAGGTAAGTTCACCAGAGGTGAAACACGGGGCAGAAGATATTATTTCCATAAGATCATCCGTGGTGAGGGGAGATGGGAATGTTTGGTCACCATATAGCGTGAGTTCCCGAATTCGCGCTGCTGCCGGTGCATGGACGAGGAAATCTCTGATACAGGACCCAGTTAGGTGAACACACCGAGCCAGCGCAAGCGAATGCAGGCGAACGGTTGAGCCCCTGAGAGCAGTAAGTAATTCCGGTGTGACTCGGGTAGCGGAGAGGTCAAGGTGAGTAAGGGAAGGGAATGCGAGGACAAAAGGCATCAGGATTCGAGGTTGAATCGATTTCACGCCACGAAGTCCAAGGCGCTGAAGCGCCGGAAATGTGAGTGGCTCCTCTTGCATAAACCGAGCACGAGCACGTCTAATCTGACGTCGACTTTCATCGTCACTTCCACTAGACTGTTCATCCTCTTGAAGAAGATGCGTGTTGACGAACTCTGTCAGAGCGCTTACAAAAACTGCGCTGACGCAGCCAGTAAGGTCCATGGCCTGAAGGTCCTTGCACTCTCTCCTTCTTTCGCGATCCTCTTCTTCTGGATCTTCTGTCACGATTCCTCGTCCACGAGTGGGGCGACCCCCTCCTCTCGAAGCAGAACCACGAAGCAAAAGTTCGTTTAGAACGGGCAACGACAGAGCACCATCCATGTACTCCGTGGCGCCGAAAGCAGTTAGGTTTGGAAGTTCCTGCATCAAATGGTCAGCCAATGGAAGAATGGTGAGTGATGTCAGAATGTCGAACCTTCAGAAATGCTTCAACACGTTCGCCGGTCACGAAACGACTAGTCGCAGTGTCTTCTACGGAACGACGCATTCCGATGGTACGAAAGTGATTGAAGTCTAGATGACGGACAAACCGACCAGGACGAGGATCATGAAGCCTCGGGACTGCAGACGTAACACATGTCAATTATGCTAGAATGTAGAGTAAGACAGTGAGAAACTTACCATAAACCCCAGGTTCAGTAAGATCCATAACATTTTGAACAGCGTCACTGATTGTCCTCATAATCTTCCACCGAGCCGGGCTTTTACTCTTTGGCCTAATACGTCTGGGACTTGAGTCGCGAGATGCTGGAGGCGTCAACAGCTCTGGAGGAATGGAACCATCTGGGCCACTCAAAGACTCCATGATGCTTTCCTTCCATTTCCTAGCTGCATCCTCGTCAGAAGATGCGCCAGTACGCACAGCGCTAGCCAGAGCAGCGTGAGTGGCTGCTTGAATAGATTCTTTGACGGCCAAAGCAGCCTTTTCATCGTCTTCGGTGTCTATTGTGATCTCGTCTAGGAGAGCGAGCCAACTCCTGGGGAGCCGAACCTCGATTTTGTGCCACAGCCATGGCTTAGCAGCCTCGTACCACGCATGGTTTACCAAACAGAGACGAGAAAGGGTTTTTCGTGCTTCTGGCTCGCTCCAATTTGGGGGTGGCATAGAGGAAGGTAGCGCAGTTGGCGCTCCAAACTCGCCAATTGCGAGTGGATCGAGAGAACTGGCATACTCGGAAGGTGGTAAGCCGGCTGCATAAATATATTCGCATATAGTGAATAGCAGTTCAGGGGGGTATTGCAGTATAGCACACATAGAAATTATACAAAGCAAGGAAGAAGTAGCACGAAAGCCGGGATGAGCAAACTCGTTGAACCGTTGAATGAGTCACAATTGAAGAATGTGGAACACTACTTATATACTGCTCGGCAATCCTTATTGCACTGACCCCAATTATGTAATGCGGGGGAAACCATCATTTACGTTCGCGGTACCTTTAGAGCACGCCAGCGTTCGATTTGAAGAGCTACCGGCGACACGTTGATCAAGTTAGCGTTCGTCCGACCACTCCACGACTCACGGATGTTTCAAATAGTGACGAAATTTACTAGACTCTAATGCACACCGCCTGGCTTTTTGGCATCGGCCTCCTCGTACTGCCGAAGGTCCACGGATCTTCTGGTATGGAGCTTGTTTGCATATCGGCCCTGATCGGGGCAACAGATGTGACATTTAGGCGCGACGTCACACCATCTCGTCGCAATACCTCAGCGGACTGGACCACGCAATGATCCCACGAGCCAATATAAAGGAACTTGACTACTGCCACGCATAATTTGATACGATCATTTTGTTTGCTGGTGCGAGGACTCGTTTTGAGCTATCATTTGTCATTGAATGCATAGAATGATCGCTGGCACCATAAATCGACATGTCTAGCTGTCACCGTCGACATGTTCGGCTTTCACAGGACCCTGATAATCCTTACACTACTATGGTAAGGGCCGCCCTTGGTCCATCTCCGGCGGGGTCAAAGGGCCTAAGAGCTCTGAGAATTTTCCACTTCAGGAAGAGGCGAAAATTTGTCGCTGGACTGGCCGCTTCTAAGCTGGGGGTCTATTAGGAGTCCACCCCCTCCGACATACGACCTTTTTCATGTCAGAATTGTTATCGGCCGAGTGTAATCTAGGAGACACAATCATCGTAAGTCATCAAAATATGACAACTTTGTATCAAAAGTTATTGCCGTTGAATTCGAGTGTGCCTCGACTATCACCCTCTATCACCGCACTTTCAGATGCATCAAACTCAAACTTTTCGAGCGTCAATGACATCACCCCCATGGTCATCTGGCAGTAACCTTACATTAGCAGCAGCTTGCTCGCGGCACTGCATGTGAATTGTTTCGTGCTTATCCCCTCTACAATATATCTATGGTCACTCTAGTCGTCTCCAAACTAGTTGCGTTACAATATGACTCCAAGAAGTTCTTGAACTCCCAAAAATATTGGGCGCAATCAAAGCCATAAATGCTCGCCCAGGACAAAGTAGAGCAACGGAGATGATGGAATTTTATGAAGACGAGTAGTCAAAGTACTAGCGTACATTACCAGCAACACAGGGCAAGGCTTTCGTGTAAAAGTACGAATTTTTTTCCACCATCCACCTCCGGTCGCATCCCAAAACTGACTACTCCTGAATCAGGTCTGGTGGGGTAGCCCTCGGTAGAGATCATCAGGGTCCTGCTGTCACACCATAGTCCACGTATTGTCGTGACTTTGAACTTAATTTGTATGCAATCGGACCACTCAGGATCCAGGATGACGTGCAACCTGACGAGTTTTCCGCAAACGAATGCAAGGATGACGCTTGATCGGTTAGTTGTTGTGCTGGCATCTGAGTGTGTCCTGCAACAGACACCCTTAATGCACGCTTGGTTACAGGGTTGGTATGACCATCGGTTCCCCTTCAAGCTTCAAGCTTGACGAGCAGGTAGGGGCAGGTAGAGGTCGATTGAATGCCACGTCTCAGAGATGCTCGTAGACTAATGGGGTCACAGGACGGCCACGAGCTCGGAGACGCTCGGAGCGGTGGCGAATTATTGTCATTGATTGCCACATAATTCACTGGTTTGTGTAACAATTGAATTTGCATTGTGCATAACAGACACATGGCATTGATATGGACCTCGGTATTCGCCATATATAGTCAGATTAAGGTGCGACATAGAAATCATACTGTCTCAACATCCAAATCAGTGATGCAGCTGTCATGCGCAGGTGAGCATGCGCAATGAAAAAAATACTAACAAAGGACACATACTAGAGACAATCACAGGGCTCAGGACAGGTAGATTGATTTTAGCTGTGCGGAAGAAGCAAATCTCAGAGGTGAAGTGCCCAAATGCGATAAGGTACGTGAGGAGAGCCATGTCATAAATCCTAAGTTAGGTCCGAGGTTCACCATTGTGGCTTCACGCGAGAAAAACAACCCACGTTTTGTTGTTGATATTGTACGCAGCATATCCCCGTATGACCGCTGATGTCAATGTCCAAACTGCAAACGTGCGAGCCTGGAGTGCTGTTACTGGAAGGACAAAGATAAGCGTGAGTCAAATTCTGGCCTCAATGAAAGATTATATACTTGAGGCAGATGGAACGCCAGTATAGAGCCTGCGAGTCAGCTTTAGTGTCGCAAAGTTCTGAATAGTGTTGAACACAGCAACTGTGGCGACTACGAGCTGCCATTTAGGCAAAAGGCCTTCGGACTTGGGCAGGTCTAATGCACAAGTTTTTAAGATTGCCATAGCGAGAACATGTTTTCACTCACATTCCAGCAGCACCTGACTCTGAGTAGCCATCTTATCAGTTTATAAAGGATAGTAGTGCTTGCACGGTTGAAACCAGTGAGAGTGACATTAAACGCGGTGCACGTGCAGCATGTATAGGCTTATGTAAGTTTCCTTTTACTTTTTGGATGTTTTGCAGATCTGGTTTGTGTTGTCCCCCTCACGGCTCTGGTACTTTGTCCTGGACGAATGAGCCAGCGACGAAACCCATGCAAGAACCCTCCTCCTCTAAATTTCCTGGGACATCACGCTCGAATTCACTCGCGAGCACCATTAGCAGTAGTGGTGCTAGTCTAAGTCGCCGTTCGCGGACGACAAGGAAACGAACACGGACGATAATTACAGAGTCTAGGCCAGATGATACCCATGCAGAAGAAGATCAGGTGCTGGACATCTCAGCTGCGAATAGCGCAGAACCATTTCCCAGTCCGGTCAAGACTGATTCCTCCGAACGTGTACTGTCTCCGGTTACCACGCGATTCGAAACAACCATAAGTCCGGTCTCGAGTCCCGCGAACTGGCAACCGCATTTAGAACGGAGTGGAGGAACGTTCGGTGGTGTAGGGGGCGATTTGCGCGTGGTCATGAAGCATGACGGGCCTTCAGCCCCCGCCGACAGTCAGCCGGGTTCCAAATCGCTAGCAGGATTCACTTCAACTATTCCTGTGAGTTTAGAGTCCATTTTCTTCGACGAATGGAGCTCACGAGGTTCTAGATAAAGGGAAAAGGTCGCGGAAATAAAGCAATGTTGACGTCTCCCCCGTCTGCCTTTCGTCCAAATCCCACTGACAGCGACCATGTGCGAAGTAGCGTTCGTGACTCCCTGCTAACGCAACAATCATCTACATCATCTTCACTTTATCCTCTTACTACCTCAATCGGGACCGAGTCACCTCCTTCTCCCCTCTCACCGACAACACATGACCATGGCGTTGTTATTCCAGTTCTCGACATCGACGAACCAATGAGGGTGCAGGAATTCAATGCAGACGACGTCTCATATCGTCTTCAGTTGCTTGTGAAGAACAACTATTTCCTTCCTCCCGCACACTTAAAACCACGTCCAGCCGATTTTGCACCGTGTACAAACACATCCAAAAAAGCAACCACTCCTGCATTTCTGGATTATTTCCGAGTTGGAAAATCCAAATCTAAACCCGCCAGCCCAGACTCCTTCGATGGATCTCCGATGTTGAGAGTGACATCAGATTCTACGACCGTGTCTGGTTACAACCCACGTGGAGTACCTCAAACGTTCCGATCCCCGAAGAATGTCCAGCACCTTGCACGTGTGGTTGTTGTCCGTGAGCAAATGGATGATCTTGTCGCTGCTGCAAAGCAAGCGGAGATAGACTTGAAGGGTCGAGACGTTCCTCCGGACCGCGATAGGGGTATGCGAAAACCCAAGGTTGATGTGTTTGATGGGATCATTGATCCCACGGAAGCAGTTGACGTGCCTCCCCCGTCAGCCAACTACACTTTAGCCTTGCAAGCTTCGGCACTTCATGGACTGGGAATTGAAGACTCTGTGGGCGCAGCCGTGTTAGCCGAGCGCTTGCCTCCCGCAGGTAGTCCTGGACATTCCATTAGTCTTGATCCACGAGAGGATGCGTGGAGAAAGGCTTTGCTTCATCAAGCTGTTGGACACTCACTCAACAATTCAACAGTAACGTCTGTTGTGTCATTGTCCACGGCTCCGTCTACCCCGACGAGGTCACCGCACCATCTACGCTCGTCAGAGTCGCTATATCAGCGCGCTCTCATAAACCCGCGGAAAATGCTAGACAAGAAAATTCTTGAGAATCCGATAGTTGATCACCTTGAAGAGCCTGAGCCACCAACACACACCGTAGGCGCACCTTCTGATAGAGATCTTGTTGCGCGTCTTCCAGCTCGGGAAAATGTGCGGTTATCCAGCTATACTCCTCTCCGAGCAGAGACCCCGGTCCATCAAACCCCTCTTGCGCCGCCTCCTCGCCGACAACTTGGAGACACTCAGTACTCTCATTCACAATCTCATCTTCCAGCAGGTTCTACAGAGCTGCGCCGAACACTTCGCAAATCCTGTTCTTCGCCCATGCTCTCCGATTTCTATGAATCACGGAGAACATCCATGATGAGTCCGCCACTGCTGCCATCATTAAGTATATCTCCTCCGCCCTCGCATCGGATGAGCAGGATGACCGCACTGACTGGTTTCTCTCGGTTTACGGATGATTCGACCGCCTTCGATGACATTCGGTCTCGTCCTTCCTTGGCAATCTCAGTGCCAGCAACCGACGGTGGGCGTCGGCCATCGTTTTCAGAGTACTCTCAACCGTCTCCAACTGCGTCCGCCTTTAGGGATAGATGGTCAAATGGCTATTATTCCCAAAACTTCCAGTCACTTCCCATCGACCCTTTGTCACACTCACGAGATTCCTCAATGTCGCCGCCTGCCTCAATTCTTCCTCGTTTCTCTACCATGTCCCCACCACCTAGACCTTCTTCATCGATAGTAGGCATTGCTCTGTCACCTCCGCCGCATCGTTCTGGGAACAATACCAACCAGCCCAGACCTTCACGACTCCATGAAGCATTGTCGCTCAATAATTCGTCCTCTAGCCAAGGCACTTTTCACTCTTTTAAATCATTTTCTCCCATGCCCAGCAACAGTGGTACCCAAAGTCATTTGCCTCTGCCGCTTGAAATCAATGTCTCTATTGACAGCTTTGCGTCTGGCATTCACTCTGCGCCACCTCCCTCATCGCCAGCCACCTTCTTTGACCACATCCAGAACCATCCGAATGCTATGGACGACTTGGACGATTCTGAGGATAGTAGAAGTGACATGGACCAAGATATGACTGTGTACCGAGATCCTGAAAACTCTCCCCATCCATCACTTATGCATTCAAGCAATCGCTCTAGTCCCAATATTGCTAGGAATGAGCTGCATTCTCAAGGAAGCCCAACCGAGCGGCACAAGCCTGTCGGCAACATCCTGCAAAAAACTCCATACTTTACAGATGTCAAGGCGTCGCCAAACTCTCTCACCCATCTCACGCTTACGCAGCATTCACAAGAACATCTCACAGTCGACACCTCGGCACCGCAGCAGCCGGACACATCTGGATCCGAGAATGTGCGTCGCTGGCAGAAGGAGCAACAAGCACTGGCCGAGTCATCGAAGAGATTGGATGGGATGCTGATACAACATATGGAGGCTGAGAAGGATACGTTGAGGAGAATTGCGCAGACTGCGAAAGTACCCAAACCTTGAATTATTCTAGGAATTTTTTTGCTATCCTATTTACCTACACCCCTTGTTTTCTTGCTGCTTTTTCGTTGCTTGTATTGTACATGAGTACTTCCGATATCTGTCGTCTATTTTCCTACCCAGAAGGATCTGATGGAATGCATATGAGCACAACGGATCAATTTAGTCATTGCCACGAAGTTAAGCTCGGTGTCAATAGGTCACACAGCACATGCGCAGAGGGTCAGCGTTCTGACTCCGCTCCTTTCAATAGAGCTCGCTTACGACTGCAACGTTGTTCACGACTGGCAGCATTAACGATATGGAGAAGACGAGCGAACACCAGAAACTCTCATACTCGTGGCACCAGGTGAGCCATGAAACTCTGATAATTGACACTTCATTTGACTCAACGGGCCTAGTCGCATGATCAGGTGAAGCCAATAGGGTAAGGGTTTGTTTCATAGTCCTAACGCTTGGGCGAATTGCAGGCTACAGTTTTGCTTCTTGTCCCATATGAAACCTCAAGAGAAGACGTTGTTGTCAGTAATGTTACTTTACTCTATCCGCCACGTATAATCTCATGTTCATGGTAGGTTGTTATTGAACGCAACTATCTACTCGCTGGGGTTAAAGGCCAACAGCCCATCGTAAAAGTAAGCCTCGCATCAAAAAGACATATTTGTAATCCTCAATCTTTAATCCTAGGGTTGTCTTTACAGCCACGTCGACGTGGCGAACTCGGCGTGGCAACTCGAACCCCGCAACTCGCGTCTTTCCGCTCGGGAGCGTACCACGTCGACCCTATCGACAACGTCCACCCAATCTTCTTTCGCCTTCGTATCCGACCCCGAAATTTCAAGCAGTTTCGCAGCTTCTCTGGAAAGTGGTCAAGTGTCTGATGCAGAGGAGATTGTAGCTCCTTCACCCGCGTTATCATCGCCTATCTCCTCGTCTGACGAACACACCAGCAGTGCAAGTCAACGTCACTCTATCCCTGTTACTTCTAGTCCCGCATCGCCTTCGTTACCCGTACATGCCCTATCTTCATTCTCCTCCTTGGAGTCACTACACTCCAATTCAGGAAGACTTGTCACGCTGCACCTTGAGAAGGAACAGTCGATCATTTGGCCGTCGTTGATCGTGAGCTTCTGCTATCAGGGTCTTATCCATGCTTGAGCTCACCTGTTACACAGCAAGGACCAATTCCCCAGGAAATTTCGCCATGCGCTCCTGTCCCTATGCTATATGATTCCAGTTTGGAGTACAAATATAACATGGACCCCACAAGTCTTGTCCTATACGCTATAGAGCTTTACGACATCAGGAAAGATAAAGAAGAAGCATTTGAGTGCTTTGTGTATGTGACGCCAGTGCTGAAAACTCGTTTCATCTGTGACTGACTTCCTGTCTGACTATCCAGACGAGCGTGGCACCATGGCCACCTTCCCTCTGCTACAATGAAATTGGTGACTCACTATCTACCTATCCAAACATCATTGGACCATCTTGATGCATCTGAAGAAGGCCAACGTGGAACCGTCTCATATTGTGTTCAGTCCATTGGCGGCCCGGCGGGCCTGGCCAAGCTCTTCTTGGAGGCTGGTCTTCTTCATCTCGAAGGAGCAGCTTCTGTTTTCCTGTCAGCATCTTATTCCACGCTGTCGTCCATTAGGATGCCGCCACAGCCACAGCCTGGAGAAGGCGGCACAGAAGCTTGGAAGCGTGATAGGGAAGCTGCAGGTCGATACTTTGAGCGTGCTCGCACTCTGCAGCCCGATCTTGACATTCCTGTCCTTCCTGATGAAGGCATTGACCGGCATGACCTTGGAAGTACCCATGAACTTGAGATGCCATCTATAGAGATTCATCCTTCTGCCTCGGAGAGTGTCTATTCTGGAGAGGATTCACTTTACTCAGAACAAGAGATCATCCCGCGTCGAAGAAGACAGAAGAAAGAAGAGCTGATCTTCATGGACGAGGTCAAAGGCAAAGATGACATCGATAGCGCGTGGTACCTGTATGTTCCCAGCCTGGTGGGTGCGGGCACAGCATTGCTGGTCGTGGGCGTTATAGGCGCACTTAGCCTTTCGTCATGGAGAAGAAATCAAGGATCTTGACGTTGTCTCTTCTTTCGACTCGCCGTTCTCAGTGCTCAGAACTTTATCTGTTTTGATGTATGTGTAGACTTTAGCCATCGTTCTAGTTTTCCTATTGCTCGAGTTATTGCTTCTTGTATTAATGGTATATTTCCCTGGCTATTATCGATGTGTCTTTTGTGGAAATGACTCGATGCGGCTCTGGGAGTCCATGAATGTAATTGGTTAAAGTCATTGTTCTCGATCAGGACCATCATCATCATGCAACCTACTCCTTGGTCCAAAGCTGCAGGCTCTCTGCCTTCTGACCGTCTACCACGTCCTGCGCAACGCCCACAACATGTCTCCCAAAAACAAAGCAAAGGTAAAGGTAAAAACCAAGAACCTTCCAAAAGCAAGGCGATCCGTAAGCTCGAATCTCTTGCCGAGGGCGTTCGCAAGTCGTCCGGCAGAGAGAAGGATCCGAAGGGCGGATGTTTCTGCCAAGGCGAGGGCTCTTCAACTGATCTGAGCTTATAACGCTGAAATTGATAAGTCCAGCAAGAGAGCATGACCTTTCCCCATACACCGCCATATGCCGCAGTTGCGGATTAATCCTATGTGCTATCAACTTGCCCTACTACGCATGCCCGCACTGTTCTGCAGTGCTCCTCTCAGACATTCTGCGTTCCTCGCTGTCTGCCCGATTTGATGAGGAGATATCCAAGCAAGTAGCAAAAGAGGAAGAGGGGAGGTTGCGAGTCGTCCAGCAAGCACGCGATGCGGAGGGCGCGTTCCCTGTTCTCCCTGGTTCCACACCACCGGTTTTGTCGAGCACGCCTTCTCGTCCCACAGCACAGACGCACAAAGTATTATCTCTGAACTCCAAGACGAAGAAATACACGGTTTCATCATACACGAACACCCCTGTCTCGTCCCGTCCGGCATCTCGTGCTGAGTCTGAGGTTGAAGAGGTTCACAGAGTTGGGGCGCCTCCCCCGGAGGTTGACTTTGTGAAGAGGACACCTGATCGAAATCATCCGTGGAGCAATATGCGTATGGAATTGCTTTATGTTCCCGTGAAATAACAAGCTGGCGGTGCTAAGGAGGTTGCAAGGCCCCTTGTTAACTTACATATAGCAGAGGGTCAATAATAGGTCGAGGTAGCGTAAAATACAGTATACCAGTGCCACTCGGTTATACAGATACAAGATACATACAGCAGATCAAATATCAATAGATAAGCATGGAACCCCATTAAATACCAATATATGTGCAATATCAAAGGCAAAATCGAAAAGAGTACATGGTAATACATTTTATCCTCGAGATCATGGCGGCTCTTCTGATAGTAAGTGTCGGAGTTCCTCCATATCGATTTTGAGCTGATCGAGGGCCAGCTGCTTCGCGGCCAGTTGAGCCCTGGCTACCTCCATTCCCTTTTCAAGTCGCCTGAGCTTGACAGGATGGGGGCTGGAAGGGCGTTGTAGTGGACGAGAGGATGACATAATAGGGGATGAATTTCTTTCAGGTGAGAAAGGGAGCGGAATTAGGAGCGGGTCCTTAGGAGATGATGTTAGACCAGGATCGTTCCATGACAGAATAGCAGTAGGCTGTAAAGGTGTCCCCAGTTCCATGTTTTGTTCTATATCTATACCATCATCCAAATGCTGAACGTCGTGTGCATGATAAAGATTCTGGTAGTTTGGTGAGCTCCAACGTCTCTTGTGCGGACGAAGACACCTACTGGTGACCGCTGATGCAATAACAGCTTGAGAGCGTCAATTTCCTTTAGCAACTCGTGTTCGCGGGACTTGGCAGAACTTCGACTATGCTGAAGTTCTTGTTCCAGATGCGAGACCTGAGAGGTAAGCCTACACCATAGGTAAGGATGAGAGCACAGATGATACAATGATGCTAAGGAACCAACCTCACGCATTCCTCCTCGATAACCAGGATTTGTGGGAAATCGGGAGGTTCCCCTCCATCAGATATCTGCAAATATTATTCAGTGATGTGACGCAATGATTGACGTGTTACGAACTCTGCGTTTCCTTACGGCCACCTCAACCAGTGTCTTCCTCTCCGCTTTAAAGGCATCAAGCTGGGTGGCATATAAGTTAATCTGATCATCCAGCTGCGCAATAGAGTGTTGTGATGCGGAATCAGATGAGCTTATGGGGCTATTGTGAGATAATGGTGGTGTGACTACATGTGAGTCAGCCGGTGGGTTGGATACTGCATGCACTGTCGGTGTGAAATGGGTTTCGTTATCAGTCGTTAGAGGTTTCCTCGGGATGGCTGGTTGGTATGGGCGATCGAGAGAAACAATTCTGGGCGGTGACGAGGGGCTAACAACGGGGGTTGCATCTGCTGAAATGCATGCAGGTGAAGCCGCGGAGCCCCGTGCGCGCTCAAGCTACAGCAAGCGCGAAATCAATGAAACTGTATCAATGGTGTAAAAAATGCAACCCCCACTTTTTGTGCCAAACTCCGTATTTCAATCTCAAGAGATTTATTTCTAGTGTTGCTATCCGCCAATACACGGAGACAGTCTTCATCGGTCATTGGTTTTGGAGGCGGTATTGGGCTTTCGGGAGTTCGAGAACGGTCCAGCGGTGACTTATCTCTCTCTTGATGGTGCCGAATTGATGCTTCTAATACGACCTCGCGTGCGGCGACTTTAGCCTCCAGTTCAGAGATACGGAGGTTGGCTTCTTCCACAACCTTGCAGTGTGCTTTGCGCTCGTGGTCAAGCTCGGTGTGCAGCCTATTAATGACAGAAACGCCGTACTCCAACAAAACCTCAGAATCTCTGCAGCTTGTATCACTGGGTTTGAAATGGTTCTCAGTGAGTTGATCTAGGCGTTATTTTTTGGCATTTAGTCTCGACGCTTGCAAAACGATAATGAATGGACAGACATGGATGTTTCGTTATATCCATGCGACTGCAAGGCCACATGCTCCAATCACTGGACATCTGGACTAAGAATGTCAACAATACATGAGCGGGAGACATTCGTCCGTTTGTAGATTGTTATGCACCTTTCTGAATCAAATCCTCGACGACATTTTTGAGATCATCTCGCTCAACTTCGAGGCACTTCGCAAAGGTTCTCCAACGTTCAATTTCATGGGACAAGTTTACCGTCTCGCGTTCTTTCGCCTCCAAGTCGGTTACATGTTGAGCCTTCAGAGAATCGACGGTGTCGATAGTTTTGAGGAGGCGAGCCTGCGTCTCTGATGTTCGAGCAATATAGGCGTCTACCCGAGCCTCCAGGCAGGTAATCTACATCAATGTATATCAATGATATTTCCCTGATGACTGTGCTATAATCACTGACCTGTTCATCCCTCTTCCGAAGAGCTTCTTTTAAGTCATCTCGCTGATCTTTGTGGCCCATATATACTATACAACAATCGATACATTCAGCCTGCAGCTGTCCAAGTGGTAGATCAAATTTTAATAATAGTTCGAGAAAGCTCAGAGCATCAGGCGTGAGAAATAATTCCCGAGTTTTCAGTTTACATGGAGTAACGCCAGATGACGGTCCTGGAATTCATCTGTCCGAGTGGGTGGCCCCAGGGTTGAAGTAAGTTATATTGAAGGAGATGGAAAATAAGAAGCATGGCCCTCAGCATTTTGTCAGTGTAGGCTTGTACGTGATTGGACATTAACGGTGCAAACTGCTAACATGGTTTGTCATTCGCGGTAGAAATACTCAGATCATCTTGCTGCGGCTCGTTCCAGCTTCTTTCTCTTCTTTCATCCCGGGATCCTTGTTGGTGTACTTTGTGGAGGGCAACTCCGCACCATGCTGGTAGTTGTCTGGCAAATTCTCCAAAAGAACAATAGCATCGACGTGCTCTTGGCACTTGCGCAACGGCGATGAGGTTTTCACTGGCAGTGATGTTCCTGTTGTGCGCCTTGCCTTTGTACACATAGGTGCACGTCGTGAAGAATACGAGGACCGGTGCTGATTTTCAGCTAAGGACAAACTGCAAAATCATATTCTGAACTGACAAGAATATTGTTATCAACATAGATAGCGCGAATCGCTGACATGCCACAAAGTGCACACTTCACAGCAACGAGACGAGAACTTAGGACATCACCATTGTCAGTGAGCCACAACGATGACACAACAAACTCGGAGTGGGACAGACAAATGAGAAATGCAACAATTGCTCCTCAAAAAATGTTGAATTGGAACACATTTGCGACCACAGACGCCATGAAAGACAAATGTTTGACCTCCTCGAGGACAAATGTGACGATGAGTAGAGAAGACACCGTGGTCAACGAAGAAAGACAATGGACGCACTGACAAATCCTTTAGCCAAATATTATTCCGATTCAAAAACAAGAACGAATCTTAGATCAACTTAAAAAATGGAACATCCTCACGGGGCCGGGGGCATACACCTCACCACGAGAAAAAACCAATCATCAAAAGAAAGCCCTCCTAATGGCACTAGGAGTCGGGCTACCGAACATCTTCACGAGAGCACTGCCATGCCGCGTTCCCGGTCTCATTTTTATGTGCTTAATCACTCGTTCTGGTAAGTCATCATCCCGTTGCCAAAGTCAGAGAAGACATGTACTAATAGTGGCGCCACTAGTGGGCCACGGAAGTTTGACTAGTCTAAATGGGTTCCGACCTCGACCTTAATACAAATTTTTCGCATTACTATCACATAGCATGAGGACCAGGGACTCTCCACCGTGGCCTTGTCATTGGTGATGATCGTTACTGCTTTGTTTCCTCTTGCTCTACTTATACGAGAGCAGGATTGCAAACTTCGGTTCTCCGCAGTGTTCTGCCGGTCAATGAACGTTTATTAGAGTTAGCGTACGTTCAGCGATGAACTTTCCCATGGATGCAAGTGAACTGAACCCGTTCAGTGCCAGAAGTCCGGTCTGGATATTATATAATCACTTATGATTGGACGATGAAGAAAGAGTGAACAAACATCAAAAGACGTTGTAACATATTCCCTTCTACATATCATCTGCTACGACATATTTGCGATTGGTATTCTCGGTACAGTACACGATGTACATTGTATGGTACACGAAATCCGTAATAAATCTATTCAGCGAGGACATCATCAACTTGAGGAAACTCCGGATCTTTGATTCCTTCCACATCTAAGTCGAGAAGCTCGTACAACTCGAGCTCGGCATCTAAACCTCTAATGGCCGTTTTGTAGAAAGATCACAGCCATTCCTCAGCGCGAGAATAATCAAGCAATTCACTGATGGCAATGGGAGTGAATGAATCAGTAGTGGGCACTGAGTGCATCATTTCTGTGGCGGAAAAAACTTCCTCTTCATCAACAGCTCGGATGAGGTCTCATGCGAGCTCGCTTATCCCTTGCCTCTCGAAGCTGCGCTGCTCTCATTCGCCGCTTCCTGCCAATGGAGCATCCAAGTCATCCACTGTTTCAGTGGACTCTGCTTTCTCATCACAGTACCGGCACTTAATACAAGTGCCTGCAATTGCAGCTTCATCTCTCGGTGCATCTCGCTGACCTGCGTGGATTTGCTGTTCATCCAATGCATGCTCGTTAGCCATGCGCTGCTAGTAGAGCCTCGCACATATCACTTTTGCCTTTCCGCTGACCATTGAAGCACTTTCTTTAGCAGCATAACCTGGATGTTCGACAAAGTGATCCCACCACCATCCTCGGTTTGATTTCTTGCCGGTCTTCGCCATCGAGTCGGTTTCGGTGTGTCCAATGTTGAGAGTAGTGGCTGCGGCCTGCAGGTTCTTGAAGTGTGCCCCCCAGCCGAACAGGCCTAAACCGCATGCTTACAATCAGACTGCGTGAAGATATCTAATCGATAACCATTGATATAGTATCAACCAAGTATGGTATAGTCTAATGAGGTAGGACCACAGAACCGCTCAAAGTCATGTTCAGGTGAACGACAGTAAACTTCACCGAATTTCCCACGAATCGCAGTCAATGACTGTGACCTTGGTTCACTGACCGGCAGAACACTGGTTCTCCGCACTGACTCGGAGATTACCGTGTGATTTCCCGTCTTCTGAGTCGCGGATCGCCATCAACTCTTCCCGGAGATTTATGTAAGTATCCGATGAGTCTTCACGGGATGATATGATGCGCGCGCGCGCGCGCGATTTGCGACGACCTGAATGGCCCGGGGTTCTCAGTAGAACTTCTCCGACTCGGAGCACGGGAAACCAACTAACGGCAACATGCTGTATAGTACCGACCAGTGCTACATGTTCGATATCTTATAAGTAGTGACCTGAAGTGAGGTCGACTCATTCAATAAATCAGTATGAATACCTTTCAAGAGACTCCGAGTCAAGCTGACGCCTTCTTGAGGTTGGGTGTAAGTGCGATTCCTACTTATGGCGTGTCCTGTATCATTGATGTTGTCGTCCCAGTACCCTTATGGTACGGTTGTGGTCTATGATCGCTTTTCTTTGATTCAGTTTGCTTATCTTCACGGTAGTTGCACTAACAGCGCTGTGGGTGAGTGTAAAAATTACCACAATCTTTCAACGATGGCTCATGTCTTCACTCGAACATTCAGCTGTATGACTACGTACTATGCATACCCGACGCGGCAAGTAGAAATTTCCTGAGCGTCTCAGGGTATACTGATCTGTAGTCGATACAGATCGAGTGTATCGTCGACTCTCGATGGGGACTCGCCATGTTTTTCTATCTAGCTTGCAGTCACTTGCCCTTTGTATACGTGTCGCTGAATATGCTCGGTGAGTGTCCGGCACAGTTCACGATTTCCCTCCCTCATCATACGACTTTCAGCGCTTTTTCGGCCTGATGCCCCATATCCTGTAGGTGCAAATTAAAGCTTTGCAGATGTTCAAAATTAACCCATCCCGATCAAAGGTTTGCTGGTCTTATGAAGTCGCCGATGACTGTGAGTCTGGTAAAGCTTTCCCAAGGCATGTACTGACTCTGCGCCATAACTCATAAGATTTAGGGGTACTACTGATGTTATTTGCTGAGTGTGCAAGCAATTGGATTACCTAGCAATGATTCTGCGCTCTGACATTATTGCACTGGTTCAGGTATATTCGTACTCAGGGCATTTGCGGTATGGGAACGGGTGAGGTGGTTCGCCATATTGCTATTTGTTAGCATCGTCGTGAGTCCAATATTTGGAGGTTACGACTAACTCTAGATAGCAATGTCTAAATCATCTTGTGCAGGCCTATTTAGTACCAATTTTCATTTCCATCAGGGAACTTTGGTCAGCCTCTGGTGCGTATAACTTCAAGTTAGACCCTGTGTTTGTTTAGTTTCTAACCTCTTAAATACAGGGGAATGCTGGATTCCTGGCACTTTCGGACATCTGCATACGAATAAGAACGTGTATGTAATTTACAGCTTACTGACTGTTGCTGAGCTAGGTTCGTATTGGGAGCTGCTGCTAACACGAGCTTGAACTCACCGCATGCACATAATTTCAGAAGTATTCTTTCTTCTGCTCTATCGCGCTGTCAAGGGTCATGGTGGTTGGAAAACCGACAACCGTTTCATGCGTGGTCTCTTGCGACAAAATTTAATGTATTTCAGCTACAGCTTTGGTTGGTTCTCGCATATCACCTAACACCTTTCGCATACTTATTTACTAAACGCTACAGCTTTGACTCTCGGTGTCATTCTCACAACATTCTTTTTTCCGGTAAGTCAATGTGTACATGTGAAGCCACTCCATTGACGCAAGGCGTAGCTTCCATTTGCACACGTGTTGGCAGAGTTTGTCTGCTCTCGATTCTGAGGCGATGGTTCAATACTTAATCACCGACAGATACCAAATCGTTCTGCAATCCATCATAGTCACGCGAATGCACAGGGACTTCCGAAGGTCGGATCGTGCTTCTTGTGGCACCCAAACAGATCTGAATTCTGTAACAACGTGGATGGCAAGAGTTCCAAATACCATATAACGGTGCGCTTCCTCGGCTAAATCATCATGACCATACAGCTGACACTCGTTGATCAAGCCAGTGCTACTTGGAACATGCTGACCCTTCAATTATGCCGCTTCTATTTACTTGTGGAGTTTATCAATAACAAGCGGCGAGCTTCGGTCGTTATTTGTTACTTCTGAAGGGGTGACTGTCGTCCGCTTAACTGTTACGCCAAAAGGCAGTGACTGAAAGAGCATCGCGCAGAGGATTTATATAGATTATGGGAACTCTAGTAAGCCAGTGTACTTACAGTATGTCATATGGCGGAGCAACTACATAGATAACTCTACTCTAAACATCAATGACTTCAAGCTCGTTATATTCTATTGCGTAATGTGTTGAACCTACCACTTCGTGATCAAACTTCAGGATGAGTAAATAAATGCTATCCTTATCGACCCATAAGTCTACCAACTCTGATTCAGCAGAACCGAACTTTCTGTCCAATATGACCTCGACATAAGGCAGGGACGATATCAAGCTCTTCACAGGCCTGCCAGTCCAGTCGTCGAATTCTGGTATTGTAGACGGTTCCTTCACCACTCGTCCCAGACCCCGCCTGTTCGTCACAGCTAGCGGGCTGAAGTCCAAAATGCGTAATGCATACTCCGCGTCACCTGAGGCTGACGTACTGACTTGCAAGACTCGATTCCCGCTAACGTGAACTTTGAATTCACCGAAAATACGAGTATTTGAAGGGCCCCAGCGTTCCCACGGTACTGGCGTTGCTGCTGCTATTCCTTCAAGGTTGAAGAAAATCTTCGTAGAAACGACGAAGGTCCGACTCGCTCCCGTGGTAATGCATAGCAGCTTGTTTTTGGGATCTGAAGTGTACACCGCTTGTTGGGCTTGTAGCTGTGGGGAGCTATCAATATAATCCATCGGAAGGAAGCACTGGATATTCAGATATAGGACGGGCATCAGGAAGCACGCCAGCAATTGTGGCGTCTGGGACATATCCTCGATCGAATAGAGCTTCAAATGTCCGGCAACAACGAGCAACCTATTGTTTCCGAGAAAGCAAAAATCAATCGAGTTTGGTTTGAAATTCGTGCCGCTGAGGACGCTCTAGACGGCAAATCAGCACTCAGCCGTCGAGTCTTTCAAATATTTTCTGGCCATGACTTACATTAGATGTCGCTGAGTGTTGCCAGTCCCAAATATCCAGCTGCCACATCTCCTCGAATGGATACGCAAAGGAGCGCCGCAAAGCAATATGCCTCCTAAATCCCTTGAGCTTGGCACTTTCTGTAACAAAGCATTTGTCCTTGGATGCGGGCAGCACCGACAAAAACAATGTCCGTCCAGCAGCTTGGGGGTGAATGCCATCCTTATCCAGGGCCCCAAGGTCGATGTAGAGTGTCTCGTCGTTCGACTCGAGTGTAGCATCAGTGACGGAATACGCGATGGCGATCAGGTTTTGTGCTGGATCCATGAACACATCGAGGTTGTCTGAGTTTGGAACTGACAATAATGTTCCTGCAGACCAGTTGCGCTTGACTGTCTTTTGTAAGGGCCTTGGCAGTATCGGAATGATCGCGGCCTGGTCCTCTTCTTGATCCCACAAGTAGATATGCCTATCCGCGACGACCTTCTCGTCAGAGTACATGTTCTTTGGTAGAGAGACTGTTTCGAAAGAGTAGGGGTCGACTTTGAACCATGCGTGAGCTTTGTCCCTCAAGAGTTGTAGGCGCTTGGAAACAGGGATGCTAACATTGTCCGTAATGGGAATATGGAGCAACCATTGGCCACTGAGTTCGACTATGTACTGAAGCTCGGAAGAGGACATGTACGTCTGGCGAAGGGCCTTAGATACCTGCAAGACGATCATCGTAAGTATGAAAGTCCATATAGGACAACAATAGCATCACCACAATCATAAATTGGGCTCACGGATGTACAACGAAGGATGTCTCGGCCTGAAAGAAAGCTCAAAATGTTGAGCTGTAGTTCTCTAGGAAGAGACAAAAACCCTGCACTAGGTTTCATCTCGTGGCTCATTAACATTCTCTTGACAAGGTAAGATAGGCAATTAGTCTGGACTAGATACGATTGAGAGATTCGAGCACCTGCTTATACCAACCATACACTGAGAGGTCTTTCGAACAGTTGAAGGATTACTAAGCTGAAGGTCATACACTATGTAATATTGTTTCTTGACCGGAGTCCTCTCTGGTTAGGTATTTTGGCCATAACTAGTATGCAGTACATTCTACTGCAAGTGGGGGATTTTCGGCCCAGGACCACCCTGCCCTTTCTGTTGAGGTACCATGAATCGAAGGAACAGTCCCATTGATTTAATCATGATGCGGCAGATAAACGAACAGCTCCCCCATAGACGAAAGATACATACATGTCAGTAATACCGGTTCCAATTCTGTTCCACCATCACGTTTTCCCTTGACGTCGACCTAACGCTGAGCGCGCCATGTTCTTTTAACAACAATGTCTCTAATTTAAAATGGACCTTACTCAAAAATAATCCGACCTGCCTGGCTCGAACAGGCGACCTCAAGATGAATTTATCCCATTACAGTCTCGCGCTCTTCCAACTGAGCTAAGGTCGGTTACGTTTAGGTGACATTCGCCAATCCAAGAGGTTTCAAGTGCAAACAACGCATTAAGGGTGAGGATTAGCCGAAATACAAGAGATCAATATCAAAATCCGCTTGAAAGTAAATATGAATATGCAGTCGTCGCCTGTCGTTAAGAATCATGCATAGTAGAAGGTAAAGTAGAGAACGAGAACGAAAGTGATAAAAACGATGATAAGTTTCAAGAATTCAGATGCATAAGGTGGCGGACTCTGCCTTTCACATGATTGTGCACCAACGAGACTTCTTTTCCTTGTCTTCTTCGACAGCGGAGGGAAGGGCACTGGTTGGAGCAGTGGTTGGGGTATTTTCGACTGAGGACTTATGGACGAATTCTCCAGCTGCAACGTCGAGCGATGTGCGACCCTCTTCAGGAACCTTGGGTGAAGAGGAGAACCATCCACCAGGGAAGAAACGAGAAGAGGTCGTGGACTCCAGTCTGTTGCGGTTGGCTCCGTTGTTGGTGGGAATATCGATGCGGAGGGTGCTGGATTCAGTGACCTCAGCGGCATTAAGCTCATCGACGGCAGACAAGCTTGGCCTGAATGCACGAAGTCAGGAGTAAGGAAGGAAGTGGGGGAAACATGGACTGACTTCTTGTTGGCGAATTTCTGTGGCTCTTCGAGAACAGGGAATGTTTGAAGGGTCTCTCGGGCGAATGGAGTTCCACTGGCCTCAACGTCGTCATATGTCTCGGAGAGCTCTGAAACAGTCATGTCACCCTCTGAGCGCGAGGGAGTCTCTGCCACGACAGGCTCATCTACAGACGCTCGTGTCTCGGTGATGAGGACAGGCGGGATGGGCTCTTCGTCAGTCGCAAGTGCAGGAATGCTAGAGAGTGGACCAGTTAGATATTCTACTTCGTTAAGTTTCTCCACTTCTTCAACAGCATCATTTGGCCCCTGCTTGGTGACAGAATACGAAGGGGTCCACGGCGACTTTGGTCTTTCTCCAACAGGGTCATCGACGGGTGTCAGAAGCCCTGAGTCTGATTTGACCTCAGGAACATCCTCTACACCGACCTACGAATGTTTTAGCAAATGCAAAGCTCGATGCCAATACAATCTTACGGGTAGTTGGGTCTCAATGATAAATGAACCATGGTCAACAAACTCGTCATCCTTAGCAACCGCTTGATCCTCAAGTGCAGATGCTGGTTCAAGCCCAATAACTGAGTAGGACGGCGTCCAGGGAGAACTACTATGCTCTCCTTCAGGGTCGGTAGTACCCAATTGCTGTCGAAAACACTTAGCGTGGCTAATCTTAGCATAAATAAGTAGTAACCTACCGTACTCTCGTCGTCGACGATGAACGATCCCTGCTCAATTTCTTCCTCAAGCACTTCCTCCACAGTAGGTGGCTCGGGTGGAGTCTGTACCGATGGTTCTGCTTGAGCGATGACACCTTGCTCCGAAGCGATATCCTGAGGAATATCCGACTCATCTAGCGTTGCCGAAAGCGTAGCATGTATGTCTGCAACGACTGTGGTAGAACTGATTACTTCGACAGCAATGAGTGCTTCTGTAAAAGGAACAGGTTGCTCTTCAAATGCCTCTGCTGCAACAAACTGGGTAGCACTTGGGGGAAGTTGCTCCAAGTCATCAAGTCCCTCATTAGTGTGAGCCATGTTGCCTTGTACAGTCACCGAGTAAGAAGGCGTCCAAGGTGATTTGGGTTGAGGCTCTTCCGGTTCGCCGAGCGCAACCTATCCTCGAGTTAAGTCAAAGGCAGAGAGGCAATAGGGGTCAAATTATACCTGTTCCTCTGCCAAATGTAAAACCTCAATTTGGGATTGCCCAGGCGCTTCCATATCAGCTGCAATCTCTGGAACAACTGCGGCTACTTCATCAATAATGATCTCGGGTGTTTGTGACTGGGCAGGGGCAACGTCATCATCGCCTTCATAGGCGTCCACACACTCCTCGACGGCAACGCCCGGTCCTTGAGTCATGACACTGTAAGAAGGGCTCCATGGTGACTTGGGACGTTCAATGTCGCTAGCAACGTTGAGAGCTGAGGATGTCACAATCTAAAACATGTCTGAGAAAACGCGGATAGTGACAAAGGATCGTACCCACCTCTTGCTGTTCAGTGACCTCTTTGACTGCGATAGTTTCGGGTTGCTCGACTGCTTCGGTCTCTTCAATCTCGCTAGAAGTCTCTACATGTGCAATCGAAGGCTCCGAGTCATTATCGACTTCAAAATGCCCCCCATTAACAAGAACTTGGGAGGTGACCGCATGCAGCTCCTCTAAGATCTCAGGCTCCTCTGCAGGTTCTGGCGTGAACTCGTCAAGGATAGGAGCTGTAGGGAGAGACTCCTCTACGGAGGGTTGCCCAGGCAAACACACAGGTGCCCCTGCATGTGGCGAATTCTCAAGTTCGTCCTTAGTCTCTTCACTACATGAGGCGTCTTCGGTGCGCTCCGGGGTAGCGTGGACCTCTTCGAGAACAACTTCGACGACGACCAATGCTTCACTTACAGCGGGAGCGGGTTCATCAACAGCCACGGGTAATTCAGTTACGGAAGCGTCAGACCCGACAGTTGACTCCTCGGCGATGATTGCAATTCCCTCAGGAGATGAGGAATCGTCGAGCATTGGGTCCGCGGGAGTGGTGGGAGCTGCTTCAAAAGCTGGAATGGACTCCTCCACTTTCGAGGTAATTTCTTCGGGCGCAACAGCGACTTCTCCTGCTGTTGGCGGTACCTCCATAGTAGAGGCGGTGGTAGGCTGGTCTTCAGGCGTGGAAGGTTCTTCGGTGGATGGACTGTCATCAAGTGTTGGCTCGTCAGCAGCCGAGGACACTTCTGCAATAGGTGGGATCTCGTTCGTGGGAGGGAATTGATCGTTGACAAAGACAGATCCCCCTTCGCTTGCGGGGGTTTCCTCGACGGTGACATGCTGATCATCGGACACCGGCGTATCCTCGACTGCAACTAACTCATGGTCTCTCGTTGGCGCTGCGGCTTCCTCATGCACAACTGGTTCGGGCACATCGACGTCCAGAGACTCGAGAGGTTCCTGGACTGCAAGGACGTCCTCTTCGATCGATGCGACAACTGCCACTTCAGAGATCGTTTCGTCTGACACAATGATAGTGACGGACTCTTCTTCCGGGACGAAAGTTTCTTCTGTGGCTGAAGTTACCTCAAGAGCAGGCCCGTCAGTATCCGAGGGCACTTCTGCAGGGAGGGGTGTCTCGTTTATAGTGGGAGGAATTCTATCATCAACAGAGACAGGTTCCACCGCATCTGCGGGAGTTTCCTCGATTGCCACAGGCTCGTGTTTGCGCCCCGAAATGTCCTCGACCGCGACAGACGTATGCTCTTCTACTATTCCTGATTCAGGCACATCCACTGCTGCGAGCGCAGAATGCTCCTCGACAGCAGGGACATCTTCTTCGACAAGGGGAGCAGATGTTTCTTCAACAGTTGAAGCATCTCCTGCGAGCGAAGTCTCTTCAACTGCTGGAGCGGGTGTTTTAGCGAATGCTTCTTCGGGTGCAACAAGAGGCTCCTCAAAGGATGCGGCAGGTTCTTCAAGCAAGGAAACCTCAACGGTGGGAAGAGGCGCTTCGACGTCGGCTGCATAGACAGAAGGCATGGTCTCTTCCAACAGTGGATCATCGTCAATAGGAGCGGCGAGCTCTTCGACGGTAGGCTCAGCTTCGTCAACAACAGGCTCTTCGACCGGCGGGGATGATTCGATTAGAGCAGCTGATTCAATAGGAGTGACATCCTCAACTAAAGTGATCTCTTCGATTGGTGCATGTTCTTCGACTGCTGCAGCTTCGACCGGGGGAACCTCCCCGACTGGTGCAGGCTCTCCAGTAGCAACATCGACTAGGGCGACCTCTTCAGCAGGTATAGCTTCTTCAACTGCGGTAGTTTCCTCAATCAGTGCAGTCTCTTCAACCGCTGCATGCTCTCCTGTAGCAACGTCGACTGAGACGACCCCCTCAGCAGGTATAGTTTCTTGAACTGCAATGGTGTCCTCAATCAGTACAGTCTCTTCAATCACTGCGGGCTCTCCTGTAGCAATGTCGACTGGGACGACCTCCTCACCGGGTATAGCTTCCTGAACTGCGGTGGCTTCCTCCGCCAGGAGAGCTACTGCGAGCTCCCCAGTAGCAACGTCAATTGGGACAACCTCCTCACCAGGTATAGCTTCTTGAACTGCGGTGGGCTCCTCCACCAGTAGATTCTCTTCAACTGCTGCGGGCTCTTCAGTAGCAACGTTGACTGGGACGACCTCTTCAGCAGGTACAGTTTCTTCAACCGTGGTGGTGTCCTCAACCAGTACAGTCTCTTCAACCACTGCGGGCTCTCCTATAGTGACATCGACGGGGACGACCTCTTCAGCAGGTACAGTTTCTTCAACCGTGGTGGTGTCCTCAACCATTACAGTCTCTTCAACCACTGCGGGCTCTCCTATAGCGACATCGACGGGGACGACCTCTTCAGCAGGTACAGTTTCTTCAACCGCGGTGGTGTCCTCAACCAGTACAGTCTCTTCAACCGCTGCAGGCTCTTCGACCGGGATTTCCTCGACTGTTACAACCTCTTCAGCCGCTGCAACTTCCTCCGCTGGAATTTCCTCGACTGGTGCAGGCTCTCCTATAGGAGTAACAATGTCGTTTGGAATGACCTCCACAGTCTCCTCAACAGAGGACTCTTCTACCTGCACCTCGGACTCAACATCAGTGACGTTCGAAATTGGCTCCTCAAACACGGGAATCTCCTCAGCTAGTATCGTCTGCGTGTCGTCAGTATACGTGAAGTCCACCTCAGGATCCTCGACGAATGACACGTTGGAGCTGGGTGGCTCGACATCAATCTGAACAGTCTCCACTACAATAGACTCGACTGCAGGTTCTGTGAGCTCCGCACCAACTGCTGCAGGCGCTTCCGACTCGACAGCGGCAGGTTCACGTCCTGCTGCTGCTACAGGATCCGTCTCAGCGGTAGCAATGGGCTCGGGGCCAGGGATTGTGACTGGTTCTGAGTCAACAGTAATGGAGTCGTGTGTATCAACAGACTCTGCCTCTGCAGCAACAACAAATTCGACAGGAACCTCGGACACCGTAGTTGGGGCGATGGCAGCTTCCTCTGATTCAGTTGACGGGACATCTGGCCCTGTCGCAGCCTCAGCTGGAGCCGAAATGACCTCGGGAACAAACACTTCCACTTCCGGTTCGGTGGGAGCAGCTGGCTCGTCCTCAGCATCAACAGCACCATGTGGCGACTCGTTATCACCCTCCTTTTCCGCTGCGATACATACATCAACCTCTGCAGCAAATTCCTCCGCCTCTGTACCCGCACCTGATATCTCGGCTGGCACAATAGTGACTACTGCTTCCGACGCCGGCACAGTTTCTTCAGTCAGATCCGATTCGCCAACTTCTGTGACGGGCTCCGCAGTTGCTGCAGTATCTTCAACCGGTTCCATTTCGGTAGCTTTTGGGGTGGGCTCCAAAATTGCCGCGGGCTCCGAGCCAGGCTCACAGGCCGAACCCTCCTCTACGACGACCTCGCGCAATATTGGTTGAATTGGTGCAGCTTGGAGCGTCACTGGCGTGATGTCTGACTCGGCTGTGGAAGATTGTGTTTCAACCAGCGCAGATGCTTGTTCGTCCGATATGATTTCACCTTCAGGAGCGGCCTCTGCTACCGAATCGATGGACGCTATAACCACGGTCTCGGTGACCGCAGGTTCTTCTCGGACGGACGGAGCCTCCACTTGCGTTATGCTTTCTTCCGCATCAATCAGGTCACATGCATCTGTTACGATAGCTGGTTCAGGTTCTGCGGCCATGGTAGATATTTCCTGCAATGTCGTCAAGATGAGGGAGAAACGTCGCATTGAAAGCACCACAACTCACCTCTGCTTCAACAGCAGGGGGGACAACAACCTCTTCCAACATATCAGCAGTTGGGTTTATTCCGGTACTTGAATTGGAAATGGGCGTCTCGTCCTGACAGGAAGGCTCTGCAGTAGTAGTGCTCCCGACGCCGTTTATGGAAGTTGTAACAAAGTCTGATAGGGACGTGTCAGGTCTGGTACTAGCAGCGATAGGAGGCTCTCCATAATCTAAAGAGGCTTTAGAAGCTTCCACAACGATTGTGGCAACATCGACAAAGGGTATTTCCGTGCCTGCGTCGTCAGTGATTGGTAATTCTAATTCATCCTGAAGGCTGATTGTTAGAGAGTGGACGCGTCAAAAACATGTCTGCGCATGTGCACACCTTAGGTATCTCTGAAATAACCGTACCGGAAATCTCAATCGCGTCCTCTTGGACGAGCTCTGCAAGACTTGCAGGCTTGTCGCACGGGACGATTGTGAGATTTGTAAGCTGCTCGGACTCTTCTACAAAAAGAGACTTGTGGTGGCCGTTGGTGAGAGGCTCGGAGTCATGGATAAGGATGGTGTTCTCCTTATCAAAGTCACTGGCATGCAGGGCAGGTGCCTCTGGTCCCATATCATCAACCAACTTGCCCTGGATACAATTCAGTCACACAAGAGCTACAACACGACAAAGAGTGGCACACACGACATTGAGAACCTCAACAGACGTTTCCGCCGCGAGGGTGTCGTCAGAGGAGGCCGTCACCAAGCTATCGTCAGTCTTGTCACCGGCTCCGGAAACATCTTCGGCACCTAGTGTAGGCTCTTGCACACAATAGAAAGCAGCCTCGACGACCTCCCCGTCAGTCACTGATTGGCTAGGCTCGAAAGAATTTGCACCGTCGTGCAGCTGGTGGCCATTAGATATCGGGTCGTCAGCGACGAAAGCGTTGTCGGCCACAGTAGACATCTTCTCGAATAATGATAGTAGGGAATGTGCTATGAGAAGTGAGAGAGATAGAGAGATTGCAAAGTTCGTTCCTCTGAACGAACCGACCAGTCGCAGCTGCAAAAAAATGCAAGCGACGTGCGCAAAGAAGCCGCTCAACAGAAATTCGCTTGAAAGTCTACGCGACTGGTCACGTGTTACTATTCAAACCCGCACAATCAATCTGGTCATGTCAGACACTGCGCTCAGTGATTTCGCGATGGTCATTTCACACCAGGGGATGAGTTAATAGTGACAAATGAATGATGCTCTTTTATAATGCACAAAGGAGCACAAAGTAGGGCACATTGGAACAAAAACAAGTGACTAAAGTATGAATAATATGAAACGAGGAAAGACAGGTGATATGTATCAAATAAAACAGTCCATCGCGCGTCATGATCGTGTCCGTACTATCAACATGCTTAGAAGAGAGCAGCACCAACGAGACCCATCACACCAGCAACACCCATTGCCGAAGAGACAGACAGGGTACTGGCAGCGCCAGTCTTCTGGGTCGTACCAGCGGATGCAGTGGTAGTGGCAGAAGTTTTAGCAGCAGAAGAGCTTGTACCAGATGCGGACGCGGAAGATCTAAGTGAGTACATGACTTAGTAGCCGCTAAAGCCCACGCAATAATCACAACTTACCCAGCGGTCGGAGTAGAGGTGCCACTGGCAACGGCGCTACCACTCGACGAACCACTCTCATCTACTGCTGTGTTCAGGCAGGAGGTGTCGCTGCCAGGCATGATAGTGACGATGTCAGAGTATGCGGTACTGCCGGTACTGTCCTTCAGAGCGATGTTACTGGATCCCGGTGTTAGCTAGACGTCTCCAAGAATGCCAGAGAGTAACTCACAAGATAGTGTTAGCTTGAAGATCAACGTTCCACGTATAGGATGTGCCCGTTTGTGTAGGGAAGGACTTGATCTGTTAGAAAATGTCTCAGGACGGCCAGTTAGCTTCAGTACAAGGATAATCGCTAACAGGTGACGCCATTGATTGCCCGCCTGCGATGCGAATTAATAAAGCGACACGTAATCAATCAAACGTCAACATACCAGGCACGAGAGTCAAGTAGTAGGGAGACTGTCCACCAGACCAACTAAACAAAATGGGCTCTGAGGACAAGCAATGTTAGAGCGTGATACTAATTCACAGCAAAGTACATACGGCATTCAACAACATTGGCCCTGCACCACACGATGAGCACTCTCGCGCGTACAAGGAGATCTAAGAGAGAACACGTACGGTGTGTTGATGGTAAGACCAAAGACAACCGGAACGGCGGAAACGAGGGCCACGAAAACGGTGGTGAACTTCATCGTCAAATAGTTATGCTGAACGAACGCGTCGCGAATAGCGGGTCGGGTATTTTTTTTTTATTCGAGAAAATAAGAGAGCGAGAGATGAAATAGAATGTTACTGTTACCACGGCACTCTTAAGGCTTGGCGGAGTTTGAAAGTCTGGTGCGCTGCCGATACCACGGCAGAATCATTTTTAAATCTCCGCGAACTATCGATTTGAACTGATAGTCAGCCGCAAACTGGTGCTGATACTGAAAAATTGGCTGACACTAAAGTGCATTCACATGCAACGAAACTTGTTGAGGCTAACAAGGCGTTTATGCGAGACTTTGTGGAGTTAAAAGCGCTATTGTTCTGCAACGATCGTCACGTTAACTTTAGATGATTGAGACCATATGAAGTATAATTACACCTCAATGCTTCCGTCACAAATAGTTATTTTTGGGGCACAGACAATCTTGTTATGTAACATCGCATGTTTCACAATCACCCTGCGTGTATGCGTGCACGGCAGTAAAATTTACCTCATAATCCAATCCAACTACTTCGGCCTCCAGGATTGTGTAGCGACGTCTGTCCAATTTTAATGACCCCCGCAGTAGACCTTGGTGATTCTTCTCCACTCTTGCGCAATTCAGAACGCTCTAAAGATGGAAATACATCAACAGCGTCGATCACAGGACTCGGGACCGCAACATGAGTCGAGGTACATGCGAAGAAAGACCCATCCCCTGACGTATCCTCAGAGTGTTCAGGTGACGATGAAGAATTGAACACGGGCAAAAACGACTCGGCGTACCACTCGTACCATACCTGCCGCTCATCTGTAAGTCGCCAGATTGATACGTGCAGTTCTGAGTTGCTAGGTAGGTACAGAGGTTCCTAGGCGAATGAATGTCAATAAGAGCCAGAGCCACTAGAGAATGTTGATGATAACACCTACTTTGAATGGGAAGAATAACGGGAACCAGCTCAGCATGTCCTTCGATACCCGATCTTTACTATGCGGATGAATACTAAGACCAACATGCCCATACAGGACGGCCTCGAAATAACCTGCAAGCCCGTGCATAACCCCAGCATGAGGGATATGGAACGACAGCTTAGCAGAGCGGACATTGTGACTATTTGTCAGGGGTAAGCCTAGACACTCGGCATAATTAGCGTCCGTCTGGCCCGAAGATCCGCTATTCAGGTTCACCTCGTTCATCGACGGTCGCATCTTTTCGCGGATGCTCAAATTCCCAGCATTGTTGAATCATAGACCCGCAGCGGCCTGATACTCCTCCGCCATCCCCACTCAAGATGTTGACATTTTGGAACATCACCACATATGGTGTTTCCATGCCTTTGATTTCTCTACTGATTCGCGCGCTATTGTATAACTTCGATGAAGATAGCGGAGCGAGATGGGCGCTGTACGACGATGGGATGGAGATGCCATCAGCTGGAGAACGGTTAGCGAAATGGGTGATGAGCGTAAACAATCCATACGTTTCAAAAACCTCATTGCGCCGTCGAGACACTCCGGACTTAGCTCGTTATCGCCGAACGAACCGAGTAATTCAGTGATGAGGATGTCCACTTGCTCAGGGAGCTCTACATGCCGCATGTCGCCAAAGAACAGCTGCACAGAGTTACCCCATTCATTCTGTTTCCGGCCCTGAAGCCTGCTTACAGTCAGACGTCAATGTGAAGATAATGAGAGCCAAACAGACGTCACAAAGGCATTTGGGTTCTTCTCAACTGCGTACACGAAGGCACTTCTTCCCGATCTCTTGATGGCCGTCAAACTTCGTTCAACAAGGGGGCCACGGCCTGCCCCAGCAACGCAAATCACACTGCGAAGAAGGGTTAAGCCTTGTAATACATGCCAAATGTGATTCGCACATGTGGTCACTATCAGGCCAGTCCATCAACGCGTGATACACGGCCTACAGATTTCACGTGTCACTGTACAACTTCGGTTCATAATAGATGAAACGCACTTCTTCATAATTGCGGTATTTCACAGGGTCCTGTTCGAATGTCTGATACGTAATGCTCTGGAGGTTGTCCATCAGCGGCTAGGCAGACATCAGTACGATAGCATGCGGAAATGAGGTGTATATATCAACTTGTAGGGGGTTCTGGAGGTAGTCTTGATAACCCTGAGCGAAGTGCTCAACTGTCCCTGCCGTCATCGCTGCCTGAACAGCCGAGCTTGTCTTCTCGACATGTCGCACATATTGTGCATATGCTGATTCGCCACCTTTGGTGTGTAACCCCGAACTAACCCCTGACATGATGACGATAGGGTGATGCTAGCCGATTCTTGGTTCATCATCTGCCCAATAGCAAAAATACGTGCCTAACTCACTGCCATGCTATTGCGTAGAAAGGATTGTGTACCCTTGGGAAGAACAGGGTAGCCCTTCACATTCGCGATAAACGTGGACGCGGGGAGGAATATATGGTGAACAGGTTCAGCCATCCATCTGTTGAGGATGCCGGCATTAGAAGGTAATGGCGGGGTGAGATCGAGCGCTGGAATTCAGTTCGTCAAGTACTGTTCCAAGACGTAAAGTGAATGCATACTGAGCGTCAAGCGTGTATTATAGTCACACAGTGTGCGTATTATGTCCCACATTTCCCAAGTTGCGTTTATCTCTCCTTCGGGAGCCCGCGCAGCCTTCAAGGATTTTGACGTGGAAGCTCGCGGGATCACAATTTTCGGTGTTGATGGTGCAGATGGGGTCGACGATGTGCTCGTTATCGAAGGAGGAATAATTGGCGATTCTTTCGGTTGAAAGACAGCAGGATCGTAGATAGGAAGGCGTATCGAGAAGTTCGTAAAGGTCGTACTTTTGAGACATTCATTTACGGCGCGCGCATATGATGCGACTTGTGATCGATGCCTAGGTGGAGGTAAAATGACCGTCTGAACATTGAGGTATGACGCGTAGGCCACTTCCTGGCGCAATGCCTGAAAAATCAGATTCGGGTTAGTGCCGAAAAATAAGCTCCGAGAAGATAGCTCCACAACGCCCGTAAACATGATTTTTTTTTCACAGAATGGACTCACGATCTCGGAATCATGCCTAACCCAGTCATCTGTTGAGTCAAGCTGAAGCCAGTCTGACACCATCACAAGTACAGGTACCGCCTCATCTATCGCATTGCCACTTAGGATGCACGATTGGTTGTTTGTTGATCTCACTTACCAAGTGTTGAGATGGTCACCTCCTCGTGCAGGAAAGACGGTGCTTTCCTCCATGCCTCTGCCTGCTGTTCTGCAGTTGCATTTTCATCAGCTTCATTTGCACTTGCTGATGGCACGATGCACATATTTCTCCATCGCTCTCTCCATTTTGGGGTAGTCAAAGGAAGACAGACAAAGTCATAACCCTTGGTTTGACTTTCCCTGATTAATTTCAGAACTGGAGTCTTATCGGATCCATCGGTGCGTGCAGATGCTTGTGAAATGTCTTCGAAACTGAAACAAGAAGCTAAGCCTGCAACTTGGTCTGCCATGGGGGAAGAGAAGTAATGATGAGTATCCTAAAAAGGTAATCTGAAGGAGCGCGTGTTCATAAACGCGTCGTGTCGCGTTTTTATATCTGAACTTGTTTTCGTTGGACGCTGAAATCACAAATTTAAGGTCTCCAAACCCTTGCAAGCCCTAGCGACCCTCTTCATTCTTGCTCACTCTTCTACTCATTTCGCGACTTTCCGAATCTCTACGCCCGCAAACGTGTTCGTGTAGAAGGCCTATGTTTTGCTTCTCAGACAAGTCACGATTGATGTCGGGTGAAATCCAAAGGACTCGTGCCAGCTCATGCCCATACCCGTGGGATCTCCATGGATATATCTGCATGACACAGGTTTTCTGCTGTGCCAATAGATAATCACCCCAAAACTGATGGTCATAGACAAAAAGACACCACAAAAGCATAGCTTCAATGCCCTAGTCACCATCGAACACTGCGTCGTCGTAATCAACGAACTTCCTCGGAAACTTGACGTTCCCATCTATTCTCACTCCACGAACGTGAACAGCTTCGATCGGATAAATTCGAAAGGAATTAACGGAGTTGGTGCAGGTTGGCGCTGGGCTGTGCCAAGTCTGGGCATACACACCCGAAGTTCACTCCGGCTGCGGACATCCGAGTCCCAGGTATTTTAGATTCCACTTCCATAACATACGAAGAAATGTCTTAAACAAGTAACTGTTGTCTCCAAGGATGGTAACTTTTTACGGATAACGTCCCTCGAGTGACGGCTGATTTGATCGACTGTGATCATGATCAGTGTTTAATCGTTTGCGACGATCATCCGATCGGGTTATTCGTTTTGAGCAGTGAAACAGCCAGGAAGCTATGTACGTAGTATGTACTACCATGGATCCACATTGGTGCCATGGTGGCGAGTAGACAATTAATTACTACCATCCGTTCGAGGTCTCTTGACCCCATTAGCTTCGGAAAGATGCGCAGCGTCACTACTATCCGTTGTCATGTCATACCCTGCTACAACTCCTTCAAACACTATTCTGCCAACGACTTGTCTCAGCTCCTCATCAGGATCCCTGCCGTCTGCTTCAGACCGCTGCATGATATCATGAACAGACTGCATAAGCGATGACGTGAGAGACTCTGTTGCGATGTCTTGCTGATATTGAGAAGGTCGCGAGGGCGACACCGCCCCAGGGATCACACATGAGGAAGGATTTAGGCGCGACTGCAGGTATGCAGCAATTTCGGGAAAGTTCTCTTGTAAATGTTCAACAGGCTGATGTGTATTTTATATCAGCAAAAAGGTGATAGATGATTCCTAAGCTCACGCACGGAGACACCATCATTATTCTGATGGTCTAATGTGGATCCGTGGTCCAATAGCCATTGTGCCGTCTCGGTATTTTCAGCAGCATATAGCGGTGTATCCCCGTCTTCGTCGGTGACATTAACGTCTCCTCCTGTGCTTGGAAGGTAAGTTTTTTATGGTCAATGAATGATCTTATCACTGACCTTGAGAGAACAGGTACGCGAGGGTCTCAAGCTGCCCGTATGAGGCCGCAGCGTGCATGGGAGTATACGTGAATTCATCAGGAGCATTGGGCGACGTGGCTGGGAGGGACCGGATCAGACCTGACCATGTGAACTATGAGATGACACCTGCATTGCTGTTCAACAAGTTCCTGAAGGAACGAGATAAGCTTGGCACGTACCGTAAGCGAAGACGAGTTACGTACCCGAACCCTAACTAAATCGCCATCACCTGCAGCTACCCAAATGTTCTTTCCTGGTTGAACTCGTGCTGGGACGGGCATCGATGCGGATGGGGCTCAATCAGCGACTGGTTTGGTAAAAGGACGTCGATAAAGAAGACGTCCCAAAATGGGAATTCAGGCTTAAATACGGGACCAACTTTTTGCCACAATCGGCACACCAAGTGCACAAGCCCTTCATTTCCGGTCACTGAAGATGGAGTCAATCTGCGCCGAGGAGCCCGCAGGCTACGGAAAATTTTTGAATGCTTCTAACGGTAGGAAATTTGTGGGAGTTGGTTCGTTTAAAATCTCGGATCTATGCTGATCGGAACTTCCCCTGGGTGAGCTCGGCACCGTCATGAGGATTCGTTAGAAAGCGTAGCACGCTGTGGTACTGCCTCTCAAATTTACGAATTTTGTGCCTTCTGAGGTATGGAACGGCAGGCGAATTAAACGGAGTCTGAGTTCTGATATAAAATCAGCGGAGATATTTAGTTTAAAAACAAGTTGCACTAAAGTCGAACCTGAAAGTCAATTTTGAGACTATACGGACCCTCCTTCCGTCCTAGACGAATGTGCCCGCTCCTACTAGTACTCGATCGATTGTTGTAACTCTCAAGGCCCGTCGATCCCGAGTTCAACCTCCGTTTGTCTACCAACTCGGACCCACTGATTGTAACATACTGTAAACTATTATTGGCGGTCTCTTTACGGGACTTCGTTTTTCAAGCTTCTAGCCATGAGCTTCCTCGTGCCAACGCAACGAGGCCTTGAACATGTAACCCAGCCCATGGGCGACTTCTCTTCCATACATAACCAGCCAAACAGATCCCATCTACCCCTTTCCTCCTTGGAAGGGTATCCTCATCAGGGCATGTCCGCCCTCTCAACTTCAACACCCTTTCCACCTTTTCCCGACATTGTCATGTCTCAATCTTTGCCAAAAGTTGGCGAGACTAGATGCTGTAAGTTTACAAAACTCTATTATTCCCTAAAGGGTCTCCACTCCGATTGTTTCGGAACCTTCACAAACCGATCACAATCCTGTAATTTTCTCTTGATCGTCAATGATTTCGCTAACCACGATTTTGCACTTTGTGGCACCTTTAGACTGGTCTCTATTATCGTCCGAATTGGATTTCGTCTATCTGGATCCTGTTCTTGCAAGTCATCTCGAAACCCAGGCCGACTTGCTCATTGGCAAGTCCCTCCTATCCTTTGTTCACCCCGAAGAGCAGGCTACTGCGCGAGCAGATCTAGCAGAAGCTCTTGAACAAAGGACGATGCATGGTAGTGTTACCAGGTAAGCGATTCCAAGTGTAAGTGGATTTATCCTGACCTCATCTTTTCCAGGGTCAGGTATTGTCGTCTCGCTCGTATCCGTCGCATCCTCGGTCACCAAGGGCCTACCCAACCGTGGCCTGATGGTGACAAGGTTTCCGTGGATGCCCACTACATGGTCGTCGACATCGTCATTAACTGGGCTGCAGAGGGCCTCGTGTTATGCTTTATCCACGCAGTCGTCGATCTTGAACCTGGTGACAATGATGAACATCACAGAACTCCATGGACAAATTGGTGTGGCACGCCATGCATGCACCCAGAACAGATAACGCTATTGCAACAGCGGCTTCTATATTACTTTCCTCAATCAACCGCCACAACTAGGGTATTCCAGATCTTGTTCAACTCTAATTACAACCAGCAGGACTGTCGTCTTCTGTTGAGCTGGCCATCGGACAGCAGCCAAGAATATCCTGGTATGCCAGGAGCGAAAGACTTTGCAAGGCGAGCGGTGGGCATTCAGACGTCCACTCGGGATAATAGTGCGAAGACGAGTTGCACGAGACGTTGGAGAATCCAAGATACAATGCCTGGAATAGGCGAAGTAGAAAGCGTGTTCATCCCTCATGGTAAGCGCTTCCTTGATGAAGTCCATGTGCTTCTATTAAGCAAGCGGATATAGGTTCAATAACGTTTGCATGCCACACCATTCAACAGCCTGCTTCGCGGAGCTTGTCTGTCTCTTATTCTCAGTCTCAGCCGTTCACGAGGTCCACAGACGCCTACATGCCTGCACACAGCCAACATCACCCCTATGACCTGTCGGCAAGCCCGTACACACTCCCGCCTGTGTCTACCTCAATGCCACAACCTTACGGACACTACACGCAGTCCTTGACGTCCCAATACTCTCACTCGCCCTGGGGGAGTTACTCAGAGCCTTCTTCCTCGCTTTCTCAGTTTAACAGGTGGCCTGCTCAAAGCCCTGCACATTCGATGGCATCCCTCCCATCGTCATCATGCACCTTGCGCGAGTCACCTTACTCGAGACCATCGCCATCTCCAATTTATGGCGAGAACAGAGCGTCTTTAAGTAATTATCAAGCCACACCTAGTCCTGAGGACTACAGTACTAAGGCCGCCTTTGAGGCCTTCGAGGCTAGCGTACCGCCGGCGCCGCCCTGCGGTATCGACACTGTACCACCTCCAAGACACCGAGTGAGTCCCGGAACACATAAGGACACCCTGCCACGTAGCACCAACAATCGCCCTTTGGGTGTTCTCAAATGCAGTAGTTGCAAGGCAACGTCTAGTCCTGAATGGAGGAAGGGCCCCAGTGGCAGGAAGGAGCTCTGTAACGCGTGGGTGATACCACAACATGCGACGGAACTACTTACTAATATTTACTTGTTTTCTGTTTCATTGACCAGATGCGGCTTGCGCTACGCCCGTTCTCGTGCCAAGAAGGAAGGGCACGTGGTGTCGACACAGCGTCGGAAGAAAGACAAGACCGGTGTCATTACGGCTAATGAAGAGTCTGCGGTGCCGTCCACTCCTCCGATACCTATTGCTGGCGCGGCTACGACGACCCGTCGCGGTCCTGCTGAAGGGAACACATATGCTTCCCCATCATCTGTTGGCTCTGGATCTGGAAGTGAACCTTATTCTCAACCAAGCCCTGTAGCACCAGAAGATAATCGACCTTCGCCATCGCCTCCGTTGCCTGGTCTCAATTTTGTTCATTACCACCCTTCCTCTGGACCGTCGCATCATCAACCACGAGTTGATGGTCGTACATTCCCTTATCACGCGTCCAGCCCTTTTCAACCTTCCCCATCTCCGCTATCTTCGGGTCAACTGACTCTCCGTCCACCACGAGGACAAGATGATGTGCCTGGCTCATCGTCTCGCAGCGGGTCATATCACCCTTATCCCTCGCCCTCGTCAAACTCAACCACTTTTGAACGGGCAAAAACGCAGGATCGCCACCTGACTTCACTGCCTCCCTCACCAGAGCGTAGCAGATTCCGGTGACCGCGCCCCGTCAAATCAAACGACTTGAAGCTCATACAAGCGTTATGCGACACCTTGGCCCTGTTTCTGTGAAATGCAACGTTTCGGTATTTTTATGTTTCCGGTTCATTTCTTTCGGCCAATGGTGCAAGCACACCTTCCTTGCCAAAATTATTTATTGATGCAATTCGCCTGGTTGTTCCTTTTGGACTTACATAGCGCAACCAACACATGGATACATGCCTTGTGTAGTTTTATCGTAGTGGACACGCTAATTTGAAATCATGAGATTGGAAGTTTGGTTGCGGTCGGACCATCGATTGTACTCGCGCTTGCCCACGTTTCTGGTCTTGAAATCGCGATCCTCAAAAACTTGCTACGCCGATCAACTCGCATCGGATGGCTAAGGATCGCCCTGAATAATTTTCTTTTATGGAGTGTCAGCGTCAAGTCAGCTAAATCATGAGGGAGACCTGCCTGACAGATTCTGGACGCAGCTAAGATTCTATCATCTATTGGTCTCATTGCACCCATATGACCAGAATTTCAACAAGACTAGTCAAAGGTTTTGCAAACAAACTCGTCATTCCTTCTACACAGCCACAAGAAGCCACGCTTTATGTAAGTAGCATATTAAAGGCCGCTACGGATCTATATCGTTCCTTCCTTGGCTCGTTGACACTTGTATATCTCATCATGCACCGGCCGGATGAACAATCAGTGGAATCCGCGAGTCATAACAAAACCGTAGTCGTTGAGCGGTGAGCTCCGATGCCAAGCTCCGGATCACGTATCTTCAATGACCCGTTAGCCCCACAGCTCGTGTTGCATTACCACCTCCTGCAGTAGATGGTGACTCCGATGGGGAAGCCGAGGCAGATGGATCGCAAGCAAATGATGGTGATCTGTTGGAAGACTTTCCGGACGAAACTGACGTGCGTACTTACACGGTCTTTCGTTGTCTACCTAATCGAGGCATACGGCATGACTAGGAATTAGAACTCGTACACTCGCGATTGAGCTCTTTGGCTAATCTTCGACTTGATCGGTTCGCAAGGCATCTGAAAAAGTTATGCCTCAGACAAAACGTTATATCGCATCTAGATCCAGAGATCTTTAAGCTGCTCACGCAGCTTGAAGAGCTTGACCTGTACGATAATAAACTCAAGACTTTGGGAGATGCATTAGACAGTATGTCTGCTCTAACGTGAGTAACGGTTCTTCAGCTTCAAGTATTCTTACGTTGCATAGCGTTCTGGACCTTTCATTCAACCTTCTACGACAAGTGCCGGAGGCACTGTCGCATCTACGTTCCTTGAAGACCGTGTATTTCGTTCAAAACAAGATCTCCAAAATCACTGGCTTGGAATCTGTTGGAGCGACATTAAGAAGTCTTGAACTTGGGGGAAATAGAATACGGGTAATTTGCACCGATCAACCGATCATTCCAAGGGGTAGCTCACGCTGGTACTCCAGCATATCGAAGGGTTGGATGCGTTGGTCAACCTGGAGGAATTGTGGCTTGGAAAAAACAAGCTCACTAAACTAGAGGTGCAGTGGTTTCGCACTATCGTAGTTTAATGCTCACGGTCACACGATACAACAGAATCTGAGTACACTAAGCAGACTGAAAATATTGTCTCTTCAGTCTAACAGGATCACAAAGATCGAGGGTCTGGACCAATTGGCTGAGTTAGAAGAGCTCTACTTGAGCCACAATGGGGTCGAGCGTTTGGAAGGTCTCGAGAACAATGTAGGTATTCAGTCAATTGTTCGCCGTCATGCTTAAGCTTTTGCGCAGACAAAGCTGAGAACACTCGACATTGGTGCGAACTTTGTTCCAGCGATCGAAAATATTTCGCATCTAGTATCCATAGAGGAGCTCTGGGTAGGTGTTTCTTGACTACGACAGAACTCAAATCTCATTTCATGGTCAGCTCAACAACAACAAGATTGCTGATCTGCGAGCTCTCGAACCGCAGCTCAAGAATATGGCATCCCTTGAAACGATTTACCTGGAAGGCAATCCTTGTCAGCAGGCCGAAGGTACAGGTTACAGACGGAAGATAATGCTTGCGCTTCCTCAGGTCAAGCAAATTGATGCCACGTTAGTATTCCCTTTCGATTGATTTCTAGAGTATGTAGCTGACCTAGTCTGTAGCTTTGCGAAACCGTTATGACTCACTCATTTCCAACAATTTTCTTGCAATGGGACGGTACTGATTTCAATTAGCATACATTATACTCAGCAATGGGCAGGCCTGTCTCCCGAAGTGCCCAAGACTTTCTAAATTAAACAAACTCATACGCCAATTTGCACTCCCAGGCCCGGTGGGAAGGATATTATTCCGTCCTAAAATTCTACGTCCCTCGAGCTGATTCACATTTCGTAGTTGTTTCCATAATATGAAATAGCTAGGTCGTACTGTGCAAATTGACACACAAATATGCTTGAAATCGACGTAATGATATACTATCGACCATATGTATGATCAGACCCTCAGGCCTCAGGTCTGCATCATGTATAATTCTTCATAATGCAGATACGCCAGTGAAGGAGCCTGGAGGCAGGGAGGCGGGGTGGAGCGAGGCCGGCCACCGCACCCCCGCGGCATTCGATGTTGCCGAACGTTGTTTGTCTTGTAGTAGTTAACATATAATCACCGTAAAATGTAGATAATCATGCGATCGTTCTGCACTGGCGTAACCTTGATCGATACCATTTACGATCTCCTCGTGGTCTGCACGCTGCCCGTAATTTCGGCCTGCATCGATTATTATTGGATACGCTCAAGTGATACCATCATTATTCATTGTTACATATCTGGGAACGCATACAGCGTGGTCCTGCAACACTGGCCTCTGTATCTCGATTCTCGGCCGCCTGTGGAGAATAACTCCAGCTCAAAACATGACGTTTACAACTTATGATAGTATTGTATTTGTACGTCGGTGAATGTAATAATAATTGTTAAAAAGGATATGAATCATTGAGCTAATTAAAGAGCCACAAGGTATATATATGGTTGTGTCATCGAGCCAAGATTTAAGGAAAACCTTTCTGAAAAACTTTGCTGGGGTTGAAACTCGTCTTTCGTGACTTCGTTTTGTCTCTACGGCTCACGTATGTTACCAGCAGCGCAGCCTGCGAGGCTGGACGCAGGCGTGAGGAGTGCACACTCCAAGAGGTACAGCATGCCACATGGACGTACAGAATCGTACATCCGGGAGTTTCCGGTATAACTGTACAGTTTGAAACTTTGGTGAGTGAGCATACCCAGGTAGTCGGGGGTCACGCAAGATCCAGCAAGCATCCAGCAACATATACGATGGGGAAAGATCGCGGTAGCTCTCCCGTGTACATGTATGGCTCACATCTCATTCCCTACTTTCAGTTGGCGCCTCTGGAAAGAAATTCCGTATGACACTTGGTCTCCCTGTTGGTGCCGTCCTCAACTGTGCCGACAACAGCGGTGCCAAGTCACTATTCATAATCGAGCCTTATGGTTTCGGTGCACGACTGAACAGATTGCCTGATGCTGGTGTTGGTGACATGGTCGTTGCATCAGTAAAGAAGGGGAAACCTGAACTGAGGAAAAAAAGTGTGTATTGATGCTGCACGTTGTGTCAATCAACTGTACTGATGAAATTAACTTGCAGCTATGCCCGCTGTTGTTGTCCGCCAACGTAAGGCATGGCGTCGGAGAGATGGTGTTTTCTTGTACTTCGAGGTACGAGACAATTTTGTTCCCCTTATTACATATGTAACCAATTATACAGGACAACGCCGGTGTTATTGTTAACCCCAAGGGTGATATGAAGGGCTCCGTCATCGTTGGCCCTGTCGCAAAAGAATGTGTAGGTTTACGTTTCAAGATGTGGAAGATTAGGTCTCTAACCCTAATTCTAAGGTTGACCTGTGGCCCCGTATTGCAGCTAAGGCCGGCTCTGTTGTATGATTTAGATATGGTACAATCGCATTTTTTTTCATCGTCTCACACTTCATCAGTAACTATTGTGCAAGTCATAGTAGGCTAAGCAGTCTATCAGTCAGTCTCGACCTGTGACAGCGTTACTTCAATGGCCCATCTATCGCACCAATAGGCCCAGTAATGCAATTCGCTATCTGTGAATGCATTCAACTGTGGAATTCGAAAACAGTGACTATGCGTGCATGATAGTATGACCGTCGTCAGTTGCATCTTATCTCACCATTTCTGTCCGCGTTTACTTCCGGACTCCAGCCATCATATGCCGCGATTAACCTTTTTTGGCTTTCTGTGTGCCCTTGATCTAAAATGAAATGCTAAACGAATGTCATCCTCCTCCCCTTAGCGTCTATTAAGTACTGAACAATCATAAGATACCTTTGATTCGTGCAGTTCAATCCACGTCGTCCGCACGCAACTTCTCGCGTTGTCGCCCTCGCTTATCCGGTTTGTACAACACAGGCGGTTGCTAGAATCGCTGGGCGCTCTTCATGTCGAAGTCTTTCGGAGATGGCTGGTGGCTCTGCCTTCCTTCGGTTGATGGCATGCATCGTATCTCGGTTCCATATTGCCCTCAACTTCCCTTCCGTGGGCACATATCAGTCATGGCCAGTCCTGTCTCCTCGTGTATCATGCATCAGACCTATCTGGCGCTCCCCCTCTTTCTGCTCATCTCTTGCGCCACATTTTCCTAGATAACTGATTTAAATTAATTCTAGGGACCCTATGGATGAAGCATATATCCATTCTCGCTTTACACGCTGCTCATCTAGTCAAAATTTTCCACACTAATGCTCTCTTCCGAGTCCCAAGTATTAAATGGCAACACGCTAGAACGGTCTCGTCCTTGGTTCGATAACGGAAATGTTATATTGTCGCACAAGCAACCGCCTTCCGTGTGATTCAAGGGAGTGACCGGATTCAGCTGTCCGGCTGTGAAATAGTTCGCTTACCAGGTCATGCGGATGATGTCCTGCTAGCTCTTTGTGATAGAAGGTACTGTGCCTTGGTCATATAATAATGGGCCTCACTCATCACACACTGTCTAGCTATTTTTCCGGCTCTGAAGAAGTCCCTATCAGCATGTTCTGATTAAACGTTAATTCATTACAGGCATGGGATGCTGATTAGGGGAAGGGGTCTTTACACGATTTCTATGCAGCAAGCAAAGCTTTCCCGTGAGGAAAGCTGCCTGGAGAGATATATTGGACCACCTACATAAGAAGAGCTTGCTACTATGAGCCGAGTTGCCAGACTATGACTTAAAATGTTCCCTTGTCTATTTCGCAAGTTTGTCCGGCTATACGTGTTTCCCCTGCTGATGCTTGCTTTCTAAGACGTAAGGTTATGTGATATCGAGGCGCAGGCAGCGAGAGAGATGCGCAAGAGATATAGCAGGCCTTGATAGTTTGCAAGTCACGTGACACCTACTATAGTATGCTAGTAATATCACATAGCTGTAGAAGTTCTACCAAGACTCCATAATTCAACAGTAATTCACCTTCCTGGGATGACGGCGCCAACTAACAAAGCCAGAGCAGCAGGTGTCAGTGCGAGTTCATTCTTTGACCTCAAAGCAGAAATCGCTAAGAAAGAAGATGAATTTACTCGGACCAAAGCTGCAGGAGGCAGTAAATACACGGTGGGAGGTGTCAAAAGGCCCGACAAGGTGAGCGTATCCCGTAATTGACACGGGAGGGCTTGAATAAAAGCATAACGCAGAAACCGACCGTATGGAGTCGCTCTAATAAAGGCGTCCAAAATCGCGCTGCGCGCGACATAGAACTGGAAGAAGTCAGCAAGGTGACTATCGAGTCTGGGCGGGCCGTTTTGGAGAGGAAGGCGAAAATCTACGAGAAACTACGCAAGGGGAAATCTGGTGGCCTTACTGACAAGCAGTACGAGGCTTTGCTCGTCGATGTGTGTATGTTACTTGTGTTCGCTGAGTGGCTTTCTGATGTCCAGAGTCTAGTTTGACTCTCGAGGACCTAGTGATCATTTTGAGTCGGACAGTGACGATATGGATGAATCATTGACGATCCCCGAACAGCCTCAAGATGACGTAGGTACTTTTGATGGAACCTCTCGGATTATACTCATGGAATGTTTAGGATGACCCAATCATTGAATACGAAGATGAATTTGGACGACAACGAACAGGACGCAGGTCCGAAGTTCCGCGGCACTTACTTCCGCGTTCTGAGGATACAGAACCAATACCAGATGAAGACAAGTAAGCTAAACAGCGAGGCCTCATCATCCTAGTCTTATTTTTTTTCTCGAGGGACGTCATTTACAATCCCATCAACTACTTCCCGGTATTCGAACCTTCCGCGGAGCGCATCCAAGCAGTTCAAGATGCTTACTCGGAAGACAATAACCCATTGTCTTCTCACTACGATGCTTCAAAGGAGGTTCGTGCTAAAGGCGCTGGGTACTATCAATTTTCTGGAGACGAAGAGACGAGGAGACAACAAATGGAAGAACTGCAGTCAGCGAGGATAGAAACTGAGAAGATAAGACAAGATGCTGGTGCAGTGGATCTTAAACCGGGAGAGGTGGAGGGCATGCGTGACGATAGTATCACCGCAGGCGCGTCGAAGAGCAGGGCGATGGAGAAGCGGAAGAGGGACATTGAGGAAAGACGAAAGATATTAGATGCGAAACGAAGGAAGGTCAAAGGCGACGAAACCCTCGCAGGCCGAGGTTTGGAGCCCGATAATTCAGAGGCTGTAACGTTGGAGGCGCAAGACACGTCTGGACCGTTAGTGGCGCTGGAAAGGCAGATAACTGATGCTTCAGACCGACACAAGAGGAAAGGCAAGCAGAAAGGGACTGATGACTCGGTACCAAAGACAGAGGCAGATAACTTCTTGGCCCAGTTAGAACGGGAAATATTAGGAGGTCGTTAACCACCCCTTATCGGCGAGTTAATCCTTACTGGATAGTCACCTGTGCTCATTAAATATGTAGCTTTGACTTTCACAACAACACAAGGTTGTCATAGACCTCCAGATTATGCCAAGACGTGACCAGTGTATGCCACCCACTTGTGTCTGATGGAGGAAGGTACTGCTACAATGTAGAACTTTAAATCACCCACTACACAGTCCGTCGTGAACAGGACGTTCGCGCTCATTGCCTCCAGTCGATGTACTTATGTGTAGTGCCACTGATATACAGCCAGCAAACAATCCCCCCGCTTGTGTAGCTGATATCGATAGACACTGGAACCACGAGTGTGGTATTTCGAACATAAGCTGGAGTCCAACAGCCTTACAAATTTGAACCTATCATGCTACTACCTCACCCTTTGCTTCGAGCACCAGCCTCTCAGGACAAATCAAAGAGAATCTACCCTTGTCCTCTTTAAACTCCACACACCAAGTCCCTCGACGCAAATAACGTCTCTTCAGCGGCTCTTTACCAGAGACAACATTTTCCATGAACTTCCTACACGTCCTGAGCACCTCAAGTGCAGGACGGAGAGCAGTAGCGTGCCCGCAGTTGATCATCACATTTTCAGAGTCGGGTTGCGTTTTCACGAGCTCGATGAGTTGATCGATGGTAGAGAACCACACGGGTAAAGATCCCCCGGTTGGAAAGATGATGGGATCATCTTCATATAGAGTGTCCCCGGTATATAGCATTTTCTCGTCTGCATCCCACAAGGCAAGCTCGTCAGGAGTGTGCCCGGGGGTATGCAAGACTGTGAGGCCCATAGATAAACCTGACGATGAGGTGATCTCATGTAGGTGTGGTACCAAAGTGAGCTCGTAAATCGGGGTTCGTAAGCCCTGAGCATTGCATTCCGAGTTTGCAGGGAAGTTCTCTGGAGAGACGAAGGAAGGCGAGTGGCTTGAGCCGAGAATGGGGCTGTCGGTGGCGAATGGTTCCACACCAACTTTAAGTTTCAGGGAGCGATCAACAAATCGATGAGTTGAATCAGGAAGAATACCCACGGATATGATCATAATGGCAGTGGCTCTCCACCACGATATACTTCATCTTCGCTCCTTCATTGAGAGGCTTTCCGTTGTTATCAGGAACATCGACGGTCTCGATGAACTCCCTTAAGCTCTTCAGACCAATCTCCGGATTATGTGTAGCCCCACCGCATCCTGTATCGATGATGAGGATGGTCTTAGCGGATGGGACTACCTTGGCATAGATGAATGGGTGTTCATTGAAGACGTCATCCCATTCGACGATCAAGAAAGTAGTCTGCGTCAGGCGTCGAGCAGTGAATGCTGGCAATCGTTTGTTGTCTAAGCTGATTCCTTTCTCCATATCGTCCATCATCAAACGAGATTTGGAATACGGACTTTGATGTGTCACCGAGTAGAAAGATACAAAGAGAACACCAGCTAAAAAGACCAGTACTGATTCCAGGCCTGAGCTCATCCTGGGGAAACGTTGAAAGTAAAAGCACGATGAGAATATTATAGTCTTATCTTTGAAGCATGCTCACCTGCAACGTACCACGAGACTTCTGAGAGATATTTCTGGCGATCTTATCCACCTGACACAGGGCAGATGATAGCGACTTCTTCTTCTCCCTTCAATGTCACTTCTTCAACGTTGTCCACCATCTCTGCATTTACGCTCCATTGGCTAGACTGAAGGATCTTGTCTAGGCCGACGTCCGGATGCAATGACACCAAGAAACTGCTCAATGAGGAGAGTGGGTATTGCGAGGCAGGGAGGGTAATCGATTGTTCCGTCAAGCCAGTCGCTGTTGAGGCAGCAGCAAAGTAGAGAACGGTGATTTCTGGTTGGCTCATGATGGTTGGCTTTGGCCTAGTCTTCCCCAGGCAGACCCTAGTAGGTGAATCATCCTAAGATCTCTATTAATAGCACACGGACACGATGCTTGCGTAACCATAAAGAGGTGGATCCAAGGTAGAACACGCTGAATCACGGCCGCCTTCTAGACCCGTCAATTCCCCACATCGCATGTCCAAGCGAGTACTACAAGAAACTACACAGTATACTCTATAGTATATCTAAGATACAAGTCTAATTATGCAATAATGTAGGAGCGTATGTTCTCAGTGTTCCCGTAACTCCGCACACCACCAGATTGGCTTGGAGGTCTTGATCGTGACGTCTTGTCCTGGTACGAGATGATTTGATGTGGACACAAGTCCATCAAATGATGACTCTGTGTTGTCCAGGTTCCACCGCAGCCCAGTCGTCGTCAGGATGGTCGAGTCGATGCCGACAGGGAGGAGCCCACACGTTTGCCCTAATACGTCGTGGTTGATGTGGATGAGATGTTCACCCTGAAATGGTGAGATACAGCACTGAAAAAGTAACTCGACTTACCTCATCAAGAACCCATCCTACGTTATCGTCGGTGACTGTGAAGACGCGTTTGCGGGTCTTACGAAGCTTGTGGAGGTATGACAGCGTATGTACAGTCTGATCCAACCTTCCGGAGAGTCCTCCCAGGATCACAATCTCAAACTGTTGGAAGGATGAATTATTCTGGTAGTGAACCAAAAAAATCTGGTACTACCTCCCGTCCAGTTAAACGTTCTTTCTCTTCAAGTGCTTGCACACATTTCATGAGGTCCGTAGAATCTTGGTTGGAATCGTAAATTACTGGTACATTCTGGGGGACTGTTGAGACAGTGTTGATCAAAACACAGGCCTTACCAGTGAAGCGTAGTACAATCTAACATCGTCCCGTAAAGAGTCGAGATCACCCTTCACTATATCAGGGAGAAATCTAGACTTGATGTCACTAGCCATACACTGCAGCGCAAGCAAGACTCGGAGTAGACTTACGAATTTCGAAGGTCTGGATGACCACTTGTGCCCAAGATATCATATAAACGATTAGCGCCGCCGTCAGCGCATGAACGCCATTCGGAGGCGGCCCAGAGGGTCTTTAACAGGCTAACACTAAAAGGTTGATTCAGAATGATGAGTGCGCGGGGGATATCAAGGTCTTTGGAAGCTCGCGGGTCCAAGAATTGGGTGCACCATTCTACGATCATGGCGGTAGAGGAGGTTGGCTAAATCCAAGGCTGTTCGAGTCCATAGCAGTTGATTCCCCATAACCTACACCGGGAAATTTACAACGAGCCGAACCGTGAGAAACTTGCCATCTGACCAGACGTAAATAACTTACAGACTGAGCCTTATAGAGACTCAATCGACTCGGAGCATCGCGGCGATGTCAGACACAAGTTCCCTCGAGCAAAGCAACGAGCACATGCTCCAGGTATCTCTTTAGTGCTGGTAATCTAGTGCGTGATTAATGTTTTTTTTTTTGATTTTTAGTCAGCACTGGCGACTGCCTTCCAGTCCACAGACATCGCGCCTAAATCTGGTGCTGCTGCTGCCCCGGCCGCTCCTGCATCACTCTCAGATGCACCTACAGTAACTTTGGAGGTACAAGAAGATTCTGAAACAGCCGAAGAGGACGCATGGAAGGGAGAATATGAGGCTCAGGTAGAGGAATGGCGTGCTCAGTCAGCCGAAGCTCGTGCTAAAGCGGAGCGCGAGCGTGCACGGTGGGAGCAGATTAGGAAACGCGAAGCAGAAGAACGGCAAGCACTTGGCCAGGAGCCAGAAAACTGGGATGCATTGGGCTCCCATATTACGTCCTCATTCGCCGCTGCAAGCGAGGTATTGGCTTCTTCGTCTCCCTCCCTAGCCTCGACCTCCCTTACGGATTCTGGGCATCTTGTTGATGAACCAAAGGGCCCGTCGAGTCATTTACACGCCCCTCAACATCTTAAGATGGATAGTGGGTCTCCGTCACAGAAATGGGAACATATAGATTCGTCTCCCACTTCTTCCTATCCATCTATGTCGTTTCCCGAGACATCTATTCCATCATCACCGTCTCCGCCGCATGTTGCACTTCAACAAACGACAGGGCGTTGTCAACCTCAGGAGCAACATTCTGCAGGACGCAAGCCTTCCAACGTGCCACCCTCCACCATCCCATCCTTACTTGACAGCTCAATCGCATCACGGACACGAATGAATTTGCTGCTTTCTTCTCTTGCGATCAATCTATTCCTTCCTTTTGTGAACGGGGTGATGCTAGGCTTTGGAGAAATATTTGCCAAGAACGTCCTAGTGGGGTGGATGGGGTGGAAGTCGCAGAGCGGTCGCACTGCTACGAATGTTGGTGTTCGGAGATGATCTCCGTCTTGGTAGTGTGCATACCCACCATGTACTGATCATTGGAAGAATCACAATGTTCTTGAATATATACACTTGATGGATTTTCATACAAGCAGTCCCAAAAACGTTTCTTGTATTTCATCGCGCCCACCATATTACTCTGGCTTGTGTGGATGTGCTTTGATCTGGTGCGCTCACTCATTTATGTCTCTGGTATTTGAGTTCAATCTTACCTTACAGGTACATTCGGAAGTATCGTTGCGGCCTAGTTGCTTCTTCGCAAGACGTGTTCTGGAAGCACTTGATCTTTGTGACTCGGGCGTGGAATGGTGCACCTCAAGCCTACAATCTAACCTCACGTCTTTCGCGTTTACATCATTCACACTAACCTTTTAGTGCCAGATTCTTCGACTCCGGGCCGCCTGAAAATGGTGTTTCATGATTTCTCTAAGCGGCCCGCCAGAATGTACCAGTGATCCATGGTTCCCCGCAAACGCGTCTCTATATGGCGAAAACATAGATAGCTCCTGGACGAAGTGAGTCGCTTTTCGGAACTCATGTTTCAAATTGTCTTCAGGGCGTTTCATATCCGGGTTGATGACCCTGCCTTCGTATTAACATGTGTAGGTCAGTCCCAGGTAAGCATGCTACTAGTCAGCGCGGTACTGCCCGTCTTGCATTCTATCACACAAAGAATGTAGTAGATCGATGTCTTTGATAGTAGTGAAGAATGGGGTACTTATTACGATACAGCACTGAAGAGCGATATCCAAGGGGTACCAGTGCCTGATGACTTGTAGATGTGACTATATGTGCTCAAGATGAAGATGATCAAAGGTCTGGATTGGATTCCACATCGCATGACCAGAACCGCAAGAAATTTGCGCCCAAGAAGTTGGAACATATAAGCACTGAGAAGATCAAGTTTGTAGGAAAGTAGGACAATTTTGATCATCGAAGTGGTAAATATAAATCAAAGGCACGAGGTTTAAGTGCGTCAGTGTATAAGCTCGTGGAAACCCCGACATAAGGTCCTACTTTGTCTTCCTACCATGTCTAGCGCGGGGGCAAAGGCTGTCTTTGTTACATGCCTCATCGTCAACGCAGTTTTGTGGTCACAGAGTCGATATGGCCAATCCTACCAACACCAGTCTCTGCCGCAGTCCCTTTGGAAGCGGAATGGACTCGGGCCAACGCCGATGACGACTGCAGAGAAGAGCTGCTCTCCTCTATCCTACTCGGACCTTTCGTTACAATGTGCACATGTTATGGAGTCATGTCCATCGCCTGAGACATTTCTGAGCATTCCGTACTTGTCCTACTACTTCTGCGCTTCCCCACCCTTCCGGCCTCTGATTTTCGCTGGATTAGTGCTCTGGCTCCTGTTTCTATTCAGCACACTCGGAATATCTGCATCTGATTTCTTCACTCCGAACTTGGCAACAATTGCGACCTTCCTAGGTCTCGATGAAAACGTCGCTGGTGTCACCTTTCTCGCATTCGGAAATGCCTCCCCGGATGTGTTCAGCACTTTCTCCGCTATGCGTGCAGACTCAGGAAGTCTTGCCATCGGAGAGCTGCTTGGAGCCGCCTCGTTTATAGTAAGCGTCGTGGTAGGCAGCATGTGCATCATCAAGCCATTCAAGGTCGAGCGAACCCCATTTCTAAGGGACGTCGGCTTCTTTACCTTTTCCGTCATTATATTGCTCGTGATACTCCACGATGGCCGCATCAGAGCAGGAGAGTGCGCATTTTTGGTAGTCATGTACGTGTGTTATGCCGCAGTCGTTGTCGTGGGGAGCTGGTGGGAGCGGCGGCGCGATCGAAGGGAGAAGCTTGAAGCTCTTATCCGAGCGGAATATGGCGAGGATGAAACTGTAGTAGAACCCTATCATGACGTAGGTGCGTGTCTGTTCTATCATTTCACTCCTACCATTCTATTTTTGTTCATCCATGAATATATACAGCCACCCCTCCCGATGACACGCTTACCGTGCCTCTCTCGCCACCAACGCGGCACCGGGCAGCATCGTGTCCCCAACCTCCACGACTTGCACTCCCAAATTCACACCCTCGTGCACTGTCATCCTCTTTCCATGCACAGTCCCCTGGTGGAGACCGTACTCCCTCACCCCTGAGTTCACCCCACCTCTCACAGATGCCGTCCTTCTCGCTGGTCGGGGCGCTCGAGTTCAGACAGGTGGTGGCAAGCCTACAGGCACACGCCACTTCTAGCAGCTTGTCCATCTTTGACAGCCCCATCACCCCCTACGCGGGTGGCCACTACCACCGACATGGCGGGAGCCATGCAAGCCGCACTCCATTGAACGAGGAGGACCTCTGGGACTCAACGTTAGGAGGACTGCCTCTGGATGAGCGCAGTCCCAGGCTACTTGTGAATGACATCATTTCAGAGGGTCGAGAACCATCATCGTTAGCGATCGACGTGCAAGCACCCACCTCTGCTTCAATGTCACCCTTTCCATCTATTTCTCACACTCCTGCATCACCAACGGACACCGCGTCCACCACGACGACAGAAGTGGAGCCGTATGTTCCTCCGTCGAAACTCAAGCGTGCATGGCGGGTCGTGAAAAAGACGTATTACATCCTCTTCCCTGCGCTACATCACTTCAGAGAAAAGAATACACTAGGGAAAATAGCGAGTCTTCTTGCCGCGCCTGCGGTGATGGCACTCACGCTGACTCTACCTGTGGTCGTGGTCCCATATGACTCTAATGGATCCGCATCGGAGAAAATGCACAAGCGCCATCATAACGCCGGTGAGGATGGCCGGTTGACGGACTTTGAGGAAGACGGTATTGAGCGTGCGTTGATTGCGGAGGAAGTGATGCAGCCGGATCTCCACGAAATCGAGTTTAATAAATGGCTGATGGCTGCACAATGCGTCCTAGGCCCTTTGTTTTGTTTAGGGGTGTTATTCCGTGCGTGTGTTCTCTCTTTTCCCGCTTCCCTTTCCTGCGGTTTTGGACTTTGAAATGTGAGCTGACTGTTAATTATTTGATTCAGACGATGCGGATCACTTCATATTCCTCGTGTTAGGAACAATTGTGGGCGGACTTGCAGTTGCTGTACTTGTGCTCGTGTTTGCGGATGGTAGAAGCCACCCTACTGCACGTATGGCCCGGTGTAGCATGGGTTTCTTGGTTTCGATTGCATGGATTATGGCAATCGCTGATGAGGCTGTCAATGTACTGCAGGTTCGTTATATATTCTTATCCTATACACACCTCCCATCGTATTGATGACCTACACAGACATTTGGTTTCATCTTTGGACTCTCGGATGCTATAATCGGCCTCACGATCTTCGCAGTAGGTAACTCCCTCGCGGATCTCGTAGCAAACATGAGCGTAGCTGTAAGTCTCCTTCCTTTTCTCCCACCCTTCCACCGCCTGACCCACCCTTGAGGTCTTCGCCCCAATCATGGGCTTCTCTGCATGTTTCGGTGGACCCATGGTCAACATCCTTCTCGGTGTCGGCATCTCCGGCTCCTACGTGATTTCGCAAGCTGGTGGCGAGCCATACAGACTACACTTTTCAAATACGCTCATGAGCAGTACACTCGGATTACTGACATTGCTCATCGCAACGCTGGTCGTCGTCCCGCTGAACGGGTACGTACTGAGTCGTATGTGGGGATTTTGTTTAGTAGGCGCATATTTCGTGGTCATGGGAGTGAATTTATGGGTGGAACTGAGGTGGTAGAGGGCTGATAGATGGTGAGAGGAACCATGTACACGTTTAGGGTTTGATTCTGACAAGGTATCTAGGGTTTACTATTGAACGTGTTAACTTAAATATCCAGCATCTGGTGCCACACTGCTTTGATAGACGCTAACTCTGCATGGTGTATACATACGCTCAAAATTTCCATGAATGGTTTCACTAATCGCACTCACGACCTGCTTTGCTTCATTGTAGTATTCATGGGGCGTGGACAGACAGGTCGTCTTGTACGAATGCCTCGTAGCTTGGAGACTTAAACTCATCTTGGTTGTTACGTTGAATACTCCTATCATGAACACTTCCAAACGATCTTTATCGAAATGAATAGCGCAAGGAACGTCCATGTCTTTGCATCATGGCAACCATGCAAGGAACTAGTAGGTAAGCGATTCGGTTATATTTCGAGCTAGCGTTGCCTCATTGCTAGTAGCAGGTTTCTACCAGCGTGGACGTGTGACCATTGTCGCTGATCCACGGCTTGAGCTAGTCCTCGTGCATCATGGTCTCCAATCCTACCGTGGCGCTTTATTCAGTTAATATGAATGCTCCATTTCTGCAACACAAAGTGCCCTATTACATAGGACAGATCTTGCCCCTACTCTCCCTGGAGTTTGGGGATTCAACCTCGACCGGCGGTGGTGGGCTACATCTGGCAGTTAGATGTTCAACTACACGCGAGCTTGAACTCTCCGCAAGTTGACTTTAAACGAGAAGCGAGGTTCTCGATTGGAGTCTCATGGGTCTGACTCTGGCTCTGGAGGACTGCGTTAGTGAGCTATACAGTTCCTTTTGTGATTTTCGATGTGATAGACGGACTTCACTTCAAGGACAACGACAGTCACCTGCCTAAACCATGCCTACCATACCTTTTGTATTCGCAATTCCAGCTATCCCAATAATCCCATATCACTGCATGTTTCTGACCAAGAATATGTCTCAGTGCTTTCCACGATTCCAGCAGACTTCAGAACTTATAGTATCTTCCACCATAAATTCTTACTCTAATTAGCGCGTTAAGCGCTGCATCTTTCCTCGATCGTTCGATCAACTATACTTGCTAGCACCGCAGTGCAGTGTAAAGGCCCATCTACAGTGAAGGGAGGTGCGGAGACATGTGAATTCGGACACACTATAAGGGAGCCCAGTTCTGTTTAAATGCCCAGGTTGTAGTAAAATGTAAAGACCAGTGGCACCCCTTTCAGATATATCGTAATGTACAATAACTGATCGAGTATTAATACGAGTATTGAGTGCGATCCTCTTCTAACCGTATTTTGAGGGAGGAAAGATACTCTAACTCCAGATTCGTCACCGCCGGTATATTCCAAGCGCTAAAAACCAAGTTTTGCAGGGGACACTTCAAGCGTGCCAAAAATGCCCTCAACTGCTCATGGAAGCATGGTGCTCCATTATTGCAGTGATCTTCAAGCACCCGCAAACTAGGGAGCGAGAGAGCGTTGAATAAGCTGGATAAATCATCTGCAAGCGAACATTGGCGTCGGATGTGGAGCATCAGCGGGTTGGATTGTGCCAGAACACTACAGAGCGCTCTGCAGCACTTTGTAGTGAATTACGTTTCCCTGATGAGGGGTCGTATCTTGAGGTGCGTGAATGACTCTAGGTCTTCTAGTCTGTAGCCAAATCGTACGTGGATCTTGAGCAAGGAGAGGTTGGGGCATAGCTAGAGCAGATGGAGGATTGCACCGGGTTGCTGTAGTGTGACGATATCAAGATTTGTTAGGTGGGCCATGACGGGACCGAAAGAAGTTAAGCACATGGTGTTGAAACACCGTCAACCACCTTGAGACTGCGCAAGGTACGCGGCAGTCTTTGATAGATCGTGGAATAACTGGAAAGTGATCATACGAGTTCCGTCCCTCCTGGATAGCCAGTTCCTGAAGTGCTGGGAGGTCGTGTAACAAAGTTCGGGTTGGTGTACTTCTCGTCCGAATGTGACAGGGAGTGTCGAGATTTGCCTGATGTAGGGCTGAAGAAGGCTTCGTATCTTCATCGCATCGGTTTCCTCGCAGAAAAGAGTTAACGAGAGCGGATACCTTCGTGATCGCTTGAGCAATAGGCCATAACCGAAGGCTTGCGGCTCCCACTAGTGATATGATAAGTCAACTTTCACAGACAGCCTGCTCCATAAACTGGGCATGTCGACAGCAACCTCCCTCTATTGTCGACATACTCCAATCAGCAGCAGGGGCGCCTGTAGCTCCGATGGCAGTTGGTGGTCAGATTCAAGCGCCAGAGACTCGACACAACACCCATGTACAGAGACATCGACTGCGAGATGCCGTCCTTTTTTCAGCTAGTTGCTGGTAAACCTTTTTTGCACCATCCATAACGGTTTCCAGGCCTGATATCTCGCGCAAAACTGTATCCAGCTGCTCCTGGCGTTTGGTGACGATGCCGCCGATACTCCCGTCTGCATCCATGGCAGACTGATCAATATTTGGAAACTTGGAATGTTGAGTTTCGAGGTCTGGAATCTAGTAATGGTCAATACAAATGCCATTCAATAGACATACAGTTACTTCGCAACGTGCAAGCTGAAGCAAAAGAACATCATTATGTGCAGACGCGAGTGCCTATAGAACAAACACTTACGACAGTTTGCAGTGCGCAGATGATCTCCGAGAGTGGAGAAAGATTTGCTTGTGAGTTGGCTGTTATCCCCTCGACTGACTGCATGTTGGTTTAACAGGAAGAGTTGGAACGAAGACAGTCAACGTTATAACCTCGCCAAGGATGATGAAGGAGAACTCCGACAACCACAGTACGTGTGTGGATGAGGCTGGGTAAATGGTTCGTTTTGTGAAATCAATGCGAACAAAAATAAGTCGCATGTTGCGCTCAAGCCTCAAATCGTAGCCACTTTTCTTATTCAAAGGAACAATACTGAGATAGGTCTTGTCCACAGTTGAGATTCGGCATTCAGCGCTTCATCCTCAATGGACGCCGTTCGACGTGGCCTGGCGGCCTGCTGTCTCTGAGCGTGTCAAGCGGAAAGAATGGGAATAAGATAAGTGCTGATAGGCCGTGCATACCTCTCGCTCGATGCATACCCCCGCACGCGTATGAGAGCGGTCGCGCTCTTTTGAGTTCTGACTCGGGAGTTCTGGAGACGCACACCCTCTTTTATCGCACATATTCTGGCATGTTACGACTGTAGGATATTGCTCTGTGCTCACTGCATCCAGGAGTTGCGCGCGGTGCATAGCAACCTACAAGCCTGGGGAAATTTTTAATATCAGAAACAACCGGTGAATGTCCACTCACTGGAGATAACATTGGTGTAGCTCGTCATCACATAAGCTTAGCATGCATTTGTGAATGCGGCGATGTAGTACTACCACTAGTGGGCCGTAGTACGTGATTTTGTCAACGACGTTAGATATTAACCTTCCTTTCTTGTAAAAAAAAACAAAATACTCGTAAACAGGAGTCTTGGAACTCAACACCAAGTTCCGGCGGCATTCTCGAACCAATGCTACCAATCTAGAACGTTACAGGATGTTATCGTCCGCCATTGAATCAAACACCGAGCAACTTCTAGAAGGTCATTGGTATCATCGAGATAATCATGTCACGAATGTGATATATAACTGCTGGCCAGAGTCGCTCAGACTCCAGCAAACCAATTCAGCTTCGACCAATAACCAGCTAAGTGCCTTCAGTCGAACATTTATCACTTCTTCGTTCAATCATGTCTCTATTGCGCACATTCTACGTTCCATCCACCGAATTCGACAAGCTATTTGACGATACTTTCAATGCTCGTTTTCATCTCTCCCCTACCATCGAGGGCAACACCATATTAACTCATCGTCGTGATCAGCCGTTCCCCAGGTAAGTATAGTATACCTTTGCATGTGTTCACAATAGCGCTGACCCGCACCGACACAGAATGGACCTACACGAGAACGCTGAGACCAAGACAGTGACCGCGACGTTCGAACTTCCTGGTATCAAACAACAGGATGTCGACGTCGAAGTCCACGGAAACCGCCTCACCATATCTGGGGAGTCAAAGCGCTCCGATAACTACGACCAGGGTAGCTACGCGGTGCAGGAGCGCTCGTATGGCAAGTTCTCTAGGACCCTTCAGATTCCTCAGGGAATCACGGTGAGTAGTAAACTCGTCATGTAAATTTTGTGTTGATATTTTTTGCTTACGGCTATCGCATCGTTCAGTTTGAGAATATCCACGCGAAGATGGAAAACGGAGTACTCACTGTGTGCTTCCCGAAGGCTGGACCAGACCAGCAACCCCAGCGCATCACGATCGCGTGAAGCCGCCATGGTATACGTTTAGTTTAAGCGATGTTTGCCTCGAATCTGTATCATTAGCATGCTACCAAGATGGAAAAGGACTCTGAAGTAATAGTGTATTTGTACAATAGTGAATGCTCGACGGTCAACCGGTTTTAAAAATCAAATCAGTACTTGAGTGATGACTAGCAGGACCATTGTGAGGATTGTTCAAGTTAACTCGGAAGATCGTCTAACTGTGCATAGGACCTTCCTCTGACTTTGGCCGCCTTCATATTGATACACCAAATTTCATCTTCCGTCTTACCGCCTCTGGAGATGGACAAAGGGTCCCGCTTGTTACGATATCTTGGTCGGGCGAAATACCTTTGAATGGCGCTAAGGGCGCTCTGACTACTAGTGACCATCAAACAGCAATAGGTCATTGTGTCTGCTCACATGTCGCGGCTGGTTTGTGCACAGTGGATAGTTATTGTGATTGTAATCTTGTATACAAAACTATACAATGTATCAAAAAATATGCCATAGTCGTGAGCTGAGGGAGGTTGTCGGAAGCAGCGAACTCCTCAGTCCTTTGCCATCCTGGAGGCATTCCGCCCTTGTTCTGTTCGAAGAGTTGGTGCTTGTCCAACTCTGCAATTAAATAGAAGTGATGAGACGCAAAAAAAAGAAATCTAGTCTATCGATATGAAAGTAACCGGAACGAAATAAATATATAAATAGTCAAATGGAGAATAGAGAAAAAGTATAGGTAGCCCGTGCTCGACGGGTTGATTTCCAGTCAAGTTCCGTCATCCATTTCTTAGCTACGCCTGCATGACTGCGCAATGGTCACATAATTTATGGTTGGCACATGGCATTGTCTCTTGATCAACGAGTGTCAGCTACACGATCATGATGATTTAGCAGAGGAAGCGCACTGTCATATGATATCTGAGACTCCTTCTGTCCACGTTGTGAAAGACATGTCTGTCTGTATGCCACAAGAAGCGCGGTCCGACCTTTGAAAGTTCCTGTGCATTCGCGTGACTAAAAGGGGTTGCAGAACGGCTTGGTATCTGCTGCTCATTAAGTAACCATCGCCTCAAAACCGAGAGTAGACAAACTCTGCCACCACGTGTGCAAATGGAAACTGTGTCTTGCGTCAATGAAATGGCTTCTCATGTACACATTAACTTACCGGAAAAAAAAAAGTCGCGAGGATGACACTGAGAGTCAAAACTGTATCATTCAGCCAGTAAATATGCGAAACGTGTTTGATAGTATGCGAGAACCAACCAAGGCTGCAGCTGAAATACAATAGATTTTGTTGCAAGAGACCACGCACGAGACGATTGTCGATTTTCCAACTATCATGACCCTTGATGGCGCCATAGAGCAGCATAATCAATACTTCTGGAATTGTGTGCATGCGGTAAGTTCAAGCTCGCGTTAGCAGCAACTCCCAATACGAACGTAGCTCACCAACAGCCAGTAGGCCGAAAACCACATACATACTCTTACTATTCGCATCCTGGTATCCGAAAGCGCCAGGAATCCAGCATTCCCCTGTGAGATCAGGAGCTAAGAAGACGCAGGGTACAACTTGAAGCTTGAAGTTATACACACCAGAGACTGACCAAAATTCCCTGAAGTAAATGAAAATTGGTACTAAATAGGCCTGCACAAGATGAGTTAGATATTGTTAGCCGTAGCTTCCATAGCATACTGGACTCACAATGACGCTGATAATCGAGAATATGGCGATCCACGTCTTCCGTCCCCATACTGCATATGCTCTAAGTAAGAAAATACCTGAACCAATGAAATAATGTCAAAGCGCAGAATAATTGGTAGGTGATCCAATTGTTATACCCACACTCAACGAATAACGTCGATAGAACCCCTATATCTCATGAGTTATGGCGCGGAGTCAGTAGGTGTCTGGGGGAAGCTTCACCAGACTCACAGATATTGGCGATTTCGTAAGAGCGGCAAAGCTTTGATTGGGATGGGTTAATTTCGAACATCTGCAACGCTTCAATTTGCACATACAGGGTATGGGGCATCAGGCTGTAAAACCGCTGAAAGTCACATCGTGAGGGAGGCAAGATGGGGATGTGTGCCGGACACTCACCGAGCATATTCATTGACACGAAGGCAAAGGGCAAGTGACTGCAGGCTAGATAGAAAAACATGGCGAGCCCCCATCGAGACTCAACGATACACTCGACCTGCACCGACTACAGATCAGTACACCCTGGGATGCTTAAGGTAATTTGTACTTGCCATGTCGGGTATGCACAGTATGTAGTCATATAACTGAATGTTCGCGTGAAAGCATGAGTCTCAGCTTCCAAAGGTTTGTGGTGATTTTTATGCTCACCCACAGCGCCGTTAGTGCAACTAACATGAGGGGAAGAAATAAGCAAATCAATGAAAAGTGATCATAGACCACAACTGCACCATAAGGATACTGGGACGACAGCATCAGTAATACAGGATACTTATATAGCAGGAATTGCACTTACGCTCAACCTCAAGAACGCATCAGCTTGAGTCTCTTGAAACGCATTCATACTGACTTGAATGAGTCAACCTCACTTCAGGTCGCTACTTATAAGATATCAAACATGCAGGACCCATACTGTACAGTATGTTACCGTTGGTCTCCGTTCCATGCTCTGGGTCTGAGAACCCGTTCATGTCGCAGATCGCGCCCCATATCCCATGTGTAAACTTAGTACCAAAGACTGATCGGATACCCGAATATTGTCCACGAATATCTAGGATAGCGGTGTTCGCATCATCCATAATAGCCAAGTGCCATATGGGACTCGATAGCGATGAGGGATTCGGCCCTACGGACGAGTCAAAAAAATTGTAGCTGCCGGCACTAAGTAGTACTTGAGTAGGACTACAACAAAAGCTGATCGGAGCTCGGACCATTGTCCGGAGTAAGCTGGAGACACGCGGCCAGGTGAAGTCCTTTCGAACCTCGCTCTACGTATCTTGACCTTCCCCAGAATTTTCCACCTGTGTCCCACCCCGCACTGGACTCTTCAACTGGCCTCGCCCGCTAGACGCGCCTCGCCCGCTTTTGGCTGCATCAAACAGCTGCAGCCTGCAGGTCGGAGTCACCGTCGGACATGACTTCGGTCAAGAAATAATCCTGTACGTACAACTTGCAAGCCCCATGTGATACATCTCTTCCTCGTACATGTGCTGCATCTTGGCTGCATCAAATATTTTTGGACGCCTAGATCTCATAGCCATGTAACACGTCAACAGTAGTACTATTCAAGACGATGCCTGTTCAGCGTTGATGCATTGGGGCAGTACAAGAGGGCTATTCGATGAATAGTCCCGGTCAATCACGAACGTTCAACACATCCGGAAGATGCAACTTTTTGTATTTCGTAGAAAGTGTCAATGATACGGAATGCCATTTGCCAGATATTATTTTGCAGATGATCTTGTTAACCCGACAAACCAACTAATACTAGATGTCCACGGGAGTCCGCGCATTTTTGGCAAAACATTTATTACTCCACATCGCACAAGCAAACAAAATTAATTCTTTGACAGTTCAACAGCGTGACATCGAAAGTACAACGTCTGCTAGTTTTCTTTTCGAAAATCGACGTGTTGAGTCCAGCGGAGAGTTACCGCGCAGAAAAGTGCATTTTCCCTAGAGTTCGCGCACTTTGTCACACCATGTCACACGTCTGCCGCAATGCCTTTTCACACTCCGCCCGTTTGTACAGTGTGTTGTGAGCTCGTGCGCAGTGTACTTAATTGCGGAGTTTCGATTTACAGTAACGCTTTGGGTAGACTGTCACGTCTGGGGCATATTTCTTTTATTGCAGATGATCCTGACAAGTGGCCCCGGAGACATTTGTTTTAGTATTCTCTTATCGTGTATAACCATTGTACCATATTCCACAATTTTTTGTGGTGATCTGACCTTTAGAGCGAGCCTTATATGCACAAAAGTAGCCTCCAGCACTGATAAGTTGCCCATGGGACGAGATCTACTTCGATTTTCTTCAAAGAAAATATATAGCAGTGTGTATTATGTTTGGGGAATCTAGATCTATCATGGATAAGGATTCCGTGCAGAATTGCGTGTGCTAGAGTCAATGCGCGGACTCTTGGGACACACGGACTCGTGGGACCATCTAGTAGTGGCCAGTTTCCCATGGACGAAGCTAGGTAAACACACGGATGCCGGTAACACCGTGGTTCTATGCTCGGGTTCGGCCACGATAGTCGTAGCATACCGCGACCCTTTACTGCAGGTCGGCAGTGTTTGGCGGGTATGACTTGCCGAATCAGGAACTTTGTGCTCCATAAACTGGGCATGTCGACAGCAACCTCCCTCCATCGTCGGCATGCTCCAGTCAGCAGCAGGGGCGCCCGTAGCTCCGATGGCAGTTGGTGGTCAGATTCTGGGAGACAATGGTAGAAAATCTGGGGCATAGTTTGGGGTGGCAAGCGCCAGAGACGCGACACAACAGACACCCTTGTACAGAGACATCGACTGCGAGATGCTGTCCTTTTTTTCAACTAGTTGCTGGTGAACCTTTTTTGCGCCATCCATAACGGCTTCCAGGCCTGCCACTATCTCGCGCAAAACTGTATCCGGCTGCTGCTAGCGTTTGGTGATGATGCCGCTGATACTTTTTCTGAGGTGGGCAGCGCGCGAAGGAATTCATAGACGAGTGAACAAGGACGTCCCTTGAGAAGGTACAATGCACCAGAACCGCCTCCACCTAAGGTAGAAGTTGTTAGCCCTGGGTAGAGGAGATTGATAGTTGATTTGAACGAACGCGATAAATGACGATGAGCAGTGTGCAGGAGCGCGCAGGGCGTTGTGCTGCCTGGTGAGAATTGAAGAGTGCGGGATTTGGCCAGTCTGCGTGAGGTGAATAAGCCCACTCCTCGTCTTCCTTCTCTCTCCTGGCTTACCTTATTCACATCGCGCTCCTTCCCCCCTTTTCTGGACGTGATGTCCATGGCCCATGCGTTGGTATGCAGCCCCTGGTGGTGGCGGTGGCGGGTGAAGCGTGATGTGACTGGTGGGAAAGGCGGGTATGTGATGTCAGCCATGCTCGTAGGAGTGCCGGCGTCGTCAGAGCATCGCCACCTGTACCAAGACTTGTACCCAGACATAGACTTATACCAAGACCGGCCATTTTAGGAACGTCCTCGCGTGAGGTCTATACAGACAAGTCACAGACTCCGTGTCAAAGTCTGGGGGAAGGTCTGTCTGGAGAGTGCCGGGAAGTCTATGTTTGTCTGCCCCACTGACGGGGGTAGCTGATGTGATCAGTGTCACAGTGGCTGACGTAGATCGTGGTGGGAGTACTGATGGGATGATGTCAGAAGTTCAGAACAGACAACCCCGAACTTGCCGACAAAACACACTAGTAGTAGCGGGGTCCTGGCGCAGGAGCAGGAGTCCTGGCTCGTAGTCGGTAGTCCTGCGGCGTGTGGTAGTCGGTCCTGCATAGATAGAGCCATAGCCTCCCGCTATAGAGGTCTGGCCTTGGTTCCCCTTGCAGTCCTTCCCGTTACAACACCCAGACATGTCCCCCAGGCTTTGGGCGGAGTCTGCGGCGTGCGCAGACTTGTCACAGACCGGCCATTTCCTACATCTTCCAGACAGTACGGACGGGACGGATGGTCCTTTCCAAATTTCCTGTACATACGAAGTTCCGTTCCTATAAACTCCGGAAGCATTCCGAAACGTGGGACGGACGGTCCTAATTGTATATACCGTAAGGTTTACCGGGCATTAGCTTTCTCACTGTTTCCAGCTCAGGCGTTTAAACTTTCATCCGTCGTTCCGAATCGTTCTGAGGACCGTTTAATTGGATATTCTTCCATTATATCAGTTACCGGTTTCTCACTGCGCGGCAAAGGCTTTCGAAGGTAGCGTCAGGCTGCGTGGTTGACGGACAATCCTTTTGTGCCGCGTACGAAGGTACCCATTGAACGGACTAGCTGCCTAGTACTGAAACTTGGCGCAGCGCTAACGAACGAGCTTATCCCGGACTGTAGTGATGATATTGCTTGCAAGCAGCTCATTCATGACTGAGGCGATACTACCTTGTTCTGATGACACCGACCTTGTGATTTACCGTGTCCAACCAGCAGTGGCCGCAACACCAATGATAACATCGGTCTCTTGTGCCGTGCTACCTCTCCCTAATTATATAAGTACTTCGGCCTACTTCAAGCCTGCCCCAAAAGACCATCTGTTGTCGAAGTCACTTGCCTCTCCATCTCGTTATTCCAGCCATTGGATTGGTATCCGAGCTTGTGTTTATCAGCTCCCAGCTACGATTGACAACTTTATTGTTCTTGTTTATAAGCCACCCTGTTGAACGTATAGCGTGGTGTAGTATGAGCCTCTTAATTGCGATCGCATGGATTATGGCAATCACGGAAGTGGTTATCAATGTTGTTGCAGGTCTGTTCCCTTCAATTAGCATCTTGCTGCTGTCGTTCATACACCCTGCACATATCATCATACTAACAGATTAATCTACACAGATATTTGGTTCCGCATTTGGACTCTTGGATGTAGTGACTGGTCTTACAATCCTCGCAGTGGGCAACTCCCTTGCAGATCTCAGAAAAACAGACATGAACATGGCCGCGGCTGCTGCAAGTCTATTTCCTTTCCTCCCACCCTCGCATCGCCTGACCACAACCTTCAGGTCCTTTCCCAAATCATGGGCTTCTCCACATGCTTCAGTGTGTCTACGGTCGAGTTTTTCCTCGACATCGGTATCGCCGGCTCTTACGCGGTCTTGCAAGCTGGGAGCGAGCTGTGTATACTATATGGTTGACGCGTATTTATTGAAATTGCGGGCGGAGGGACAACACTTGTACTTATTATTATTATTATTATTATTATTGAATATCTTAAAGGTTACGCGCGTACCGCCTACATAATAGCCACCTACTTATGTACACTTCCATCTCCCTGGATCATCTTATGTATACTACTTATCGCCACTTATACGTTGGCTTATCTAATTGCACAAGGTCGCACCTGTTTATTCTCTTAGGTTCGCATTATCGGCACATTGGTTTGATATCGTGCAAGTAACGTTGGTCATTGTCACGATCATATTGGCAGGAGCTGCACTATCATCACAACAATGAGTGTAATATTTTATTTATATCAACTCGAGGGCATCAGGGACTCGGAAATATTCTCACAAGACCTATCATGCTATGCAACATCTTCCAGATCGCACAGATAACTTGTCACTGTCAGGCTCATTGGTAACGGAAGTACTAGACTTATCGTCCTCGAAATCATGATACTCATCTGGGTCGATGTAGCTCTCTGGGGTTTTCATCTTGGCTATACAATTTGGTTCCAGGCGACCAAGCATCACCTGCACATATGCGGTTTCCTGTCCTTCCCAATCTAGCTCGGACGAAGGCCCCCAGCGTTCTTCCACCTTCTTTGCCAAGTCCCGCCGTCCGAACCTCAGTAGCGAGAGTATGACAGCTCGTTGCGCCGACTCAAGCGCACCCACAACCCATGCATGATGCGCACTCGAGGCCTCCCCCGCAAAGTGCAATCTACCGTCAGCAGCAGGACGCGTGAGGTACGGGTACATGTGCCTGAACTGTCCTGGCGCAAATATCGCAAATGCCCCACCGGAGAATGGGTTATCTCTCCAATTATATGCGTGATGCGTGATGTACTGTGCTGCCAAAAAGTCGTAGGTAATCCCAGATCTGGCGTGTAAACGTGCAAGGTCTCGCAATACGACTTCCTTGAGCCGTGACTCCCCAAAGGGCGAGTCCCGGTTAATCAGGGTCCCCATGCGTTGAGCATCCTGACCAATTGTATATGATGCGATAAGCACGGCTGGCTTCTTCGGGTCATCGTGAATACTATGGGATGGATAACAACATGTGCGGATTGGGATATCACCGAACGATATACCACCCTCTGTTATGTCGCACCGTGTAATCCACCATGGGGTCTTGAACTTTATTGCGACCTTGCAGGATGTATCGTATCGCAAACAACGCAAGGCGTCTCTTTGTGTAGGGTGCAACCCGGCGTCAACGAGGTCCATGTTTTGTGAGCAACTTAAGGGAGTGGTGTTAAAAACCGAGTCATACTGACGGATGGATGATTGACCCGATGGAGTGACGAATTTGACTTCCACTTTCGCATGAGTTCGATTCAAAGCGATGCGAGTGGCCGTAGTGCAATATTCAGGTGTATGGGGGGCAATCCTGTTCAGCATGGCAGAAATTGCAACTGACGAGCCGCCGTCTATGCACTTCCATCCATAGTCCTCCCGATCGTGGAAGTCTGAGCTCATAATGACAAACTCGGTAAAAGATTGGTCAAAGAAGTCGCTGGGGCTGATATAAACGTTAGTAGGAATCGCGGTGGAGTCAAAGCACCTCGTACGCAATATATGTCTCTAGCCATTGACTGGTATGATAATCAAGCTGCCTAATGGGCATTTAACATAAACGATGGAGAATTATGGAGCACCAACTCACATGTACACGCGCAAGTATTCTCTGATGGAGTAGTCGTCTACCTCCATGAGTCTTTGGAAACCTTGTTCGAAGTCTTCCCTCAAAAGCTGCAGGTAGGGTGCTGACGCCTGCTCGAGGATTTTCTGAACTCCAGTAGCCACAAACCTAACCTTAAATATCAGCGCCCCGCTCGTGTAAGAGAACAGAACGGCCTCATACTCGTCTGGGACCATGCCACCATTCGTGACACTAAACTTGTATGGGTCGAATTCCGAAGAGTGCATAGGTGGGCCCAAGATGCTATTGAACATCATCGGAGTATTCTTACCATTCACGTAATAGGGAACCAAGGGAACATCCAAATCTTCGAATAGAGCAAGTGCTCTGGTGTCCATGTTAGAATTGTGTTCAGAACTAAAATGCCCTGCTTACTTTTTCATCATCGGAAATTCTGACCAACGCATAGCCCCTACGTCATAGTAGTCATGGGGAGTCTCACTGAATCTATGGGTATAGAAACGTCCCCCAGCACGGTCCGAGGCCTCCACGAGATCGAACTGTATACCAAGTTCTTTCAGAATCATGGCGATATATAACCCAGCTACTCCAGCACCAATAATACAGAATTTGACATTCAGAGGAATGCTGTCATCCAGATGAGCTCCTTCTTCAGAAGGACGGTTGGCGCCGGACAACGTATCGTTCGTACCACCTAGACCTGAGAGATGAATAGGTAGTTCTGTATTGTGAGACTCGTGGAGAGTACAGAGTTGGCGAGAAATGCTCTCGTGAATGATCTGACGAGCGTACCGAGCTGTAAAGGAGAGTTTGCCCACTGCCATGATCAACAGATAGTGGAAAGGGATACTGGACAGTAGAGAGATGCCGAGAAGGAAGGACCGTTACTCGGATCCGAGTTGAAATTTCAGAAGCGAGGTCATGCATATAAATATTGCACAATGATCAAATTGCACGCTGACGTATTCGCGAATACTTAACGTTGAACGCTCGACCCACGATATTCAAGTTGTGCAGGCGGGCCTCGCATTGTACGGGGTCGCGTCCACGGAGTGTTAGCGCTTCAAACTTGAACGTTCGAACCTTGAATTAGATTGATGAACGCTTTCATACTCCGCATGTTTAATTTCTAGCCTCAATTGCTTTTCGTCTTGATCTGACCGCGAAGATGTCTGCAGTCATGGATCCCAATGTCGTTGCGCACTGAATATTGAATCGTAGCATCACGCATCCTCCGGATTATCAATTTTACTGGGATTGCCGAACAATCCCTAAGTTACTATTCAATACCCAGACCTCATCAATCGTAACATCCAATTAAAGCATCTTTGGCGCCTTAACGTTTAACTATGACCTTCTGAGTCCGGAGGCATCGCATCCTGATTTCAATTCAACGGACTTCCCAAACCGACCACCAAAGTCCTGTGCTCAGGTATCAAGTGAAACTCGATCGCAAACCGGCATCTGCTGCTGGACTTGGGCTATGTTGAGCACCATTCAGATAAATGAAACCATGCATGCTGACCATCCGCGTAACGTTCGATCTATGACACTATGCAGCTGGCAGCATCCTGGCTCGAAAAGCATGTTGGAATGCTCCCAACCGCGTGAACCAACCCATCCGTATGAAGAGATGGAGATGACGCTGACAGTATACGAGAGTGGTACCGCACGCAGTGGCGGCGCCTACATACAACCAGAAAGTGCGGGATTTGGTCAGTCTGTATGAGGTCTATGCAAACTGGATGCAAGTTTGTGTCCTGTCCGTGGGTTGCTTGGATTCAGAAAGTGCCAGGAAGTCTGTCAAGGCTGCCGCACGATGTCGTTATCATTTCCATACCGCCTGCCTATTATACCTCGATGATGCATGCGAGTCTTTCATACTTACCTGTATGTCTGCTATTTCCTCTGCGTTTTTTATTTCCTACCCGCCTGCCAACTCCATGTCGTTTGTGCAGAGCCCAGTCTACGGCTACCATGTCCTTGACTAGAACCATGACGAAAAGCTGACAAGGATGACAAGATTAGTAAGACAGTTGACATAGATGGCGGAATGCGTGATGGTGGCTGAACGTAGACGGCAGGGTGGTTGTAATGATGAAGACAGACCTTTGACCGCGCGGAACTCCGATCATAGACATCTCCCCAGAGGTGTACCTAGAGTTTGGCGCGGAGTCTGCGCAGACTTCATACAGACTGGCGATTTCCTACATGTCCTCATGCTGCGACACGCTCTGAGCCCGTACAGCTGCAACTTTAGACAGTGGCAACGCTGCAGCGGAAGACTCCTCGTAGTCACCTAACTTGGAAGGCCAGCAGTTTAGTTCTTCACTGAAGAGAGCAGGTGGTGCGCGCGAGGGTTGCAGTACCCTGACCAATTCAACAAGATCTAGGAGGCTGCCGTCGCAAGCCCTGCAAGAAGATCGTTTGTGGTACTGTAGTACAGCAAGCTTGAAATGCCCACGTCGATGAACGTTCGATGGATAAATCAGGGAAATAAATTACATAAATAGGCCGATACGAGTAGCCGAAAATGTGCAAGTCGGTTCAGCGTATATATCATACGATACGTACTACTAGCTATAGTTGGCCTGGACTCGGATCGGCTTGCCACAACCCAGACTGTTGATTGATACAGCCCCATACGACACTGGATCAGGCCATTGTAACTAATATCTCACAATCGCCGTCACGCACCTTAAATACCATCTTCATCTGCTAGTACGCCCGCGATGTCTCAATCCACAGGCAAAATGAAGCTTGCAGTCCTTACTTCGGGAGGCGACAGCGCTGGTATGAATGCTGTCGTCCGTGCCATTGTCAAGATCGGCATCTTGAGGTGTGTTCCGATCATCACGTCTGCATTGTGTTAAACTTACACCAACATTTATGTGACAGAGGCTGCGAAACATGGATTGTACGGGAAGGATACGAGGGGCTTGTGAGGGGCAACACCCAGGCGCATTCATTGCATACAGACCTTCCAGCTGATGCATCTGCACTAAAATGCGCTCATCGAGGAGTACCCACTAATCTTATGGCAAATCTCCGTTTTGGAGATGGTGACCTTCTACGAGATGGAACAGGTGATCATCACCATGGCCGCACATTGAAAGGTCGATATATCGTTCGTGTGGGGTGGGATGATGTCAGAGGTTGGTTTGCTGAGGTGCGTATGTGGATGTTCCCCAACAACATATGTATGCTGATTATTACGCGGCAGGGTGGTACCCTCATTGGAACAGCTCGATCGGCAGCCTTTCGTACTCCAGAAGGTCGTCTGTCTGCTGCACGCAACCTAATCAAAGAGGGAATTGATGCACTTGCCGTCTGTGGAGGTGACGGTTCCCTAACCGGCGCGGACCTATTTCGCTCCGAATGGCCTTCTCTCGTATCACAGCTGCTCACTCAGGGTGTGATCACAGAAGAGCAGGCAGAGAAGCACGGACATCTCAAGATCGTTGGCCTTGTTGGCTCGATTGACAATGATATGAGCATGACAGATCTGACCATCGGTGCACCGACAGCATTACACCGTATTTGCGAAGCCATCGATAACATTAATTCGACTGCTGCAAGTCATTCGCGTGCATTTGTGCTGGAGGTGATGGGGAGACACTGCGGCTGGCTCGCCTTGCTTGCTGGCGTCAGGTACGTTGTGACTACTGCCGGTATACAATGCTTATGGTAGTTCAGTTCTGGTGCAGACTTTATTTTTATCCCTGAACGCCCGCCTCAAACTATCCCTGGGGGAACCTGGGAGGATGACATGTGTGAAGCCATTCGTGGCGTACGTTTAGTTCCTTTCAATCTCTGTTATTGTCTCAAGCCTTCCTTACAGCACAGAGAAGCTGGCAAGCGTAAAACAATCGTCATTGTCGCCGAGGGTGCGCTTGATGAGGATCTTCAGCCTATTCGTGCAGAATACGTCAAAGACGTCCTTACTGAACGTCTTGGGCTTGATACGCGTGTCACAACTCTTGGACACACCCAACGTGGTGGCAGGCCTTGCGCTTTTGATCGGATTCTGGTAGGTCTTCGTGACTCATTCATTCATTATTATTCATTGCAGCTCGATTCAGCCGACACTACAAGGCGAGGAAGCCGTTAAGGCACTCCTAGAGGCCACGCCTGACACTCCTTCGTACATGATTGGTGTAAGGGAGAATAAAATAATCCGTGTGCCACTCATGGAGGCGGTGGCGATGACCCGTGCGGTAGCTGATGCAATCGGCGCAAAGGACTTCGCAAAAGCAATGTCCATGCGTGACCCTGAGTTTTACCAGAGCTTGGAGGGTTTCTTTGCCACCTCGACGCTATTCAAAGAGAAGCAACTGCCTCACTACAGAGTAAGTTTACCATCTTCCATCAAGCTTAATCTGATATCTTGTTGCAGAGAATGCGTGTTGCAATCATGCAGTACGTCCTTGTACACTATGCCTCACAAAATGTGGTCTCATTCTACGTAGCATGGGCGCCCCAGCTGGTGGTATGAATGCTGCCACCCGAGCTGCAGTACGTTACTGTATCAAGCAAGGTCATCACCCACTTGCGGTGCACAATGGCTTCCGCGGTCTGCTTGACGACAACATTCACGAGCTTTCTTGGCTGGGTGTTGATGCCTGGGCCTCCCGTGGCGGTTCTGAGCTTGGCACAAACCGTACCCTCCCAGATGTTGACCTCGGTGCAGTGGCTGCACGTTTCCAAGAACATAACTTCCACGCACTCCTGATGATCGGTGGTTTTGAGGCATTCAATGCGCTCCTAATCCTTGAGACTGGGCGGAAGCACTACCCTGCATTCCACATCCCAATGGCCCATCTCCCGGCTACGATATCAAATAACGTGCCCATGACGGAGTTCAGCTTGGGTAGCGACACAAGTTTGAACGCGCTTGTTGATGCATGCGACTCGATCAAGCAGAGTGCGAGTGCGAGTAGGAATCGAGTGTTTGTGGTTGAGACGCAAGGTGGCAAGTGTGGATACCTTGCCACCATGGGCGCGTTGGCCGTGAGTAATCTGTTACTGACGTCCGGAGAGTCTGAATTTGATGAGTGTGCTTATTCAGACTGGTGCCAGCATTGTCTACACTCCGGAGCAGGGTATGAACCTTGACACCCTTCGCCAGGACGTTAAGTTCCTGAAGATCCGCTATGGGCTAGATGCCAAGGGCAAGAGCGAAGGTCGTATGGTCATTCGGTTGGTTTTATTTTTTGAACCCAAATAGTGAACTTGCTGAAATGGTATCCCAGCAATGAGTGCGCGTCGACGGTCTACACCACAGATGTCATGACGAAGATGTTCAAGGAAGAGGGCGGTAACCTTTTCGATGCTCGTTCCGCCTCCCTTGGACACACCTTGCAGGGTGGGGTCCCATCACCTATGGATCGTGCACGTGCCGCGCGTCTATCTTTGCGATGCATGGCATTCCTTGAAGAACATCACGATGCCCTACATAAACAAGTTGGGAAAGTGAAGCAGGCGCCGCCTGAAAGTGCTGCAGTTATCACAATACAAGGGTCTGCTCTTGAATGGGTGCCGGTCCAGGAGATGGTGCAACACGCAGATATGAAGAACCGCAGAGGAAAGACAGCTTGGTGGGCGGAGATCAAGGACCTTGTGGAAGCACTGGTCGGACGGCCTGAAATTTTGTGAGTTACCCAGAGGAGCAGGAAAATCAGTGTCGTATGTGTTACCTTTGTATACGTATATAGGTGTTCATATTCGCTTTCCGGTTTATTGATAGATGGTTGGTAGTTACAGATACGAGCAGAATGATATCATTTATCCACTCAATCGTCGTCGTTGGGCGCGTACGACCCAACTTCGACGTTGTCCGACTTCTGGCACACAATGTACAGGTAAGTCAACTTTACCGTGGGTCCGTACTTACCACTTGGTAACGATTTGAGACCGTGTAATGAACACAAGTGATTACAGGCAGCCCAAGCCTGTAACCAGGTGTGGCCATTTGTCTTGTGGATGAAAATCATAACATTCTGTAACCACGATTGTGAACAGGCTGATAACAAGAGTGTGAGCACATTATGTCCCAGTATGATGGTCGCCATCGACCACAACCACTGTATGGTCCATGTACAAGAGCATAGAACAAAAGCGGAGTGCGAAACTAGAGGTTTACACAGCCACATGGTAAGTGTTGATTTTCGCACGGCGCGTTTTAAACGTGACACCGTTTTATATTTGCAGCTACGGTTCTGTTTTCCCAAGTCTTTACTTTGTATCTCTTCTAGCTTGTCAATACTTCAGATTGTCACCATCTACGATGCCTCCAACGATATTACCACCACGACCTGATCTTCCGTTCAAACACCAGAATCCTCATATCGCTTCTCGTAAGTCCTTTTCTAAAATGCTTGTCTACATCCTGACCCTCGCCTAGTCGACCTCTCTAAATTGCCTCCTGTTAAATATCAGTCGCTGGATCGCGATGGCCATGAGGTTTTGGTACGTTTGCCGATTATCTCATCCTTATCACAAGCTGACCCCTCCTAAGGTGGGGCGCATGAAGATTCCTACAGTACGTTCGGTTAAGTTCAATTTGATAATAGTTGATAGATCAATCTTTTCTAGCCTGGCGGCCATGCTTTCATATTGAGACGTTTTGATACGGGTGCCATCAGTCTGACTACTATGTTCCGGGCCGCCTTCCCCACCGCTTCTGAAGCTGATGAACGTCGCGAAACTGTCTGGGTAAAGGATACCTACGATCTCACTGGGAACAATGGCTCCGCTAAGGAACCTACCATAGTGCGTCTTGCAGGAACATGGGTCAGCGCCGAGGTCGCTCTCCTTCCTGAATTTGCACACACATATGGCTTGGGGGGCGTCATTCCCCATGTCGCCAAAGCCACCCCCGACCCCTCTGCAGCCTACCGTCGTTCTTCGACAAAAACGACACCTAAAGCGGTGCCAAGATCGTCTCCTGCTGCAAGTAGTACACTCCCCACTCCTGCTCCGTCAATCACACTTCCGACCCCCAAACGCAGGCGGGAATCTTCTCCTGTACCGGTCGCAGATCCTGCGCCTTCCACCTTACCTCCTCCACGCCGTTCGGCGCGGACAAAGAGTCCAGCACCAGTACCTGCCTCCCTGCCTGCCAGATCGCCCGTCAAGCCCAAATCGCCAGCGCCTCGCTCGCCGGTACGTCGGTCACCGGCACCTATCTCGCCGGCGAGCAAGTCTCCCAAGCCAAAGTCATCTGCGCGAGCCGTGCGAATAATCGAGGTTACTACTCCGGGGGGGTCTGATGAGACTGTTGTGGAAGACGAGGCGGAGACAATTCAAATTGCGCACCCAAATATGTCTCAGGACATAGCCGAGCAGAAGGAGTTGATTGAGCGGTTGAAGGCGGAGAGAGATACACCGTTGATGGAGACCGACACATTGAAGCGAGCGAGGGATGATGAAGATGAGAGTACAGAATTTAGGTTCCAGTTTAAGGAACCAGAAGTGCAAGAAAGGCAAATTGCAACAAACAAGCGGGTTGGAAGGTTCCATCTCGAGCCAAGGCAAAAATCATTTGCATGGGGCGTCGCGGCATTCGCGATTGGAATGAGTGCAGTGTAAGTGTTTACCCATCTAGCTCTTGTCCTTATTTACTGACGAGAATACAGATCATTCATCCCAAATATATTCTGAACGCACATCTGCTTGTCTTATCTGTTTTTCTTATTATCAGTTCTCGTTTCTGGTGTCATCCTAACACCTGTACGTCTGCTCCCCTGCGACACATTTTTTCCCATCATGGACCGTCATAATGTCCATTTATTTACCTTTTCGTAACCAATTCCGGATCTTCGGTTGACTTATGTAGACCGTTTCTATTGTTAAACGTCGATTAGGTAGTACTGTATGCTGGTGATATTGGAATACATACGCAGATAACCGAAGGCAAGAATGGGGTCTGCGCTTTCGTGAAACGTCTCGGTTACAATTTGCCTGTGGAAGTACAACTCACGTTTGCCGGTTACCATGTGTGTTTGGGGTATTTAGCAAAGGCTGCACGCGTCTTTGCAAGATCCTGTACAAATTGAAGCCTTACCTCCACTGGTACTAGTACATCGGATGATAAGATTTCTCCGAGTCCTTCAAAATCCGTACTCCCTGAACCGCCTGCAGCCGTCCTTTGAATCAGGCGCGCGGCGGGCCGCTTCGTTTACATGTGACATGCTATTGTTCGCTTCCGGGAATTCACAAATATTAGCCTCAGCCTCCATCATTTGCACCCCGACATGCACAACTTCATATGGTGATGAAGCGCAGGTGTAGAACCCCTTGCCTGTGAATTTACACCATTCTTGATCCTAAAGCTAACGTGGGCCGTACGGTTGCCGTGTAGCAATGTGAACAATCTCAGTTCAATATCTACCGAGCGCGAGAAGGCCTGAGTGTTCGGCCTTTCCGACTTCTGATTGAGATTCGAGATCTATCGAAAACGTCCATCGGCTCCTATCCTTTGCCGCAGCCGTCTCACATTCTTAGTTCTTTCTTGGCTGTATAACGCCGGTGCGTAGCCATTGACATTGGTCATGGGTATTAATTCAAGGATGTACCTTGCGCTTGATCGTATTTTTTTGCAGTCATGGTTGGTGCTGCGGATGCATAAGTGCCTCTTGCGTTACATTTCTCTCAGGGAGACTTAGACAACCTAGTTTAATTGGCCTGACCCCTGAAGTTTTCCGGTGAGTCCGTAAATACCCTTGATATCTTTTCCCCCCGCTGTCTCGGGACAATTTTGCTCAGCAAAGCGCCTCGCGTAACATAACGGAAATATTTCAGATAGTGTCTGTGGTGCTCGGATGGAAGTTGCCAAGGTGTCTGTCGTGTGGTTTTTGTCGCTGTTGGTATGGCAGAATCTTGTTGAATTTCGAGTCCCTAAAGCCATTTGTGATAATGGGGATGATAAACGATTGGTTTGCTTTATCTGACCCGACTCGGGTATGATACTGTCTGTCCGTCGTTCATTTTGGTTCTCAGAGCACATGCAACTGTCAGCAGCATGAGAAATTAATCGCTAAAAGCAACTGATATTAATAACGGATGACAACTGCAACATAAACGTACTGGGACGAGCGCATCAGTAGTATCGCAGGATCGACCTGGACTTGATAACGTGCACATCTTGCGAGCTGTGGAGTGTCATACATATTTTTGGAACGTTGCTCAGCCGGCAACTGCCCCGGTCATGAAATAATGATAGGGTTCATGCATATGATCTAATCAATATGGTCCTTTAGTTATGTGTATGCCTTTGATTGCCCAGTACCATTCGACCCTGGCGCTAGAAAGTGGAGCATAAGAGCATCACAGATCCGAAGAGATACATGTGTTCATTAGTTGACTGCAAATATTCCCGGGCACCTAGGTGCCATACTAATCAACAACATTTAAGACGCAGTCCAAAGCAATGATTCGCCAAACCAGCCACCCGAGACACCCGCCAACAATGCCAAGTGGTCAATCGCCGATCTGAGTAAAATCGAGCCTGAAAGTTGAATGGATGGTATTTCGCAGTGGGTATCGCATATGTATACAAACACCAAGTATCAGATATTATTTTGCGGAAAATCTTGTTAACCCAGAAAACCAACCAATTTCCCGTCGACGAAGCACGCCATTGCCCACGCCATGAGGCGGCTACCTTGAGCTATGCCGCTGTGGGCATGAGGCACAGTTGTGGCAAACATACGAAGGTGAGCCACCCTTGATCTTGCGTGTTTTGCCATGTCTACGAACACGAGATACATCAACTTTCTATACATAACAGAGAAATTTGGCCACTGACGTTTGTTTACAAGTGATCCAACAGGCGTGCCAAGTGACAGGGTGTTCACTGCTGAAGACACACCGCCGCGAATAGCAGTCCTGGGGAGGTGCCATGTATGTTAGCTTTCGCTGTTGGGAACGCAATGAGCCACATGACTTGCAAGAATAGATGATTGTTGTACCTCATTCTTGATATGCGACAGCCGCCTTTCCTTCTCGTCAAAAAGTGGTTCGTTTTGGTGGCACTTTGAGCAAGTACGAATGGGTACTACAAATTTACACATGATGCTATGAAGGTCATACGTTAGATTGGCACCAGTTCTTAAGAGCAAAAGTGCGCACCAATGCAAGTCTATGATGCGAGCAAAAATAGGGAGTCCAGTGATTTGGAGAAAGTAAAGCTCTGATGGACAGAAATGAGCGCGGGTGAGCTGAATATATAGGAAACGAAACTGTGGAACCATTGTTGAGCCTTTTGATCCGCAAAGGTCTCTATTGAGAGATGTGGGTGGTGCAGCGTACAATCGAAACACTACATAGCCTCAGTGGACTGACCGAAGTGGACCATTTAGGGATTTGACCTATGACGTGACTACGGTGAGGGTGTAGAGAATGGTGATCCCTGTCTAGATCCTACGCGGGCATGGTACGTCCATCCAAACACAATACTAATGCGCCACCTGAGTCAAAGCGTGATGTACTGCGCAAAGGGAGTCAGGACTCAGCGCTCAGCATCGAGAAGCTTCTGAAAGGTATTCAAGGGTAATTTTTCTCACGCTTGCTCATCTACAACTATACTATCATAGGAGACTCAGACCATCTCCCAAAACTATTGACATTCTCGTTTGTCTAAAGGCTCCACACATAATCCACTTGGGCCGTGGCGAAGGATAATGAAAACTTGTCTCATGAAATCGAACGTTAGAAACCCTTTGCGAAGGTCCTCAAAATCGAGCGAGGCGATTTCGGAGATGTCGTTGAAAAGGTGCATAATATTCTGCAAATGGGTGTCTGGCGCCCGTGCATCATTGCATTCTTCATAGTCAAGATGTTCAATGACTTGTGGAGGGGAAACTTAAGGCCAAACCTCTCAAGTGGGAGGTGGTAGTTGGTAGTTTATCTGGACTACGACCAGCGGACTACACACCTGTGAGTCAGGACTCTGGCCACCGCGCCATGACCGCACCAGACCTGGTATGAGGCATTGCAGTCTCATGAATATAACAAAAACATCTATGCCATATGTTACAGTACGACTCGACTTCTTCATAGAATTGTCCGTCCATTTTTGGCCTTCACCGCCTGCGCAATGGTCACATCTAAAATTTGTACAGGTACGCTTCAAAGCAAGATTGTCTCTTCATCGCTTTGGTGTCAGCTGCACGATCATGATGATTTGACGAATGGAACACACCGTCACGCAAAATTTAAAGCTCCTATCATCCATGTTGTGAGGGAGATATCTGTAGGAATATTGCCAAAGGCACGGTCCGATCTCCAAAAGTTCCTGTGCATTCGCGTGACCAAGAGAGCTTGAACAACACACTCAAACCTGTGTGGAATGAATAACAATAATTTGATCCAAAGTGAGCATGGACAAACTCTAAAAGCATGTGTCCAACTGTGAACTACGTCTCTTGTTAACGGGGTGACTTCGAAAGTATGCGTTAACTCACTGGAAAGAAAACTGTGGAGACAATGACGCTGATAGAAAAAGCTGGAAGATTTAGCAAGTAAATATATCAGATCGTTTGTAACCACCAACCAAAGCCGCAGCTACAGTACAGCAGATTATCTTTCATGAGGCCACGCATAAGGCGGTTGTCCATGCCCCAGCCACCAAGACCTTTGATGACGCGATACCACAGAAGTAAGAATGTTTCTGAAATTATGCAAAGGCACGCAGTCAGTTAAAGCTCATGTTAGCAGCAGCTCTCAATACGAACGCAGCTCAGCCATAGCCAGCAAGCCAAACGCTACATATATTCTGATGCTTGTCTCCGTATCCAGATGTCCGGTAACGCCAGGGATCCAACATGGCTCTGTATGTTAGAGGTAAGGAACCAAGCAGGCGAAGAGTCCAACCCGAATATCTACATACCTGAGACTCTCGAGTTAAATTGTTGCAAGCTGATAGTAATTGGCACTAAATAGGCCTGCAAAAGACGAATCAGATCTCGTTACCATAGCCTCATACATTGGTCTCACAATAACTGCAAAAGTCTCCAATGCCGCGAACCATCTCCCCCGTTCCCATACTGCATATGCCCTGACCACGAAGATGCCTGAATTCGGTGTAAATGTTAGAACGCAGAATCTTTGCTGAATAGCACGATTGCTGGACCTACACTCAGCACAAGTCATCGTCACTACCCCTATATCTGAGAGTATGGTGTCAGTACATGTCCGGCGAAGTAGTACCAAACTGACAGATATTAACGACATTATAAGAGCGGCAAAGCTATAATTGAGATTGGTTGAATTTTAATGTCTGCGACTCTTCGACTTGGTTGCACATACATGGAGCGGGGCATCAGGCTGAAAAACCACTGAAAGTGATCGTGAAACATCACAATATGAGAGAGGTAAAAATGAAATTCTGTACCCAACACTTACCAAGCATATTCACTAACATGAAGGCAAGTGGCAAGTGGCTGCAAATTATATACAGAAATGTGCTGAGCCCCCATCGAGAATTGGCGAGAAAGTTGACCTGCATCGACTACAAATCAGAACACTCTCGGACGCTCAAAATTTGTACTTGCCGTATCGGGCAGGCACAGTATGTAGTCATACACCTTGATATTCAAAACAAACATAAGTTTCTGCCGATGACGTGGTAACTTCTACTAGCATAGCTCACCCAAAGCGTTATGAGTGCAACTATCGGGAAAGATAACATGAAGGGATCAACCATTTAAGTCGAAAGACTGATCATGGAAAACGACTGCACCATATATGTACTGAGATGAGGGCCTGTCAGCGATTTGAACTCGATAGCAGGACCTGCACTCACGTTGAAGCTTGGGAACGTGTCAACTTGAGTCTCTTGCCACGAAGAACTCATGCCGACTAATCAACATCACTAGAGCTGATCGATATAAGAGATGATATACGGAAATCTGCGAGGCCGTTATACCCATGTTCTCACACGAACCAATGATGGGCGATCCGTAAATACTAATTTTCCGGTGACGACTCCCCGACCCCGGGCACTGACCATTCCTTGATAGGTTTCATTTGCACGTACAAAACGATCGATTCCTTCTCCAATTGGCCATATCCTTCAACCCCGCCTAGAAAATAAGCTCGACGCTACGTGTTCTACGCATCAAACATTCCAGGATGCCGTGGTGCACCTAGGTCCCACATTTACCGCGCTATTAAGAAGGATGTTTCTGCCGATAAACAGGAGTCGGACATAAAAAAAGGGGTGCCTGTCAATGCAAGGGTCACCTTGTCTTGACGATATTGATCGAGTGATTCTGGAGATAATCAGAAGAAGCAGCGTTATGTGATGGACTTAATATTTCGTACCTAAGATATGGAAACGTCATGTTTGTAAGAAATATACTAGACAGTGACTAGCAAACCTACTAGTTTCGCGTCCGCGGGGTATACTTGCGAGTGCCTAGACCTAGTAAGCGTGTGGCGGCTGCTTAATGACTCGAAGTACAAATGTGAGCCACCGTAAATCCTGCGTATCTGGCCATGTCTGCAGAGCACGAAACACGTGAGACCGTCATCTACACTGGATAACAAGAACTCTTGCCACCGACCTTATTTGCACGTGGGCATTGAACAGACAGGCTACAACGTTAGGGTGTATGTTCGGTGTCAAAATTCATAGTGAGAATAGTGGGGATTCCATATGCTGTGGGAAGCAATGCGGTGAGCTCAGCGTAGATTTTAATTATTACGATACTTGGAAGTTTCATTCTTGACATTCTTACTCGACACCTCGTCGAAAAACGATGCGTTTGACCGGCACTTCGAGCAAGTGCAAATGGGGATCATAAATCGCACACCTACAAACGGACACTAAGTTCCGACAGAACGCGCACCAATATGACTTACAATATATGATACAAATAAAACAGTCAGCCAAAGAATGCGAAAAAGTAGGTGAGATAAAGACATGACAGAGGGAACCAGCCATCGAATCCCCTGGCTTCCATTTTTGCGGATGGCCTGCAGTTCAATTGAAGCGCCTACTACAAGCCTACAATGGGCCAAAGTGTAATACCTCCCAAAGTGATTAAATCACGGCACAGTCACTGTCAGTAACCTGAACCTTCTGACTGCGCAATACCCGTTACTAAAGTTTCATATTGGGCTTGGACTACGGCCGGCTGCTGAGCGAACAGGAGCGTCCCTACGGAGCCCGAGTCGGATGCGAGATTTTACGGTAAGATGAAGTACATCGCATGCTGTCAAGGTCATGGTCAGCGGAAGGCTTGTAAACGAAATCAATCTGAACTAGAGTTCTGGATGAGAAAGCGAATAACTTGAGAATGTGTAGACGAGGGGTCGGAATCATCTAGAATATCATGATGCCTGCCCAGGATGCAGCATGAATCGACGCAAGATAACTCAGGCATAATTTGAATCCGTGTTTGTGAGCGACAATACTGTAGCGGCCGATCCTGTGCTGTGATTTGTGCAGCGGCCACGCCTGGGTTGACCTGGCCGAGACTCGGAAGGAGATGACCTCAGTGGAAAAAAAATATAATCCAACACAAACACGTGTAGTGACGTATACAACATCATATGATGCCAGTCAGTGGGAGTTCCTACTAGGCTGGGACTTTGGTTAAACTCTCTTGCTTACCCTGAGTCCGACGTCGCCTGCTGCCGCAGCACTACTTTGTTCTCTTCTCACTCCGTATCTCGTTGGTGCTCTATTTGCATATAGGTAAGTAAGTCTGTTAAGCTAGTTCGGGTGAGCATACAGATGAAGCATGTTAAGTTCGGTTTAGTATAAACGTCAGTCATGCTCTCCCGAGTATTGACAGTCCTTGCTGTATTATTAGTATGTGTTCACTGGTCCAAGCAATGAGATCGTGTCTCATTTTTTACAGGCAACATTCATCTATCGGAGTGGTCGTCTTGTTAAACATGGCATCTTCACTCTTCCTGCACTACCCTCATCATACTATGTCAATGGCGATGTCCATACGCACTGCACAATTCTTCAAGAGCCAGCCCATACCCTTGATTACTGCGAAGACATGACTTTCTGGGACCACCTGGATACAGGTGGCACTGTAACTGCCCGTTTCATTATAGCGGGATGCGACCCTAACCGCAAAGCATGGAACACAGTCATGGGTCCCCTGCGCAATCCCGAACCAAGGGCCTACCTTTGGCTGATCGATACAGTAGACAATAGCCTACAGCGTATTGAGTTGGATGGATACCCGGAAGAACATAACTTCCACCCACTTGGGATGGAAGTCACACCCTCTCAGGATGGGGCCCCATCTGTTCTTTATGTAGTCAATCACGCACGTGAAGAGACAACAATTGAGCACTTTACCATTTCCCCAGATACCCCAACACAGGCACTCTGGAAACGCACACTTTCATCGCCTTGGTTTGTGTCTCCTAATGCCTTGGCCCTAACGAGCGAGACGTCGTTCTACGTCAGCAATGACCATCTCATGACTCGTCGACTTCCTTTCCCCCTTGCACCCGCCCTGCCGCTGGTTGAGAGTGTTGCTGGACTGCCCCTAGGCTGGCTTGCACATGTCACAGTCAACCCTGATGGCACAATCACGCACGAAATAGCCGCTCTCGGTGTGGCCTTCGCCAATGGCGTCGCCATCTCCCCAGACGGCACGACTCTCGCACTGTCTTCTACTTCTCTTGGTCATGTCTACTTCTACGACCGCAACATGACCACAAATGCACTCAAATACAGGGAGACCGTTAGCCTCCCCTTCTTCAATGACAACATCATGTTTGACGAGGAGGGCGCACTCATCGTCACAGGGCATCCACATTTCCCATCTCTCATTGCCGTTGCTGCCAACAAAACAGATGCGCGCGCGCCAAGTTGGGCCGTCTCGCTCACTCCCCTTTCAAACAAAACACATTTTGCAAAGAGCGCACATGCAGCAGATAGGAAATACGATTTACGTGCGCCGTTGTCGGTATCAGAAGTTGTCCCGGCTAGTGAAGAATGGGAAGTGGAAACACTGTTCCAGAGCGACGGAAGTGTATTTGGAACATCGTGCACGACACTCAGGGATTCGAGGACCGGCTCATTGTACATGGTGGGCCTGTACGAGGAAGGGTTAATGGTTTGTAGGCCATAGTTGGCGGCTATTTTTGGAACGTGTACGCAATTTCAACACTGGTCTCTGTAACCTGATGTACTAGTACCTACTTATGCCACACACATGCTAAATGATCTATTTCCAAGTAAAGCCATCAACGCCGGTACCGAAATACTAGGAGAAACTTTGTGAGTGTGTCCAAAAAATCCTATAAGCGCAACAGGGAACTAGAAATCGATGCAGCTCATTGTTGCCAAGATAAGAAACGTGCGTGAGTCGCGAACGACATCATGATCCCGAAAACCTTCATCTCACACTCTACTCACGCACTCTCTAGGAGAAAATACTGGCACGGTACTGGTGAAACAAAGATCTCGTCAGTACTAGTTGGGAGTGAATGAGACGATCTTGTATGAAAGTCACGTGCGCAGAACGGATCATGGGGTTGAAACAAGCATGGTGCATCGTTTGCAAATCACAATTCATAGAAGAACGGTACATCCGACGGAGGTGACTGAAATCAGAACCATCGCTTGTGAAGCACCGACGGCGAAGAAAGAGCCATACCCAACGGACGCAGAGCACAAAGATGAGGATCTGAACTCTATGGGCGCTTGGTAATTAACGCCCTCTTGGAACCGATAAGACCTGGCGGATGAGCAACTTATTCAAATTCTCGCAAGTACTAGCAAGACTTGTAATCAACAGTACAGTGACTTCTCGGCTTGTGTGCAAGTCTAAGGTGGCATGTTAGTTGCTAATTCGACCACTTGCCCAACTGACAGCACGACTTCAGAAGATCAGAAAGTGCTTCGACACACCAACCCAACGGGACCGGATTCTCGGAACCGGCAGTCTGCCAGCCACAGATCCCAATGCCAACGGGAGCGAAAGAATCGGGACCGGCAGCCACATATTCGATTCCAACGGGAGGAAGAAAGGAATGCATCGAGAAATAGCAAGAAATCCTATAATGAACCAGGCTTCTCAATGCCAACGGATATCAGTGCATACCCCCGACGCCAACGGTATGCCCCCCGTCGCCAATGGACCATCCGCAGGCAAGGCTTTCCGCCGCAATATAAAAGACAACGGTCTATACTCGAAAACTCACCTCTTATACCCCTGCTATTCTTATTGTTACCAAACTGTTCTCTGCGGCGTGCTCGAGAGGAGGAATGCCTAAAACCTGCAAGGCGATTTTAAATTCATTATGCTGGTCAGATAATTTCATTTCAACTCGCGTGTCAAAGTAGAAAATAAGTCAAAAGAGGGTTTTCAGCGGCCGCAACTACTGCAGAAACAGGTAATGCGCAAGATAATACGGCGAGACCGAACATCCAAGTTCAGACACCGAGTTCGCCCACATAGCTACACACGATGTATGAGCCTAAATCGTATCAGGAAGATATCGAATGACGACTCCAGCTCCATACTCCCTTGGAAATGAAAGAATTTTTTCACTGTGCCACGTATATTTCTGCATGTCCCCTACGGCTTTGAGTGCGAGAGAGCCTGCAATCAAGCGAGGGAAATAAAATCGTTGCAGGGCGAGCTGATGCAGGAACCATGTTTGACTGTTATGAGTGCATCAAATGGCATAACCTGAAGGAAGAAACACGCTTACGATATAAATGGGCAATCCAATGTCAAATATACAGCTGACTTGTCCATGCGCCATCCATGCGCCGGTAAACTTATGTCCGTTTATAATCTACATTTCTTCAGCTGCCACGCTTGGCTCCAAGGTGGTACCCTCGTCGTGTGGTCATTGAGGCTTGGCAGCTTCCTGGTCAAGAAGTCAATCAAAACGGGTGGTGATTCGCATTTCGAGAGGACAAGGTCAAGAGTGGTTGAAAGAAGCCCGCAGCACCAGAAATCGAAAGCCTGTCTTCAGCTTTAGGAACGAAGATGCAGGTCGAGCCTACTTGCTGCACATAAGGGCTCACTGCGATTGGTATGCTTGTGCATTTTGAGGGTCAGAGTTTGTTTGATGTTTTTTGAATTTTGAATTTTATATTTGGCCATCTACGCTCACATAAGCTCATGTAAACGGAAGCAAAATCAGGTGACATCACTTCGGAGCTTTTGAAATGAGCAAGATGTTACGATGTCGCTCACGATCAACGTTCATCGATGCATCCAGAATCACAAACAAAGACTAGGCCTTATTCTTGCTTCCATCATCATCCTGACCGCTCGGATGATAAGAAGCCCATTCCCGATACTGGCTGGCGCGGCTCTCCTCCTATCCCCTCATCCGACGGCGGTGATTCTGAGAAAGATTGGATGTCAAAGCCACCATACAACTGGTTGCCAGCGCGTGGTGTAAGCGGCGAGGAGCTCTTCAAGACAAAATATGAGTCATCCTGCTGGTGCGGTGCAGTGCGTTTTGCCTTTGCGGGCGACCCATTCGATGCGAAGTATTGCCACTGCAGACAATGCCAACAGCTGCACGGCGCCCCCTTTCAGTGGGCGGTCATCTTTCCAAAGACAAGTGTTCGCATTCTGCAGAATACTAGTGATGCTCTCCACTTCTTTTCTACCACGACGAAAAATACTTGTCATCATGTCCCGTGCAAAGTCTCCTGTGAGATCTGTCGGGCCCCACTTTTCGACGAGGGGAAGCGTACGGTGCTTGCATATCCAAGTGGCTTCAAATTTCCCCCTATCGAAGCACGCTTGAACACTACTGACGCAAAAGATGGCGAGGCGGTAGAAACAGGTAAAGGGCTCCACGATCCGCAACACGAAGATATCCATCCTCCAGGCCATTACGGTGGAGTCCCTCTTGAGTTTCAACCCAGTTGCCATATTTTCTACGGTCAGCGTATCATGGAAGTGTGCGACGGAATGTAAGGGGGTACATCTGCCTGGTCACCCCTTGTTCTGACATATCAGCTGTCAGTCCAAAGTGGAGTGGTCATAAGGATGACAGTGAGCTCATGCAGGAGATGAGTGATGTCTTGCGCGTTATGTCTAGATACAAGGGGTCTGATGAGGAGCTACGCGCATGAGATGGTATTGTTAGATTTGTAACCAGTCCGCATACTTCTTGGAAAGAGAAGAGTGCCGACGTAGTCAAACTCGACATGGTACCACAAGTCAGGTTGGTCACAAGCCTAATTTGATGCCATGAAGCGCAGACCGCAAATGAAACAGTTTGATGCATATCTGTGATGGTCATAGTACGTTGCGATATTGCCTTTCGTAAAACAGCAAGAAATGGGTTCGTTGGATTGGCGAAATTCGAGAACAGAAGCCAGCGTGATGACGGTAAGCTCGGTAGCTAAGGCTTGTACGCCGCCCAAGAGGGACTGAGGGTTGTGATAGGTGGTCAATTGTTCCTCGCATTTACCATGCGAAATGTGTGAAAAAAATAATGGTTCCTGCGTTGATTGCCGCCAGAGTTATCTCCGCACCTTTGGCGCTCTTGTCTAAGTATAACGCAGTTGCAGTTGGCTCCATGGTATCGAATTATGTGCTATTGCTGCAGGAATGACATTCACAATTTGATACTATCAGATGAACACACTCACAGTCTTGTTGCAATATTTGGTACGTCCATATCAGTAAGTACTGCCAGGGAACCGATCACGGTCTTTTAGCGCTCTGATTCGTTCACAGGGCGACGTTTTCAAATATTTTTAAGAGCCCTCTAGCGCTCCGGTTATCTTTAGCGATTGTTTGATGTCCGCACAAAGTGCGGAGGATATGTAGTGAGTCGAGAATTGATATTTCGAGTTTCCGAATATATGTACTGCTCCAAAATAAGATGACGACGGTTTTCCAGACGCTGGCGCTGGAGGACTGGCACCCAGACCTGAAACGTGCGCGTGGAGCTTGGAGCCAGAACCCAGTGTCAAGGCCTTAGTGATTCGATTACGAGTTATGAAACATGATGAAGCGCTGACGACGGAGAGCCTAGGACCCTTTACTTTCACTAGGTTGATGTTGTGTGCCGTCGCGGCAGAAAGAGATAAACCTGTGCCAAATAGATGTATACATGGGAATAATCTGATGATTTATTATTCACACGGCGACGACATAACCCCAACGCCAGACAGGATTACAACCACCCCGAGATATTCAAAAAAAATAAACAGGCGAAACTTTGCTATTCTTTATTCCTATCTATCCCTGTATCACATACCCGGAGCGTGTGCATGGACAATCCACAGCACTACCAACCGCTTTCCCATGCACTTCATCCTCCCGTAGTGCCTACGTACGAGGAGGAGGAAGAAGAGGAAGAGAATGAAGACGAGGGTGTCGTCGAAGAGCAACTTGATCGTGAAGACGACGATCACGAGGTTGGCGTTGGGTGCGTAATTACTGTAAAGTGTTATGATGACGCGCGTCTGATTGCAAGTATTCGTAAATACTCATATTGTATGTGCTCGTCATGTCTAGATCTACACAACATCAATCAAGTACAACTGCAGCTGGAAAGCGTGCAGGTACAGCACAACCCGACCCGCCACAAGACTCAGAACGCAAAAGGCGTCCTGGTCGGCCCCGTGGATCAAAAAACAGACGGTCACGGGCGTCAGCTACTGACTTGAAGGAGCCAGCTAATTCTACCACAAAGGCATCCCCACCACAACACGGGTTCTACCAGTATACCGCCTCTCCTACTCCAGGAGAGATACAACCACACAATCAGCAGTATTATGAGTTTCAGTGGCGTGTGCTAAACTTATGTGCAGAGTTCTATGGAGCGGCTGAAGAGCTTGTTGTAAGCGTCCGCTGCGTGATTTTGAGGTGTTGAAATAACTTCGCCCAGAAAGCTACACCCTCCCTTGTTATTGCGCAATGTTACCAGATGGGCCCTGGCGTGAAAGTAGATCCCTTGGCCATGCTTGGTGAAGCGAAAAGAATATGCGATACCCTTGTGAGTCACATGATTTTGGTTGTCAAGTCTGTCTTGTCCTTATTTCTCAAAGTTGGCATCTCCCTCTCGATTAACTACACACCCTCCACCTGCACCATACTTCGTACCTGGTTACGCAGCTCCCATTCCGCCACCACCGCCGCCGCCACCACCACCCCAACCCCAACCTGGGCCATCCACATCCTCTACAAACGGTAAATCCCCCATCACTACAGCGCCAGTAATTTCGGATCCGCAATCATTTGTTGTTTCACTGGGTCATCAGCAAGCATACCCATACGGCGCTCCAGCATACCCCACCGCACCATACTATGGCTATGGCGGATACGGGGGTTACTATCCTCCTGTCCCTCCACCTGGGCCAAGCCCAACACCTGCGACAGGTTCTGCGAGTGGAAGCACAGGAGGTGCTGCGGGAAGTGGTGGAAACCAGGGTGCCTGGTCCGAAGAAGAAACGGAAAGGCTAAAGAAGCTTGCTGAGGAGCACCGTAACGCTAGCGGGGAAATTATATGGGATGCCCTATGCGAAAAATGGGGCAACTCTCGCACGAGGTAAATATTTTACCATGCCGCATCAGTTCTTTCAGGGGCTTATCAGTCGGCCTGATAGACACCAAATATTGATAAAAGCAACCTCGCTAGGGTTGAAAGAGTCCTCGTCACGAGGAACGAAACGAAAACGGGAGACGGATGGCCAACTTGAGCGCCCTCCACCTACAGCTCCCACACCAACAAGTACAGATGCTGCCCATCAGACTCCAGTCCCGAATACCGTTCCCACGTCTGCTTCTCAATCCGCACAGGGAGCATCTGCTTCTCCAACACCTTCAACACCAGCACCAGGGTCCACTCAACCTTCTCCAGCAATTCGACACGCACAAACGCAGCAGCAACAGCAGCAGCCGCTACTACACCAACAACCGCCAACACGTACTCTCCCATATCCAATGCCGACAGTTGCTGCTACAACCTCACCTGTTATATCCACCTCGACGAACCCGATAGATCGCCCGGGAAGCGGAAATTACTATCGCACACGACCAGCACCTGTGATGAAACCTGCATCTTCAGGATCGACACATCAGTTCATGTATCAGCCGAACGGAGGGCGCCGAGATGGTTAATTGACATGTTTTTACTGATTTTACCCCTTGGCCGGGAGTCCTTTGCTCAATAATTTGCTATCTTACTTTTTGATACCGATGCAGCTCAGTGCAGACACTAGTTTTCTACGTGTAGATATCGCGTATATGGTCGGTCGACGTGTTGTGCTTTTTGCAGACCCTGTATTCACCTGTCTAGAATTATCGTAAAATCATTTTGTTGCGACCGCGCAGGGCTCGCGGACTTTGTATTGGGAATAAGTTCTATAGTTCGAGCAAATAAAATATGCGAGTAATATGCCCAGTACATTCGAGTAAACTGTAAGCTCCCTGTGATTAGGGGGCTTACCACAAAGGCTTTGTTTTGTTTTTTAAAAAAGTAATATGCTAAACCTCGAACACGCACACTAGTACTCTGTTTCATATGCTTCAAACACTTCCATGGTGATGGTTGCAGTCCAAGCATAGGGCTGCATAGGGTCAAGGCGCCGCTGCTGGCAGGACCTTGGAGGCTTTAATATGTATATATGGCCTGCCCTAAACTGTTAAGGCCTCGGGAGTCCGAATAATACTATGTAGTACCATCTCCGTGGTCATCCTGGATTTATCATCATTAACATTGTTATGAGCCTCGAGTCTGGTTGGACGATTCTGAATAGGCTCGAGGCTCGTCGAATTTGTTTGGTGTCTTGAAGGAGAATCCCAATCGGTTTCAACGGCCGGCGGCTTGGTCATAGTCATACTACACCTCCAGAGAGGTTTCGCCTACAGCCTCTCGGCTAGGACGACCGGCCGCCGGTTCGGGACCATTTAGCATTCACATTCACATTTCGGATTAGCAGGCACAACAAACATTGTGAAAATAGGATGCAAGTAGATGGGTACGATTCTACAAATCCAAATATAATATATTACGGATTACTAGGAATGGTAGAATATACAGAGACAACAACTAAGGTGTAGGAGATATTCACAGAAATGAATGTGCAAAGAACCAGGAAAATGTACTACGATACGTGCGAATGAGCCTTGAAGATATGGGATCTAAGCGTATGTTTGCGAGAGAAAGAAGCCCAACACTGGCTGCACCGGTATTTGACTTGTACATGCACTTCCTCGATGTGCCGAACGATGCTCTCCCGTTTCATGGGGGATCTTGCGCAGCCATCCCATGTACACTGTATCTCCAAATCCCCAGGCCCTTTCACTCCATGCATGCGTACGTGTTTTGAAAGATCCAAGACGCTGATGCACGTGCCGCATGGTATGCCCCCGCCGACGTCCCACAGACAGATGGTGCGCTCAGGGCTTGCGTACACAGTGGGATCATTGTGAAAGTCCTGTGGAACACCACATTAACGTCAGCGATAGGTAGTATGACGATCAGGAAAGAAGACTAACAGTGGGAATATCAAACAGGTGGCCTTGCACTGGTAGAGAATGATCTAGCGACATGATTGTGCTGAATGAGAAGAGAATCAATCACCAGTTAATGAGAGGACTTTATTCTTGGGGTTATATACTTTATGCCAGAAGGCCGAGCCGTAATTGGCAAACGCAGAAACCCAAATGATCACAAGGCCATGCAATGCCAGTCCGTTCAAAGCGGTAAACATACCTGGCCTATCAGACCGATCTGTTATAGCATGAAAGCACATTTCTGCAACGAATTCCGGTGGTATTGTGCGATGTCATTTCCGCTGTTTGACGTGGGCTGCGGATATTAATTTGAAAACCATATGGACCACTATGAAACAAGAGTCAGATAGAGGCAGAAGCTTTCTGGGGTAGCGTATGAAGCTATCTGTCATGGCGCCTGCAAACACTACCCTGCATCCTGTTCCATGGTTACCCCATGACAATGACGACGGGTAGTAGCTAGGGAGGAGAAGCCAGAAATGTCGCAGAACTAGACGTCAGCATGCATTAATTAGGAGGGAAGTATTCGTCGAGCATCGGGCCTGTGGACGATTAGCTGATCGTGTCCCTACGCAGTTCAAATTGAAGGGCCTGATGACGACAGATGGAAAGGTGCACACCGATTGGCTGCATAGTCGCCGAAGCACCTGAGTTGAACCACCCTGAGCGGCGATTGAACAGGAACAAGCGAAATAACACAACAGCCTTAATTTGCTAGAAGGTATGGCACCCGTTGACGCGTTTCATGGATTCCTGTATTGATGTGTTGAAATTCCTCGTAGAACAATGCCTGTTCCGCAACAATCGATAGAAGTTGATCAACGGGTGCTTTATTATTGGACGGTGGCCAGTTCACTGACACCGGCCCATACAGCAAACATCGTGGCGTTTGTGGCCATGCCAGTCAAGATACCACCGGGAATTTCCATATCAATCCCAGCACCTTCACCCTGTTTGTGTACGTTCATCGCACAGAAACCAGTCCAGCTGCCGCGACACCATTTGAAATAAGCGGCAGGGATATGTTGATTCAACGTGACTTGCACGATACAATTTAAACTCAAACTATGAGCAGAACGCGCATAAGAATTGAAGGAACCCTTCACCATATACTGTTTCCCGTGCACTACGCAGTCCCATTGGTCCAGGAAGGATGGTTCGCCGGTATCCTGTGCTATGATAGCAAGAACCCGTCAGCCGGGGCCCTCAGGTTGTAGATACACGGAAATGATCAGAGGTGAAGTTTAACGCGTAAGGTTTAAGAACCTTCAAGTTGTTCAATGACCCTGGATGGTTCACGATCGATGTTAAATAGCAGTATGGTTTTGTCGGGAGTCTAGGCACCGTGACCTAGTGGAGTCATCGACTAAATAAAGCGCACTCACGGTGCTGAGTCAGCCTTGTCACCTCTTGGTCGGAAGCGCTCGCCTACCTCCGTTTTTGATTCAACTGGCCACAGCAGAGTCCAGCCGCCGCCTCTTACTCCTGAACCATCACCACCATCCCCAGTACCAGCACTTGCACAGACAACTTTATACAAACAATAATTCTTTGTGTTGTCAACGAACGTGATCATGTTCTCAAGCCCGACATCGAGCCGTACGCTCGCAACTACCACGCTGAGGGGCGCTGGCCTCATCGACAGCGACACGCGCATGCGAGATGCCACAGTGGACAAACCTGGTGGTCGCAAGGGCGCCTCGAAGATCCGCACACACCGCACACGTCCGATTGATGCCTACAAGGAGCCTCACGGCCCTGGTCGAGCTAGCATGGTAAATATGAGACCTTTCCCCGTTCGCATTTCTTAGCTTAGTTGATCTCCCTTTGAATGTTTTCATGTCTATGACTTGGGATTTTTGTACGTCGCTGTATTTATCGCCGTCGTATATCACCCCTTGCCTTTCCCATTGTCTTGTCTATCTACATCCGTTCTTCGTCTCCTTTTTGTGTAAAACTCTCGCTTACAAATGTCTGGCACCCACCGCCGCTCGCACATGGACAGCTCGCCGCACGGACACAACCAGGCGGCGCGTCAGATATTCTCACGATCCGCGGCGCTTCGACGGTGGGGCGGCTTCGCAGGAACGCCGTTACGGCGGCAGTTGCAGGTGTAACGCCTAGCAAGGCGCACACACCAGTGAAAGCAGTAGAAGTGTGGAAAGATTTTGTGAACAGACGGTGGAATCCCGAATTGAGGTTCTTGAACCTAGAGGTGAGTAGACACAGACGTAGTCCTCGAATCTTAGTGGTTGATATCATGGGCAGAGTATGATGGACGATCCAGAGATTCAGAAACACAATTTGTTGCCACCAGGCGCCCCTGCTTCCTCAGTAAGAGAGGCCTCGGTTTTGTTCAAGTTAGCCTCGCACCTGAGACCAGCTGTAAGTCGAATCTCTGTTTCCAGACTCTGGTGGAGTTTCATGCTTTGACCGATAGGTCCAAACGCTGTCTCTCGCAAATAACAACATCAGCTCCGGTCAGCTCCTTTCAACGCTAGCGCACTATCTTCCTAAGCTCGCCAATCTATCACTGCAAAATAATAACCTCAAGGTTTGGCGAGATATTGATTTTATCTCCGGGCGGAAAGGGAAGCTCGAGCATTTGCGAGAACTCATACTCCTCGGAAATCCATTAAGAGAACTGGAGATTCAGAATGGAAGGGGAGATAAGTACAAGAGGTACGTTGACAGGAGGTCATCAGGGTCATTTAATTAACGACATTCAGTGATATGGCACGGCGTTTCACGTCATTGATAATGCTGGATCAGGAGGCCATTGCTACTATAGCATTCGACGCTCCCGGACCTTCGTCTACTGTCGTAACAGAAAAACGGGCTACTGCAACCACATTTCCATATGAAATGCGGCCATCATTTATCACGGGTGTTGAAGACTCGATTGTCAGCAATTTCCTCGTTCGGTGCGTCATCTTATCTTATATCTCGTATCTTTGCTGATAAAAAATTATTAGGTTCTTCCCGTTGTTTGATGATCAACGAGCTACCCTTCTCGATGCATACCACCCTTCAGCAACTTTCTCGTTCTCATGTAATACAGCTATTCCATCTCGTGCACGTATACAGGGCCTTCACGTATCTAAAGAGATGCCCAATCAGCGCAAGCTTGATTGGGGTCTCTGGCTCAACAATGGCTCCCGAAATCTTAATCGCATGGGAGGTGGCGGTGACAAAGTCATTAACAGCCTCCACCTAGGTAGCGAAGAGGCTATTCGAGCCATGTCGACACTACCAAAAACGAAACATGACGTATCTGGTTCACCAGAGAAGTTCTGCATCGATGCATGGCCTGTGGGTCAGGGCGAGAACTTAAAACTGTTCATTTCCCTACATGGGCAATTCATAGAAGGTATGTACCCGCGATTCACGCGGAAGTTTTTGGCTGGCCTGGACATCCCTATGCTCTATTGCCTTGGTTGCGATGCAGTGACCTTCGCGTCTTCGAATTCTCTCTTCCTCGATCCCACGTCATTGTGTTCACAGCTGACTTTTTCCTTTCTCGCAGAACCTTCGCAGGGTATTCGGTCATTCGACAGGGCGTTTGTCCTAGCTCCCGCACCCCCAGGTTCTCGGTAAGCCGCCTTTTCATCGTGTGCGCTCGGCATTTGCCATTGACACAATGACTAATCTGACAGGGCTAAATTAAATGGCTGGGACGTTATGGTACTGTCAGACCAGTGGTCTGTACGAGCATACTCGACCCATGATGCATGGCATCCAGGACCGATGCGTGTGCAAGCTGGGGATGTTATTCCAATGCAACAGAAACCAGCGGGATCCATCGCATCATCATCTTCATTGATCCCAGCCGGCGCGCGTGTGCAGCTAGAACACACCATATCAACATTTGTAAGTGTTCGCTTCCGTTGTCCATGCACTTTCACTTACGTCTTCATCTCCGCACCATTGACTTGGTTAGTCTGAACCACAGCGTAATCTGATCATGCAGATCTGCGAGCGGACGGGTCTTAATGCCAAGTACGCCGTAGATTGCCTCGAGAATAACGCGTGGGTTTTCGACCGTGCGATCGCAAACTTTGAGCAAGTCAAGGTGAGTGGGGTGTCTGTCTAGAGTGTTTCCAGTGAAGCCTTTACTTACCACTGTTTGTCCAGGGGGCGTTGTCACGGGATGCATTTCTGTAATGCATGAATTTTAATACGGCGAACTCCCGTCTTACAATCGGTTCACACTTATTATTAGAATGTTCGATTCGATTACGGGAAATTCGCGGATGTCGGTCATGGACTTTAGGTCAGGGATACCCCATGCCATGACTACTCTATATACATTTGGCAAGCTGAAAGTACTTCATGCATCATCGTATCAGTTTCAATGTAACGTTTTCATTATCATATTACTATCATATCACGAAGTATTTCGGTTTGTTGCACGCAATGAACTCATAATATGTGTTTGCTTCTGGGGATAGGTTCATCATGAGTTACTATATGATTTCCCAGCAGATTCGCCACCGCCCTGCATACTTATGACGGGTTGGGTGATTTTAAGTTTTTGTCGTCGAGACTACTACCCTGAAGGTTAGAGTGAATGACAGATTGACTCAAACGGTTGAATGCTACCTGTATTGCTACTGAATTTATACTATATAGATGAACCCGGGACAATGGGAAGCGCACAAAAGAGCGATGGGAGGTGCATTGTTTCTTTTTACCATTATGTTTTATTTTATTTTACGTGATCGCCTCGAGGCCGGTCGGACAAGCCGGCTCGAGGGCGCCTGCAACTATGAGCCTCATCAGAACATCAATGAGAAGAAGACTGAGAAGACCGACTTTTTGCCTCGTTGTGCCCCATTTGAAGTCATTATCTGTACGTATACAAAACTCAAATCCATCCTTCAACTACACAAAATCAACTCTTCTTCTTCCATTCACCGACTCATCCGCCCTACGACCAACGCCCATAACTCATTCCCTCTCACACTCGCTGCGCGCTATTTACGACTGACGACTATAACACCATGATAAGTCGTGTACAACGCTCTTTTGAAAACTTTGCTTTGCTACAGGCTGCCTCAGAGGGCTCTGCTGCCGCAGTGCGCGATGCACTCCAGTCTGGAGCTGACATTAACGCGTCTGACAACTCTGGTAGAACTATTCTGACATGTGCTCTCACAGCCGACAGGTGAGTCATTCTCTAACGCGTTGAAAACTTACTGAATCTCACTCTGCGGGCTCAGGTGGGAGACTATCGACGCGTCTGACGCGTCGTTTTTGTCTGAGGACCGTCTTCAAGTCCTCCGCATGGCTGTGTCGCATCCAGAAATCTCATTATTCACGCTGAATGCGCCTCAAGACTCGATAAACGATGTAACTCCTCTTGGCATGGCAGCTTGGCTTGATATGCCCCAAGCTGTCCAAGTTCTTCTAGACTGCAGCTCAGGCGCTATCTCCGTCGACGCCGAGGACACGGATGGTGCGACACCTCTCATGTGTGAGTTTCGTCCGACAGTTAGCACATTTTGAATTTCAATTGACGGCGCTATGATAGACGCAACACGCGACGGCAGGTTGGCTGTCGTCCAGCACCTGGTACGTTATGTTTAGCTCGCGCGGACTTCAGATACCTAATCACTATTCGCTAGCTTGCTCACAATGCTAGGCCCGATCTCAGAGACAGGAATCATCGATCTTCCCTTCAATTCGCTTTACCCCATCCGCGCGTCTTGTGGACATGTGAACAGGCGCTACGCAATTACCGTCTTCGTGAATATCAGGTAACCGATTTGTAGCGCATGAGTCTGGGCACAGGTACTGATACGTCGTAATAGAACGGAAACAAAAGAGGTCTTTGCAGGCCTAGCATCGCTATTGACCACCTATCACCGCAAACCTCCACTCAGCTCAACCTTGCGCCAAGCATTCCACCCGCCACGACTTTCTCATCTGATTCTATATACCTCGCGACCGACTCTGTTGTACAAGCTGTACTTTCTGCCGATCTTTCTGTGTTGTACCCCCTGTTGTTTTCACAATCTTTTGAACCTTCCCCATTGGACCCCGGACCGATTCTCATAAATGTGCCCGATCTGGAAGGATGGAGCGCCATCCACTATTGCGTATCTGTACCAAATCCCTCTATCGAGATCCTCGATGCCCTGTATCGCGCTGGCGCCGACATCAGCTTGTTCACTACCGGCGAGCACTACACGCCTCTCCACTGTTTTGCACGCCTCGCACGCGTCTGTGACGACATTCCAGAATCACCCCAGTTATTGTATCAATTCGCTATCCATCTTATCCGTGATCTTCGTGCACCGCTCGCGGCACCTGACAAGCATGACGAAACTTGTATTCATGTAGCCGCTGAGCACGGCGAATGTATTGATGTACTCCTCGCTCTTCTTGATTGTGACACCACAGGCACCATTCGCAATCTGCGCAATTCCCGAGGGTGAGTTCATTTGTGTTTCATGTTTCTCCATCAAGGCCATAACAAATTCGCCACAGCCTTACAGCCTTCGAAGTCGCACGCCCAATCTTCCGTTCCGCATTTAGTCCTGACGGACAGTTCATCCGTCCGGAGTCGTCTCTCTCTGTTCGCACCATAAGGCCAGGAACGTCGAGTTCTATCACATCTGTCACCTCTTTCACGGACCGCACAACCCCACTTTCCCCACCCACGGTCCGCATTTCTAATGGCCCGGCTTCCCATCTTCCTCTTGATTTTGATGTGACTGCATCCGCGGACCGCTTGCTTGAAAACTTCACCCTACTCTCGACCGAAGCGCAGTTTGTCCGTGACCATGAGGGGCTGGATCGCCTGGCGAGCGTGGTGAATGAGACCTCGCAGCTCGGGTACGATGTGCTTGCCCACTTCAGAGGGCAAGTAGACGATGCCGCAAGTGACTTACGCGATATGCGGGCATCTCTCAACGCTATCGATCATTTGTGGAATACAACTTCGAATGACGTGGAGGAACACCTTCGTGCACTTCCTGATGGTCGGAGTCTCGAGCGCTTCTCAGAACGCAGACGTTCGCCTAGGGACTCTGAAGACTCACAAACCACTGCAGTGGAAGTTCAACCAATTTACGTCAAGTCTATCCTCAAAGAGACAGAACCCAAGGTGTACGCTGATGCTTCTGTTCTTACCGATCCTTCGGCACCTCTACCTCTTGAGACAACATCTGCATCGGGCGCACGCACTGTTCCTTGGCCTGAGTGGTTGGATAGCTTCATTCTCAGTGCAGACTCCACGACGTACAAAGCGCACCTCGCGAATCTCATTGAAATCGAGCGTGAATTATTTTCGCGCGAGACGATGAGCTCTCTCGAAGAAAAAGTTCCCAACAAGGAGACCAAGCTCAAGAGCCTCCTGCGCAGTCGCAAGCGCTACGAGAAAGTTGAGAAAAGTGGAGCTTCGAAGCTCAAGGCCTGGCTGAAGAAGAAAATCGTGGCGGAGAAACCTTTAAAACTGCAGATTGCGTATGACCTAGACGGCGAATGTGCAGTCGGGACGGAGGTTAAGGTGGACTTCAGGCAACCCTCTGTCACGATCTCAGATTCAGAGAAGCCCTCAAGAGTTCCATCGTTGTCCCCGTCTCCTTCAAGCGATAAGGTTCACCCCTCCCAGATGGTCCTCTCCGGTGCAAGTCGTGACTTGTCGAGTATCGACGAGTGCCTTCATGGAGTATGTTCAGTTTCCGTCATCACAATTTATGTGACTAATGAACTTGTTCTAGGTTGACCATCTGATTTCTACTGCCTGTCATTCAATTTCCCGCGCCGAGCGCATCATCAAGCGCTCCATTAAAACGCGTGAAGCAATGATACAAAATCTCCGTTCGCGGTACCCTCCTGTCTACAACCCCATCTTTGCATTCTCCCTTGCCCCCTCTGTATATCCTGAGAACTCCTCGCGCTCCTTCTACCTCTCTCCCGGTAGCGCCACCTCCTCGCGATGCTCTTCCGCTCAGTCCTCAAATATATCTCTAGCCGCTACCCTACACGATGACGAAGACGAAGACTTACGAGCATTGCGCAGGCTCCTCCTGCGAAAAATTAGCGCACACATCGACAGCGCTTTTGACGAGATAGACCGCGCAAACGTATGGTTACGTATCGTCAAGAGTGTACTGCGCGACCTCAAAACGCGGACGACAGCATAGGAAAAGGACCCAGAAATCAATTGGACGCATGTTGTATGTTATTTGTGTAATGTATCTGTAAATATTATTGCTTCATCTATAGACTCGGTAGCTCATCGTCCCATCTGCATCTCCCATTGCATCTGTACACTGTATATACGTACGCATCTCGTAGACACTGACATATGTTGTGTTACTTTTTCGATATTCCATTGCTTTGCCTTCGTTTTAGAATTTTTGTGTTGGTGATAATAACTTGCAGATGAGCAATACACACAAGATCATGTTGAAATTGCGCAGGATCCTGCTACTCATCGATGCATCATCAATGTAATTACATGCAAACAGCTATACTGCAATTGAAACGATAGATGGATTTGATAGACAAGCAAAAAGGTTGGCAAGTCAAAATGATTGGCGCAAATCTTATCTAGGTAGGAATTCGATCGAGTGCGTTCCCTCGATTGAATCAAGCTCTATAGACTTCCCATCTTCGTTGCGGATTTGCCCCGCTTATATCAGTTCCAGGGTCTATCAGTATTTTCGTCGATGAAACACATGTACATCTGTTAGTTGCGTTTCAACCTATTCCATTCATATATGAAACTTTGGTATCGTGCCGACAGAATGCGATCCATCATCTTGTTGAGCACGTTCTGTGGGCTCGGGACAGCGTAGCGGAGATAGGCAGAGGTAGGCGCACTGGTGTGGCAGTTTGTTTTTGTTGAAACAAATCGTACCAGGCCTAAGCGACAGGGATTATGTATGTCCTTATCACCATTGCTAGCGTAGTCAGCCAATTTAACATCGTTTATCAGGTAGAAGCATGCTTGAACTCTGCATTGAAGCAATAGGGTTGTCCTATGAGAACATGGCTCTGTGCATGCACTGCAAGTCGGTCGCTAATGTCGAAAAATGGACCATCCACCCTGGTTAGTTACGAGATGCTGCTATTGAGTCAGAAGTGAGTTTCTAGTACAATTCCGCAGTGACACAACACAGCGTTGGTCTGCCAAGACCTACTTTTTATTTTAAATCTACTTAAATACGGTATATCAGCACCATGATGAAAACCCTAAATGAAATTCTCGTGCTTCCCGCAGATGACAACCCGACAAGTGTTACTCACTTGTAGCGTGTCTCTTACTACACATTACTGCTAATCGACACAAGGTCGTGCTCCTGGAAGATGATAGTGGTGAAGGACGGTCCAGCATCGGTGTTGACTGCGAGTTGAGCGTCATGCTCTCGGACACCAAGGATGAGACGTGGTCCTAGCACGAACATCTGTACAAGCAACAAAATTTGAAGAACACCATTATAAACCTCAGCGCCCGCGGATGATGAGTTCTACAGAAATGATTAACAGTCACAAACACGAACTCGATAACATATCAGCTTACATATAAATTTGGAGAGAAAGCACCGAGGCCAATAGAACAAACAGCAACAAAACTAGAGCATAAGGAACTTCAGCGGAAAAAATGACCACATTAAAATTAGGAGCTCACAATACGAAATAAATCATGTGAATTTTTGTTAACACCATGAAACAGTTTGTAATGGTCCCTCCTGTTGATAGTTGTTGCACTTCACGGAAGTATTTTACAACAATCCAGACTGCAAGACACAGTGCAAGAACCCCCCATACAGTGCAGAGGATCCATGTCATGAACATCAGAATTTTGACAACTCCATTGAGGTCATATTGACATAGATAGGTGCCGGACAGGATAAACTCCTCTGATATTCAACCGATAAGCCTTGCATGCTTCAGTCTTTCATTTATAATCGAAGCTTACCTCCAGAAATATAGCTGCTTCCTATTGCGGCGAGCACTACGCAGGTGATTGTGACAGGTAGGAAGATCGCAATGAGGAAGACGAGCATCTTCCTGGATCGCCGATACATGGCATATAACCGACTGCTCACGATGACTTGCATGATGTTTCATTCGAGTCAATACCACTGGGGCAGTGGAGTTGGGCAGCTTACCACACAATATGGCAATTATCACCACGGTCATCCAATTTTGTGCGAAGTACATGACATTGCCTGAAAGATTTAATCAGTTAGCGATGAGCGTAGGAGGACCAAGAGACTCACAGCTGTTGAAGTCAGTATGTTTACTTAACAAGCCAGTCTAGGTGCTCACCCCTACAAAGGAGTGCAAGTGATTAAATGGGAATGGCAGGTACTAGCACAAGACTTACTCCATCTGATACCGACACCGACGGAAGACCCGCTGATGCCATTGGTGAGAAGAGACAAAAACAGTGGATGTGAGGAGACATACACAGCACAACAGCGCTATTTACGATAATGACCGATTAGCACAGCGCCAACTGGTAAGCCTTGCAAACATACACGGCGTATGGTAGTCCAGCGTAGCGCACCTAGAATGTATTGAAGTCAACACAACTGGCCAGCTGCGCTTGCAACATAAGCTACATACGCTGAGATATAAAATGGTCATGTGGGACCAGCGTTGTCTCTACCTCGTGTTCATTGTATACACCAGCTGCTGATATGGCAAATTGCTCACCCAGATCAGTTCTAACTATAAAACCATTGTTAGTAAAACGGTTGTTTGCTCAGATGATAGCATCAACCTACCTCTTGTCCAAATGTCAGGGCTGGAAATATCGTGAGCACATCAGTCGTTCCGCAATACTATCTTGCTCACCCCAATCGTATACGACCGCAGTAAAGGAAGCGACTGCAAAAGCGTGGTTGAGGTTAAATCAAGGCGTCCACAACACCCTGTACGAACCTAAAAAATAGCTGCACAAACGATATGAATTAATTAGCGGCCACCACTCGGGTCCATCTGATATAACAGTCATATTGGAGGGAAGGGTCTAAGTGAGTGTGATGGACATATGAAGATGACGTTTGCGCTAGATATACCACCGTCCGGCGCTAAGTTTGTCACCGAATAAGCCATATGAGGATGAATGTACTTTCCTGCCACATCGGTTGACCAAAGTAAGTAGAATGCAGAGGCGGAATCTTTAATTGAATCAAATTGAATATGCAAAACGCAGTGTTGAACACGAGGAATACAACACCTCGAAATTTTGAAAAGCTGTTCATTGGTTCCGGAACTTGATTAACTTGATTCTCAAGAGCCTGCCGCATTTGCATCAGCTCAGGAGTTCCATAGTATCACATGACGACATCAGCCTGACACAGGCTATTGGGTGATGCAGCCTATCTGTCGCCTCGTGCACACGTCTCACCCACCGGCTATAGGCTCATAAGGGCCAAAAATTTGGTAAGTATAGTATGACATTGGTGCAAAAAGCGGTGCATGACGCATGAGTAATCCATCAACCACATGGCGCATCAACAAATTACACAACCCGGTTGGCAACCCATTGCATGACTGCTCTAGCCTTCAATATATATAACGCTATCCTGGCTGGATGGCTCAAACGAGAGCCACGAGGTGTACAACCAGGGAGCCCAACTTACTCGTTCTAAGAATGTTACAAGACCCTTGCTCGATGTCATGGAACGTTGCACTCTGCCTTATGATGATGAAATGTTTTTTTCTTTCCTGTAGAACGTGATGTCAACTAAATAACTCACCGTGTGAGAATGTCATCACGGGCAGGGCCTGGGTAGAATCCGCGAGGTAGTCTGATGGTTGCAGCCTTGTGGCACGTCTAAAGACGTTGGATACCGGGACCACACATGATGCCAATCACATCACATAATGTTTGCACTGACAGCGGTATATCAAGAAAATCACGTCGTGGTTCACAATTGGACTCCCAGTTTGTTTAGCGAGCCGCTTATGGAAGTACAAACACAGCCACGGTACTAACCATACACCCGACCTGGCGCAGCAGTAGCTACCCGTCTAGTGCTCTGCCTGTGTTGTTTTCACGACTTTTGTACCATACTAATAGCTTGAACTGGTATGTAAATGTACTAGACCTCGCGCTGGACGGTGCACTATTCACCAATGATACACAATCCCTCTAGCTTTGTTTGCTACTGGCGAACACTAATGCGCTCTAGCAAACCTCTTCAGTATTTTTGTACGGCTTACACTCGTTTGTGCTCCGGTTGTTGTATCGTTACATATCTGCCATCTCATTGCCCCACTGATAGCATTAATATTCCACGCGCTCATATGACGAAACCTGTATATAAATGCATTATTATTGGCTCTCCTTGATTTTGATTGTCCACGGTAACGTTTCATCCAGCGGTCATTCCTGTCGGAGCATAGTGGCCATTCGGTCAGGGACTTCGAGCAACGAGTTTTACTATCACCAAGTGCACACATTATTCGTTCCACAAGCCGCACTACTTCAGTTTCCTCCATGTGGTTTTCATTACCAGTACAGCCTGGGATCTGCCCCATGGCTTCGACAGGACTGCGGCATCCGTGAAACGCCTGCCTGAAAACGTTACTCTACCCTGAACATGTGCATCTGTTTGTGCGTAGGTATCATCATAGGCATATGAAAGGACGCTTGCCTAGGAACTTTGAAAATCGTAAACCAATGCAACACAAGCTCAACCAACTTACGTCGAGTTTGTTCTCAAAGGAACGAAATACAAGGAGGACGTCGATGCGTCGGTTCATGTGTTACTGCCAGAGACAAAATCAGCGTCCAGCACACATACTGCCCCTTGGTCCAAGTGGTTGAATAAACTTCATCCTCAGCGCAGACTACACGACGTACAGAATGCACTTCGCGAATGTCATTGAAATCGAGCGCAAATTTTTCTCTCGCGAGATGATGGGCTCCCTCGAAAAAATAGTCCCCGTCAAAGAGACCACAATTAGGAACCTTGTGCGCAGTTTCGAGCGCCACGAAAGAGTTGGGAAGAGCAGAGTATCGACCCTCAAGATATGGATGAAGAAAAGCACCTGGCAACTGCGAATTGTGCATGGTCTGGACAGTAGTCAAGGTGGGGGTTCCTCTCCCTTGCAAGTTGTCTGACAAATACCTTCATTATCCCAGATTACCTATCATGTTCTATGTCGACTGCCTGCCATTCGATCTCCTGAGCCGAGCGCATCATCGAGCGCATCATTAAGATGCGTGGTGCCATAGTTCAAATTTTGGAAGACACCTAGCTTCAAGGGCTGGGCCCGGGGAAAGAACACGACTCGAACACACGCCCATAATAGGTTTTGGCCACAAAAGGAGCCAAGGGCTTCTTCGAACGATACAGACCGATTGCTATCGCAGGCCAGTGGTGTTCTTTCGCTTGATCCGGTATCTAGACTTATGCTGGAACATGATGAGTGTATGAGAGGCATAAGACAAATCGCCCACTATAGACACTGAACAGCGATCGGATATCACAAGGCAGGGTGTAGATTAGCGCAGTCAAAGCGCAGTAGTCTGATGGTTCCATGACAACCTTGTACACGGAGAATCAAATTTCAAAGTTCCTTGGATTGGATTGGATTGGATTGGATTGCACATTCTTCCAAAGTTGGAACCTATTTTGTGTTGTTATCCACTGCGTTGTTCGGCCTCAGGACTTTTCAGGCCGCAACCAGTCTCTCGAGATTCCTTTGCGTCTTCTGGAAGTAGTAGTATCACTTCTCATAGGAGACCAAATGTTCTCCGAGGCATTTTGGAGCCATCAAAATCGTCAGCCACTGTTGACAACAGAACTACAATGTAAACTTGACAGTTTCACTGGTAGAAGCGCCACATGCGCATGCTTCCATGTCATCAGTTGGTATCTCCGTGCGAGATCGATATCACAACTTTGTGGCTGTCTCTCGTAAGATGCTCCTGATCATTCCACCCACGTGTGAACTAGTAGTGATCTTCGCAACATGATATTCCAGTCCTATGATGAAGAAAAGATTTATTTCATCCGTGCTCCCTGGATATAATTACTCAAGACAACGACTCACCAAGTGACCATCACTTGGAGCGTCTCCAGTACTACGTATCATTGTCAATTGACCGGCATGACACGCTGACATGCTCCTGGAAAGCAATCGTAGATATGCCTGTTTCTGGATTGGAGTCGGCTATGAGCTTGGCATGATATTCTCGAACGCTAAGGATGAGGCGTGGACCCAGCACAAATAACTGCAAGCTCCAGAAGGATTCAAGAACAGCAAATATGTATCCCATGGAGGATGCATCCTATGAGAATGATGAATACTGGTCACATGCAGATCTGATAGATCGGCGTACAATAGTCGAGGAGTTATAAACAAGCTGGAAGCAAGAAACAGTGGCAAAGCTAGCATGTACGCACCTTCAGCGAGAAAAAAACAACCACACTCAAGTTACACGCTCACCTTACAAAGTAAGCTGCGTGGGTTTTCATCAACACCATGAAGCAGTCTCTTATAGTCCATTCATTCGATAGTTGTTGCAGTTCACGGAGGTGTGTTACAGCAATCCAGACTGCAAGACACAGTGCGAGGGTCTCCCACATAGTGTACAGTGCCCAGGCCATACAACCTATAATTCGGGTGTTTCCCTCCCAGACATAGGTGCACTGGTAAGTCCCGGAGAGGATGTATTCCTCTGGGATTTGTCCATGAGCACGTGCATTGGTTCATTGTCCGCAATTCAAAGCTCACCCCCTGGAGTGTGACTGATTGATATTATTATCATCACTGCGCAGGCGACCGTGACAGGCACGAAAATTACAACAAGAATCATGAGCATCCTGCTGGATCCCAGATACATGGCATGTAACCGGATGATTATGAGAACTTGCATGATGGATCAATATTGTTGAAGTAAGTATTGCAGCTAAGGAGCTCACCACCCAGAACCGCGGTTACAACCATAGCCAACCCATTCAATACTGCGTAGATAATATTGCCTGAAAATAGTCACCGATCAGACTCAGGTGATCAATCACGTCAAACGCACTCACATCTATCACAATCGTTATAATGAAATCACAACCTGGTAGAAAATCTCACTCACCCCTACATAGCAGTGCATTTAGCTGCATGGATTCGGAATGACAGGGATGAGTGTAAGATCACGCACTTCATCTGTTGTGGAGACCGACGGAAGAACTCCTGCATGCTACTGGTCAGAAATAAACACGGTGGATGTGAGGAGACATACGTAGCATGGACAGGCTGATCTCGAAACACATATTATTAGTACAGTTTCCACTTGTTGGTATTGCAAACCCACACAATATATGGTATCCCAGCACAGCGCACCTACAATATTTTCGTGTCAACGCAAATTTCCAACCACACTTATAAAGCTGCATACCCAAAGATATAGAAAGGTCATGAGGGACCAGCGTGGCCTCTGCCCATATAGTTATACCGTGGTATTGCTCGTCTGATCGATGGGACATTACTCACCCAGACTAGTTCAATCTGGTATTAAACCATGCTTTGAGTGTGATGGCCGCTCCAGTAATGACATAAACCCACCTCTTTCCCGAATGTCAGTGCTGGGCGCAATGATCATAAGGCTATCACTGATTCTTTAAGACTACCTTGCTCACCCCAATCATATACCATCGCAGTAGAGGAGGCAACTGCGAAACCGCAGTCAAGGTTAGGCACTGTGACTGACACCATCTGACTGACTCTCCACGAACCTACGAAATAGCTTGAATTACGAAACGAAACAATTAGCGGCCACCAACTGGGATCATTTGAGATTAGCGTCATGATGAGTTCGAGGGACGGTGTATATGAGTGAGTGGCGAACTTTATGGACGTTGAGTTCAGCGCTTTTGTCGCCAAAATAGACTTTATATTTGCTCCTGGTATTGGATGACCTAGGCAAAATAATGCGGACTACAACGTGTTAACCGGCGTAAAGTATTTTGATACATGTTGGCAAGCATCAGGCCTCAGGTCTAGACTCCACATCACATTTGCAGTGTCATCCCATATGTGTTTAGCCTATAACATTAGGTTATAGCTCCATGACGAGGAAGTGTGGATGAGGAAACGGGCGCATTGGATTAGCTATTGGCGGATGACTTCGAGTCGGAGGCGCTGCAGAAGAGTGGGAAAGGCTAATGTGTTTCAAGCTATTCTGTTTTCATTTTTTCCTGTTATGCTAGCAGAATGCGACCTCCGGATCCTGTGCAGCTATTAGCTAGCTAACAGTGTGTTGCAAGTGAAACTGCAGGAGGTGAAGAAGACGTTTAGACCGCATTTGGTTACTTATTACACTTGAAACACCGAAGAAAAAATCTCGTGCACCGTTTCGACAATTCGCATTGTGCCGGCATGACAGTAGCTTGAAACACCACCTTTCCCACTCCTCTGCAACGCCTCCGACTCAGGCTCATCCGCCAATAGCTAATCCAATGCACTCATTTCCTCCGTCATCCACACCTCCTCGTCATGTAGGCTAAACACATGTGGTGGTGGGTCCATAATGCAGACCCGATGCTTGCCAAGATGCACCAAAGATACTTTACGCTAAATTCATCATGTAGTTGATGGATTGGCGCTGCATCAATTTGCAGAGCCATCATGATGTATGGCATCATCCTGCGAATTGATCCGGGTGGAAGTACTGTTAACGGATTGATGCTGTGACGTGCATGTGGTTATGTTTTTCTCAAGTTCCGCACGTACTTACTACTAGCTTTGTTTCTGTCTCTTGCCTTCAGTTTGCGAATGACGCTCCAGAGCTTGTGGTGCGCCGACCTACATCTTTCAACCGCTGCTCATTGTTTCTGTAGGATTCATATTCTATGGCCAGAAGTTCCGATACTCGTTGGTGCTCTTCATATTTCCTTGGGCGTGCAGATACTGGGAGGACGCCTCATCCTTAGTGTTCGAGAATATCACGCAAAACTCGTCGCTGACTCCGACGGCGAAACTAGCATGGCTTCGATTGTCTTCCGGGAGCGTGTACATGTACCAACTAGCAATACTGTGTAGGGCGATACTTGCCAAGTGGTCTGCAGAGAGGACACATTTGGTCGAGGATCTGTCGTGATGATTATTCAAGAAAGCGATCTGTTCACCTCCTGACCTTTAGAATTACAAGAGATACCTGCACACTGCAATGCCGTACTGCATGATGTCGAAATCAAAAGCACGACTGTCCACAGTTCCGAAAGGCTTTTGGAAATGTAGGCGGCTCTTCCGCTATCAGTGACTTGTATGCTATATGAAAACATGGTTCAAGATCGCTACAAGAAATAGAGACCATATAATAGGTACAGTCCTTACCAATATGAAAAGAAATCAACAGACTTGGCCATCTAAAGCTGTTTACTCGACTCTAGTATATCTTTCAACGAGATATTGCTCCTCTCACACATTCCGCGGAAAAGGCTACCTTCCATTTTGAAAAGATTGGATGGAGTATCAAATTCCTTTGATAGTGTGTGAATATTAACCACCAAGAGGCATTCGAATCAACCTACAGCAACAAGGCCAGCGTCAAGAACCAGAATCCGGTCATATGAAATGATAGTACGAAGTCGGTCTGAAGTATCATCGCATTACATCATTGCACCGAGAGCACAGAAGATAAAAACGTACGGGCAATACAAAGTAGCGTGCGATCCTGGAATTCCGTCTGGATAGTGTGCTGGATCTGGCTATCAGTATCGAGATCGACAGAGGCTCTGAAAAAAAATTCAACATCAGGCATCCAGGAGAAGAACACATGACTAACGTGGCCTCATCAAGCACAACGACTTTGCAGTCTTTCACCAACGCACGAGCCAGACTGAGCAGAGATCTCTCCCCAACGCTGAGATTCGCTCCCTCACTCTCAATAGTACTGTCAAGGTCGTAGCGATTGGTGGGAGCTTGCTCGCTCCCGACGCCATCACTAGAAGATGACTGTTTCGAGGTGGTACTAGAATCAAGCAGACAAGATCGATGCAGCGCATCCCATAGCACCGCGTCACTGTGTTGAGAGAATGGATCCAGGTTGGAGCGTATGGTCCCTGGGGATCATTTAGCACTTCGCACAAGAGCACGTAGATCTACGATACTAACCGCTAAATAGAAGGGGCTATCGAGTTCGTACGTTAGTCCTGTGTTAGATCGTACAGGGAAACTTTACAGACGTCTTGTGGGATAATCGAAATCTTGGAGCGGAGATCTTTAAGACCAAGTGTGGATATATCGACACTAGAAAGGATAAATCAATCAATATTCGTCACGAGTAATGATCCACGTACCCATCAATAGTGATTGAACCATCAGACACCTCAACAATTCGAAACAGTGCAAGCATCAACGAAGATTTGCCAGCACCAGTCCTGAGGGGACATCGCATTAGCTTACATAGGTAGATCCAATAAACCAGCTAACCTTCCAACGACGCCTATCTTTTCGCCTCCCCTAATCTTGATGGAGATGCCCTTCAATACGTTGGGAAGGCCCGGCCTGTAAGCCATCTTAACGTCGTTGAATTCGACGGCACCATGTTCAGGCCATTGCGTCGGGGGCCCTCGTTCTTCGATCTCATACGGAGCCTCTTGAGGTACCGTATCGCCTGCGACGTACTGTACCACTGCGAGATGTCAGTAAGAATTGAGGTATGATGGAATTGGGGGCTCACATCGCTCCACTGAATTCATGTAATTCTGAGGCGAATAACAATTTAATAGCCCATGGGAGATGGTAAGAAAAGCCTTACCTCAACATCTGCTGTCTGTCTGGTTACCAGACTACACATTTGCGACAGCGAGGCTGTGACAGAGGTTAATCGATCGTATATACTGTAGTGGCGGCATTGGGAGACCCACTGGTATACGTCAACACCAACCCTATCTGAGCGGCGTTTATCCCGGAGACGTCGATCACCGCGAGAAGAGCAACCTATTGAGATCATATCGAGCAAGCACGATGTATCTGTCATTGGGTAGACGCCTACAAGGAAAACTAATATGGCTCCCATGAAGTCCAACCTCATTGCAAGCCATCTGAGGGAAGGTGATGAATAACGACCGCCAAGATATGCATAACTTGAAGGTTACTTGCCTCTGGTTCGTGACCACGAGGAATAGAGCTCTGTCCTCCAGATCAATGTAGTATCTATTGGCAGCAATAAACCTCTTCATTTCTCCGTAGCTGCGGATTGTGGGCAGTCCTGTTAAGGTCTCCGAAAAGTGGGCATACAGAAGAGAGCGAAGCATAGAGTCTGATGACCAACTTCAACGGAGGCTTTCGAGTCAAAAATACAATAACAAACCCAGACGCTTGACTTCGCGAGCACCAGCTCGATAAAAGGCAGCAAAGTAGCCGTAACCGATAGCAATGAAGAACACAGCAATAACTAGACAAGCATGAGCCATACCCTCGCAGATGATATCAATATACTGACCAAAGTACGGTTCAAGGATAGAAACGATGATGACAGAGCCAATCACGCTGGACAGCATGATGACAACTGGATCTCCAGTCAGTTTCTATAAATGAAGCGTGCGGCTAACGTACGCAATCTCGTTGATTCTGGACCACGGATAAGTTACATCTCACCATGCAGTGACAGATGACTCACGTGGTAGTTGATTGTCGATACCTGGATGAAATGTTTCAGCAAGTATAACATAGCACAAATAAATGAGATGCTGACCGTCGATATCTTTGCCAAAAATGCTTAGGATTCGGCCCATAGGCTACAGGAACACGATAAGCATTGGTTTTAGCGCTTCCATATTCAACCACTCACTGTAGTGTCAAAAAAGGACATAGACGCATGGAAGACGTTGCGTACGGACTTGTGGTGCAGGCTTTGAGATGCATAATATGAAATGAAATCCATTCCAGCACCACTGCAGCAAGTTGTGTTGAGCGAGCGTGCCGCCATCAGCGATAGGGACCGACTTACAGCAAGCACATGAAGATCGCTTGAGCAATCCCTAGACAGCCGTACAGCGTTTGATAGAACGAATTTGGTCTGTCGAATTTGCTGCACTAGGATTTAGAAAAGGAATCAAAGGGTCAATAAAAAGACACTGACTTGGCCTCCCACCAAACTAGCGTGTACGAGTTCAAGATCTGGCTTCCCTGCATCGCAAGCATGAAGAGAACAAGCAGGGGAACTGTTATTGAACCGCGTCCCGCAGCCAAGTATGTCCAGTACACTATGAGACCGTTTCAGTCTAGGGAAACATCTCAGATGAACTTGATCGCACCTCCCCAGGACACAGAGCCCGTCGACCGCTTCTCTTTGACGATCAAGCGACCTTCGAGTTTCCCACTGCCAGAAGCCCGTTCTCTGGCTCTTTCTGACTTCAGCTTCACATCCTCGATCGTAATGCCTGTCTGCGGAGTGACTTCCTGGTCTTCCTGGTCTGCATCTTCCCCCTCCGACGTATGGCCACCGAACTCTAGGTCCAAACGCGCAAAATCACCACCTTGAGAGACCAGATCCTCATAGGTTCCACTCTCTGTGATGACGCCGTTGTTCAGGGTATAGATGTAATCTACCTGGGAGAGGAAGTGGATCGCATGCGTGACCAGAATGACGGTAATGCCGCGATTTCGCAGGGCACCCACGATGGCATCTTGGAATAACGACTTTCCGACATGAGCGTCCACTGAAGGCATTCTTCAGTATGTTAGATATCATATAAATCACATAGCTCGCCTGCTGAGAGTGGGTCATCAAATATGACGATTTCAGGTTCAAAGTACAGGGCACGAGCAATGTTGACCTGGGTGGAAGATGAAGATCGATTCTGATCGGATGCAAGCCAAGAACTCACTCTCTGCTTTTGGCCACCGCTGAGATTGATTCCCTTTTCTCCGATCTGAAATAACATGAGCAGCGATATCAAGTTGAATTCATTCACATACCTCAGTCAAATCCCCATCTGGGAGCAGTTGGAGATCTGGAAGTAGACAAGCGGTTTCAATAACGCGCCAGTATCTGTCCTCCTCGAATGGTTGACCAAAAGTAATATTATCACGCTAGAGTAAGATTGTTAGAGGTATATTTGCCTTTGTTAGGGTGACATTATGCTGACCAATGTAGCATTCTGGATCCATGCGGTCTGCGGACAATATCCAACGCGACCGCCAAACGAGACATGCCCGGAGACCTTCCTCATCTCACCTATCAGTCCTTGCAATAAACTGGACTATTCATAGGTGAGCAGTCGCGTCAAGAATTTCATTCGACGAAGTTACCTTGCCGCTCCCAACAGGCCCAACTACAGCAACAAGTTGACCTCGTGGAATTGTCATGGTCACATTCTTTACCTGGAAAGGAGGTGTATCTTTTCCAGGAGCAGGCTTTTCCTTCGCCATGTCCTCTTTCACACTCCTGCCCTTACCCCTCGATGGACCGCCGCGTACACCCTTCGAGCTAAAAGCCTCACCAGAATCTCTTTCATAGGACTCCCACTCAAATGTTGCGTCCTTCGTCAAAAGCGCGAGTTCTTGGTCCTTGTCAATCAAGAGTGTATTTTCGGAAATAAGCTCCGCGTGGAACACCCGTGTGAGCCGCTGAAGCGCGCTGGATGCATCGGGGATAGCCGATAGAGCACGAGGCATGAACATCATTGGTTGCCGGAGAAGCTATTTGTCTCTCGATTAGGTCGGTGTTCATATCCGCCGCAAAAGACAATTTCACCTGGAACAAACTCAGCGAACTGAATATGACAGCAACGTTGAAGTCATGGGCTGTGAGGGTGTACGTGACGAAAGCTAGTGTGGTAGCGAGGACTGGCAGCGAAGTCGCGAGCGCCAAGCTGTGTATATTTAATCAGGAGGCGTCACCATGCTATACACATCTGGACTTACTTCGCCGAAGTTAGATGAAGAATCCATCGAATACCATGCAGTTCCTTCTTTCGAAGGTCGAAAATTCCTGAGCAATGTTGGTGAGTATGTTGTTGACCTTCCTTGACGTCATGCTTACTTTGAAGGAAAGGAACCTCGTATGAAAAGTACTTGACGACCCGCATAGCCCCTATGCACTTCAGTGTCCTTACACGTCCCAGTTGCCTCAAGGTTACGTACCAAGTACTTCTAGCAGAACTTTAGCTCGTTGATCAGTCCACTGCATTGACACTAAGCGAATACGATGTTGCAGTGTCATTAACCACTGTTGAATCGGAATCATGAGTATGAACAGTGAGAAACCAGCGAGTGCAGATGGCCCGAGCTAGTTTTTAAGTGCGGTTAGAATAAACTGAACTTTTCACGGCGTACAACAAACTTCAGTCAAGAGAATGATTAAACAAACTGTGACCTGAATAGGCGCGGTCCAGGCTTAAGGACAGTAAGTCATTTCTAAATCTGAATGTCAGATTCTATATACTGACCTGCATGCTAGTGACGAGGAACAAACTACAAGTCAGTCGACAGCAAGAGTGTAGTGCTTGAGTTTGCAACTCACGAACCACTGCGCACACGCGTCAACCCTGCTCACATCAGTAGAAATATGATTCACGAGCGTAGCGTTGTTGATTTTAACGCGCGCTTTGCCCGTCAGGTTCACTCCACGCTCGTAAATACATGTTATCAGCGCGGCTCTGGCCAGAACCCCTGTTGCCATCGAACGCCAAAAGAACTTAGGAACATTAGGTGAGCCGAGTGTAATTCATAAAATTTTACAAACCTGGTGGGTGCAGATGCTGGCCACCACAGTGAGCCCAAAGAGCCCAAAGGCCATGGCAACTCCACGACCGATATTAGGGCCAGGTGTTCCTGCAATGATTGCAGCGGAACGCTCCTGCGCAAAGAGAATGATTTGCTGCCAGGGGAGGACAGGCGTCAGAGGCTACCACAACCAGAACAAAAAATTGTTATTTACCCGAAGGACAATTGGACCCATGAGCTGCGCAGTATCACCAAAGACCTGACAAGTGTTGTTGTACATTGATTATGACAGTAATAAATGAGAGGAAAATTCGTACCTTGAATATACCTCCAATCCAGAACATCCCACGAAAGACATCATTCAAAGCCCAAGCGAGGCTGGCCTCTTTCCGCCCTTCGGATTCTCGCCAACGGTTCTGAGATGCTGCATATCGCTCAGACCAAGTCGCGCCTTGTTTCTGGTCATTCCTTGAAATTGCACGCATGGCCCAGCCGGTACGTTTGAGGAGAGACGGTCTGAGCTCCCCACTCTCAAGTCGTGCATTCCATTCGGCTGCTGCCTTAACACGCTGCTGCCATGCAGCTTCAAGTTTAGTGGCGAGGACGGCTGACTCTCGGGATGGATCCATTTTGTATAGATCAGATGCTTGTAGTGTGCGCTGATATCCGAGAATCTGGATGTGTGCATTATAGCAGTATACGTCGGTATCAAGGTGTAATGACTGACCGTTATATCTGTGACCCAGGAGTAGGTGAGCTGAGAGAAAATGGAAGCATTGGCCAAAGGCGTCAGCTGTAAAATATCATATTATTAGAAGGGTCCTCCAGAAAATCAGCGTAGGGGATTGCATACCGCTGCATCCTCCAGAGACGGGGGAGCTGGAGGTGGCGGGTCCTTAGGTAACCTGCCCGCGGCTCGATGAACTTCGGAGGACATTTGTTGAAAAATAGTTTACTTACCACAACTGCCACCATTTTCGACGAAAGTTGGTATACTCATCACCAGTGTCAAGCTGAAGGTTTAAAGGTTGAGGGTTGGCTCCTTTGATCTCCTCAACCTTTTCCTTGTCCCCCTTCGTAGATTCTTCTGACAGTTGGGAGTTCATACGGAACGAGATGGGAACAGCGAATACTGGGCCAGGCTTGCTGAGGAAGATTCGGAGCACCATCGGCCTATTATAAATACACATTGTCATTACATGAAGATAAGCATGAGGCGTGCCGTGTAAGCTAGCTTGAAGAAACCTCACGGTCACCTAGGTCACCTGTCACTCCATCAAACGTCCAGTGAGACACGAGGGCTGAAGAATACTTGTGACCCAGGAAGAGAGCTGAGGATCAAGGTCTATGCCAGACAAGTGACCGCCGCCAGTATCTCAGCTTGCTCGTAGTTGTTTTGCATCGAGCGGCCTGAATTCCTAGTTGAACTCTACTATAATAGATCATTAGAGCTACCAGCTGTGATAAAGTTATACACTAGCTGAAAGCGTGTCGTCGATGGAAGTCGCTGTAATTCGGCACCGAGGCTTGCAGCTGGCCAGAAGACTCGGATATTCTGTGATATTATATATCAAGAGGTAGCACCTCCCTCATACCGAAGAAGTTCATGAACGTCATACTAGTACATTCAAGTTGAAAGTTAATCAATTGATTCCTTTACGTACCCGGGTCTGAGTCAGATCACCACGGCAATCTCCTACAACCTCATTCAGAATTTCAGGCTAACGGTTGCTTTTTCGTTCACATGACTCCAGCTGGTTCTTCGTTAGTCGTCATAATTCAACCAGCGCCCTGTGTTGGCTTGAAATTCTTCAGTATCACTTGAGTAGTCTCAACTTTTCCGTGCCTGCTGACATCCCAGTTGGAGACAGTGCAATGTGCATTGATGATCGTGTTTCATGAATTGTTTTCATGCCGTTGTCTAGTAGACAGGTCAGGGCACTGATTGTATCGTCGCTAGGTAGAATGGCGGAAACGAGCATGCTGTCGATGAGGCTCTTCGATTGTCCTGGTACAGAATCTTTGCTCTGACCATTATGAACATATGCGCGTCTCTTGTGTGAGTCTTCTATTGCTTTGTCCCACTGAACTCATTCATTGCTGCCGCTTACTATCCCAGCTAATCGCAATTTCACACCGGACACCTTGGTCCGAAATTCTCGCAGTACTTTCTATCGATAACTCTTTTTGGCTGTCGCAAGTATTGAGAGAGGGATCGAAGCCAATAAGAAGCAATGTGGCATAAGGCCGCCATCAACCTCTCCCTCCCGCCACCATAGCCAGGCCGCCTTTATGTTGTATGCTATTCCTAGTAGAAATTTCCGTGTTGCAATTCATTGCTAATGCTCTAGTTCGCAGTGTGTACTGCCATCTCAGATCAACCATACGTATTCTCATCGGCAGCGCCCAAAATCACTGAGCCGTGCGATATCCGCAGTACCACACCGCACCTCGGACACCTGTGGCACGTATATATAGTTTAACGGTAAGCGCCCCGATGGGATGAAGAGACTTGTCGACCATTGTGACTCATAGATTCATCATTATAGTATCTTCCAAGTTCATCACCGTCCGTCATTGATACTGTTGACGAGCAAGCCAGTCAAATCAATCTCATCTTGGGAGGCCCCTCGTTAGATGTGTATATATGTCGAGTGGCTGGAATTCAGGTGAAATCGTGATATCAGACATCGCAGGACTGAGTGCACGAGAATCAAATGCCAATGGGCTTGGTAAAGATAACAACCCTGAAGAGCAACCGGCAGATGGCATCAAAAGATCTGGAACAACGAGACCAAGAGCTGGTGATACAGACGCAGACGCAGACGCACTGGCAGAAGACGGAAAATAAATTGAATGTGCTGCAGTCGGTCCCACAATTTGAGAGGAATCATCACACGACTGAGGTGCAGATAGCGCAGCATGCATCATTACAGGTTGATTGAAACGAGCAGATTTATTGGGTGAGCGATATGCTAGAAGGTCAGACCGCGCGTGTGCCTGAATGCTCTCTATGTGTAGATTACAATCCCGGATATGCATCAAGAGAGTTTTCGGACGGCTAACAAGCCAAATCCGCTGTGGGTCGTGCATGCCAGTAGCCCACACTACAATAAAACGCGTCAGAAACAAATGGGTAGTGCTTACCTGCTCCCTTAATCGCATTCTCGTCCCGTACATGGCCCCGCGATCCAAACTGTACCTCCCGCTCATCATGAACCTGTTCTGCCGCAACATAATTTTCGAGTTGTCTGGTGCAGATTACTTTAGCCTTCTGCTGCGACATCGACGCTGGGCTCTCATAGCCAGGGTGTTCTACGAATTCTGCCCACCGCCAGCCCCGATTGGTACTCCGAGTTTTCTTCCTGCCACTACTAGCCATGAGATGACGGTCGTGAATCAGTGCTGACGAAGGAGAGCGAGAAAAAAGAGCGGGGCTACATTTTGCACCAAGAACCACAGGAGTGGGGGCACGGGGAATCCGCATGTATTATTACCAGCGCTGGCTGTACTCGGTAGAGGACTGTTTATTGAGATTATTGTGCGATTCAGTTTACATTAATACATCATGGCAAGAACGTAAAACTCACCTTGATCAATAGAGAAACATTTAGTATAAGGAACAAGGACCATGGTACCTGACACGTTCACGTTCAAGTGAACTTCGCCGACTGTCGCCGACTTTCACACCCTTAAACTTTGCGTTCACTGAATGGAACCACGGTCAGTGATCGGCAGAACACCGGGAGTAACATCCGTCATCCTCGGCGCCGTTGTTGAATTAATCACCTCGATCTCATCCAGAATAGTCTGTCGTATCATTCCTTCTTTCACCCAATCCAACTTTTTGAAATCAAAAGCATTTTCCTCCAGCACTTCGTCAACGTTTAGAACTTCTTCAGTCTTCTTCGATTCTTCGAGAGCCGCAAATTTGGCATCAGGCAAGATACTCTCTGGACTAGCAAGGTCATCTGCATCACGAGGTTCGGCTGAGAGCAGAGGTGCCCACGCAAATGATGCTTCAACTGCAGCTTTTATAGCACTTTGGTATCGAAAGGTTTGCATGAATTTTGCTGAGTGTCTCAAATGTCTTAACTGAGAGATTCCACCGTCGAACGAATTGTGTTGTGCTGAAATCAGAGGATGTGCGCTCTACTTTGCCTGTATGTTTTATTGACCAGATTTAAGTTACATCTCTGCGAGTCTGTAGACTGTGTCAGATGTCGGAAATTTGCGAAAGCGGTTGCAATGGGCGCCCATTTAGATGCCGTTGAAATGCTGCCTGAAATGGCAAGGCAATTCTGATTACGCCCTGAAACGTTAAGAGAATTCTGATGGCTGAGTTTCAATCAATTGTAAGGCGTGATGTGACATCAACGTCGTTCCCCTTATCATTCTATCAGTACCCAATAGTGATTTCTTCTTGATTTCTCCATCCTTCCACTGTCATATAACACTGTTGTTTTATTATTCTACAAAATGGCCCCCAGCTGCACAAAGTTATGTGAGTTATGCGGTCAAAAAATCAAGCCGTGAGGTTGGACCACTCATAGGAAAGCCTGCGAGATGAATGCAGAAAAGCGACGCTGCGATCAAGTTGTTGTAGATGCAATCCAGAATGAAAAAGGTATGTTGATTTTGAATCGGTTCTCAAAGCTGACTGTAATCTGTAGATCTTGCAGTGAACTCTGTACTTGATGGACGACGGACAGCTCAGCCTAGTCGCGCTCATACACCAAGTACATTTCCTGTTATTTGACATCCGTGATTTGTATGAGCCTCTCTCCCAGTTGAGGCGAGAGTACCCCAGTATGACATCGCACACGACTTTGATGTAGACTTTGGCTTGATTGGTGAGTCTATTAGCGCGTGTTTCATTGACTACTCTGAACCGTCGCTATTGCTACAATAATGACACTATCGATTTTCAGACCCTCTTGAACGTGAATTTGTGGATGCAGCAGCACTCCCTACCTATTCGCTCGATGATATTAAGGTTGAGCACCACCCACATAGTGGGATCGAAACGAAAGTCCATGCATTCAGTAATTTCCATCGTCGTCCGGCAATCTCTTCAGTTGACACCCCTCCTGATCACCACCCTTGGTGCCCTTTTCAGTCTCGGCTTGAATTCGAAGTTGCCGAGTTTGCTCTCGAGGTTGGACTAAACAATGAACAGACAGACCGTCTCATCAATATTTGCCATCGTTGTTCAGTCAGAAAGGATAAATTCATGCTTAGGAACTATAAAGATATTCACAGTAAGTGGGATGCAGCGTCCCACTGGATCACTAAGGTCCTTATATTCGTTTCTACTGTATGGCGCCAGATTTGACCTTTCTCAAAGTACAGTTTATGAAAGAAGTGATATCTGTGCCTTATAACAGCGAGATGCAGGCATTCGATGTATACTATAGAGACCTTTGGGAGCTTGCTACTGATCTCCTTCGGGACCCCCACCTTTTCCCTCACTTTATGTTCGATGCACAGCGCTTATCAAAGTTTGATGGGCAAACATTTGTCCCCTTTGTAGATGAACCTTACACCACACAAGACTTTTGGGATGTGCAAGTATGTATCTGATGGTTTTACTTTTGATTTTATATATGAAACATTGTACATTTGTAGTCACAACTACCACGAGATGCGAAGCCACTAGCTTTCATCTTGTACGCCGATAAAACAAGGCTGTCATCATTTGGCACTGTGAAAGGTTACCTGGTTGTTGCACGCTTAGCAAATCTACCTACTGACATTCGGAACGGACGAGGTGTAGGTAGTGGTTACATTGTAGGATGGCTGCCAATTGTATGACCTGCCATTTGTCTCTCATTGTCAGCACTAACGGTGGGATTGTGATATTATTAGGTGGCGGAGGATAAAGAGCATGCTGGGAAGCTGAGCTGGGTGAACTTCAAAAACATGGTTTGGCATGAGTCATTTGCGAGAATCACCTCTTCTCTGGCTTCGAAATCAAGGACCGGACAATGGTATTCTTGCCTAGATGGGATCAATCAGTGGTTCTTTCTCTGTCTACTTATTTTATCGGCTGATTATGAAGAACAGTAAGTATAAATTGCATTTTGCTCGTAGTATTTACATTGTGCTTTCCCTAACGAAAATTTACAGATGTGTCATGTCGCTTACTCGAGGGGTCATGAGCCTTTGGCCATGTCCCATTTGTCTCATTCCTCGAGATGAGCTTTGGGATACCTCACAACGATATCCTCGCCGAATCACGAACACATCACGTGAAATTGTATTGGCTGCACGGGAAAAAGATACCTATGAAGAACTAGAGGAACTTCTCAAACGATATGGACTTCGCGATGTTACTGTGAGTTTTGTGTCTATTATTTGCGAAGCTATTAATACAACATATTTTTTCAGAATTCACTATGGGCCATCCAGTACTCGGATGTCCATCGAGCATTGTCACACGATTGATGTCACTACCACCATGGTGGCCTTTGGTCACATCATTTCTGGGCCGAGCTGCAAAAGTATTTGGCGAGTCTCGGAAGGGCAAAAGTAGCCCAGGTTGATAAGAAGTGCGTCACTTTCTTTTAATTGTGCTATCTAACATGTTACCCTCTTCTAATATATCTATAGTTTTGCAGCATTTCCGCGATGGCGAAACTTGAAGCATCTGTCACAACCCAATAACGAATTAACGCTGGGCAGAGACTAGGACTCAAACACAAGATAATCACAAAGAGGATAAGGCAGCAGGTACGTCTCGGATTGCTCACTAGGAGATACAAGAGGTTTGAACTAAAGAACTACTGACTACAAGATACTACCTATATACACATATTTGTAACTGAGATCGAAACTGAGTCTGAACTAACTACCAATCAAATAATAAGATGATATCGTACGATTCTATATATAACTATGATGTCATGACATGTGCCGCAGCAACTGTAAGGTTCTGGAACATTCTGTCAGGGTCGTTTGGAATAAAGTTTAGTCCGGCATACTCCGATAAGTCACGTGACTCATTCATAGGTTCTTTAGGTAACTCTACAATAGACGCCGTTGTTGGGACATCTTCAACTATAAATACTTTCTTAGTAACAGGCGCTGTGACTGGGCGCTTAAAGGACTTAGAATTTAGGAACGTATAATGGTTCGTATTTGGAACTCGTGACATTACCCCCTCTCTAGGTTGAGCGTCATCGCGAAAGACATTTGGGCGGATAAAGTTTCGACGCCACTCCAAGAATTCTTGTGTTTCGAACACCGATTTATTAATTTTGCGGGGATTCAATGCCTTCGGATTTTGCCGGTGAAATTCTTGTATTTTCAACCGCGCATTCTCGAGGTTCTCTTCAGGTTCCCATGTCGCTTCTTCTATCGGATATCCTTCCCACTCTACTAGGTATTGGAGTTTTGATCTGTGCAGTCTCGAGTCTAGGACTTTTCGTACTGTCCATTCGGAATCGCCTTCTGATACAATCTCTGGCGGCGGACGATGATGTGGAGGTCTTTGGATTAAGGTCGAGGGGGAATGCGGAGTGAGTAATTCTACATGAAATACTGGATGGATCTGATATTTTGCTGGAAGTTTCAGGCGGTAATTTACATCACCCGTCTTCTCAAGCACTTCGAACGGACCAAGTCTTCGGTCGGAGAGTTTCTTATTTGGTCTCTTTTGATGAATATTCTTGGCGTTGAGCCAGACCATGTCTCCTTTCTTGAACTGTGGTGCGTCTTTTACTCCTTTATCGTAGAATCTCTTCATCCGCTCACTAGCCATGCGCAGCATACTTTCTGCGTCTTCTTTCGCCTCTTTCATTACATCCACTCGTTCATCAGCTGCAGGTACTTTGGAGTTGGAAATCGGTGAAAAAGTAAACTCTGGGTTGTATCCGTAGAGTACTTTAAATGGACTATGACCAGTTACAGTGACGGAATTGTTGTGAGCGAATTCTGCTAGCGGAAGCCAGTCTACCCAATCATTTTGGCAGTAAGACGTGAACATTCTCAGATATTGCTCAACTTCTTGGTTTATTCTTTCCGTTTGTCCATCTGTCTGAGGATGATAAGCCGTTGACATGTTCCATTTTATGCCTAGGCGTTTCGACACTTGTCCCATAAACTTGGAGACAAATTGTGTTCCTCTGTCTGATATCACCTGCTTCGGGGTTCCATGGTGTTTCCATACGTTATCTAAGAAAAGTTTCGCGATTCCTCGAGCGTCAACTTCCTTTTTTGTAGGCATGATGTGCGTTTGTTTTGTGTATCGATCAACGACAACAAAAATAGAATCGAACCCTTCGCTTTTAGGCAAATCTACTATCAAGTCACAAGTGATTGATTGCCAAGGTCCCGCTGGTATTTCGTTTGGTTTAAGCGGACCGTGTGGTTGCGTTGGGTGAATCTTCGTTGCTCTGCATCTATCACAGCCATCTACGTAATCGTGGACATACTTTGTCATTGAAGGCCACCAATAATTTCTGGAAATCAATTCTAAGGTTTTGGCTCGTCCTGGATGTCCAGCCGGTGGAGAGTCGTGAAACAACTCCAATATCTCTCGGCGGATCTCTTTATCGTTTGGAACGTAAACCAATCCTCGGAATAACACCAATCCATCCTCAACATTCCATTCTTCAATCCCTCTGCGTAGTTGTACCGGTGCCGCTTTCAATGTTTCTAACGCTTTAGCGACTTCAGGTTCTTGTTCTGTGCATTGCCTTATCCTTCTCAGCAATTGTTTTTCTCCTTGCACTAGAACTTGACCTCTTTTGGCAGCTTTTACAGTAAAAAACTCCGGTTTTAACAGAACACGATCAGAATTGTCGTTTTCTACCCCCTCTCTGTGGTCTTCTCTCCGAGATAGACAGTCTGCCTTATCGTTAACTACACCAGGCTTATGTTGGAGCGTAAATTCGTACTCCGCCAGGAATAAACTCCATCTGGCTTGCCTTCTTGTCAACTTTTGGCTCGTCATGAAATACTCGAGATTCTTATGATCCGTCCAGATCTCCACATGATGAGGTTTTCCCTGCACGTAATGTCTCCACTCCTCCAACGCTCGAATGATCGCCAATAATTCTTTGTCATGAACGTCATAATTTCGTTCTGCATCATTCATTGACTTCGAATAATAGGCTACGGGATGCCATAAATCATCTTCCATCAGTTGAGATAGAACCGCTCCGGTTGCATAATCAGAAGCATCGGTTTCTATTTTCATCTTTTTCTCAACGTCCGGCATGACTAGAATCGGAGCTGTTGTGAACCTTGACTTCAGTTCATCAAATGCATCTTGTTGTTTCTCCGTCCAGTCCCATTTGACATCTTTCCGTAATAAGTCATTCATTGGTCTGGCAATGTCCGAAAACCCAAAGATAAATCTTCTGTAGAAGTTGGCAAAACCCATAAACACTTGAATATCTTTAACGCATTTAGGTGTGGGCCAATTCATCACTCCTTCTACTTTCACAGGGTCCATCCGAACACCACCCTTCTCCACTATCAAACCGAGGAACTCGACTTCTGACTGTTCAAAGCTACATTTTTCAGGCTTTAGATACAAGTCATTTTCTTTTAGTCGTTTCAGTACCTCACGTACAACCTTCCGGTGTTGCTCCTTATTGCTATTTGTGAACACGAGAATATCATCGATATAGACAACTACGGTCTTTCCATCAATTAGATCTCTGAATATCTCGTTCATCATTGTTTGAAACGTGGCAGGGGAGTTTGTCAACCCGAAGTACATTACGGTTGGTTCGTGGTGACCAAACGGCGTTTTGAAGGCCGCCTTCCACTCATCTCCTTCTTTCATGCGAATGTTATTGTACCCCCATCGTACATCCATCTTGGAGTACATCGTGGCACCGGTTAAAGCGTCAATTAAATCTTGAGATCTCGGTAGCGGATATGCATTTTTAACCGTCTTCTCATTGAGCTTTCTATAGTCCATCACCGGTCTTAACTTGCCATCTTTCTTGGCCACAAAGAAGAAAGGTGCTGCCACTGGGGATTGTGACTCTCTAATACATCCCAGTGCGGTCTCAGCTTTCAACCAATCTTTCAAAGTGTCCATTTCCTTTGGTGACAAGGGGTAAGGTTTCGCATTTGGCGGGAGATCGCCATTATCCTTAAGATCTATCGCATGATCCCACTTCTTTTTTTCAGGGAAGCGCTTAGATTCTTCTTCTGAGAAAACTCCCAGGTAATCGTGAAGCCAATCGGGAACCATCTCTTCAACCGATTTCTTCACCTTTGTTGCTTCTTCTGCAACCTTCTGCTCCGTGGCGACTGAGGCTTTATATTTGATCCATTCTCCAGGATACTCTTCATCTTCTATTTCCTCAACCGTCGCCCTTTTCATCGCCATGTCTTCTTCGTCATCCTCTTCTGTGGGAATCAGATCTGGCACTTCTTCTGTCTTTTTTTGTTCTTTTCTTTTTTCTTTATTTTTTTGTCTTTGTTCTTTTTTCGTAATACATTTAATCGGGCATCGAGAAAGTGCAAACTGTCCAGCATTCCAGTCTATTTCCGGATTATGATATCTCAGCCAATCTATGCCGATAATAACATCATCGTTTCCTAGGTCCGTAACCATGAAGGCTGCTTCATCCTCAACATGATCACCGATCTTTAGACCTAGTTCTGCGAAATGTGTCATTGATCCCGCGGCATTTAGCGAGCCATCAATATTTTTGACCGGAATAGGTCTTAATAATTTACGACACTGGACCTCATTCTTTTTTACGAATCTTTCACTGATAAATAATGTTGATGCTCCACAGTCCACTAGCGCTTTCACGTCTGCTTGTCGGTTCTTCCCTTTCAACGTAATCGGAATATAAAAATGCTCAGATTTGGATTTAATATATACTTCTGATACATCCGAAAACGTAGATAGAATGGAGAAACGATTGTTCGGGTCTAAGTTCGCAGACTTTGACTTCGACCCTTCTAAAAACCCTTGCCTTCTTTGCTAGCAGTCCAGTCTTTGAACCACTGCGGCATTGAGTTCTCTTCTTTTGGCACTGTAGTAGCCTTCACCTGCGCTTTTGGCGCGACTGCGTCTTTGCAGTTTCTAGCCATATGGCCTTCTCCTCCACAGCGGTAGCATTTGAAAGATCCAGTCTTTCCTTGGGGCTTGGGGGCCCACTTTTGCTTTCCGGAGTCGACGTCCATGGCATCACTTTCCCTACTTGGACCTGCTTTGGACTCGTAGTTTTTGGGACCTCCTTGCTTTGGAGTCCACCACGTTGTTTTCTTCTTGTCCGCATCTAGCTCTTCGAAGTTGCGTCCGATCTGGATCGCGTGTTCCACCAGTTTCTTCATGGTGTCTTTGTCCTTGTAAGGAACATGTGCGAGCTGTATCTTGACGCGGTCTTGAAGTCCGTTTCTGAACTTTTGTCACTGGTCGTAATCAGAGAATGAAGTGTGTGCAGCCTTTTGTCTAAAAGTGGCTGCGTACTCTGGGACTGACGAAGATCCTTGTTTGAGAGAATCCAAGTCTCTTATCGCCTTCCCTTCTTGATCTTCCTGCTTCCACATAGCAGTGAAGTCGTCGTCGAGTTTTTCCATGGTGAGTTTTCCTTCTGCATGGTCCTCGATGTATTTCTGCGCCCATCTTCCGGCTGCTCCTTTCATGAATGATAGCATGACCGAGATTCTTTGTTTCTCAGTGATGTTCAGCCATTGTGATTGGTACAGGGCAATTTGAGCGGCCCAGGTTCGCGCATCTATGGAGTCTCTTTCTCCAGTGAAATCTGCGGGTTTCGCGAATTTGATGTTTGGGGTATTGTTTCCCATCATTGCAGCCCCCGCTGATCCGAATGATGGTTGTGCAGCGGCCATCCTAACCGTTTCATCCTCCTGTGTCTTTAAGCGTAGTTCCAGGTCTCCATTTTTAGTGGCTAATTCCTGGTTCTTTCGCTCTAGTTCTGTTATCTTTTGCAGAAGGATGCTACTGGTAGCAGCGATTTGGTCCTGTACGTATTGTAGGAACCATTGCTCTTGAGTTTGTGCCGGTTGCGGTTGTTGTGGTTGTTGTGGTTGGGAAGACATAGTACCAGTTGTTTTCTGGAACCCGATTTACTGATGTCTGTTTGAAGAGCTGCTCGTAAGGGCTCTTCCGAAAGGGAATGATGATGAAAAGAAGAAAGTTATGTAATGGAAAACTGAGCGGTCCCCGATATCTGATCGGATCTACCACTGGCTCAGGGTCAAGGGGTTCTGGTAAAATCCCACACTGACGCTTCCCTAATACTGACTAAGAAAAGGATACGTAAACTATACTCGATTGAGTGGGAAAAACTAGGGACAATGCAATCTCCGTTTTGAGGGTACAAGCCTAGGACAAGTTATCACTCTTCCAGCCGAAGCTTACAAGTGCGAGTCTCACTAGGGTATGTCTCTAAATCCTCGTAGGTCGAAAGCACGGTTTGTCGTCTAGACAGTTCCGCTATTGACTCGAAACGAATGCCTACGTGTGTAATGAAAAAGGTATGGGTAAAAGGAAACTATAGTAACGTTGAGCAGGCAGGGTTTTGGGCCAGCACTCAAAGTTGCAGCGAGACGCCTAATGTCGTCAACACCTCCGTATACTGGCGGCTGTGGTAAGACAGGGCCTGGTATAGGACTACTAACTAATAAAGCGGATAGGTATGAAGTTTGCGCTCAAGTGAGCAAGGGATGATGAAAGGTCTCGGTTGTTTAGACCGGGCAAAGAGTAAACGGCTTTGTTTGAATGACAATATGAAAGGGCTTTCAATATGGCCAAGCAAAGAAAGAGATGTGCGAGAGTGTAACGCGAGAGTCAGAGTCTCCTATAGTTCAAACTTAATGTCACAACCCAATAACGAATTAACGCTGGGCAGAGACTAGGACTCAAACACAAGATAATCACAAAGAGGATAAGGCAGCAGGTACGTCTCGGATTGCTCACTAGGAGATACAAGAGGTTTGAACTAAAGAACTACTGACTACAAGATACTACCTATATACACATATTTGTAACTGAGATCGAAACTGAGTCTGAACTAACTACCAATCAAATAATAAGATGATATCGTACGATTCTATATATAACTATGATGTCATGACATGTGCCGCAGCAACTGTAAGGTTCTGGAACATTCTGTCAGGGTCGTTTGGAATAAAGTTTAGTCCGGCATACTCCGATAAGTCACGTGACTCATTCATAGGTTCTTTAGGTAACTCTACAATAGACGCCGTTGTTGGGACATCTTCAACTATAAATACTTTCTTAGTAACAGGCGCTGTGACTGGGCGCTTAAAGGACTTAGAATTTAGGAACGTATAATGGTTCGTATTTGGAACTCGTGACAGCATCTGAACCAGGTAATGAACATCGTATTTGCAGACAGCTCTGTCCACGAAGATATCTCCAAGGTTCGTACTTCTATTATTGTGTGCAATTGTCTCACTATTAATGCATTACACTACAGATGATAATATATGCTACACACGACATTCTGACTGAGGAAGACTCTCTGCTTGGATACCTTTTACTTCGCTGCATGTGCCTTTACCTTGAGGTCGACATGTATGCCGCCTTCGAGGTTCACACAGCCAATACAATCAGCGAGGGCAGAGGTGCCATTCAAGCCCTGACGGTGTTTATGAAGGTGTGTCTAGTAATACTCTACTGTAGCAAATGAATAGTAGTATTAGCTGTAGCAATACATCACGGTGACTGAGGAGGACGACAAAAACTGGAATTTTCCAAAACTCCACATGACCACGCACCTCTTCGATGATATTGAAGCTAAGGGAGTCACGAGGAACTACAACACGAAGCCGAATGAACAAATGCACGGTCCATTGAAGGATTGGTACCAGCGCCGGACCAATTTTAAGAATGTCGCCGAACAGGTGAGATATTACAAAGCCACTTTTTTTTCATTCAACTACTGATGTAGTATCATAATAATTACAGATTCTTCGTTTAGACCACTGGCTACTCGTTGCGGATGACATTCGTCGTCGAATCTTTGACTTTGATGAGTATTCAAGGGCGAAATCACAAGGCCAAATAAACGATATCGATGACATTGACAACGACGCCCATGAGGATGGCCTCGATTCTGATTTGACAGATCCTATTCTACATGACTTCAACCCTTTAGATGGATCTCTGCACGTGAAATTAGGGTCGCGGTGTAGAAACAACAATACAGAGTGGAACAAATGATGCTCCAGACTGTATCTGTAAATGTTGTAAGGTCGCGCATTGCCTAGTCTGCTATACCTGAGACGACAAGTGCATTCGACCCTAAAGGGGAAGCGAGTGCAGCAAGGATCTAGTAGTGCGCGCTGAAGGCGCTACTGGTCGGCTGATGCGAAGTGCGAGAAAGCGCGCAGGTGCGCGCGAGGCGCGGGAAAGCGAAGGTACGCGCGCACTTGCGTGAGCGGAAACAAGTGAGAGTAAGTGTGAGTTTGCTTAAGTGATGATAGATGAAAAACAAGTGATGTGAGCGCGAGGTGTCAAAGAATAGATTTCAACTATATTCTGCTAGGTAGTAAGTGGGTAAGTGGGAGGTAGCAAAGGTAAGTTGGTAGGTAATGCTGGCGCTTATATGGCGCCTAAGCGCTGTCATGCGGAGCCGAATCGCTACCGAGTAAGGTATGTAAAGATATATGTATGTAAGTAAGGGTCCATGATATAAATAAAGGTGGAATGATATGCAAATAAGGGAAATGGAAATACATGCACTAGAGAGCTTGGTGGACAGTGGATGGATGCTTCCGGAAGGCTGGCGCTATAGGGCGATCAAGCGCGGGAAAGCGCGCGCGCGTATACATCGTAAAGTGCAGGAAGTCGTGCGTGGGAAAGCTGCGCCTCATATAGGAATAGCTGTGGATAGCACACAGAGTGATGCTACAAGTTCGTGCTGTGTACTCCCTAGTGAATACTGCCATATCACACAATGAGAGGCATGAGTCTCTACATCTCCCAGGGACTTAAATTCTGAGTGTCCCCACTCAGCGCGCGTGTGGTGAGGATCTCGAGTGATGGTATGCGAGTGCGATGCATGTACGGTGCTTGGGTTGTTGGGCGATGAATATGCGAGTGCAGGAATGTATCACATGGTATGCATGAAGCGTGGGAGGTTGCGCGTGCTAGGCACGAAGGCGCGGGAATGTGCGCGCATTTAGGCGCAGGGGTGCGGGAATACAGCATAGCATGGCGAGTTGCGAGGGTGACTCTGATGTGAACAATGCGCCATGGGCATGAGGCGATGGTGTGAGAGTGATATGGATATGGCGCGCGAAGCGTGGGAGAGTGCGCGCGCACAAGGCACGAGAATGCGCGTGAGTGTCGCATGTGTTGTATTCTGTGGGGACACCATGAGCTGTTGCGCAATGATCTTGGAGTCCAATATGCGTGGGTGGGTATGATGTGAAGTGGCGCGGTCCAAGAGCGATCCAATCCATGTCCAAACCAAGTCCTGCTAGGTGTGCTAAATATTAGGTGCTAAGGGTTTGAACAGTGTGAGTAAAACTATATGTGAAAATGTGAAGGAAAAACAGTAAACATTGCGGATGTCCTATCCGACTTGTCTTCTTCGTGCGGCTGTCGACATCTACACCTTCCTATGAGCAAGGCGCGGGAAGCGCATGCACGCGCGCATGAGGCGCATGGGCGTGGGAAGATTGTGCGCATATGGGCGCGTTCTAAGGTAAAAAGAGCATGGTGCCGCGTCATGCGTAAGAAGAGAAAATAATGTCCTATTGAGCTAGGCGGGCACAATCTAAGGTTGTTTTGTTGTTTTTCTTCTATGTTCTTCTAGGTGATTCCTATATGCATATATATCAGCGCATTATTAGTCCTTTGACGGTGTTATAATGAGAAAAACTAAAAATGAAGGAGCGCTGGACGAAACCCAGGGTAAAACAAACGGTATCCTATGAAACAGCATTGTTATGTGTTTTTCATTGATGCGCAGCTGAAGCGCTCGAAGCGCATGGTGTATGTGGCATAGGCGAGGGTTAGAGGGTGCAAGACTGGCGCGCTTTGGGTGCTTGGTTCCTCCTCCTTGAGCGCGTGCGAGTGCGCATGACTAGCGCACTTCGCGTCTCTTGCGAGCTGACACTTTACCCAAGGTAGGGTTGGAATGTGCAAGGCTGGCGCGCTTGGGGTGCTAGGCGCCTCTTCATCAAGCCTCTTTGATTGCGACTCCAAGGTGGGCTAGTAACCGGCAGAATGAATTCCTGCACAACGCGCTGCAGGTTGAAGGCGCGCCAATGGGAGGCGCTGCAAGGGGTGTAGAAGAGCTCTACGAGCTGATAGGATGCGCGCAATGTGCGCGCCTTGGGGTGATTTCGTGCGAATTTGATTATATTGGCCGAACACGCGAGGAATGGCCATTTCTCTGCAAATGTGTTAGCAAGAGACATATATAGTGTGGAATTAGGCGCAAATGTTGCGCAAATGGGCTGTAAGGGTGGTTTATCAAGGTGCAATAGGCGCATAGGTGAAAGAGAATAGTGCACGTCAGGGTGTGCAGTAACGAAATTGACATGGTAAGCAAAAATGTGAAGAATGCGAATAAACGTGGAAAGTGCGAAGTTAAAGATGATGATAGGGGAGTTAGGCGCATATGTATGCGTCAGGCGCGCGCCTAAGTCGCGCCTGGATAGCTGATTGGAATATATTTCGCGTTGAATGACAGAAATGTGATTTAAAAGGGGAGGAACGATAGAAATGCGATAGTGCGGAAACTCTGCTAAAATGATAGATGCGCGAGGCGCGGGAATTATCGCGCGATGCGCGCAATCATGGCGCGTGAACAAGGGGTGGTGCGAAGATGAATTTAAAGTGTTTGGAAGTGTCATATAGCTCCTTGAGAGCTTTAAACATGAAAAAGACAAAAAGCGCGAAATGAGATGAGGGTAAATATACAATGCCTCTAGGTGCGTGCACTGCACGTCCTTAGGCGCGATGTGGTGCGCCTGAGTTACCTCAGGGTCGCCTGAGACATGCTCTGCTCGGTGGTTGGGCAGCGCGATGCACGGATGCTTCAATGGCGAGCAATAGTCGCTAGAAGCAAAAAGCGCAATGTGCGCGTGCGCGTTAGTGACAGATGGAATTACCAGAGACAAACTTTGGTCAACGCAAGGTGTAACTTAAGCCTCTGATGTGGTAGAAGGCTCCTCTATAGGTGCGCTAAGGCGCAATAGATGTTTAGGGTCATCCCTGACCTCTGATGATGCGAGCGGCGATAGTGGTGATGGTGATGGTGCAATTGGCGAGATTTCTTCCTTAAGCGATGCAATAGTGGTAGGCGAGCGTGTTTCAAGCAATGGCGTAATAACTTCCACAATGGGCGCGTTATTGTGCAATAGATATTTAGAGTCATCCCTGACCAATGGCGATGCAATAGCGATAGGCGAGCGTATTGCAAGCGGTGCGTTAGTGTGCAATAGATGTTTAGAGTCATCCCTGACTTTAGGTGATGTGATTGATGCTGATACGGGCAGCAAATGAGAATTGTCAGTGTGCAAAACAGGCGATGAAAGAGATGATGATGGGGGCAAAGAGGCGCCTGCAGTGCGCTTCTGGTTGCGCTTTGCGAGTACGCACTCGAGTTCGTGATCTAAAGCAATGCAATCTGGTATAGCTTTGTGTGCTGGTGCAGTTGATGGTTTGGGTGCGTGTGAATCGCGCGAAGGCGCGGGAAAGGCGTGAGAATAGGAACTGGTGGCCTTATGTCAAGTACAATATCTGAGGATGTGCGATAGAAGAGTCCAGCTGCCACACTAGCACTAGTGGTTGTATCCTGGGTCACGCGGCTCGTGTAGTATCGATCTTTGTACTTAGTTACCATGGCTTGCACTGGTGCTTGCGCTGGTGCGGTCGCTGTAACTAAGTTCGTGATTGGCACTACCACAGGCGCGCTAACAGGCGCGCTTGTCACAGGAGAAGCGCGCGCAGGTAATAGGAACTGCACAGCTGCAAAGACGTCCATAAACAGATATGGGTCGTATGGATAGTGGTCGGGGAACTTGATCATAAGGCGCAAGCAAATTTGCGCCTGAGCATCTCTAGGGATTCCTTCCATGAATAAGCGGTCGTGTTCGGCCTTTCCAATACGGTCTTCATCCATAAGTGGCTGCATAATCTTCCTGAATGCGCAAAGATAGTTGCTTAGCTCTGTGCAAGAGGGCATCAGTTTGTTAGCGTAATCGTGCGCAATGGCGCATAGATCCATGAGCACGTAGCGTCTTTTACCATCCCATCCAGGATACATTACCTTAACTTCTGTCATGAATGCATCATAATCGCTTACTGCCGCTTCAGGCATGCCTCCCCATAGTTCTCGATCATCGCGCTCAAGGTAGCGAATAATACCTTTGATGCGGTTGAGTCCTTGGAGTCCTGCTTCATCAGCGAGCTGCTCATATGCGTCAATGAATTCAGCGAGATTGTCTGTAGTGCCATCAAACTTGGGCGCGTTCGTTGTGCCGCGGATGGGCATTCTAAAGGGCATTGAAGCGCGGGAAAGGCGTGCGCGCGAGGCGCGAGAATGCGCAACTACAAATGGTTAGCTTGTGTAAGTGCAAAGAGATTGACCTATATATATGCGCTAGATGGCGCTAAGTGCGAAAGTGCATAGAAGTAGATCTTGCTGACTGTTCCCCTCGCGGTGGGCTCCAGTTGTAGAAACAACAATACTGAGAGGAACAAATGATGCTCCTGACTGTATCTATAATGTTGTGAGGTCGCGCATTGCCTAGTCTGCTATACTTGAGACGACAAGTGTGTTCGACCCTAAAGGGGAAGCGAGTGCAGCGAAGATCTAGAGGTACGCGCTGAAGCGAAGCGTGAGAAAACGCAGGTGCGCGCAAGGCGTGGGATACACGCGCGCGTATGCGGAAATGATAGAGAGTAAGAGTAAGTTTGCTTAAGTGATGATATGATGTAAGACAAGAGGTATGAGATGTGATGTGCTAAGGAATAGATTTCTACTACGTTCTGCTAAGTAGTAAGTGAGTGCAAAGTTGGGTAGTGAAAAATCAGTCCCTAATAGTATGTACTGCTGGCACTTATATATGGTGCTTAAGCGCTGTCATGCGGAGCCGAAGCACTTCCGAGTAAGGTATGTAAAGATATATATGAGTGAGAGTCCATGATAAAAATAAAGGTGGAACGATATGCAAATAAGGGAAATGGAAATATACGCACTAGAGAGCTTGGTGGACAGTGGATGGATGCTTCTGGATGGCTGGCGCTATATGGCGCTCAAGCGCGGGAACACGCGCGCGTATATACATCGCGAAGTGCGGGAATGGTGCGCGCATGGCGCGCGTTGCGCGGGAAAGCTGCGCCTCATATAGGGATAGCTGCAGATAGCACACAGAATGGTGCTGCAAGTTTGTGCTGTGTACTCCCTAGTGAAGACTGCCATATCACACAATGAGAGGCATGAGTCTCTACAGCGGGAAGTTTCACAGCCCTTTGGTCTCCTCGAGAATGCCCACCAGGATGATGTCGCATATACCAACTTCCGCATCAAGCTGAACACATTTCTAAACATATTTCTACCTGCAAGCAATGTACCACTACCAGATGGGAAGAGAGTCCATCTCTTATCAAATCACACCGTAAGTTCAATTTTGAATCAGTCTAAGTAGTAATAGCGCTTGCTATATTAATACGCTAATGATAATTACAAAACAGATCACCAAGTATCGATTTTTGCAAGTTAACTATGAGTCGATGGTGGACTGGCGACAACATACCGATTACCTTCGGTGCAATCCGCAGTTCTTCAATGCACTGCGTTTTGATTGTGCGTTCATCCAGACCAAAAAAGAGGTCATTGTCGGACGCCTACTCTTGCTTTTCGAGTGCCCAGTTGGAAACAATATATTCCCGCCTGCCCTCATCCACCCATATGATGCTCCAACAGGTGCACGACTTCAAAAAGACAAACATCTCAACCTTTTTAGGGTTCGAGCAAAACCACGGGCACAAGCAGAATTTTTCTTGATTAGGTCGATCATTCGCGGGGCACTTCTAGTGCACGACGAAAACCTCGATTACTTCATTGTCGACACGGTCAATATGGACATGTTCCTTCGTGTGAAGGAAATGCATCTGCAGGCAGGGCATGTGGTGCGCTGTAGAGACTCATGCCTCTCATTGCATGATATGGCAGTATTCACTAGGGAGTACATAGCACAAACTTGTAGCATCACTCTGTGTGCTATCCACAGCTATTCCCTTATGAGGCGCAGCTTTCCCGCGCAATGCGCAGCACGCGCGCACAACTTCCCGCGCTTTACGATGTATACGCGCGTGAGCGCCCTATAGCGCCAGCCATCCGGAAGCATCCATCCACTGTCCACCAAGTTCTCTAGTGTGTATGTTTCCATTTCTCTTATCTGTGTATTGTTCCACCTTTATTTTTATCATGGACCCTTACTTACATACATATATCTTTGCATACCTTACTCGGTAGCGATTCGGCTCTGCATGACAGCGCTTAGGCGCCATATAAGCGCCAGCATTACATACCTAACTGACTTTCCAACTTTCAACTTTTACCTCCCACTTACCCACTTACTACCTAGCAGAGTATAGTTGCAATCTATTCCTTGGCACCTCGCACTCACATCTCTTGTCTTGCATCATATCACCACTTAAGCAAACTCACTCTTACTCTCACTTGTTTCCGCTCACGCGCGTACCTTCGCTTTCCCGCGCCTCGCGCGCACCTGTGCGCTTTCCCACGCTTCGCATTGGCCGACCAGTAGCGCCTACTACCAGATCCTTGCTGCACTCACTTCCCCTTTAGGGTCGAACGCACTTGTCGTCTCAGGTATAGCAGACTAGGCAATGCACGACCTTACAACATTTACAGATACAGTCTGGAGCATCATTAGTTCCTCTCGGTATTGTTGTTTCTACAGCGCATTTGATTGGTGAGTGCAGCATCTCTTCAATGAGTCTGATTTGTATTAATATATAACTACCAGGCCAAGTCATTATATTACACTCAGGAGCTCGCATTCATGCTATGCCATACTTACGATCGTGCGACATGTTCCATCTTGATTCCCACTCCCATTTATACTTCTCTCCCACTGCAACCACCTTGGCGCTACCCTACTCTCACCACCCTGACGACACCCTACCTCTACCAGCAATCCTTTCTTCAGGAGCTTGCATTCACGCTATGCCATTCTTACGCTTGTGCGACATGTTCCGTCTCCATTCCTGCTCCTATATACATTTCTCTCCTACTGCAACCACCTTGGCGCTACCCTATTACCCTCACCACCCTGGTGGCACCCTACCTCCACCAGCAATCCTTTTTGCAAGAGCTCGTGTTTACATTATGCCATTCTTACACCTGTGTGACACGTTCTGTCTCTATTCCCGCTCCTGTTTACATTTATCTCCCACTGCAATGACCTACCTTGGCACTGCCCTACCCTCACCACCCTGGCAACATCCTACCTCCACCAGCAATCCCTTTTCAGGAGCTCGCATTTACGTTGTGCCATTCTTATGCCCGTGTGACACGTTCCGTCTCTATTCCCACTCCCATTTACATTTCTCTACCACTGCAACGACCTTGGCGCTGCCCTACTACCCTCACCACCCTGGTGACACCATACCTCCACCAGCAATCCCTTTTCAGGAGTTCGCGTTTACGTTGTGCCATTCTCATGCCCGTGCGACACGTTCCGTCTCTATTCCTGCTCCTAATATCTCCCACTGCAATGACCTTGGTGCTGCCCTATCCTCACCACTCTAGCGACACCCTACCTCCATAACCAATCCTTTCCCACCTCCTTCAACACCACAACATAGACGAGTAAGTCCACAGTTCATCATTGTCACGTTATACCCCCTCACCTTTCTTTAGCCTACAGGAGCTCGCGTTCACACTATGCCATACATGCTTATGCTTGTGTGACACGTTCCGTCTCTATCCCAGCTCCGGTGTATATGTCTCTCCCACTAGATTCAGACAGTGGTATTTAATATGCACATCATTTGTGCATGTTCTATTACTCGTTGTATGTATTTCAACGCTTACAACTCATGGTGCACTAACCAATATGTCTTGATTAGTAGGTAATTTCTACATAATATGAAGGTTTCAGCACATTTATGGACGTTACAGTGTAAAGCTGCTGGAAGTGGTATTACGTCGAGCATGCAAGTGATATTACGTCGAGTATGCACGAGGTAGGTGCGGTATTATTTAAAGTGTGATATCAATTGACTGATTTTGTGTCGCCTTTGTTCCAAGTTCTTTCAGTTGAACAGCCATGTCACACGCTATGCAGTCGCAGTTACACTTGGACACAGACAGCGACTTTGACGATCAGTGTGGCAATCCTAGTCGCATCTCTATTCTGGGCCCCAGCGCTTCCAAAGGGGAACTTCTAGAGGTAAGACGTGATTCGTTTTCGGAGCTACTAGTATGTACTGATTTGATTAACTTCAGACACTCAAAGCGCTGCAAATTCACATACAGCGGCTTCAGGACGAAAACAAGAGTATCAAGGAGGAGAACAAGACTTTACTTGCTGACAAGCCCAAACGAAAACGGCGCGCAGACACTCAGCACGAACTTAGCGCTCACGAGGATACTATCACCATCTATGCTCGTAAGTATGGCATGATGGTCGAGATGTTTCCTAGTAGCGAGCTTCTCAACAAGAAACTCCCGGAAACTCCCACTCCGTTCGATAGCCCTGACTGATATAAGACTGCAGCAACGCAGGACTCTGCCTTCCTAGACGAGCTTTATCATCATTTCCCTGAATCACTGCACAAGGTGATGGAAAGCTCGTATTTCAGTGATCTTGTACGTAGTTCGTTATTCCCAGAATTACTATGTCACTGATGCGACAATGTTCTCATCTTTAATTATTAGGTACTGAAAAGTATTCCTGATGCTCGCGCCAATGAAATCAAAAAACTTCGTGGTGTCGCTGGTGATATTTTCGACCTTCCTTCAAAGTACTTCACCAACACCAACTTTGAGAGAGCCACTATCCCCGAAATACAACAGTTACTCGGTGTTTCATCTGCTACAAACCAGATATACAAGACTTTTCCGCCGGTCTTGTTTCCAGGGTTGAAAGAGGATGGGTCGCTGAAGACGGTGTTTGGGAATTGGGAGTTACTAGCCCGAGTAAGTCTCATTACTAGCACTGTTTTTGTGCCGCTGATTTATCTTATGAAATGTGATATCATTGCCTAGATTCTCAAAGCTTCACTCCGTGGTGTTACCTCACTCCATGACAGATCGAGTGGTGGCGGTGGTGCACACACCAATTCTCTCAAGTGGAGCGTTCATCAGATCACGCCAGGAGCAATAGCATGGGCAGCCGTTATCATAAGTAGGCTCTGCAATCGATGACAACTCGAGTCTCTAAGTCGGCTGTCTTAATCATGTATTGTTGCAGGCAATATTTCTACTCTCGCCGGACACCGAGTTCTCAAGCTCTGGTCTTGGGAAGAAGTCGAGTATCAATTACAAGAGTCTATTTTACAACTACAAGAAAGTTCTTGTTTCGAAATGGACCACCAAGCGCATTGTTTCGATTGTTGCCAACATTAACCGCTACGTCTTCAAGGTTGCCAAAGGACCTGCCATTGATTCGGCCAAGCAAGAGGATCATACTAATGCTATTACGCACTCAAATAGATCTGTTATGCGGAGCCCTAAGAGGGGCGTCGTCCGCTAACGTTCGTGACGTAACCGGAAGGGTCCGGTGTAGCAAGTGAGACTGGCGACGTCGAGTCGGCAGATATCACAGACGCGCGTGTCACGTGACTTCTAAGACGGCTGTCTGTGAAGTCACTGAAGTCAAAGATAGGACAGTCTTGTCCTAACGATGACCGTCGATCGAGGTAGACTTAGATGCAACGAGCACCTAAGAAAGTCGTACTAGAGACAAGAGCTGAGAGGCTCTTGAAGGAAGTAGTTTCGAGGGAAGATTGAGTAGATTCAAGTTAGGGAATCTAATACAAGATGACCGACTACTTATACTAAGTGGAGAGGGTTGAGGGTTGGGTTACCGTACTGTAGGTAAGGGTAAAGGGGAAACGGAAAGGGTATAGGTACGTTGGCAACACAGCCTGATTAGTGATGAGAGGTCGAATGCAGAATGAGACCGAAGAATGTTGGACCGGGCCAACGGTAAAGTTACAATGCACAGCAGGTGCGAGTCAAGGGAGATGAAAAGGGAAAGCCACATTGGTGGCATGAGTCCAGACGAGTCAAGGTGCCAAGGCACGTGCGCACATTGGTGCGTTATCAGAGATAAGGCGGATGATGGGGTGGAGATGAGGGACGGGAACGGTCCCGAGGATCCGGTCAACGGATATCCAGTAGAGGAGGACGAGCCGGTAGATGGTAAGGGCGAGGACGAAGGGAAAATGATAGGGGGGCCACGTGACCGATGTTACTTGTAACAGATGCCATTGATCGTGCACTGGCTGCACTGGACATGGATAGCAACTCGGACGACTTGTCTGATACTTCTGCATCAGCTGCAGCAGTTTTGGTTGCTGATCCAGAACCTTTAAATGTTGCTTCTGCGCAAATCCAAAGTACAAGCGCTGATGGTTCCCAACCTGTCGATGAAGCACTTGATGGTATTAATACACAAGTTGCTGATGCCACCGTACAAGATGTTGGAGGTAGTGCCAGTGGACGAGGACGGGCAAAGACTATTAATAGAGGAAGGAAGACTGCAGTAGCTCCCAAGGCCACTTCTCGCACGACTCGTTCTCGTAGATAGTTTTTGTTAACATCCCGTTATCTCTGACACTGGGTTCATTCTCAATCATCCTTAGAATCCTGCAGTTATGTTTCTCTCTTTCAATCATCTGTTATCTACGTCACAATAGCCAGAGCCATGTTTAAATTTTCAAGTCCCGATGCGGACGCCAATTTAAATAATCGCTAAATCATATCATTGTCTTTCTCTTTCCTCGACCAATCATTACACCGACGTCCTTGCTGCTTTCAATCAACCTTGCCTTAAATTCAACTGAATCTCTGCTCAATTCTGTCACGACCTCATTACTACAGGACACCCTCTCTTTTCAGACTCGTCAAAATGGTGCCTGGACCGTGGAATGTTTGAACTTAAGGTCAGATTGTTTTTCTTGCTGCGGTCACTTGATATTGTTGTTAACCTTGATTTAGATGCTAATTTAAATGTTGCCTGGACCTATTATCCATATCTGAATCATTCCACCTGGACCGACATCGTCTTCTGAATCCAAATTCCACCTGGACCGACAGAATCGTCTTCTGAATCATTCCACCTGGTCCGACATTGTCAACCATCACTTCAATTGTATTGATACCCAAGGTTTTCCCGGGAGCTGTTAGCGTTTAGATTTGAGCAAGGTATGTTTTCCTTTCAATATTTGCCTTGCAGTCCATTGATATTGGTCTGATTCAGAGAACCAACACATATTGATTCAGAATTCGGTGCAGACGAGCGAGATTCAGACCAGCATCGATTTCCAGTTATTATCATTAATAGTTAAATTGATAGTTAAATTTGAATCCGGTATTAGCACCAAATTAAATAAATCGCAATGCATTTTATAAAGACAGTATCGTTACAATATATTGAATTGACTTGCAACAACTTTGCAATGACGGTTGTGACTGCGCAACCCTCTACCTTCACTGTCGAGAGCTGTGTCTCCCGGATTACATCTGAAGCTGCGCGTCACATACATGCACACGCCGTGCACTCTGCTCGTCCCGGTTCCGAATATGCTAATGCGACCTCTACCAATGCAACAGCGCCTAATGTGAATCCTATAACTGGCCTCCGGAAACAAAGACATAATCCTGACGGGATCTTTTGTACTATGCCCGGCTGCAACAAAGGAGACCATGACAACACGCATTGCTATAGTAAGGGAGGAGGAATGGAGGGGCAAGCCCCGTGGATGCGAAATAAGAAGGGGGTGAAAGAATCGGCTAACGTCGCAGCAGTTATCACACCAGCGCCTGTCATCGCCGCTGCCGCAACTGATCTGAATAGCCTAATGCAGGATCTCTCTTTCGCATCCATCACCGATATCCCGGGTGACATAGCTTGTGCCGTCAATCTCCCTTTCACAACTATCCTGGATTCAGGTACTATGGTGACATTAGTCAAGGACCGGAGGTTCTTCCACACGTACTCTACAGAGGACCCTGTTGACGTTTTAACGGCTAATCATGGCGTACTCCAGACAACCGGTCGCGGAACTTGCGTCGCGTGGTTCACCATCAATCAGAAGCATCTTCGCATACGCCTCTCGAATTGCCTCCACGCACCTGGAGCTTTACTCAACCTCCTCTCTGTAAGTGGAATGAACGTCAAGGGATGGGACGTCAACTTCCGAGCCAACATGACGTGCGAACTTTCATACAAAGGTTCACGGGTTGGCACTATTCCAGCCACGGGAAAACTGTATGCACCTGATTTTGAATTCATCCCATTTTCGGCTACACCTTCTCTCACCGTCACGCACATTCCGGAAGTGTCAGCATTTGCTAATGTGCCACTAACGATGGATCTATGGCATGCCCGAATCGGGCACATTGGTAAAGACGCTGTCATGCGCCTCAATCGCATTGCAAGAGGAGTCACTGTCGAATCCTCTTCGCCTCTATCACATTGCGAGTCGTGTATCCTCGCAAAACATCCTCATCAACCCTTCAAGGCCTCTGAGACAGCACGATCCAGCGCGTTTCTCGATCTCATTCATAGTGATGTGTGTGGGCCGCTACCTACCGTCACCCCACACGGAAAACATTATTTTATAATTTTCCTTGATGATCACACTCATGCGCTGGACTTACAGCTGCTCGCGTCGAAGGACCAAGCCCTGGATGCTTGGCGCGCCCTCCGTGCACGATGGGAGAATCTATCCGGCAGGTGAGTGAAAGTCTTTCGCTCAGATAACGGCGGGGAGTTTATCAACGACGCATTTAATGCGCACCTTGAGGAGACTGGAGTCCAGCATCAACGCTCCGCCCCCTATGCTCATCAGCAAAATGGGAAGGCGGAGAGGGTGATGCGTACGATCGAGGGTCGTATGTATGCGATGCTGGACTACGCTCGTCAACCTCGAGGTCTCTGGGGAGAAGCGGCTCTGACTGCATGCTACCTATTCAACCGCACTGAGTCGCATGCCCTACCGCCGGGAAAAACACCGTATGAAATGTTACACGGTGTTCAGCCCAACCTGACACACCTCCGAGTCTTCGGAGCACGCTGCTTCGCGCGTATCCCTCCCGAGCTTCAACAAAAGCTTGGTCCCCGTTCAAGGGAGGCGGTCTTCTTAGGCTATCCACCTGGTGTGAAGGCTTGGCGATGTCGCGATGTTGTCACAGGCACATTCTTTAACTCATGTGATGTTATTTTTGACGAGGGTTTCTCCCATCGTCCCTTTCCAGACAGTGATGACGACGACGACGAGGCTGTGCCTCGGCCAATCCCTCCCACGCAACCAACATCTGTGCAACCTGCCCCTTCCGAGCCCCCTCACACGACTGTCATACGCCGATCTGGACGTATCCCGATGCCAACGGAGAAAGGGCAGGTATTCAAGGAACGAGTCTCCCTTGACAAGGCTCGCCTCTCCCGTCAACGTGAGCTTCGGCTTGCACGGATCAATGGCGTGCCACCGCCTCCGTCAGATGTCATCACTGCTGACGCGCCCATCATCGTTACCCCTACTCCAATGCCAATGCCTCCCGCACCATCCGTCACAGACCCAGATGCAATTGTCCCCGACACAGACGAAGTCGGATTTCCTCAAGTGCTCGCAAATCTAATTGTCGTCGAGGTGGCGAGTTTATTGGTGAGGAGTGACACTCGACGCAATCCCTTAGCGCGCGACTACAACTTGAAGATACCTCCTGCAACATTCGATGAGGCTATGCGACGTCCAGACTGTGACCATTGGATGGCCGCAATGCGGAAGGAGATCAATTTGATGTCGGAAATGAGCGTGTATGAGCTCATGCCTTTGCCTGTCGAACGTCGCGCAATCGGATGTCGGTGGGTTCTCGAATTTAAAGAGGACTTGAAAGGGGGACCTGTATTTAAAGCGCGACTCGTGGCGCAAGGTTTCTCTCAAGTGCCAGGGGTGGACTTCGGCAAGACATTTGCACCCGTTGCGCGGTCCGCCTCCATTCGTATCCTCGCTGCATACTGCGCGTTGCATGACTGGGAACTTGACTGTTTCGACGCCAAGAGGGCCTTTTTATGGGGAAAGCTGCAGGAAGATGTGTATATGCGGCAGCCACCGGGTTTTGAACGTCTGGGACGAGATGGTGCACGCCTTGTCTGTCACCTCCTGTCCTCCCTTTACGGCCTCAAACAAGCGGCCTATGACTGGTACGAACTGTTACGACACGTGCTGACATCGTTGGGATTCCTGCGCTGTGAAGCTGACTACGCTGTGTTTATCTTCGACCACGTCAACAGTGAGGGGGTGCGGGTCATCTGTATCACAGCTTGGCACGTTGACGATGGCCTTGCCGGATCAAACAATCGCCGCTTCCTAGATCAAACGAAGAATGAAATTGCGAAGCGTTTCGGCATCTCGGATCTTGGACCAGTCACCAAATACTTGGGCATTCAGTTCGTCAGAGACCGACAGACGCGGGAGTTATGGATGCATCAGGAGGATTATATCCTGTTCTTACTGGAGGAGCACGGGATGACGCAATGCAACACAGTCGCGCTGCCAATGGACCCAAATTTTCCGTTCGGACGTCCGACTGACACGCACCCTCACATAGATGACTTAGCAACCGAGTTCCGCAAGCTTGTGGGTGAGCTCTTATACCTTGCGATGTACACTCGCCCGGACATCGCGCATGCTGTCATGCGTCTCGCACAACACAATGCCGCCCCAGAAGCTTGTCATTACTCCGCTGCAAAACATGTTCTTCGATATCTTGCGGGAACCATCAATATGCGGACTCACTACGGAGGCTCCGGCATCAATCCTGACTTGCATGGGTACAGCGATTCTGACTGGGCATCGTGCCCCGCTGACCGAGTCTCGGTGTCAGGCTATGCCTGGTTCTTCAACGGCGGTCCAATATCCCACTCTGCGAAGAAACAAGTCACTCATGCTCTATCATCCACGGAAGCCGAGTATATGGCTCTCATGGCCGCGATCCAAGACGGCCTATGGTTGAAATCCTTCTTCGAGTGCCTTCAGATCCCTCTCGCACTGCCCCTTCAGCTGTTCGCTGACAACGCCGGAGCTATTGCCTTGTCAAAAGAGGCTGCCAACCACATCCATACTAAACATATCGACCTCCGTTACCACTTTATCCGATGTCACATCGAAGAAGGAAGCTTCCTACCCATTTGGCTCTCGACCCACAAGAACGTTGCCGACATATTTACAAAGGCACTCCCGCGCCCGTTATTCATTCACCATCGCGCAGGACTGGCACTTGTGATTCGATGATGGGGGTGGTTGTCTTCTCTTGACGTTGTTGGAAGCGCTGTCTCGTTGAGGGGGCGTGTTGGAATCAGCTTCGTCATCGCTTCGTCATTGTTTCCTCTTTCGTTATCTTTGGTATTCCGGACTCAGTACTGTAGCTTATAATTTCGTTGTTTTACCTTATTTACACCTCAGCGGTTCTTCCTAACACGCTGAGGTATGTTTCATGTCGCGTCTATGTTTCTTGTTCATTTCTCATCGTACTCTTATAAGTTATTGTAGATTCATCCTTCAGGTATTGTGAATATAATTAGCGGTTCTTCCTAACACGCTGAGATTCGTCCTTCAGTCCGAACATCCATGATGACAATCTCAATTACCACTCGATGCAATTGTCATAGTCATAATTGTCATGACTCATCATAATTCCCATGCTATTGCAACCGAGCTCGCAACTGTCATTTAAATGATCATGACAATAACGACTCTATTATGGCAACCTATTTAAAGACACACCCTGCATTTGCATTTGGGCATTGAAACCCGTTGCAGGGCGTTGAAATCTAAATTAGGAATTTCCGACAGAGTCCTGCCAAATTTTGCCGATGACCGGGCATAACCAATTCGACAACCGGTCCGACATTCTTGCCAGCAGCACTAGTTAACGTTACCACTGGGAAAGCAGCTGGATAATGTATTTTGTCAAGAAATATAAAATCTGAACGATTGATAGCCAGAGATTACGCACACTCCCAAAAATGACGGAGCCAAATGAACTCAAGGTTGAAGCCCTCTTGAACATCATCAACTCCTCCGCACGCGAAGCAATGGCGGAATACAAGAACACTGGACATGGAGTCCCCGGTATCGACGCAAATACTCTCCACCCTCTCGACTTCGCAACGGATACACTTGCCCTCAGAAAGGCTATCAGGCTACTCGAGGGTGCGTGTGAGCAATTGAACACAATACTGGCTCCCCCCCAACACACAGCATATAATGTAAGTGTCGATTATAGACGGGCTTATATGTTTTATTGCTAATATTTATAGTTTATCAATAATTACAATTGGGCGTGCACAAACGTCGCCACGCAATCATGTATTGCAGACGTCTTGGAAAAACACCCAGAAGGTCTTAGTGTGGATGCATTGGCTGACGCAGTCAACCTTGATAAGACCAAACTTGCACGTGTCTTGCGATTGCTGACCATCAGGGGTTGCTTCAAAGAAGGTGATATGCATACTTTCTGTTGATAATTCTCTCTGAAGCATTTGGTGTTACACAGTCAAGCGAGACGTATTCGCAAACACGCGACTCTCCCTCGTGCTCAAGTCAACAAACGATGTTGGGTTTAATTTACAACACCAGCGAGGCTGCCACGAATTTGCTGCGGTTCTCTATGAGACCATGACCAATCAAGAGTTTGCAAGATCAAACGAGGTTGAGAAGTCCCCCCGAGCATTTACTCTCAAAAAGCAAGGCAAAAACAACAGCTTCTGGGAAATGGACGTAAGTTTTAGTTATCATATTGGCCTTTCATGCCTTACCATTTTGTATAGGAAGAAGCTTGCGAAGTGCGTGCGGATTCGTCTGCTCATGACTGACTGATGGCTCACAATACACAGATATTTCACAAATGCATGCTAGGCCATTCTGTGATCCATGGCTCATATACGGCGCTGCACTGTGAGAAATTTTGTAATCGTCAGCATGACTAAAGGGAGCCATAAGATTACCCTTGGGACAATGTATCATCCGTGGTGGATGTTGGATCTGGAATCGGAACAATATCTATTCCTCTGGCGAAAATGTTCCCTCATCTCAGAGTAACCAATCAGGATCTCCCGGAAACTTTAAAGCTGTCAAGAAATGTGAGTCCAGACAGGTCTACACCCAGCGGGCAAGTTATATTTACATGATCAGACATGGGAGCGGAATGCTCCTGAGGCGCTGCTCGACGGGCGCGTAGAGTTCGTCCCATTGAATTTCTTGGAGGAGTCACCTGTTGTTGGAAAGGATGTTTACTACGTAAGTGCTAAGTTCACTCCAATTCAACGCGGGCTGCTCGATAATTTGATATAGTTAAGGAGCATCATTCACGACTGGCCGGACAATGAAGCACATGTGATTCTCCGCAATATTCGCAAAGTAATGGGACCAAACAGCCGAGTATTGATTCGTGAGTCAGCTGTGTTTCAAAGTGGTGTTGCCCCACTGGCAGAATCAACGTCCTGTAATAGATGATTGTGTGCTCTTGCGCAAGTTCGAAGAGCCAGACGTAGTGGCTGATGAGTCTACTAAGGTGAGCTTCGAGTTTAGCTTGACGGTGATCATGCATTCAAAATCACAAGGCGCTCGAACCTGCGTTATTGAACTTCGGTAGTAACACACCATACCAAGATGACATGACTATGTGGCTTCTTTTCAATGGCAAGGAGCGAACCTTGAACGAATTCAAGAACATTGGGCAAGTTCCTTCCATGCCTGGATACGTTAACGATGTTTGATTTGTTATAATAATTCGCAGGGCCAGTGCTGGTCTAGTACTCACTCAAACCTATGATCTTGTAGGGATGATGCTCATGGAGTTCAGAATAGCTCAGGACTGATGCAGGACACAAATTTGTGATATTTTGTTATTATACTTTTGCCCTCGATTGATCATATCATGAAAGACGGCAACGACAAGGGAAACTTCGTCCTCTATCGATCGCGATTGATCAAGATAACCGAGAGCTTCCCTAGTGGTTCCATCGGAAGCCTCTGCCCCTGCTGTGAGTCGTGCGATATTCCCAGTACCGCGTCTCGGACAAGCGGGAATTTGAAGTAACCGTAACTGGGGTTAGAAAAAGTCATGTATAAAAAAGTACTAGTCGACTGAAAGCTAGACATTGCTATCCCGTTCAATCTTCTGCATTCTTATGTAGGAGTAAGCCTGGTATTCTCAACCAGCTTGTTAGTGGAGGATGATGCGAGATGTTCTGATTCATTCTGAATCGCAGAGATGTAGGCTAACGCAGCAAAATTTTAGTGTCCATACTTATCTCTCTTTCCGATCTACTTCGGAATACCATATCAATCCCACAATACTCTTTGCAGAGCATCACCTCCTGACAATTATTGATTACTTCCATTGTTGAAAGTGCTATACATTACTACTAGTCGACTCTTGGGCGTATTCATGGAAGATAATTGTAGCCATGGCGATCCCTGCATCGGAGTTAGCTACGAGCTTAGCGTGATATTTTCGAACATCGAGGATGAGGCGTGGTCCCAATATAAACATTTGTACGAGCGAGAAAATTTGGAGAACACCGCCATAAGTCCGAGTACCCACGGTAGTTGGGTCCTATGAAAATGATGAACGGTGGTCGCATGCAGATCCGTAACAGATCAGCTTACCGAAATTGCTGGAGACAAATAGCCAAGTTGGAGGCAAGACACAGTAGCAAAGCTAGCACATGCACGACTTCAGCGCTGAAGGACAACCCCAATCAAAATATAAGCTAACCTTGCAAAGTAAAGCACATGTGTTTTTACTAACACTGTGAAGCAGTCCCCGATCGTCCATCTCGTCCATGGTTGGTGCAGTTCACGGAAGTGTTTTACAGCACTCCAAAGTACAAGGCACAGCGTGAGGACCTCCCATGCAGTGCCGAGTAACCAATACTCAGCCGCCAGACGTATGTTTCCCCCAATGAGACACTGATGGGTGCCAGGGAGGATAAGGTCCTCTGGTATTTGTCACGTGAGTTTGATTCGCTTCAATCTTTCGTGAATAACCTTACCACCTAAGATTTGGTAAATTTCTATCACAACAATCACTCCACAGGCTATCGTGATAGCGAGAAAGATCACAACAAGAAAGACGAGCACCTTTCTCGATTGCTGATGCATGGCAAATAACCGAGTGATCATGATGACTTGCATGATGTCCCAGTTAAGTTAATATGACTGACGTATTGTAGATGAGTTGCTCACCGCCTAGCATGCCGCCAACGACAAAACCTGTACACCATAATGCACAGTTGATAATTTCACCTGGGAAAAATCATGAGCCCCGAAGAACTACACAATGCATCTCAACTCACAGCTATGGCACTCGTTATATTAATCAACAACCTAGTCGAGAATCTTACTCACCCCTACATCGGAAAGCAGTTGGTGCGTGAGAATGACAGGCATCGGTGCAAAATGCTTACCTTATTGGTCACCGAGACTGACGGAAGAATTGCTGGATGGCAGTGGATGCCCAAAGTTAGAAGAAAGACATGCGATGGACATTAGACATACAGAACACAAAGACACTGGTTGCGAAAGATCAATCAGAAGCACGGCACCGACTTGTTAGGCAAACATACGCAGCATACAACACTCCAATGTAGCGCAGCTAGAAGATTTTGAAGTAAGCACAGCGCTTATAACAAGGCCAAGCTACGTACACAGAGGAAAAGAGCAGTCATGGACGACCAGCGTTGTCTCTGCCCAGAATTAATTGTATTGCTCTGTTGCTTTTGTGATTGGGAGCTTGCTCACCCAAACCAGATCAACCTAGTATAAGACCTTTCCTAGTGAGATAGCTGCTCGGTAATTGCGCCAACCTACCTCTTGTCCAAATGTCAGTGCTGGAAACGTCTTCAGTGGTCCTTTCTAGTTCTTCGGCGTTATATTGCTCACCCCAGTCGTATGCAACCACAACAGAAGAGGCAGCTACGAAACAGACGGATTAGATTGAGTATTACTAGTGACACTGTCCGACCACGAACCTATATAATCAGTATAATCACGATTCAAACTGACCAGCATCCACCAACCGGGATCTGATAACATATTGGAGAAAATCAGATGGTATGTCGGACAGTCGGAGTGAATGGTGAACTTGGCGAATATATACTGCAACAATATACTGTCATCTGGCGCCTGTATTACTTATGATTTATATGTGTGACACAGCATGCACTAACCTCGAATTGGATATTTGTTCCTCGCTTTCGACCAAAGCCGGAATACTACTGAGTCTGAGTCAGATTGAATCAAGTTAGACCCGGAAAGAGGGAGTTACTCCAGGATCACCCAATCGACCTCCCGGGGATCTGCAAAGCCGTGTCGCGCGTGCGGAGTATTTGACCACCATTGTTTGTAATAACGTCCAGTACGCTTACCCATGCCCGGGAAGCGCAAGCTCTCGTCCGAGAACCTCGAGGTCTTTTTGATAAGACATTGTGTTGGCATGACGCCAGAATGAAAGGACTATTCCGAATGCAGCAGTTCAACAGATGAGTCATCTCTTCCATCAAACTCTACAATCGAGCTAACCTTGGCTGCGATGGATTCAATATCCTTCCAATGCCCCCGCCTTCTAAGAGGTTGCATGTGCCTCATGCACGCTTCTTGCCCTCACCTTCTGCCTCCGTTGTAACTTGTCAAGCTATAATTAAGGCCGTTATAAAATGGAAAGTACAATGAGGAGTGTAACCGATGGGAAATGCAATGTACTTGAAACTTCAAGTTGAGGCCGAGACTATCCCTGACTTTAAATGAAAGAAGTCATAACACAGGCCCGGTTCCTGTGACACCGAATTGTACCGGTGATACGATGTCGCACGATAATAGCGAAAGAACCAACCTTGCCGGTTCATCTCCAACTATCAGTCCATATAAGCACTAGCTACTTTGCAGTAATCTTGCAGAATACGCATCAAACAGCTTCAGCTGCACAGCTTGAACTGTAGATCACGAGGATGACACATAACTGTACCCAGCCCTGGATTGACCTAAGCAACATATGATCATATGATGGTTGGTTTTGACACTTGTTAGATGAAAGCTGAGCGCTGAGCGCTGAGATGCTGATGCGCTCGGTAACTCATCAACGATAACGATAAAACTCCTCCACTGGGACACACCGAAACGGTTTGGTCCATTACGTCATATGGCATCTACCAGCGGATGCTCACTTGTTTCAATCACGGCTTGCTACGGGCATGGAACTTGAAGCGGTAGGAAACACGTAGGAGAGGTGACTGGAGGGACAGTGAGTGAAACTGAAATGTGGGACATAGCGTTGTCTCCGGATGGGAAGAAAAAGGTTGGTGGTTGTTTGGAGGGTGCAGTGGGACATAGTACATATGCAAAGTCATTGCAAAATGGACACGACCCAAAACAGTGTGGCCTGTCTGCTAGATGGCCAGCGAGTAGCGAGCAGACTTCACGATGAGACTGCAAGACAGGGGGACGTTGATTCAAAAAGATACGTCACAGTCGTGTACTCGCCGGTGACACAACCATGTTTGTGATCGCTGGATACCACCCTTCGTCTCCTTATAATTATAACGAGTCCCAAGTCAAAATCCGGGTCTGGGATGCCAAAAGATTGGTGTTTTGCCCTGCTTGGACCCCGGATGAAAAAACCCTTATAGGCTCCGGGTCAGTCGATTACTACTAACCTTGAAAGCAGATCACCGTGCGACTGGAAGGGACACACCACTATTAATGTCTACTTCTTTGCAATATCATGGCTGCATCCTCGCAGGCGCGTCGGAAGACAAGTGTGGAACATCGACAGCGGCCAGCCCACCGTGACCAAGTTCGCTCCTCCACAATGTAAGAATACGTGTCCTTTTTGGCGGATGAAAAGCTAGTCATTATCTGCCGGGAGTCTGGGACCATAACACATACGCATGCCAGCAGGATGTGTCTGCAACAGTAAACCTCGACAACCTTCTGTTGGATGTCAATGTGAGTTGACAGACAGATCTCATTGTATTTCATTCTTACTGTGATACCTCAACAGTGAACACCGTGCTCTCCCGGGGCAACAACGTCAGAATTTCGTGAATGAGGTTTTTTAACACCCCATCATCCTCAGATACTCCATAAATGTCTCATGCTATATTTCCTCACCTCATGTTCTCAGTTTTCGGTACGACCCGAGGCTCACGATACACTATCCTAGCCCCTCTTTTTCAATGGGCTCGAAACCTTCCTTCTGGCAGACCAAGTGTGCAGAGCTCGACCTGCAAGAGTGTCACATCAATAGTCGACTTTCTGTACACGAAGGGCAAACGTGTTTGTCATTTTCTTCCTCCATCTTGAATCACTTAGAGGTATGCTTCAGCAAGAGAAAAACAGATCCCGAAAAACGCTACTGCATGCAGCTCATGTCCTTACAATAGCACGATAAAGCAGCAATCCTGTTGTTTGGCTCAAGCCCAGTCATATCTTCGCAACCGTATGCTGCCTCCACCCGCACCTTCGGTCATCCTTAATATTCTCATGCAACAATCAAACACGCTGGACGCCAGACTCGCTTCTGGCTCTTTATGTGTCATACCTCTCATGAGTATACCGACGGCCATCATTTATCTACCCGTCCACGACGACGATGTCTCCCTGTCACCTGACATCTCATGATGTTGTCTTAAGTACAATGGAAGCATACCGCCGTTTATTGCGTACTTTCCAACCCACGCACTATACTTACCATTTTCCACTGATTTTTCTGTTGTACCGTCGGAAGCTCAGGCAGAATTCCCTTACCTATGGTAGCCACGATTTGCCATCGAGCATCGGTAAGCAAACATCTTCCTCAGCTTGGAGGTACATACTTAAGTACTTATCAGACTTGATCGAATGATGAAACGTAATGTCGCGGGGTTACTGCTTTCGGTTCCCGCTTGAAAATGACTACTTATTCGTGCATGATATGTATCTCGTCTCAATAGTCAGCCTAGGCGTGCACAATCATCCATCATGGTTGCTTTATATCATGAAAGTCATGTCAATTACCCTCCACTTGATGGATCTCTGTCTCTCCCTGAATTGGTGGAATTCAATGCGCAAAATAACTCAGACGTCACTTTCTTTGTCTACGAAAAACCTGACAGGAATGATTTGGTCTCCATCTCACACTCAGACTTCCATCGAGCTTGTCATCGGGCCGCCCAGGCGATTAGGCCAGACTGCGCAGGTGCAGACAAAGAAGTGGTCGCCCTCATCGGGATCTCCGACACCATTCTTTACCAGACAATATTCATGGGTATCATCTTCGCTGGGCTAATTGTATGTACATACATTTTTTGAATGAGCGGATTTCTGACCACTGCTATTTCAAGCCATTCCCCATGTCCCCTCGTAATTCGGCGGCGGCAGTCACGAACATGATGCAGAAAACAAGATGCTGTCGTTTAATCACGACTCAACACTCTCTTGCTTCCTTGATCGATGGAGTCAAAGCGGGTTTTGTGTCTCACGACCCTCAAACGAGCCAGCTCCAGATCGACGAGATTCCGGCGTTGAAACGCCTGTACCCCGCGCTCGCTGGTGGTACTCCAGACGGGGTCATTGTCCCGCACTCTTCCCTAGGTTTGCCGTGGTCTAAACATGAGGTATTATTCTACCTGCACTCCTCTGGCAGCACTGGCTTCCCCAAACCCATTCCAATAAGTAACCTGACTGCCATACATTGGTGCATAACTGGAAGGTCGTCAAGTAGGCGACCTCACTAACAGTCAAACAGTTACGTGGAAGAGCGTATGATTGTAGAAGCGGTAAGAAAGAGATAAGTCTCAGTACAGGAGCGTCGTACTATATATAGGGATCCGTGAAGTAAGGTGTCCAATCAACGACGTAGATAAGTATAACATGATGCGTCATCGCTTGCGTCATGTGCCGCGTCAGTGTGTAGTAAGCATCCAGCTTACACCCCTTCCTACTATCTTTGAGCTTGTTCGTTCTCCCAGGCATCTAGAGCCTCGCAGTCTTCTACTTCCCTCCGCGGTAACCATTCGTCGTCTCCTTCTCCAAAGCCGACCCATCGCACCAGGTATTGTTTTCCTCGGCCAACCTTCCTCTCGTCGATGATCCTGTCAATGAAGTTTTCTAATTGTCCATCTTCCGTCACAACGGGTCCGGGTCGTGGGTGTTCACGGGAGGGGAAAAGGGCGGGGTCGTTTGCGACATATGCACGAAGTTGACTAGAGTGGAAGGTAGGGAATATGTTTGGCGAGTTTGGCAAGTCGAGAGTGTATGTTGACGTTTCAGGGTGGGCATCGGTGATTGTGTACGGCCCGTCGTAGCGCGGCATAAACTTCGCGACACGTTTGTCGCCCTTCTGCATATATTCACGTCGGCGGTGCTTGGTGGCGAGCATCACGCGATCTCCGGTTTGTAGCACGAGTGCTGGTGCACGGCCTTTGTTGACATTGGCTGCTTGTGCGGCCTTTGCTGCGAGTAAGTTGTCTTGCGCTTCCATCACGTCGTGTCTAAGTTGCGAGAGTAGCAGGCGTGCACGTCCTTCCTCCGTGTCACTAGTTGTGAGAGCTGGCAATAAGAGCGGCAGCATTCGTGGAGAACGGCCAAGGTGCAGCTGGAAAGGAGAGAACCCAGTACTCGCACTAATAGTGTTCATGAGATGGAAACGTACCCGGGGGAGTGCGCGCACCCATCCCCTGTGGTTCCGGTCGACGTAATACCTCAAGCACTGATTCACCGTTTTGTTCGTCCTTTCACTCGCACCGTCCGTTTCTGGGTGGTAGGCTGAGGACATCTTTAGTTTTATACCTGTTAGTTTGTGTAGTGCCTTCCAGAATCTTGAAAGGAACAGCTTATCACGGTCTGAGACTACTTCCTTGGGCAACCCGTTTTCACAATACCAGTGGTCGAAGAAAAGTGCCGCAAAGTGCTCGGCCGTAATGTTGTCCTTGCAGGGGACGAGACGAATGTCTGAGTTGAGGCGGTCCGTCATCGTGATAACCATGTTGTAGCCTCCGTCTTCTGGGAGGGGTCCAACAAAGTCCACTGCTACGGAGTCGCCCCTTTCATCTGGAACTGGTAGAGGGTGTAGAGGTCCAGCCACTGCGGTTGTCTTGGATTTGTTGCGCATACATTCCGTGCACGAGGGTATGTATGATTCCACTAAGTCCTTGCGCATATTCGGCCAATAGTACGATGCACGGAGGAGAGCGTACGATTTGTCAGCTCCGAAGTGTCCTGCAGCGTCGTGAGCAGCATGGAAAAGATCTTCGCGCAGATTATCGACACGAGGGACAACAAGTCGTTTTGCGATGTAGAAAAGGCCATTTTCATCTTGCTCCAAGCCCGGTAGCGATTAGTGATGTGCAAGGCCCGGCTTGAAGCCCTGGGCCGGCCCAAGCCGGGCCCAAATAGGCCGGGCCTAGCCCAGGCCTAAGTCACGGCCTGAGCAGGGCTTAGGCCTGGGCTTGAATTTAGAAAAGCCTAAGCCGGCGGCCCAAGCCGCGGCTTTGGTACATAGAGTATATGACACCTTGTCACGTCAGTGGTCACGCCCCACAAGTATGTGTTTGGCATTTTCTCATTACTGACTCTTACTATGACGCGATTCTAGAACTCGTAAAGGCGCAGCAGGATCTAACAGGTAAGTCTCATCTCAGTATCTTGGTCAGAACTCTTTATTGACGACGTATGTACCTAACAGGTAAGTCTCCTACGTCGCATCAGTACGGCTACTCGAAGTGTAAAGTAAAAGCTAACTCACGTCTCAGTATCTTGGTCAGAACTGAGACGCTCGGGTGGCTGGATGCTGCCTTTTATACGGTAAGTCCTTTTCTAATCTATATTGAAACGAAACATTGATACTTGGAAGATTTCGGCCCCAACGTCACATCTCTCGTCCCTGCGCCTCTTTTCCCTTGCGCTCGGACGATCTATTCACCATGTCGTTCCTCGCCTTCGGTCTCATCGGCAACGTTCGACTCGGAGGGTTTGGACGTCGACAGCGATTCCTCTCAACTTCAACTACATACGCATGTCTGATCTCCTTTCGTCCTGGGATGAGCGACGCTCGACGGAGACTTCAATGGGCGTCATCTCGCGTCACCACATTGCAAGAAGTCGTCGCGTATTCATTATTTGGTATCTTCAGTGTCCATGTCCACCTACAGACATCACCATCCTCGACTGGGTCGGACAACCTTCCGAGTTCAACAGCTGTCTTCCGGCCTATATCACTTCTTACGCCACTCCTCCACACACCCTTCCATCCCTGTCCAAACGTTCTCCTCCTTGTCTTCTTCCCTTCACCTGCTCTCGTCCATCGTCCGTATTCGTCTGAGCCACGTCAGCAGTTGCTGACGTGTGCTGGGCGTTTGCGCATGGTGTTCGTGGTGTTGGGAACAGCATGGTGGAGCTCGGACATCGGTTTGGGCCGCGGCTTGCATGGGCCTAAGCCCCGGCTTTGGGCCGGCTTGGGCTCACGGCTCAGGCTTGAAATCTGGTGAGCCTAAGCCCCCCCCAGGCCGAGCCTAAGCCGGGGCTTTGAGCCCAAGCCGGGCCGGAACATCACTAGTAGCGATCCTAACAAGCTACTCAGTCGTTTACACCAGGAGTCAAGAGCGTACCCTTGCGCAATGCGTTCTCGCACATTGTCATCTGCTTGAATCGCCAGGATTGCCCCGCAAACTTGTGAAGGCGATACACTGTCCGTTCTCCTCGAAAGAGCATCAGCAGCGCCGTTTAGCTCACCTTTAAGATAATGAATATCCAGGTCATATTGGGACATGTACTCCGCCCATCGACATTGTCGTCGTGACAAGTCTCGTTGCGTCGTGAAATTCTGTAATGTCCGATGATCAGTGTAGACATCGATGTGCATACCTAACAGGTCAGATCTCCACTTCTTCAGTGCGCGCATTATCGCCAATAATTCTTTTTCATGTACCGGGTAATTCAGTTCCAGTCCTCGTAGCTGCGTGGAGTCGAAGGCCACAGGGCGTGCTGTTTCACGTGTTTCGCCCCAAGATAAAAGCGCGCCGGTTGCATAATCCGAGGCGTCGCACGTCACAAAGATTTTGTTCAAACCGGGGTTGTCATGATCGATAGTTGTGAGGCACTCTGGACTTGTGACGAGCGCCTTGATCGCGGCAAAGGCCCGCTCATGCTGTTCATTCCAGCCGGGAAAGTGAAGTTCTGCGGCCTTGGTAGTTAGTGCCGTTAGTATACGCGTGTGCCTCGCGACGTCAGGCAGGTGGTCTGAGAGGTAGCGAACCATTCCCAGGAAGGCTCGCACATCAGATGCCTTTCGTGGTTGAGGCCAGTCCAGAATGCGTTCCACCTTAGACCCATCTACCTCAATCCCTCGTGCCGAGATGCGGTGCCCTAGGAAGTTGATTTCGGTGTTGAACAATGACGTTTTCTTAGGTGAACAATAAAGGTGCGCGTTCCTTAGGGCCAGGAGTACTTCGCGCACATTCGCCTCGTGTTCTTGTAACGTCTGAGACCAAATGATAATGTCGTCGAGATATACATGGCAGATTCTGCCGATAAGATGCCGCAAGGCGGTTGTCATTCGTCGCTGGTGTACCGCAGGGGCATTTCGCACCCCCATGGGCATGACAGTCCATTCGTACTTACCAAACGGTGTGTGTACCGCCAAGTATTTCATGTCGTCTGGGTGCACGCGTGTCTGAAAAAACGCGTTAGTCATATCAATCTTCCCGAAAAACTTTCCTTTCGCGCAGTCCTTCAAGATCTCATCGATTCGAGGCAAGGGGTGATTGTCAGGCACCGTGTTTAGGTTTAACCTACGGAAGTCGTTTACCCAGCGTGGCAGGACCGTTGGGTCCGCTTTGGGGATGATGAAGGATGGCGAGGACCATTCACTTTCGGAATGGCGCAGTCTCCCACTATCCAGGTGCGAATCCAGGAGTGTTTTCCAAGCCGCACGGTACTTCTTAGGGCAATCATAAGACCGTTGCTGTACAACACAATTAGCGTCTTTAAGGTTAATGCGAAATAATACGTCGTCAGGCATCAGGTCATTATGTGGGATGTCGGACGGGAAGCGATCGTTATATTCGTTCTTGATGCGTGAATCCATTGCCTTCAACTCATCTTGGTAGAGTAGACCCTCTAATCTTGCCGTAACGGCTGCGGCAACGTCAATACCCATTACCTTTTCGCACTCATCGTCCACGATGGACTTTAACTCTGGCAGCACAGACTTTAGTTCTCGAACCACGTCCTGTTTCGCCCAATATAGTTCGGGACCAAACGCCGAGACTCTAGTCGGTTTGGTCATCGAGCTACCTGTCGGTGGTTGTAGGAGATCATAGTTAGTATCCTTCACGATGCAAGTACGTAGCTCGTGATCAATTACAATGCGATTATGCGCGAGGAAGGGTCCCCCAAGTAAGAGAGGGGTACAAAGATTAGGAGCGATGATCGCTCGTACAGTGCGAGAGGTATACATTTGGTCGGGAGACGTGCAGGCAAGTTTGACATAATGCGATAAGAGAAGACATTCTTTGTTCTTGGTGACAGCGAGAGATATCGATATTGGCTTTCCTAATTTGCGCCGACGGAGTCCAAGTTGTGAGACAAGGTCTTCACCAATCAGAACTAGAGAGGAGCCATGGTCAATAAGTGCGGAAACGCTCAGAGGTGATGAAACTGCGGGCCCGTCAACTAGACAGGTCCATCGTAGGTGTGAAGTCTGTAACGGAGCCACGCACTCTTCACCCGAGTCACTACCATTCCCCAATGCTGCGGAAGGCATCACCACAGCCACCGTGCTTTCACCACTCTCGTTGATCTCCACGGCAGCCACTACCTTTCCGTCCCTCTTGAACTTCTTTGCAGTGATCGTCGCTGAAGTTAGTGCTTTGTAGGTCGCGCCGTCTGGGAATCCCTTAGGGCAGACGGCTGACGTGTGTCCCGCAAACGGCTCTCGACACTTGAAACACCCGTCGTTATCGCGGAGAAGCTGTCTTTCGTTATCTGAGAGAGGAGGGAGGCGTACAAAGGCCTTAGTGGTCTGCGAGGTATTCGTTTTCGTCCTGGCGTTCGGCAACACATTCTTGTGTGCGGTAGAGCGATTCCTTTCAGCGCGAAGAGCGGTCTCCACCGCCTCCTTTTGCCTAGCAAGGTAACGAAGACGTTTTTCATCAAGAAGACGTACTTTTTCGATCCACTTCCTCAACTCTGTCTCCGCTATGTTCTCCGCATAGTAGTCCCCCGCGAGTTCGGGATTCATGTGTGATTCGAGATGGTACAGGAGGTTGACGTCATCCAGGTGTGAGGCCGTATCGCGCAACAGCGTGTTCTGGCTCTGAATGTCTACCGCCCATTCGCTGAACGGACGTTGGCCTTGTACGGACGCTAGCATCTTACGACGGACGGAGTCGGACCAGTCAGTAGGTAGCCAATAGTCGCGCACCTCGCCAAGATAATCTTTGAATGAAAGTGCGTCGAACTCCTCCTGGTTGTTGAGATACCAGTCTTGGACTATCGGATCCTGCATACCCCACGCCACTTTCTTCACCTTCTCGTCGTCTTTCACCTCCTTGTGCAAGAAAAACTGCATGCAGCCCATCTCCCAGGCACGTAGGGCTTCGGGTGTGATCTGCCCAGCGGTGAGGAATGGAGGCTTGCTAGCCGATGCTTGCTCGACACGGGCGACTTTCGTAGCAGTCGACATTATGGGAAAGTCTGTAGAGCTCGAATTTGAGGATGTATGCGTGGTTGATGGTGATGGAGGGCACGGCACAGTACTGGAGGCAACGTTGTTAGGTTCGGCTATGTTTCCAACGACAGCAGCGTCAGTTCGTCCACGACTACGCGTAGTGATCGTTGACGGCGGCACTATACGGGAGCGGCGGCGCGGCAGTTTGTTTAATTATTGTTCTGGATTTGACCGGGGTCAAGTCCGAACGGAGAGAACGGCGTGAGAAGTAACGGCAATCTTTAACAGCAAGTAGGAACAGGTTACGCTCAGCTGAACGTAAAAAAAAAGTGGAAGGTCGTCAAGTAGGCGACCTCACTAACAGTCAAACAGTTACGTGGAAGAGCGTATGATTGTAGAAGCGGTAAGAAAGAGATAAGTCTCAGTACAGGAGCGTCGTACTATATATAGGGATCCGTGAAGTAAGGTGTCCAATCAACGACGTAGATAAGTATAACATGATGCGTCATCGCTTGCGTCATGTGCCGCGTCAGTGTGTAGTAAGCATCCAGCTTACAATAACGCGTGAGTCAGTACATAATCTGCATAGCGAACAATGCTAAGATGGAGCGGCGTTAGCGTGTGTTCTCGACCACATCGATGTTCCCGCGCCCATCTGCGTCGGTAGTGCGTCCTTGCCATCATTTCATACCCTTGGTATATATATTCAGCTCCTCGTCCCCATCGCCACCCTGAGCAGTGTGTCTATTTACCCGCCTACATCCCTCCTCGATCCCTTGGCGGCCCCTGTAGTACCCAACTCGCAAAACATCTTGAGTTCTGTACTGAAGACGAAATCGAACTCGTTGGTAGTCGTGCCTGCCTTTCTGGCACAATGGGCATTTTCCCCGAGTGCTGTCGATGTTCTAAAGACCCTCGAATATGTTGTAAGTTGGTTGTTGATGTTGTGAGAAGAAGTGACTCGTGCTGATACCAATGCAGGCCTACGCTGGCGGTCCTCTCGCACCTAAAATGGGAAATGCCCTGGTGGACGCAGGGGTCAAGCTTTCTTGCGTTTACGGCGCTACAGAATTTGGTATCAACACTTATTTCTTCCGAAATTCGGTCGAGCAAAAGCTTTGGGAGTGGGTGCGATTTGGACCAAATTCCAAGATCAGGTGGGCTCCACAGGACGATGGTACATATGAATGTCAAGTTTTGGTGCGTTTTCGAGTTGATCTTCAAACACCCCTTCGGCATTGAACGCCTTCTCACAGACAATCCCGACGCATCAAGTGTCAGTAGAGAATCTTTCGGACGTCAAGGGTTATGCTACTTCGGATGTATTCATCAAGCACCCGACCATAGAGGGCTTGTGGAAAATGTACGACTAAAATTCGCGCCATTGATGTTCTCTAACATTTTTCTTACAGTGTAGGAAGGCTCGATGACGTTTTGGTACTCTCTTCTGGGGAGAAGACTGTACCAGCTCCTATGGAAAGCATCATCTCCGCCAACCCCCAAGTAAATGGCACCGTTATATTCGGCCGTGGACGTAATCAAGTTGGGATCCTCATAGAACCACGAGCAGGGTGTGAAATTGACGTCGACGACGAAAAAGACCTTGCTAAGTTTAGGAACCGAGTGTGGTAAGTCCCCTACAAGATCGAATGTTGCTGTTGAGTCTGAAGATGTTCTTGAAGGCCCCACATAGAAGAAGCGAATAACGAGGCTCCTGCATTCAGCAGGATCTTCAAAGAGATGATTCTTGTGACACGCAGTGAGAAGCCCATGCCTCGAGCTGGAAAAGGGACCGTTACCAAGAAAGCAACCGTCAAGCTGTATGAGGAGGAGATCAATGCCCTGTGAGCATAGTACCCATTCGTCACTTTGTCGACTAGACTTCACGGGCAACAGATATGAGACGGTGGAAGGCAGCGCCAGAGCAGGTATCGATGTACCTTTACCCACAAGCTGGACTGCGGAAGACGTCGAGGCATGGCTCAAGGTCCACGCTACTGCTGTGAACGCTGACAAGGCAGTCAATCCTGATGTAGATATTTTTGCTCAGGGCTTTGATAGGTGGGTTGAAAAAAAGTCAAGGCTAACGTTCTGCTTACTTCGTGAATCCAGTCTCTCCGCGACATTCCTCAAAAACCGCATTATCGGCTCTCTCAGCTCATCTTCAGATCGCGACGTTCAGGTATCAGCATCGCGGATTGACCAGAACATCATATTTTCAAATCCTTCGATTCACCAGCTCGCGAGAAGCGTCATCAATGCAGTATTGCAGCAGAATGGTACAGGTGCCGTCGACGCTAAGGCTGATATCGAGAACACGATCGAGAGGTATTCAGTCGGATTAGGTAACTCTGTCGCAGAGGCCAACACCCCTCTAGTTAATGGGTGCAACCAAAGCGATCATGTGGTTGCCCTGACTGGGTCTACGGGTGGTCTTGGTTCATACCTGCTTGCAGATCTCCTCCAGCGTGAGGACGTGTCTGTGGTATATGCCTTCAATCGCCCGTCAAAGGAGGCATCTATACAACAACGACAGGAGAGTTCGTTCAAAGATCGCGGTTTAGATTTCACTCCGCTTCAGTCAGGCAAACTAGTGTATGTAGAAACTGATACATCCGATGATCACCTAGGTCTGGACAAGGAGTTATATCAGAAGGTTTGCTTCATTCAAATTCCAGTATCACTGAATTAACTTAAAACAACGTAGATCTGCACGTCTGTCACTATCATTATTCACAACGCTTGGCGACTCGACTTTAACCTGGCGCTCTCGTCATTCGATTCTCATGTACGTGGAACGCGGAATCTTATAGACCTGGCACTGTCTTCTCCACATCATCCAAAGCCGCGTTTCATGTTCACATCTTCTATCTCATCTGCTCAAAGTTGGGATAGAGCAAAAGGACCATTTCCTGAAGAAGTACAATACGACGCAGGGGTTGCAATAGGTCCTGGCTATGGTGCGAGCAAGTATATTTCGGAAAGGGTAAGTCACTAGCTACTTCGAGGAAGCATGGACTTTACGAATACTGTTCCCAACAAGGTTCTCGTCAACAGCAAGTTACCAGCATCATCATTCAGAATTGGACAAATATCAGGAGGACCCCCGCGAGGAGCTTGGTCCACGACAAACTGGCTACCGATCATCGTCGAATCAAGTGTAAGTTTAGGCACGCTTCCGGAAGCCAAAGGAGTAAGTCCACCACTGTCGAGGAAATCTATCCATGACATGCGCGGTTTAGTTTGTGTCTTGGATCCCTCCACACGCCGTATCAAATGCTATCCTTGATGTGGCTTTCGCGGCAGAAGAACCTCCCATCGCGGTGAATCTGGTGCATCCGAGACCGGTCGCGTGGAGAACGTTGATACAGCCCGTTGCGGACGCCTTGGTTGAGCGTAAAGTAACAAATTACCCGCTACCACTTGTGCCGTTCTCAGAGTGGCACGACAAGCTCGAATCGAGTGCCAAGGATTTGAGCAAAGAGACCATGAAGCGCATCGTACGTTTACCTCGATAGCTGCTCAGAACGTTTTCCTATCTACTCTTCAATTGCAGCCTGCTATCAAGCTTCTCAACTTCATGCGTTTCATGGCCCGATCAGACATCGCGACCAGGGCGTCTGGAGAGATGGGCTCCGAAGCAGGTGGCGTGGCTTCTTTCGCTACCGCCGTAGCCGAACGCGTCAGTCCAACAATGAAGGAGCTGAAGTCGCTGTCTTCAGCGGACGCGGCACAATGGGTGAATTATTGGGTGGCGATGGAGATGTTTCAATGAGCGGTCGGAACTTGGGACATTCTGCTTGTGGTTGGAGCTGTTGAGTTATTTTTTCAGAAATGTTGATGAGATGCAACTTCTGACTTCCCAGGTTTGGCCTGTTTGCTCAACCAGCTGATCGTATCGAAAACTCAAGGATAACAAGAGGGGCAATCACAGGAATACACAAGGAGATAGATATACACAGCAGTTGACTACGGGTGGGGACTAAGCCATCAGTGCAGTCGTACCAACGTGCTGTGTAGCACAACAAATTATAACCATCATCTCCTTACGGGATCAACAAGCCTCCGAGCAAAAGCATCGCGGCACTGATAATGAGTTACCTCTCCCCTGAAAAATGGGGATGTCAGAAGATATCGTTAGAGGCCGATATTAGATTCACCTAGGAGCATGAACTGCGATGACGCTGCTACCCAGACGCTTGTGGCATTGGGGACAGCTTTGCACAAGTCATCAGACAACATCCATACGGAAAGAAAATTGGAAATACATTCTACTATCTGTGACTCTGACACGCCTAGACTCCAGCAGCATCAGCTTCCTGGCAACTTGTTCATTCCGCGCTTTGTGAATATTGCGGATGACGTGACTGTCAAAAATCGGTGCTCGTAAAGCTTCTTGAAGGAATGGGCGCACGTCGCGAGCGGTGACGAGGGGAGGAAGAAGTTGAAGAGTTTCAACAGAGTCTAAGCGAGGACTATGTCGACTGATTAAGTCTAAGGCGGGCTGTAACAAATTCGGCGCTGCTTTATCAGTGGGACGGAGGTATAGCCTGAGAAGAGTCAAGAAGATGCTTCTGGTGACTCCGTTTGGATTATATATTCGCTTGCAGTATCTACAACAGGGTCAACAAGAGATCAAGATTATAGCTGAGAGAGAAAGACATACTCTTCAGCCTTGGCATAATTCTTGAGCTTGTAAACATAGAGTTCCAGAGCATGTTCGTGTCTTCCCATACGGCCCAGCAACACAGCTCGCGCTTCGTAAAGATCTACAGGATGTAAGAATCAATATCCATGGTGAGTGTTATTCTGTAACTGACTCTCCGGCAGTGAACCATACAAGCGATCGGGGCGGTAGTGATCAGTGGTGTCAATAAAACGAAGGAGTTTAGAGTAAACCTCCAACTCATTTGCTAGCGAAATTTGGTCAGAGAAGTTATCGGCCGGTAAAAATAGCGACTGACCCTCGTCTCCTCGTTTGCGAGCACTCAAAGTCATATTCAGATAGAGCTCTGCAAGCCGATCATGGAATGCAGCATTCTCTTCGCCTTTCTCATCGATCAGATACTCGATGTAACGAGTAGATATGGAAGGGTCGATGTTCTCGAGGTAATCTGTTACTTGAGTTCGAGGGAGTTCAACGTCATCAGATGTAAATATCTTGAATGAGACAGATAATTGTCAGCAACGAACCGGACAGAAATATATACAAGTATCACCTCGAAAGCCATATGACGATCCTCTTCAAAGATCCAGCGGGATGACTCAAATACTTGGTTGATGTACTCAGGACCAAGTTTTCGCAGGTAGGATATGGACGGATCAAGTTTGTCTCTCATGTCCGTTTCCTTCTCACTTAACCTGGGCAAGGTCATTAGTCCGCAAGCACAAATGAGTGAATCACATAGATACTCACTGGTGGAGGAGATTGAGAGCCTTAGCATGCATCTTCTTTCCATTATAAAGGTATATAAGCTCCGCAAATTTCTGGTAGCATTAGTAAATGCTACGTTTGAGTACGCGCGCGCATTCAACGTACCTCTCGTGCCCGGAGCTCCTCCTCGACCTCTGATACTTCACACCAATTAGCCAATCGACAAAGTGCACCGAGGAGGGCCGGCTGAGTCACGAGATAAGACTTGAAGAGCGCTGTGTCCACAATCTGCGCAAACCGCACAAGCTGCTCTGGAGTCAACAGAGGCAAAGGGATGTTCGGCAGTGAAAATAATTCTTCAATCGATGTCTCAGAGAGGAAAGGCCACTGGTGAGACTGAGCTGGTGCAATGTGTACTACTGCGAGTGCGCCTGCAACTTTCGGACGACGATCGGTAAGATATCGCCATAGAGCATCCACCGACCGGCTGAAGTCATCTGGAAAATTTGTTAACGCGATGAGTCAACAAAGATAAAACGTCTGACTGACCTACTTGCTTTACCTTCTTCTTCCCGCTGATAGATAGGGTATCATCGTCTTTGTCTTTCGAGGAGGATAAAAGTGCCACAAATGCATTTCCCCGGCGAACGGCAGCCTTGACTGGCATCGCAGAGGACGCTGACTGCTCCACAAGTTTTTCTTTGCTTTCATTACTATCATTTTGAGACTTTGTTGATATGGTGTCATCGTTCTTTGGCGTGAATGACTGCTGGTTTGTAGGTCCCCCGAACAGCGATATCCAGTCATCTGGAAGAACAGAAAGACGTCCGGCGATGCGCTCAGGATAGAGAGCAACAACCTTGGCGGGGTTGAGATCAAGCTCGATGAATGAATTTATTGCATCGTCAAACTTTCCTAGTCGAAACAGGGACACGGCGTGAAGGGCGCGAATGTGGGTTCGTCGTTGGTCCTTCAAAAGATAGATGGCGTTATGTCTGTTACTCGATGTATAATTCTAAACAAACCTTGTCTGGTAAAAGAGCTTTGTCTAAAGTATCAAGCAATGATAGTGCGTCGGAATAGAGGCAACGCTGGACAAGTTCATCGATCTGGTCTCCCCACGACCTCATCCGAATTTGCCATATCGAGCTGCCCTCGGAAGTAGCTACTGTGCGGTCGTTCGGAGTAGCTACAAGGAAGAGAGGTGCCTTGGCGGCAGGAGAAGACGTCAAGAGTCTAATTGTGCAAGTGGCGGCAGAGGACGCTGATGATGTGGGTGGGAAGGGAAGGGTTTGGACGGATTGCGTTGTTAGTGACGATATGACTTGCACAACTGGTGAAGGGATGAGGGATGACTGAGGGGCAACTGGGGCACTCCCAGATGGAAGGGAACTACCACCGTTCTCTGGTACCGGGACGGTACCAGGAGGAAGTATTGAGAAGATGTATGGGTTGACAAAAGCTAGACAAGACCATCAGAAAACTTGGAAGGACTTGGCAGATTGAGATGCTGACCAACTTCATCGGGTGGACTTGGCCAATCAATCGTCGTTGGCTTGGTCTGCCTCCCATCAGTGCCGATGATAAACCCCTGATCTGCCGGAAGCTTCAGCTGTCCATTGTATCGAATATAAAACTCATATCATACTATCTTTGACAATGAGTGCCTCGGTATCGCTCAGCCGCACCAACCCAGGTTTGGCTTTGGCTCCCAGACCAAGGGTCATGTACCCAGTAAGCCCAGAAAACGTGCCCATGGAGATATTCGCGGGTATAGGTGTGACAACGTCAAGTGTCGTGAGCTTGCTGATAGAGAACAGAGCATACTCGGTAGGTGAGTACGCAAAGCAAACATTATCGCTATCAAGAAACACTGCAACACGCGGCGAGTGAGGAAGAATAGTTTCCTGCGTAGTGACTTAGATGGGTCTTACAAATGCAAAAACGTCGTACCTTGATTTCCTGTGCTTCACCGTCTTTCCACGTGTATATCACTACTTTCCTTCGGCACCCGACTAAAAGCTGCGTCACCATCGTAGGAATCGGGCCTGTCCTGCCGACAGTATGAGCTCCACCTTGGGCATCACTTTGATCAAGGTTGTGCACGGAAGAGTGAACAGCAAATGACAATGCACCCTTAGCTCTTGTAAGAGGTTTTGGAGGAGCAAAGCTTGGGAGAGGATACAGAGTTGGTATAGTTTCTGAGGAGGGACATACTAAATTCACGATATTTGACAGAGATGGCTATGTCATTGATCGTACCGGAGAGGGAAACCAGAGAATTGATATCCTTGATGTAGCCCAGCTGGTCAATAGGTCTACGAGACAGACCCTTCTTAGTGTCCACCAAAGTTGATCCATTCTCTTGGTATTGAGATAAGTATATCGGCGTTAACGGCATCCAACAGTAGCATACCGGAAAATTCGTTGTACTCGTAGATGAAGAGACTGCCTGTTGCTGTTCCAATATACAACTTGTCACCTGAATATACGGCAATTGAGCATGCTACACCTGCAAACATAACCGAGAGAACTTGCCCTGGACGAGTAAAGCTTCTGGTCTTTCTTTGAATCCGCCGAGGACTGCATTCGGCGGGTTGAACGGCGCCATGAGTCAGAATGATCACTGCACTGGCAGGTCCACCAAATGGACTCGGAGGGAGGGATATTATTGAATCACACTGATTTCCTTAAACGTGTAAGTTTATGTAAGTCTGTTTGTTTTCTACATAACGAAATCAACTTGTGACTTGCTCTCTGTATTCAGGGTTACATATACTTAGTATCAGCATGACCCAAAACTCACGAGATTGGAACGGACTGCAAGGGAAACCCAAGGTCAGATCTCTATCTATCAAGGACCGACTACGAGCCTGAACGCCTGCCACTGCGCCAGGACCCTTGGCTTTCCCGAGGACCGGCGCCAGACCATCCTACTACACCCTTCCACCAGCGAAGTATGATGCCGTTCAGACCGCCCGCTTTAATCTCTCCAGAACCATGGCTGAAGGAAAATAATCCTCCAACCTGCGAATCATTTTCTCCACGGTGTTCAAGTATTCATCCAAACATGAAATTAGTTCTTCTTGAGAACATGGCGGAGGAAATTTCTCTCGAAAAGCCTGCTCAAATGCGGCGTCGGCCTGTTCTGCAGTCAAGCTAAAGACTGTTAGCCTCTGTCACGGAGACCATGGAAAGACTTACGTCACAAGAAACTGTTTCTGTTCTTCTTCACGTTCCTCTTCCCATTGGGTGACGTCCAGTATCCACTCCTTGCATCCTTGATATGCCTCTTCCATAATCTGCTTCTCACTGTCAGAAAGTCCGTGTTGAAACAATAGCTTAGACGGTATATCATGGCCTGGAAAGCATCCTGGAAAATAGTCGTTCAGGCGTTCTGCGAGCATGCACGACTCTGGTGCCGTCGCAAGATAGTAAACATGCTATCTGGAATGAAGCTAAAACAAGGTCGACCTTGAATCCTGAGAAACGCACCAATAGACACAGATTCTTAGTGACCAAGATATAATGCAGCCTGTCATGTTCGTCGTTCGTAACATGATCTTGGAGTTTCTTTAGCTCTCTTTTCGTGAGTAGTGTCATGTCTGAATCAGAACTAGGTTCCTTCACATAGTACTCCTGCCACGATAACGCAACAGAAGACGCATCGACCGCATATTTCCTGAAAGTGTCGACCATGGCTAGGCAGTTAAGTAAATCTGGGATCTGCCCCAGGATAAAATAAGGGCGCAGTATGTTCCGTGTCGCGTAGAAGGTAAGTGTAGGTGGTGACTGTGCGTCTGCAGATGCGGGTTCTTTCCCGAGAATCGACGAGAGATGGTCTGTATCAGCGAGTGAAGTTTGAACTTTGCGCACTAGAAATAATGAACACGAAGCACACCATATATCGCTCGGTGGCCTTCGGCATTATATTCACTGCAAATTCCCATCGCGGTGACCATTTGATAAAAATCTTGCATGAGTTGACACTATATGGACTATTGACAGAGGCCAGTGATGGGGACTTTAGGTTTAGCTGCACTAAACGTGCCGTGCACTGAGACAGGAATGATTTTAAAGTACTAGAATATAAACTTGGAAGACGCGTCAAATCAGGTGACTCGTGATTATACCTGTTCGGTCATTGCCGGTAGTTTAGGCTAGTGCAAAATCTTCCGTCGAAAACTATTCATTTTCCTCGTCTGAGTCCCCAAACAAACAAGGCCCCCCATACAGATCATCGTTATCTATTCCACTGAATTGTACATCCTCGGGTGAGACTCGATGTGGGAGTGCGGTAGGGACGCAAGGTGGCTCCATTTGCATCTCCGACTCTGCCACTGTCAACGTACAACGTGTCTCGTTTGCGAATTTCATGTCTGTGGCAAGGTTGGAGTAATCAGGCGAAGGTTTTTCTTCCGATTTGGAACCTTCAGAATGTTGAGAATGATGGCGACAATGGTCGGTGGTTTCCCCCGAGTGCTCTTCTTCCTCATCGTTTACCCTAGCCTTGGGTTGATCTTCGCTTTCTAACTTGACCGATCGCAGGCTTATCGTCGAATTACGTGGTGTGTTCCATATATATGCTGATCCATCCAAACGATGCCTGACATAGCCGACACCCTCCCGACCGCAAGTAAAAGTGATGTCATCATTGTCGTGGTGCTCTACGGTCTCAAGATTTAGAATCTTCCCGATAGTTGTCCATGGGTCCGGATCGTTTAGGATGTCCAAAGGCAATCCAGGGTCATGTATATCCGAGTCGCCAAAAGAAGAAAATCCCTGCGACGAATTGAAAGAGTGTGATTTCACATGTTTCGTTCGAGTGGCAGGATATGAGGTCTGAACAGGTCGACGATGTTCCGTGTTGAATATCTCAGTGAAGGGTTTCGCAATCGCTTCCGAAGTTTGGGTAGCGTGGAACACCCTCCGAGCCTTCTGAGGAGTTGTAGGAGCGTATTGTGTTTCGAAGGATGATGCTGAAAATGGCTTAACATCACTTGTGTGGCAAAGAGACTGTGATATAGGACTGCTGCACTTGATGGAGCTATCCCATCCGAGCGACTCAGGAGAATCGTGCGTAACGATGGGTGCAGGGAAACCAATCGGAGAAGTGGAGGAGGATGGCGATCGTTGCAAGAAATGTTCGTGGTTGGAACTCCATCCACCATGCAATTGTGAAAGGGAATTCTGCGATGAGGGTGGTGACGTGTCCATGTCGAGAATGTATTCCTCTGTTCCTTGAGAATTAGGAGGGGAAGAAAACGGAAAACTGTTTGACGGAGGTAAGGGAAATCGTTGCTGGTCTTGGAGATCGTGAGTAGGCACGGATCCACGAAGCTTTCCCGTGTCAGCAATATCCGTGTCAGCATAACCTGAGTCGTTGACCCAGCTTCCGTGGAGACTATCTGTCTCGACACTCCGTAGTGGACTCTCATAACTAGTGACCATACGATGGTCCGGTGAAGGAGGCCGCGACATTCGTCCGCTCAAATGATCGTCGTAAATTCCTCCATCATTATCGTTATCTATTGGGAACAAATGGCTAGCGCTTCCTGAAGACCGACCAGTGCGAGAGAAGTTGCCACTGGACGTTCCTTGAAACTAGGATATGGTCAGTGTACTACTTGGATGCTCACCGTTCTCTCTGATGTTACCTGAACGTCCGATTCGCTGTCAGCATCGATAGGCAGGAGAAGATGTTCTTCGGGATCAATGCCAGGGCCTCCATCTTCCGAGTCCGAGTGGGATAACTTCCCTTGCAGGGGCAGTCCAATCATTTCTGACAGAGGGATTGATAATATGCGGTCAATTGCATCACGATAGGCTACCGCTGACACGATCAGTGCATTATATAAGACAGATCAACACACATCAGGGTATATCACATACGATCAGAAAAATCAAGCATTCGAAGTATCTTCGAAGGTTGTTTGCGGCGCCGCGGCTTTGGGGTGCCAAATGAGATTCCTCGGGCGAATGATGTGTCGCACGATGTGCTTATACTATGCGCCGTGGAGGGGTAATTGGCTTTGATTTTTGCGTCTCGTTGTGCATGAGCAAGATTGATTTGATGTAGAACAGACTTCAGAGACATCTTTTCAGGCTTTGCCCTTCCTTCCTTCGTGTTGCTTAATGCTGCTGCCAACCTCTGTTGACCAAAATGTCGCTTCTGAACCCGACCTGTACTGTCTTTGGTGCGTGCTCGAGCAGCGTTCCTACATATACGAAATATAAGTAATCATAATACAATTGAGTGTTTACTAACCTCTTCCCTCCCATGTAGTTAGCGCCTGTCATCTTCAACGTTTGAATATGTGGTAAGTCAAGTACAAGAGGCCTGAGTTTGGATTCTTTGGAACAGATTAATCCCATCGCGTAATGGGCACGTGATTTTTAGTGTGACCCAAGCTTAGTATGTACCTGAGCGTCGAAATAATTCATTCAACACTGTTACACAATGGCAGTGACTGCAACTTGAGTCCGCCTAGGCCTAGTAAAGGCTGTCAGCGGCACGTACGATTTCTTCCTCATTCACAATCTTCAGCTTGATCTTCAGAAGCTTCAACCTCCACGCCTTCTCGAATACAAGAGACTAGTCGGTAAGTCGGTCACTGTAACGGTAGCGATCGCTGCAGGTAGGCTAACTTATTTTCACCGCTCCACGTTTCGAGTCTTGAACTTCACAGTGATTGATCAAGGCGATATAAAATAAACTGCAGGATGTATTGCATTTATCATCGATGTTCGTATCTCAAAGGAGTACCGGAACCCTGCGACCAGAGTCCAATTGCCACTTCGTGGAGTGGCACTTTCAATGAGCATTGACTACTTGGGAGTTGACTCAGTTGACCTGGATCGTCATGGCAAGTGGTTACGATGCTGGATCACTTGTGTGCACGTCGATACATTTCTTCTCTGGCTTCCTTCCATAGTCACCTGGTGACACGTGAAACTATTCAGTTATTCTATACTCGAACGCGGTGCGCTAACATGTGGAGATATTTATGTTGTGAACTTTCTTCTGGCTTCGCAGCTGTATTCATATATGCGCGCTTCTCCCATCATCATAGGAACCAGACGATCATCGGCCTCTTCGTACCACAGGGCGTTCACCAGTTAGGTGCTTGCTGGATGCCAACAGACCCTTAGACCATAGTGTGATACTGCGCTGACTATCCGAATGAAACACCCCGAAAGAACACGGGTAAGTACATACAATGAGACAACGCTAGTCCTGACAAAACGCTAAAAGTTTAAAGCTACAATTTCATGCGAAAAACATCCTGGCCAGCATGGACGAGTGGGTTTGTGCGTAGCCTGATCGCCACTGGCTAAGGTTAAACGACTGCTTCTCACAAGTACTCGAACTCGCTACAGTTGCACCATCGCTGTCGATGTACCGTAAACTCGCATCAAAGTGATACTCGGCGCGAGCGCAGACCTTCTGTAAAATGTGAGAGATGGAATCAGTGACAGCTTCAAAGCATCGACAATAATAATCGTACGTCCGCATCTTTAAGAGAATTGTCAACAATTACTTGGTAAAGGTGGAGAATCACGTACAATACACAGGGGCAGGTATGGAGACGGATCGAGTTGCGCTCACATACGCGTGGCAAAGAGTATATGCTACCTCTTGTATGCTAAGAATGCACGAAATTTAGTCGGTACTTGTGCATTCTTTGACTGAAACTTACGGCCTGATATCGAAATTGAAAATCTCGTCCTTCAATACTATGTAGTGGGCAGGTCGGCTTGCTAGAAATGACCAAACATAATCAGTTAGTCTGAATCGCTCCACATACTGTGCACCAACTTCCAAGTATCCCACCGTGGGACAAAAGGTAAAAGTCCTTGGCAATTGGATTGGCAATACCTTCACTGGCGACAAACCCAGCTTGCACATTGCCGCTCTTTCTATCTCCATCTTGACTATGAGGACTATTTAATAAGGAACAAAAGCAAAGGAAGAGGTACGCACGGATTTGTGGGAAAGAAGCGAACGTGATGCCTGCAAGAAAGTCAGTGGTCATTGCTTGCCCGCCTGAAGTGGAAGATTACCTCTTGCCCACGATAAGGTAGGTGATTAGAGGTGGAGGATCATTTAATTTGACTTCAGCCCAAACCCTTCTCACAGCCTCTAGATGAATAAATTTTATTAGCATTCTGCAAAATCTTTGTCTCCGACGAACCTTTAATGTCTTGGAACTCTAGTTCACCAACACCTGCGTATTCACCTTCAGAGAGACCGTCTCTAAAGAACATGAGTCTTCTCGGGGCTTTCCCGTTGACCTTGCCATATCGTGTAATGGCGTCCTATAAATGATAAATCGATTGTCCCGACAACCAGAAGGTAATGCGTACATAAACCATAGGACCGAGTTCGCCTATTCTCTCCTGTCGCGGCTGCTGTACCCTCGATGTTGCACTGTACTTGACGCCGTGCCGGTCATATGAAAAAACGACGCTGGCAACTGAGGGCTTGTTCTGGACACCAGCTCCAGGATGGCCAACATCGGCCCCTGAAAATGAACGTCGGTGTCAGTGCAAATGTCGCATTATTGATGGCATCGCAGACCAAAAAACATGAAATCTTCTTTGGTCAACCAATCATATGCAGGTGATGATGGGATGGAGTTCACTCCCGTTAACCGAGCGTTGATTCTAAAGGTAAACCAATCTACACGAGCTTCATAAAAATTATGTTTTGAAATATTACGCACTTGATTGCGATGTTATTACAGTATTGGTCAAGTTGTCTCCCTGAAAACTTTGCAATGTTGTCTTCCCGCTGTGAAATATACGTTGGAAAATAACTAACGGTCAGAATATCAAGTTGAACCCACCACACACTGAGTAGACACCTAGTCGTGAGGTCAAGTCAGCCCAGAGAGTTGTGATCAATGACGATACTTACGCCAAGGGTGACATCCCCCGCTCTCTTAACATCTTGGCGGATATCAGCGGCAGATTGGGGCAGGATAACTAGCACGATCTCAGGTGGCTTGTTATAACCACGAGGGGCTCCAGCTGAAACCAATGCCAGCGCACATGCCTCCTTGATATCCTTCAAAATTGTATCCTTTAGCACAAACAGAAACTTCAAAAAAGTGCGCGTACCCGGTCTACCGAGCCGACACCATTACCTCGTTTGTATGACGGCTTAGCTTTCACACCTACAATAAATTATGAACGACACTCTCACAAACCTAAACGAAATCGTACTCATTCCTGGAATATCATGATAAATACCAGATTTTCAACAGCGCGATCAACATACCCCGTGCAGTGCAACACTGTTCAAGTGTGTCCATAAACGCTTTAATAACGTTTTGATCTAGCCTTAGGCTGTAATCCACAACTGCCCACGCCCTGATGATCTCGGGGGAATGTAGATGTTGCCTCGTTATGTTCCATGCTCCGTTGTTTACATCCTATGGCGAAATGTCACTAAATTGAGCAACATGCGGGAAAAGCTACTTGCCGCAGACTGTTTTTTGCCATAGAAAATGGTAGGTGCCTTGAGAAGTTGACCTTGTATTGTAATCGGTTTCTCCGAGATTTCCATTCCCGCGTCTTGGATATAAGGTGACGTGGCATACTCAAGCGTCTGGACGGAAATGACCAATAAATTCCAACTTTGACTAAGGACTCACGGGAGGTCGGACTCGGTCGCCTTTCTGGCCAACGATCATTTCCAACCGTTTCTCTGGCCTAAATTTGGAAAAATCAACCATCATGCTCGTCATGTTCTGCGGTAGTTTACGGTTATACCGCTGGCCTGCAGCCACAGTGCAGAGTTCGGCCGGGATGACGGTGTTTTTTCCAGACCCACGGCTCAATTCAATGCCGATAATGTCAGGAAATGCTAGGCGTATGTTGTATGTTTTGTGGTAGTATTCCTGCGTAAACGTCAATCATCTGCAGGATGAAACGATGAAAGCAATTGATGCGCAGCGTACTTCCACAGTTGTGGGAAGGGATGAGCCGTCTTCTGATTCTTGAGTAAACGGAAAACGTCCAGCGGCTTCAACGAGACCAACAATTTTCTTCGTCACAGTTTTTTTTGGTAACTTTATTTCCACAAGGAGATTTCGGAAAAATTGGCTGAGAATATTCCATTCTTTGCTATGCTTTTTGAAGCTGAGAGCGCGTGCATTCCCTCGAATGTTCAATACCTCTAAAGCAACGTCCACAAACGGTCCCGGTTTATACCTAATGGGGAACACGATGAGAAGTGGTAGAAGCGATTTGCATGACGTACATTGCGGCTGCGCTGATATCGACATTCACGAGAACTCTACCGATTGCTGGTCTGACACTCCTATGCACCAATGTGAGGAACGATCAAGAGGTTCTGTGACATGACGTACTGAAAGAATCCACGAAACAGCTGAAGACCTCCGCGAAGATCTTTTGAGCCGCCGCTGGTAAAATACGCTCGTCCATTATTCGGGTACTTTCTGAAGGACGTTCAGTGATACTATTAATTGTGTAATGTATGGCGTACAGATTCGGGGCTTGGCGAATGATGAATTGAAGGAGATTGAGTGCAACGGAGACCTTTGGTGTCTGATCGCTGATTTTTCCGGTGAGGAATTTTTTGAGGTCACTACAGTATACGTGTCATGAGATATGCTTGAACTGGAACTGGAAATGCGTACTCGAATGTCACTGTTTCGCCTGCGACACGAGCTACCTTAACCGTAACCCGACCTTTGCCGGGAACAACAAGCGTGTACTGTAACCGATATCAGGCTGAGAATACCGGATCGCAACCGAGATCATACGTTTCCCGAAGTGCCATCGGGAAGATCCAGCGGCGCCGCAGAGTATAAAATGCTCTTTCCGTCAAACAAACACAGGCGAAAGACCCTGGGTGCTTCGTGGTTTTGGAGTCTTTCGACTATTCGATGTCTCCATCGAACACTTTCCACATCAGGCGTCATCACTGGAGAAGATTTAGTCGAACAGAATAGTTGCTACTGGCACGAAGGCGCACGCACCGACTGCATGAATTTATTCAGAACAACGATAACCCCCGATCAACTAGATATGTGCTCACCATCATATTGCTCGTACGCTTTGACTGGGATTTGTGTTACGTCGAAAGCATTTGCGTAGACAGCCATAGGTCTACGTTGACCCAACGGCACAGTAGGCGCCGAAGCCATTTGGAACGATGTGTCTATCATATGGTTGCTAAAGTTAAAGGGTGTAGTCCAAGAAACGAAGATGACAGGGTTTATAAAGATACGACCGTATTGTTTGAAACAGAATTATCGACAGATGGCGCGAGTGGGGGCGATGGCGAGATGACAATCATGCACTATGATTCTCCTGGCTACCAGAATCGTACAATATCCGACCGACTCGGATTAAGTCCTCGTGAACAATAGAATTGGAATTTCTCCCAAGCTCGTGTTCAAGAAGACGAAGGTCACGGTTCGGCGGCCTCGAGGCGGTTGGAAGAGAAACAATGAGCAGTTATCAAGCAAAAGGAGGTATTTTCCCAAAATCCTACTTTGAACTCGAACCACGTGTAAATCGTCGTGTTTGGACTCGACACGTTGCTGTTGGCTACAACGATCTCGACATCGACGCGTGCGTCGTCCAGCATCTTTGACGCTTTGGACCATGATGGAGGCAACAACAGAGACGGATGAGCAAGATATTGGTTTGCTTTATCCTTCTCGATCAGGGTCCTGCACAGGATCAACTGAAACCATCGCCTCAAGGCTACCATCTCGACAGCCTTCTCCAACTGAATCACATGTTCCGATCCATGGTATCGGATCGTTTCAAGATCATTCGAGTCCACTCAAGTCGCCCTCACTGTCCAACGTTCAGGATACGCATTTTGGACTTCGCCTGGTTGGGCAAAAGACCGTCACACGCTCTAGGACTCTTCCTCATCTGGCAAAATCTGATACAGCGTTACATCGAAGTTCAGAGCTCGCTGGCTTTGAGTTCGAGCGAGATAGGGCGTTGCGAATGTCCCAATGGGTCTTGGCTTTCGCCATAGGTCAGTGCCACGTAACATACTTGAACCGTATCTTATACGTCATACCATGCACCACAGTGAATTTTGATTTGGATGTTGGTCCTGTTGTTTGCGGAGTACATCCACCGTTGTATTTGGCCCCCGCAGAGAAAGAGAACATGTAATAATTTATCGCCTCCATCTGTCTGATTGGGCGTTGAAATCCATTTTCAAGTGCTTTCTCATCCTTCCCGGATTCCCTACAATTCGAACAAGGCTCAGAAGTACATTCTTTTCGCATACAGGATCTCGGCACATCCCAAAAACGCGTCGTTCTAGATCACGGTAATAACAGACCAGATAGCATCGATGGATACCTTTATGGATATTCGCATTTTTCCCAGAGAAGAGACAACACCTCGAAGCGAGGATACCAACAGGTAAATCAATATTCACGCATCGAACCACTTTGCTAACATTGTCCAGACTTCTCTCGTTCTTCTCTCACACCTACAGTACCCTGCTCTCTTTACCGCCCTAATTATGAAACTTGGACCCTTGTTCCTAACCCATGGTGTACCTATGCTGGAAACGGCATGTCATAATATTGCCCACTGGTACGTGTGCCGCTCGGGCTTATTTCCCATTTCAATCAATCAAATCTTATCTTATCTGCCGAAGAAAGGTGCAGCCCATCGCCGGGTTTGACTATTGAGCTAGGATTTCTAGGCTCAGTTCTCCATGTCGAGTTGCCCATGAATGCAGACATTCAGCAATTGACAGAGACTGCATCTTTTCATGAGAAATTTGACCCCACTTTGCATGTAACTAAGCTCTCCCTTGCTCTGGATCTCCGGTGGCTCAATAGACCGTATCAGCTATTGTCTTCTATAGCTCCACTTGACCCGCCTCCAATATCCATATTCGAGGCCTCCTTACCACATTTATGGTCAATATGGGAGTGCCTGATGCTTTGCGAGCCCATCTTGGTATTCGGATCTTCTCCCGCAGCCACGAGTCAAGCAGTTTGGTGGCTCAGGGATCTGTTACGTCCTGTGCGCCGTTTATTTTCCATCTGTTAAATCGATGGCTAACCTATTCCATTCTTAGATACCGCTTGCGAACGATTTTCGTCCTTACTTTACCATCCACGACAAGGATCACGCTCTTCTGGTCAATAAACTCCCACCTAAATCTGGCCTTATCTTGGGTGTGACCAATCCATTCTTCCAGAAGTCATGTGCCCATTGGCCTCACGTCTTGAGCGTAGGGCTGAAAGCAAGGTGTGTCTGAAGTTGCTTGGGTTCTCAAATCTCATCACTCAAATTTCCTGCAGTCCGCGCCGCCAGGGGAATACGACTATTATGGCAGGGCCGCCACCTGGATGGTGTACAAGAACTCATCGCCGATACATTTCCAAAGACCGCCAAGTATTGAAAGCTGTCGAGAAAGCTTGTCATGCAAGCGTCCAAGACAGTCCGTGTCCCAAATCATGATTAGCACTGTAACTTACCCATCATTTGCAGGGATACAAGCATCTCTGGACCTAAGAAGACACTTAAGTTCGCGCACCAACACCATGCTAGTTCCTCTGAACAGATACCTCAATACTCTGATACCCTCTCCGACGGAACGTACCACTGTTTCGGGCTGTCGACGTCTAAAACCCTTCAGCACTGTTGACTTTTTCTCTTCGCTTAAGGCAAATGGCTCCCCTCTGCCGTTTAAGTCCGCGACTAAGCGGAGGGAATTTTACGAAAGGTGGCTGAAAACGCCGGCATTTGGGTTGTGGTTGGCGCAACAAGAGGAAGTAGTGCATAGAACGCTGCAGGATAAATGGGCTGGCTGATGCTGGCTATTGTAGTTCCTACCGAGCCAGCATAAGTAAGATTATAGACTAGCTACCTTGAATCCACATGTTCCGCGAAACAATCTTTTGAGTCAGCGGTGACGAGAAGGTTAGGCGCCAACTGCGCCACGGATTGCAAACAGAACCAAATAAATGTTACCGCTATAGAACATGACGGATTTGGTGAAGTTCTCCAAACATTCTCTTGCTTTTGCTCTTCCACGTCGCTGTCGCGCAACTCTCCTTGCGTTCTCCTTACGTTCCACTAGTTTTTTCTCTGTTCTTATTGTGCTTTGCTCTACGTCCTGTATTTCGCTTAGCTGTTGGACGCGTAATCCTTGTCACTGTATCCATACCTATCATGTAAGAGCTCCTTCACTTGTTTGTATAGCTGACGTGGGTAGCGCGCGCAGGCGGCTTCATGATGTGCCTTGTGGAAGTTTTGCCTCGTTATCATTTGTGTTACTCTCATGTCCGTTGGTACTCAAATCCTGTCATTTTACTTTTTCTAGTGCAAAAGACTTTCTATTCTTCTGCTTGAGTCAGCGAAAAAATGCCTGAGGAAGATTATGATATCTACGGCGAATACGAAGCTTATGCTGTCGGCAGAGCCAACCAGGTGGGCATATGATATGCATCTACTTGGTTGAGCAGCTAGTTGGACTGACTGTATGGGCGCTTAAAGGGTATTGACGGTCAGGAATTCGACGCAAAGGAAGAACCGGTGGAGGCTATAATAACCGTAGTCGAACCCTCAACAGGTGAGAAACGGCCTCGAAGCGATGAGGAAGAGGAAGAGGAAGTGAAACCGTCACCCGCCCAACACTCGCCTCCAGCTCCTTACGCTCAGCCAATCCAGCAAGGGCAGGTTAGGACCGAAGGTATCTCGCACGGCATGAACGGTAACTACAACGCCGCTGTGCAAAACGGTAGTCATATGGGAGGCGGGACAGATCCTTCGATGATGGGCTATGATGCACTGTATATTGGTGATTTGCAATGGGTCCGTTTGTCCTGTCGTTTAGAATCCTGTGTATATCTTTCTAAGCCTGTCTTCGTGTTTCTCTCTCCTACAGTGGACAACAGATGAGGACCTGCGTCAAGTCGCTCTAAATCTTGGCGTGTCAATCGATCATCGTGACATTACCTTTTCTGAGCACAAGGTAAACGGCAAGAGTAAAGGGTAAGCAACTTCCTGGTCAAATTGAGGTGTTACTCAGTCACATCAGTATCGCCTACGTGGAGTTCAGTAGTTTCGAAGACGCCAACGCGCTCAAAGCATGGTTCGATAATAAGTATGTGAGGCCTGAGGCTTCGATGCGAATGCAAGGCTGACCTTACATTCAGCGACTTTCAAAATAGACGTGCTACAGCAACTCTGACAAGTTCGTCACAAGGCAATCCATTCCGCACACTCCCAAAAGGTTTGTTCATCGCCTAGTGCTTTGACTGCAGCTTTGTCTAATCTATCCGGCTTCAGAACCACCGCCCCGAGACACTCGAAACACCCACCAAGGAACCCCCATATCCACATTAGGGACAAGCATGGGCCGCGGCTCGACAGGGAATTTCCGCGGTAATGCTTCCAACCAGAACCAGATGGGGGGAGGCATGATGGGTGCACAAAGTCGCGGGGGTGGTAGTATGGCGAACAACATGATGCGCGGCGGGATACCCACAATGATGGGTAACATGGGCATGGGCATGGGTGGCATGAACATGATGGGAATGGGGAACATGGGCATGGGCATGGGCGGCTTCGGCGGGCGCGGCAGCATGGTTCCCCAGGGACCCAGAGGAGGTGTTATGATGGTGGGCGGGCGTGGTGGCATGGGAGGAATGGGTATGGGCTTCTAACGGTCTCATGCATATGGATTGTTGTTCTTACTTGCACTTGATGTACACTATAGGTATGGGAATGATGGGAGGACGCGGCGGCTTCGGCATGCAAGGTCACTTCAACCCAGCATTCATACAAGGCCAACAAGGCGGTCAGTTTGGTGGCGGCTCAGACAGGAAGCGATTCCGAGCGGACGACAATTGATAGTGCATTAAGACACCTGCAATTCAAAACACCCGTGGATCGACGTATCTAATTATTTGTTTATTTCTATTCTCCAGTCCTTTGCATCATGCGCTCAGCGCCTTAACTTGTTGATATTTACTTTTCCGTTGTCACTGTTGACATTGCTGATGAACAATAACCTACCCTTGTAATCTTGATACGTACATCGTCCATTGTCTCCGTCACGCATTGCTTGGTGGTGAGCAAGGGAATATTGCATTGCACGAAAAAGCATGAGCATGACTCAGTGACTGCGAATACATGGTGTAACATATAAACAAAATTGCGCTGGCTGATAGAACATGAATGGTGGCGATGTGTATGGTATGAATGTATGCCATCTAAAGCATCAAGAAAAACAAGGGATAGGTCCCACTATCCATGAGGGTATGAAATGTCCATGAAATATAGCATGCTGATGTCAGAAAAACTCCTTGCCTTATCCCCGCCTCTCCTTCATTTCCCTTTCCCTCTTCTTGCGGCGCTTTTCTTCCTCATGACGCTTCTCCTGCTCAAGAGCTGCTTCATCTTCTTTTCTGGCGAGACGTGCACTACAGGGGTCTTTGTCAATGGTGTGCTCCTGATGAATGCGTGATCACTGACCTTCTGAGCTCTTCCCTCTCAAGAACGCCGGCATCAACTTCCATGTCCTCTTCGTCGCTATACACATCCTGTTCAACATATTTAGACCGGTCCTTGCCAAATAGTTTCCAAATTTCGTTGCTGTAAGATTCTACTTCAGTTGAGGCAGGGCGCCTCTTTGGAGGAGGGGGGGATAGTGAAGACGGGGACCGGGGCCGTTTTTTGGTGGGACCGGTGGAGCGTGCTGCAGACGAAGGCTTAGAAGCCTGCGACTTCATCGAAGGAGTGAAAATTGAAGTCGATTTGGATTTCACTTCAGTCTTTAATGACTGAGAGCTATCTGCGCCTTTAGACTGCGAGGTCTTTGAAAATGACAAGGCAGCAGATTTCGAGGCGGTTGATGTCTTTGACGTGCCAGAGTTGACTGATCCTACAAGATCGAAGATGAAATAATGATGGGAAGGGATTCTGTCATCAAAACACTCACTGGGCGCTGAGGGGACTGGGGAGCTGGAGCCGGAAGACTCTCTGGATGGTGCAGCCGTAGATACCTGGGCACTGGTCTTTCCTGTGTCCTTCTTCCCCTTTCCAAACCAGTCGTTAAACTCTTTGGCATCGTCACCGTCCAATGTGGCGGTTTTCGCCTTGGCTCTGTCCTGCAATATCTCGTCTATGGTCCGTGTGTCTCGCTTGTGGACATTGAGCTTGGTCAAAGTATTGGGGAGTGCAGAAAGGCGAGCCTTGACAGACTGTGAGCCGTTACCGCTGTCCGAGGTTGGTGCTGACGTGGCGTCAATAGCCCCTCCTGGAAGTCGCCTGCCAGCTTTGTGATAGCCGGAGGATGAGGCGGCCCGCTTGTATGCATAACCCCTGCGCAGTTCGGTTTCGACCCTGCGCCGCCGTTTCTCCTCCCGAGTGAGAGCCATTGCTGGAGATCCGGAACGGGAGCCATCCTCCTCATCTGACGGTAATCTGCGCCTGGGGATGGACTCCTTCGATATTCCGCTAGACGATGGCCATTTAGAGCCCGACTTGGCCCTCTTGGGACCGTAGAGCAACGCATTGCGTTGCTCCTCCTCTCGCCTTGCCTGCTCCTCCTCCATGCGTCTCATTTCTGATTCTCTCTTGAGCTGTAACTCTCGTTGCTTCTTCTCGTCCTCAAATCTCTTCTGTCGAAGTTTCGTTGCTTCTTCTCGTTCCTTTCTGTCGAATTCCTCCCGCTTTTTCCGTTGGAGCTCCTCGTTGCGCTGGCGCTGTAGTAGTGCAGTTTGGACGGCGCTTTGAGACTCCTTAGTTTGTGAGGCGCTAAGCGCCATCAAGGCAGCGAACGACATGATGACAGTCAGGCCCCGTCCTAAGGATAACGCAAGCAGAAACCAAGATGAGGGGAAGTCTTAGGTGCGCTCGGCAAATGATGGGGGGTCCGAATGGTGTGCCGTTGGCTTAAGTATGTGCCACTGTGTGGCGCGTGGCAGTGTGCCTTGGTGGACAGGATGTCACACTTTCCACAGGAATCCGTGACACTTTGTAACAAATCATATCACGTTTAGTGGACCGCCAAATTGACAATGACCGGTTGATAGACACGACTGAAATAACAAAAGCATGTAGAAATTTACAATTTTGTTTCAAATATCAAGAGTAGTGAAACATGACAATGACAATGCGTATGGAAATGTTTGATTCATGCAGATATGATTTCCCCCTAAGGCCTAACCCCTAGCAGCGACCTCCGAGAAACCATACGCGGGGCGTGAGATTGGTTAATGGGTATTCTTCCACAACTGTCGAGGAAGTAAGAGGGACGTGCAGATGCCTATACAAACAAGGGCAATCATATAATAGTAGACTATCCAGGCGTGGTGGGGGTTTTGAATAGAGAACGAGAACGTGGACGTGGCCGATGCGGGGCCGATCGTTCTCACGATCGAAACACCCAACTGAGCGATCCCATTGGTTGCACCAAGCGATGCCTGGTTTGGAGAGGCCGCGGCAATATAAATAAATATGCAAGCTGAAGGGACCATGGTCAACACAAAGAATCGTGATATGATGCGGAAACTGACAATACGCCAAATTTAATATCATCGACAGGGCAAGTTGCACACCAACAATCGCCCACACCGTGAGGCTTAAACCCTGCACTCTGGCTACAGCATTGATGATGGGAAGTGCGACGACCATCGGAATTGCAACAGCCATTGAGACAGAATAGATTATCTTCGAACCGAAACGATCATGGAGGTCGGCGAAGAAAAATATTTGGAACAAGCCGTTGATCACACCATAGATAGCGAGAATATTGCCAATGCGCGGGGGATCTAAACCCAGCCCACCAAGCTCTACCGGTGTGGCGAAAAACACAGGCTGCACGGCACGAAATGCGATGTCAAAAAACGACAAAGCGGCATAATTTCCAGCAGCTATGATCACCCTGGGTATCAAGAGCGAACGAAGGGGTAGCGGCTTGGAGCCACCAGCTTTCGCACGCTGAGAAGTATCTTCTGTGCTGAGGGAATCACTTGATCCTGTAGAAGTCACGGGGCCCTTGACAGAAGCGGAATGTTCGCGACTTTTCCCCTTTAGAAAGTGCCAGAGGGTCACCCTAGTAGGTACAGTCTGACAATCGCGTTATCACCCTTTTCACTTGTCACATGCTAGCTCAAAATAACACACCTCCTGCAAAAAAAGAAACGTAACAACCCAAGCCAGTACAGAAAAGGTAGCAGGTACAGCGCATGCGAGGAAATAGGGATAGGTCTTCATGAATTGCGAATGTCCGAACATGTTCGGAAATCGATCCGCTGGTCTTGATAACGAGCCACCTATCAGAGGTCTGAAAAGGGCATCTAAATTCCAAAGCGATGTGAAAAGATTACACAGGTACGTACCCAATGGCCCCACCGCTTGACCAAGCTATCGGCATATACGCATATGCTTGGGCCAAATTAGTGGAGTCAGTGAGCTCCACCATCATACTTTTCATCACGCCGATATTGCCGTTCAAAGCACCATTAAGAGCGCGGCTGAGTAATAGGTGTTAGAAATCAGAACTCGCATGAAAATAGAACAATCAAACCTTAGTACGAGCCCATAAAAGGTTCTAGATAGGCCGAAACAGTACATTGAGATGGACAGCCCAAACAGGCCTGTCAAAATCACGGGTTTCCGTCCGATGTGGTCCGATATACGACTCCAATGGAGAACGGTCAAGGCTTGTGTGGCAAAAAATAGAGAGACCTGCGTGTGTTCGAAGATGAGGATATACCCATTGATTGATAAAGTAAGACTCACCATTAATCCGACATAGTATCCTACACGAGTTTCATCGCCATCCGTGATGCCAATGTCTCTTATCAGCTGCAAGAGAGTGGCGGCGAGCCTATTAGAAGCTGTCAAATGATTCGGCTGCATGAAAACCATACCTGAGGTGCAAAGGGAGCGATGACTTGTGAGGTGAGCGGTTCTGCGAGCTGAAGAAACAGTATGATAGAGAATTGACGCCAAGGCAGTGGTGTTCTAGCCTGCTTCTGCTTCGCGGGCTGTAACAACGGCGTCTCCTCGTCCACCTGTTGTTGGGACATGATGGTTCGCAAGAAAGAGTTGAAGATAGACCGGCCGGGGAACTAGTACCCATAGGTTCTGTGTAATACATAAGCAAAACAATAACTGATATTTTCTCTTTGTCATGACTCACACATTTTACTTCCGAGCCTGAGCTGCAAGGTACGGGTGTCCATGTCAGCCCTCCGATAACACAGACCATACAGAGATTGCTGAATCAAGCTTGAAGCTGCAGCACTTGCTGTCTGCTGATCGCATGCATGAGTGCCAAGCCGCAAGCGTGTTGAGTACTAGTGTTGTCTATGTAGGACTCTTGAGATGAATATTAGATATATTTGCTCATCAAATTTGCAATGACAAGCGGAGTTATGATTGGCTCCGGCTCCCTCGGCCCTATGTTTGACAGGGTGGTCGTCACCGCTGCTTTTCTTGCACGTGACAGTGGCACGCTCGTTGACTGCGAGCGCGCGACTCGACTCGATCATACGAAGGTGAATCTCAGAAATAGGTGTTGACAAAAGCTTATAGATTTTGCATCCATAGCATGGATGGCCACAACACGCTCTCCAGTCCAGTTTGCCACTGGCAGGCTCAGACCTTGGTCAAAGTGAGCCTGCCATCTCGGACACTGTGTACATGTACCATCCACAAAGTTCTTCTTTGTCTCCTGTATTCTGTCCACAACGCCACAAAGGGCACCTTCCGGCCTAGTGTCCATACCACAGCTTCAAATGTTTTGTGGAATCGCCTTGGTATTTATACTATCTCAGTTTTGCTCTCGATAATTCAGATCTTCACCACCTGTGTTTGCTGTCATGTCTCTCAACGCAAACAAGGAACTTCCTTCGTTGTCCAAAGAATTAAGCACACCTACTGGCGCAAGGTCAACGCCCTTGACACCTTCGTCCACTGGTGGCCGGGTTAATATGGAACCCCCTCACCCAACACTCGTGCTCGAAAAATTTCCATCGTTCGCAGAGCTTGCACTTATTAGTTCCTGGCATGATGCCACCGCAGCGGTGTGTGATACATATACTATCATATGGACGATGTCGGCTTACTCTTCTCTTCCAGCGGCAAGTTCGTTTCCAGCGCAGGCCAGCACCCGATGATTGCCGCCGTTCTTTCCCCCCGCCAATGTCTGAAGCAAAAAATCTTGCCTCATACGTTACCCCCCGGACACAGGGATTATCTATCAAGTATGTACAACCTCAACCAAATCAATCGATTTACGTTGTACACAGGAAACAGCTAGTAGATGTTCAGAAGTTGGAAGAGAAAGAACCGAAAACATCGAAGCCCACCCGCTCCCAGAATGTTTTCGATATACGCAAAGCAGAAAGAACAACGCCCAACCTAAACGCGACGGCCAATGCTGGTACACGAAAGATATCTCGTTCCGTGCGATTTGCTCCATGCGAGACCACTGCTTCTCCTTCCACACCCACAAATTCCACCAATGCTCCTGTTGATGCGCTCGATGGGGCTTTACACGCACTAGGGATTGACGTGAATGATGGAAACATTTATTTCACTTTCGATCCCGACTGTATATCCTCCTGCGGAGAGGCTGTCCTTACTTTCTTGTCGCCAATTCCTCACGAGCCATCAAACTCACCCGAGTCGCCCCCCCAGCACCGCTCCCTGAGCGAGGTCCAGTTTGAGCACAGGTCAGCAATATCTCGGGACACGACCACCAGGGCCAGGATGCAACCTGTAAATGAGCTGCAGTCCTTGCTCGGCGTTGAAATTGAGCTGTTGTAACCAGTCTGCAGGGCTCAGGTTCGCTGTCTCTCCTTCACTCTATATTACTGTTCACTTTGCTCGACCCAACATGAGGTTCTCTTATGACCATTCTACGCTAGATTCACGACATAATCATGACCTCTTCATTTTATATCCCTAGCACTATGTTCAACTCATCTAACGAATATAATTAGTCTTTCGTTCCTATTGATCATTTTATGTACCAATTCACTTGTATTATTAATAATATTGTATCTTGTGCTACACAGTTATTCCTGACACTTCATCGAAGCTTCATCATTCACACTGATCCAGGTGGTCACTTGATGATGGTATTCGAAGCTATCTATTGCCGCAGGTCCGCTTATCGCTTCCTGCAGATAAGCACCCAGGTCATCAATGTCGAGCCAAGAACGTCCAAGCTGAGGTCAATTACTGAGTATTCTACCCTAACTTTCGCAAGCAAGGCGATGATAGCACTCGTTTCGGCTGCTATGTAGACGCCGCAGAGCTAGTGACGAATGATGTATATGAGCATGCACCAAGCATGCACTATATTTATCTAGCATGAGCCGACATATCCATCAAGTTCGCCATACCTGTCAACTGCTGACGGGTGTGTAACAGACACTAGTTGGCGCTTGTCAAATATTTTGCGAGAACACTGAAATTGTTTGATCGTGATACTGACTTGGTGTCACGCAACCAAGGCCCTCGGTGCTTCACGCTGGATGCAGGTTGCAGATTCATTAATATTCATTTTTCACTGCTCGGCATTCAATATCTGTTGGCGACGAACTCACCGCGCATCCGAAGTCTCTTGCACGCATGCGAACAGTGGTGATACGGCTGTCACCGAATTGATGATCGTGGTACTATGCGGGGCCCGATCAACCTAGATAAGTGAACGCGGGATACCAGTGCTGGTCGATGCTGGTTCTTCTGCCGAGAAAAGTGTGCTGAATGACATCATCGAGGCTGTACAGTTAGAGTTTTTACGGCCTTGGATGATGAGCGAAGCCCGGCGCACATGTGATGATGCATATACATATACACGTAGCATCGGTGCGATCACAGCAAATCGACAATAGACGTAGCTGTTGCAGGTCATATCCGTGTGGTTATCAATAGACTCTGTAGGTGGAAGTTGTAGATTACCAACCAGGAAGCTAATCCCAGACTCATCAACACCGCTCATCGTTCGCCGAACCACGATGACGTCCGAACACGTTAAGATTAGGAAATGTGCCAACTTCCTGTTGTTAGTTAATGAGTACCACGGCCCTCGACGTACAGATAGCAAACAGGTATGATTCGAGATCGCCCGTGGACCCTGTCAAGCCAAACTGCATAATTGCTTCGATTGCGCCCATGTTAATATAAGCCATGATATCGGTAGTGTATGACCAATTCCGTTGCAATCCTGAATTCACGACGATTCTCGCAAGCCGAAGGACCTGGTATGATGATATTCTGCCAGTGGTCGGTCCGCAATGCTAACGTCTGGACGTCTCGATGTGAAGACGAGCCAGGGAAGGTAATGATGCGGTTGTTGAGGAATGTCATCAAGAGACCAGATGTATGAATTGATCAGAATGTTTTGTAACATGGTGAAGGCAACTTACATCCTGCGAAAGATACCATCTTTGCCAGTTCCTTTCCTGATTGGCCTCCTCTTAAGTTCATTTGCAGGAGGGCCTTTGAATTTGCTCTGCCACAGTTCCTGGAGCGCACGCAGCTCAGGGCATTTTGAAAGGTCGTTCCCAATCCAACGTAAAAGATGTTGACCGTCACGGTCGTCAGTATTCGCGAAGCCTTGACGTATGAGAGTGATTCTTTCCTTATGATAAGGAATATGGAAGGGAAGAACCAGACCTGGGTTCGTCACGGTGAACTGTCGCATTATTCTGGTAAGAATTCTTTGGATGAATCCGGGAATGAAGAGGTTGAACACCGTTGTAAATCCAGTGAAAACCACTGCTTGACTGTTGTCTAACCGATTATCGAATATGGTCGCATTATGTCCGCAGCCAATGGCAATAGTCCAGTTTTCTTCGCGACTTCGAGACTTCAAACTTCAGTTTCGCATTCAAGCACTGCCAGAATGATAGTGGACCTGATCCAGATCCCCATGAAAAACTTCCACAATGATCTTAGACTTGAAGACAATGCCGCAAAGAAGAATCATGAGTGGTCTTGTGGTCACATGTGGATGTTCAATTGTAAGCGGTGTCAGGCTCCGAGCTTTTATCATGATAAGTACTTCCGTTGGACTGACAACGTTACAGTACTGGCACCTCCAATCGATACGACATATCGTCTCAGCTGATCAGCCTTTTCTCTGTGACCAATTCTATAATAAATGACCTCTTCACCGCATTCTCCCCCACCTCAAAAAGTTGTTCGCAATGAGCCAGAAAATGATAACCCATCTTCGCCACCCCCATCACCTAGTAAACGATCTTTTTCTTTCACCGACGAGGCAGATCGTGCACTAAGCCCTCTTGTTTATTTTAAACGTCGCCACGTCCAAAATAATGGCGAAGCCGCAAAACGAGCACCACTTGGTAAGTTTAGCGCCTGCCACAGCCCTGATGCTATTGTGCTCACACTGTGAACGCGGAACCCTTTTCATCTTCAGAGAATGGTAACAGGCTTCCCAAAGATCCAAGATGGTCGGCATCATTGCACTCCCTAGCCACTTCCCCTGAACCGCAATCGTGTGATGCGAACCATAGCATCTTACAAGACGGAACCGAGGATGAAGCCATATATTTGCGGCCGATTGCTATTCAGAGTGGCGATGTCGATAGTGCAGCTGGAAGTAGTCGCAGAGAGCGTCCGCCACTCACCCGTGGCGCAAGGTATGGCTCTGATGTACGGGAATTAGTTCGTGCCTCAGCAGCTGGATCCGCGGCAGGGTGGCCATCACCATCAAGGAGCCTGTCCGACCTCACCTCATCAGAGCGCAGGATATCGTCTCAGCGGAATGTGGACAAGGTGACGCAACCCATAACGTCGCGTACCCCATCCATGCCATATGTCCGGCGTCCTCCTCAGGATCTTTGGAAGGCCAAATCCTCGTCTGACAAACCTGTGCGGACAGTTTATGGCCTCGTGGATAACCGTGATTCAATGTTTGATACTTCTGCGCCACCTGGACTTACAAGACGCAGGGGATCCGTGCCTGGTACAAATGGAAGCCGCTCTCGGTCACCGATGTCAGGCAGTCTGCCGCTGCGTACTGACGAACCCTCCGAATACGAGCGACCAATAAGTGCCGAGCAGAGTAGAGTGGTGTCGATGACACGGCGAAGATCGAGGTCGTTGCCTTCTGCAAATTTACAGCCATCTTCATCAAGCGATGCAGGTAATAGTACACGAAGACATTTCCATCTAGATTCCATTGGTACATGGCATGGTACCTACCTCCCGGGAGATCCACTTACTTGTGACGTATTGGATGCATACCCGTCTGATCTACCCATCACTAGTGATGAATTCCATCGACTTTTACGACAAGCCCATTACAATAAACATACTTCAAATATTTTTTCTCCTCTCAACCCCCTCCGAAACCCACGACCCAGCTCCTCCCTGACTACCAATGCAACCTATCGGTACTTCTTTCCATCCATTCAAGATATACCCGACAATCTATCGAAATTTAAAAGAGGACCAGAGCAGCGACTCAGAACGTGAGGGCACTTTCGCATACGCATGTATTACACAATTCTCATGTACACTTGTTTTCTTTGTCACACAGCATCTGCGAACTCTGCCAGCCACTCGCAGTGGCATCGGAGTGTACGCACTGCCAGGAGTGTCAACGTGACACATTATGTAAACGACTGTTGGCCAGCGGTTATCGACGCATGCGCCATACTGCTAGCATGTCGAGGACCCCCATCGTGCACAACCCGTCAGGTTCACCCCACTACAAAATTGATGAAGACGAGAAAAGTCTTTGGGAAGAGGTGACAGCTGCCACTTCTGGCGAGCCCTTCCCGGGTAGTCCTCGTTGGCGGGACTTGGATGACTTTGTTGATGACGACGACGACTACCCAGAGATACCGGATGAGAATTTGCTTTCGGACGAAGAAGATGCAAAGCTTTGGCCAGAAGAACTGAGGCTCGGTTAGCATGCATTGTATCAACAGAAAGATTTCATGAATACTACTAATCCGATGCTACTTATACGGGTGCTTGTATCATTACTCCTTGTATACGAATTTTCTATTTGTATATCATGGGCGGGAGAAATCACAGAAAGGCTGAAGCGCTAACCCTATCATGTACCAAGAACTCGAGTTCCTGAATACCGTCTGGCCGCAAAACCGAGCGCCTCAGTGAGGCTAATAGCATTTGGACAAGCCCCTATCGATTCCTGACACTCGCTGAACCCACCCAGGCCATCCAATGTTCGCGTCCAAGCTTTCAGTCGTATTCGGTCCTCTCATCGTTTGTAAGAAGCGCTATGTAAGGTATAATTCGTACGTATACACAATGACCAAAGCCATTTCAACTGTTTTGGTTATCCGAAGCTTGGTTCACTTTCCTCTTGACTTGCTTCCACCCTTCCTTGTCTTCTACTCGTCGTTGTGTAACTTCCATCACTTTATACCCTATACCGCCAGTCACTCTTTTGTTCATACGTTCCTTAGCTATATCCTAAACACAACAATTCTAGCCACCTGAAACCTCACCTGACTTTCGGAGTCAGTCTATAATTCCCAATGCTAGTGTCCTCAGTCATCCTCCTCGTTTCTGCGATTCTTCCTCTCACCGTTGGCGCTACCCATGTCCATAACCAACGCGGACGCCATCAAGAATTAGCCCAGCGGGCGCGAGGCGACGTAGGCAACCACAAACGCTCTTTCGACAACGCACGCTTCACCTTTTATGACGTTGGCTTGTGAGTGGACTTGAACCGAAGAATCACTCGTTGAGCTATCCAGCTGACCTGGATCCAAGGGGTGCTTGTGGGCAGTACAGCTCTCCTAACGATTTCGTACGTCTCAGCCATGGCGATTACTTGGTATAGGGTTTTCGAAGCTCATTATATGACAAAGATCGTTGCCCTCAACGTCGCCCAATATGGTGCAGGTTACCCGGGTCCGCAGTGCTTCAAGTCCATTACCATTTGGTATGGGGACAAAACTGCCCAGGCCACCATCATGGACAAAGTGAGCCCATGGAAGTGCTATTCTCTCTTTTATTGATGCATTCTTGTCCAGTGTATGGGGTGCCCGTACGGCGGGCTTGATTTCTCTCAGAGTCTTTTCAGTTACTTCGCTTCAGAAAGTGGTGGCGTTCTTTACGGGTCGTGGCGTTTCAATGATGGCGTCAGCAAACGTGCAATATCCACGAGCTCCAAGTGGACGCCTACGCCGGTTCCTCGTGCTGATTTGCCCATGCCTATTTACACGCAGTCAGGCCTGCATCACTATGCTGCTGACACAAACGCCACCACCTCCACCATATCTGCATCCGAAACCAGCACTACGTCTACAAGCGAAACCCCTACCACTTCGCTGACTGACACTAGTACCACATCTACGAGCGAAACCCCCACTACCTCTCTGACCGACACTAGTACCACATCTACAAGCGAAACCCCCACCACTTCTTTGACCGACACTAGCACCACATCTACCAACTCTTTCCCAACGACGTCACGGTTGACTGCTCATATGACGGCACGGGTTTAGCGATCATTCTCCAAGTATACGGAAGCTCCTATGGAAATTCCTACTTTAAGCTCTCACGAGCAGGCGTAATTTATTTCATTTTTACATCATGATGTCATTGATGTCTTCTTACATCCTAACTTGGCGGAACTCCTTTCCTCAAGACAGTGGCTGATGAGGAGAACCCTTGCATTAAAGTTCTTGTTGTTAATACTGGATTCGAGAGGCCACGACTCATCTGAAGGTACTTTAGAACTGAATGATGGCTCAGATGATTAGTGCACCGTGACCTCCGACGCACGGAGAGTCGGAGAGTCGGAGTCGTGTCGTGGTCTCCGATTTTTTGCCGACTCCGATTGCAAAATTGTGTGCATGTTGCAACTCAAATCCTTCGCGCTCTTTTCACTCCAAACTCATCGTCACTCGACTTATGCACCGGGCTCTGCATATTTGTGAAATCCTTCTGGAGATATTTGCGCATGTGAATACAGTCCGCGGCCGGTCGTCATATCACCGGCCTGCATTTGTGCGGAAATCCCTTGCAGCACTTGCGGTGACATGCAAAACATTTTACGAGCCTGCAATGAATGAACTTTGGGCTGTCATGTTTGGGTTGACGCCACTGCTAGGCTGTGTAACGAGGCTACATCCAATCATATATTGTAGCGACCGAGAGGTCAGTGCGCTCCATTCATTTCCTTTCGTTGATCAGCTCACCGAACATCTAAACACAGTTCTCCTTGTTTACTCGTCCAAGCTTTCAAGACATCAAACCCTTATCGGAGAATGAAGGTCGTCAGTTTCTGCGTCACGCAGCCCGTGTGCGCTCCATATATGTATTAGCAAGAGACGACTGCTATCACCTTCTTTCAGTCCTCAAGTGCAGGGTGCCATGCATGTTTCCGAGACTTCTGTCGTTAAGGAATCCATGTTCGAAAACCCGCTCTGATATCTTCCTTTCCCCCACGCTGCGTCGTTGTGACCTGTGGGTCGCTTACGGGGATTTGAAAGTTATCGCGACCCATTGTGCTGCTTTGGAGCACATATCCCTCGCGAACACTGAATGGAATATAGCAAATGAGCTGTCCCTGCTGTCCGACTGCGTTCGTTTGTGCAAGCGGCTTGTAACTCTGTCTTGTTCACCACTCGACTTGGCTGCGTGGAAACATCTTTCCAATCTCCCTACCCTTATCGAAGTCGAGATTGATAAAAGGAAGATAGACCCTTCCTCGTTGGACCTCGAAAATAATTTCGATTTCGGTCCTTTCCTCAACCTCACAGCTCTTTCTTTCAACGTAAATACGGCTGCATACATCACAGGACTCATGCAATACTCAGACTTTCCTTCCCTGAAACAGTTCAAGATCAGGGTCAATAGGTTGTCTTGGGCAGAGGTTGAACGGCTCGCTCATGTGCTGTCCAAGTGCAAAGCACGTCACACCCTTGAACAAATTGAGATGAACGGCCGCGCTTCAGACGTCCAGGATCCCCCTCGCAGCTCTATCACACACTTCTGTTGTTTTACACAGCTCCGAATCCTCTGGCTCGATTTTCCCCGTTGCTGCATCCACCTTGGCAACGACCTTCTTTTGGAATGCATGTCCAGTTGGCCACATCTCCGAGTTCTGAATTTACAAGATTCTAATCAGGCTCAAAGTACCATTACATTCCGCGGATTATTTGCAGCGCTCCATCAATGCCTCCACTTGCACACGCTTAATTTATTGATAGACGCTGTGAATATCGATATCGACCCTACAGGGGAGTCGTTTCGACATCTGTCCCTACAACGATGGGACGTGCTATCTGGTGAGGTAATGGATGCAGGAGCTGTCACTCGTATCATATTCTCTATGCTCCCTTGCGTCGAGATCTTTTACAAGACTCATCACTTCATGTCAATGAGCAGTAGCCCTCCGTATGCGTGGCCCGATGTCCAACATCGTCTGCAGTCCCTACATGAAGCTGCAGGGACCTGAGCTCAAGATACACACGTGTGCGTGATATTTGGAATATGGGAAGTGGGGATGGGTTAAGGGAGATCTGTGGTGAATGTCCTTACCCGCTTGTTATTGTGTATAGAATCTTTAGTACTACAGCCGCTCGATACCAGCGCTCGAACGTACGTAACATGTGTTCCACGGAATGTGACAAGCATACACCAACAGAAAGTGATGAAGTCATCACGAATTGCTTCCGGCGCAGATACCACCGTGGGTCTTGGTCGTCCGGACAAGCCCCTATCAATCATGTGAACCTCACCGTTCTCTAGTGCCCCAGGTCATCATGATGATGGCTGGTGGTTCTATGTTCGCGTCCAAGGAAGATGCGTTCAGTGCGTATATTAAGTCTTCTCATAGAAGGCGCGATGTAAAGTGATACGTACGCGATGACCAAAGTCACATCAACTTTTTTGGTTATTCGCTTGGTTGACTTTTCCTTTTAACTTGCTTCGACCCTTCTCTGTGTTTTGCTCGTCGTTGTATCACTTCCACGACTTTATACCCTGTAGCGACAGTCACTCCTTTGTCCAAACGCTCCTTCGCTATACCTATACCCCAATTTCAACCATCCCAAGCCTCACCTGACTTTCGGTCTATAGTTCTCAATGCTAATGTTTTCTATATTCCTCCTCGTTGCTGCGGTCCTTCCTTTCACAGTTGGCGGTGCGCTTGGACATATTCAGCGTGGACGCCATCAAGAGTTAGCACAGCGGGCGCGAGGCGACGTGGGTATACACAAACGCTCTTTCGACAGCGCACGCTTCACCTTTTATGACGTTGGCTTGTGAGTAGACTTGAACCAAAGAATCACTCGTCGAGCCATGTAGCTGATTCAGTTTCAAGGGGTGCTTGTGGGCAGTACAGCTCTCCTAGCGATTTCGTACGTCTCAGTCATAATAATTACTTGGTGTAGGGTTTCCAATACTCATTTTACGACAAGATTGTCGCCATCAACGTCTTCCAGTATGGTCCTGGTTACCCAGGTCCGCTGTGTTTCAAGTCCATTACTATCTCCTATGGGGGCAAAACTGCCCAGGCCACTATCATGGACGAAGTGAGCCCAACGACGCGTTATTTTCTCTCTTATTGACGCGCTTGTCTCTAGTGTATGGGATGCCCGAACGCCGGGCTTGACTTCTCTAAGGGTCTCTTCGATTACTTCGCTCCTGAAGGTGAAGGCGTCTTGTACGGAACGTGGTGGTTCAATGATGACGTCAGTGAACTTCCTACGCCATCCGCGAGCCCCGAATGGACGCCCACGCCGATCCCTGCGTTGTCCACGCCCACACCCACACCCACACCTACGCCTACGCCTACGTTCACATATGTGTCATACAAACACCATCAAGCCGTTGACACCACATCTACAGTCGAAACCAGTACTACTTCTGAGACCCCCGCCAGCACTCCTTCTCCAACCGAAAGTAGCACTACTTCTGAGACTCCCACCAGCACTCCTTCTACAACCGAAAGTAGCACTACTTCTGAGACACCCACCAGCACCCCTTCTGCGACTGAAACCAGCCCCACTGCTACTGCTACATACTCTTCAATCTCGATGGTGTTGACCTACGGCACAGATATACCAATTCCTACTGGCGCCGTAGCCGTACCCATAGCCGTACCCGCACCCAACGCTGCAAATCCACAAAACCTCGAGGTTCTCGGTGAAGCCCTCGTCGGCATTGGCATGTTGGTTGCAGGTCAGCGGGGCAATTAGGCTACTTTTGGCAAAGGCTGCTTCGTCAGTGCTGTCTATTGGTTGGGAGTTCTACTGATCTTAGCATCGGGTATATAGCATCTATTCTTAATACGTAACCAAGACTGCCGTGATGGTTCTGAATTAGTGGGCGATGATGTGATGTACATTCATGCGGAACTTCGCTCAGTCCATATCTCCACAAACTCAATTTGCATTCATACAATACATAATATACACGATCTTCATTTGTCCTTATTTTGTTTTCCGCCGTCAGAAAAAGTTGTACTCCTTCCCCAGTGGTAAACTGCTCGCAGGCTCAATATCAGCCAATACGCCATCCGCCCTCACCTCATAGCTTTCTGGATCAACAGACATCTTCGGCATCGCATCGTTCCACTTCATATCTCTCTTGGTCACATTCCTACAGTTGATAACAGCCTCTGCTTGCTTTGAGAGTCCGTATGAAGCGATAGTACCAGTCGCGATGGAGATTCGGGAGACGAACGCGACCGAGTTGAGCGCCGCTGCAGAGGGGAAGGAACCCCACATTGGTCTGCCATAGGTTGGCTGTACGGTCGGAATTGAAGCGTTTGCCTCGCCCATCTAACAAAGTACATCAGTACTATCATCGAAAAGAAAGTCTTCTCTGTAAATTCTACCTGAGCCCAAACAATCACTCCTGATTTCAACACCATTTCAGGTTTGGCGCCAAAGTTTTCAGGCTTCCAAAGGACAAGGTCGGCGAGCTTTCCTGCCTCTACTGAGCCGACGACGTGACCGATACCGTGCGTGATCGCGCTAAGGAACCGTCAGTGCGCGGCCACTCGAGATGACAACAAAACTGACGGGTTGATTGTATACTTCGCTATATATCTCTTGACACGTCCATTATCTTTTTCGCTTGTATCATTTAGCTCAGTCAGTGGACCTTTGAAGTCCTTGAGCTTGCTCGCAGTACGCCATGTCCTAGAGGCAACTTCTCCGACACGTCCCATAGCCTGAGAATCAGAGCTGATCATGGATATCGCACCGATATCGTGCAGAACGTCTTCTGCTGCTACCGTCTCTGCTCGGATGCGAGACTCTGCGAATGCCACGTCCTCGGGGATTGATTTGTCAAGGTGGTGACAAACCATCAGCATCTATTATATGTTTAGAAAGGCAGAAATAATCAACGTGCATGGATGAGTCACGTCAAGGTGTTCGTCTAGGGTGTTCCTAGCATAAGGTCGCGTAGGGTTGGTGGACGAGGGAAGGACATTTTCCAAACCGCAAACGACGATGATATCTGGAGCGTGACCGCCACCTACATAGTTTCACGATGAGACCATATAATAGGGAGGTAAAAGAAACGGAGTCATACCGGCGCCTTCCGTGTGATACGTATGTATAGTGCGACCGCCAAATGCCTTGATCGTACCTGCGTTCCATCAGCATCCGAAAGACCGATGAATGGCACACTTCTTACTCTCCACAAATCCGCTCTCATTGAGAGTATCCGTATGGATGTTGACCTGAACATCAAACTCATCACCAACATCCAAGGCGTTCGCGATCACAGCTGGAGTAGAACCCCAGTCCTCATGTATTTTCAGGCCCCCTGCACCTGCGCGAACGATATCCTCCAATGCATGTCTTCCCGTGTCGTTCCCCTTCCCGGTAAACAAGAAGTTCATCGGGAGCCCATCTGTGGCCGCAAGCATCATCTTTAAGTAGAATGGACTCGGTGTGCATGTCGTAGCATTCGTCCCTGCGCTCGGACCTGTCCCGCCTCCAATCATCGTCGTCGTACCCGATGCGAGCGCTTCGGTGACTTGTTGCGGACAAATATAATGCACATGTGCATCGATAGTGCCCGCAGTCACGATGAGCTTCTCGCCGGCAATGACCTCCGTTGAGGAGCCGATGCACATTTTGTCGGTGACACTCATGACGTCGGGGTTTCCGGCTTTACCTATGCCGACGATCTTGCCCGCCTTTACTCCGATGTCTGCCTGCAAGGGTGTGCAGCAGGTGAAAATCGGTGGAGATAATCAATTACCTTGTATATCCCGGTCCAGTCAATTATGACTGCATTGGTAATGACGAGGTCTAGGTTACCCTCGAGGTACCCGCGACTGGTTATCTGGCCCATGCCCTCTCGGATACACTTGCCTGCACCTAGTGATGAACATCAGGGGAGGCGCCAGGAGTCATCACTGACCTCCGCCGAATTTGACTTCATCACCATAATAGGCCTGTGCTAGATATGAGCCCACACACAAACATGATCATATTGATATAACAAACCGCATCGCTCTCAATTTCGACCCATAGACTAGTATCACCAAGCCTAATACGGTCACCGACCGTGGGGCCATACATAGAAATGTACTCGTCGCGGCCAATAGTGGTGTCCTCACATACTTCGAACGCACCAGGGTCTGGACAGTGTCTGAAAGTCCCTAGTAGTAAACACTTATCAATATGGCTACCCTTATTTAGAGTATCCTTCAGGCGAGTGACAATCAAGTTGCCACCGGTTATGACTTTTTTGCCCGCAATAGCACATAGTGAGACGGTCTTGGAATCGCCAGGCTCGAAGCGAACAGCAGTCCCAGCGGGGATATCAAGAAACATTCCGTTAGCTTTGACGCGATCGAATTCCAATGCACCATTAGTTTCGGTGAAATGGTAATGAGATCCGACCTTTCGAGGATATGAGATTTCGCATGTCAAATTAGTAGGGACGCCCACGAACCTGAATAGGGCGATCGCCGTGGTTGGTCACCTTCAACTTGATGCGTTCGCGTCCTTGATTGATAACAATCCTCTCTTTTTTGGCGATGATAGCTCCTGGAAGGTTTTCACGGGAGATAACTGTAGTCTCCACGGCTGGGAATTTGTCCTGTGAAGGTACAGGGAGGAACGATCCAAAGAGCGCTGCATCTAGGTTGCCATGATCCGTGCAGATGGGATCATGGACAGTTACTAGGAATACACTTCAACCGGGTTGTCAGTTGAGATGATCTCGCACGGGTATACAACTCACCCGTCTGGGAACGTTCCTTCTACCTGTATCTCGTGTAGGCGGGGTGGAACGCTAGGTAAGACATGGGTCCTCCCCAATAAGGTTTTCCCGTGCTGCATCAACTCAGCCACAGAATGCTGTCCATCACGTATGCGTTCCTGCAGTTGAGAGGCAATCAAGGCGATGGCTTCGTTGATATTGAGCTGTAGGCCTCTAGCTAGGCGCTTTTGGGCTAGAAAGCCGGCCTGAGAAGAGAAATAAGCAAAGAGATGTCATTCCATTACAGAATTAAGACTAGGGGGTAGTACCTGGTGCAAGAGCAACTTCTCATATTCTCTCGGCAGCATATGCATCTTGAACTCTACCCCACAGGTTAAGCTTAGAGATATGGTTTCGCTGTACGAAAGTTGTACGGAATGTTTGTTCGAAGATGTACGCGCGCTTACGGCAATGGGAGTCTCCGCCGGCTGTCACTTCTGAAAATTAATTCATTGCATCTCGAATTCTGCAATTTCTCGTTTTTGTCTCTCGCGTATACGTCACTTCAAAGTTCAAAGTTGACTCAGTGGCAGTCAAGCGAATTCAAGTTTTCGGTTCTCTTGGGGGACAGCCCCGAATATACCTCTTCGGCTCATCGACGTTCTGATAACCCTGCTCTAGTCCTCTCGACCGACCGACCGACCGGACGATTGAAATTTAGCTTGGTTGGCATTGAGGACAATGTTCGTCTTGACGAGGGCGTGTCTATCACCATCTTAGGACTTACAAGACCTTTGTTCTAGATCTTAGCATAACGAAATACAAGGGTTGACTATCGGCGTTTCTAGATTTCGAGCGTCGTAGCATTGCGTGCGCAATGGATATGGGAGAATGCTGACTTTGTAGGAGGACCTAGTAGGTTTGTGACATTATTGTTTCAGTTAATTAATGGAGCCGCAAATCTGAAATGGAGAAGAAGACTGGTAAGTGGAACGGTCAGTTAATTTTCGGGTAAGTTCAAATTTGGAAATGTGGCACGTTGGTCTAAATTTGGTTCCGTCATCATTCAAATCATATCTGAAGCTAGTCATCGCTGTATTCTTACACTAAGCTCGGCACTGCTTTTGTTTAGGCCGCAATCCACAACTGATATGAATCCCTTTGTCCTGTGCCACAGGGTCTCACTTCTTCCTTCCCCTACTTATGCCTGCTCTCAAAGTCATCGCGCCTTCTTCCACAGCCAGCCAGCGCACCCCATCCTTCTCTCACCCTTACCCATTGCAGTCTTCGCGCATGTCTCTTCGTCGCACTGCTTCTTTTCTCTCCTTGTCAGACTATGAAGGTGACGAGGATACCTCGTTACAGTCTGGCCCCTCTTCATTTTACGCAAAGGCCCAACCTCCACTCGTTCCCTACAATCGTACTCTGCACCACTACAAGGAGCAGCGCGAACGACGTAAAGCCGCCCTCAGCCGCAGTCGTCCTGAATTTGCCATCGCTCCACCCTCTACCAAGCAACCCGGTAAAGCAGCCCCTCACCCGCCACACAAACAAATCACAGGGCTGCGGACCTCTTCCCCTTTATCGCCCACTCAGAAACTCCTTCCACCCCGCGCTTCTTTTCCTCGTTCGAAGCCGGAGCCGGACTTGTACCGTATCGCAATTAAAGCCCGTATGCGGTGCTCCCCTGAAGGCGCGAAGATTCTTCGCATGGGTCCTCGAATGGCTGTGTCTATATTAGCCGCTACTCGGGACCTTGAGATGCTTGTGTCAACACATGAGGGTGAGTAGTCTGGGCGCCTGATGCCACCTCGTCTGACGTCTCCTTAGTGAACTTTAATGACGACTGGGAAATGGTTGACTGCAGTGCGTGATGCAACCCTGATGCTATCATGCAACATCCGCATCATACTCTCACAAATGATCTGACGATCCGGGATGACCTGAAACGATTCAGATCTGTACGGGAGCAATCACATGAATTTATCGGATTTTCAGAAGGGAATGTCTTCATTCATTTAGTACCTCTTCCTTCTTCCTCCACTTCGTCTGTCTATTATGCCGGAAGATTATTGGCCATTTAGGATTATTTGTTGTACCAATACTTAGTTGTTTTCACGTGCTCCCTTCGATCAACATACCCCACACGACCATGCATTTGTACCGTATCACTCATCAATTATTTACTTCTCATGATCATACGCACTCCTTAGCACGAACTTTCGTTTCCAGAAACAGAGATGTACATCACTTTTTAAAGCTGTGTTTGATTTCCCCGTTTCACGTCGATCGCGACCCGACATGTTTTGACTCGATCATACATCACCAATGACTCGTTACTTCGACACCTGACAACTACATAAAGAGTAGATAAGCTGGGGCCCTGCAGCCAGACACGCCTCATCTGGATGGGTACATGATCCGTCTATTTGTCTACTAAGGTTCTGGGATGATACACGATACAAAAGGTATGCACCTCCCGAGAGAGTAAACGACTGACTGATCCTGATTCCCCAAGAACAAACGTGCGTCGTCATGGCCGTGAGGTAAACTTTGTAAACAGGACCATAATGGCCAGGGCCCAATGCTCGAACTGTTCCTTGGATACAAACAACAACGCCTGAGAAAGTACGGCTTTGATTATCTGCGCGGACATCCCCTGTTCAGTTTGGTTAGCGTGAAACAACGAGTATTGGATTGGTAATATCGACCTGATACCACCCGACAAATCCTTCTTTCCTCAGGACTCTCAGGAGGAGGCCGAGGGCACCGGCTTGTTTTGCTTTGGAATCGGTATTTCCATTTCGACCACCAGGCAGGCCCTCGTTCTCTAATGTATCCGTATCAGAAGAACGGGCCTGGATTCTAACCTTGGCCATAATATATGGATATGTTACCTAGGGAGCGATGTCAGGAGATGTCACTCAGCCACCCAACCACGTATCAAGCTCACGATAGTGGCGAGCGTCTTGCTAAACGCCCCAAGCAAAAATGACGTCCCTGGCGTCAATTTACCATTCGCAGCACTTGCGAGCAACAAGAGGCTCTTGAGGCGCTCATAAACGCCGTACGTTATAGCAGGGTTCACAGTCAGGACCATGCCGGGCTTAATGCCCAGCCACAGCCCTGTGACACCATCCTCGCGAACTATCTCACGAGCGACAGCTAATAAAGATTCGTCTACCGGTCTCTCATCTTGGGAGGACTGCGACGAGTTTTGGACAGAGCGCCCAACTTGCTGTCGAGTTGCGATCACGGATACGGGAATCGTGAAAATCTGGGATAGCGCTCCAGCAGCTGCCCCGAGAGAGAGTTCAGCAGCTGTGGATAGCGCAGGAGGTTTTGAACCAGGAGGCAGCTTCAAAGTCAGGCGCTTGATGTATGATGAGCGTATGAATGAGTAGAAGAAGAAGTAGGCGTATTCTTGGGGTATTCAGCTCGATGGGGGAACGTAAATGAGATAACTGGAGACACACGCATCGAGAAGGTGTTGAGCATTGTTGCAGCAAAGCCTCTGTACCACCCATTGATTCCCTCTTGTTTGAATATCTGGAGTAGCATCGACAGCATGCTCAGGTCGTCCTTGCGCTTTCCTCGCGCAGCTGATGAGGTCACCTGTATCCTGGTCTTAGCACTATGATCACATCAGAAACATATCTCATGAAATGCGACCGCCGACGCACACATCAAGGGGATACACTACACTGTTGATGTGTCAGCCTGAGGACAGTCGGTGCGTGGGTACTCGAGTACTCACGCGTTACTAAAACAAGCTCCAAGGGCACCAGCCAACGCAGATGCAAAAGGCGTTAGTTGCTGCGCCTGCTTTACCGGTTTGGACAGTGTGGACATAATGGAAATAAGCAACTGGGATATGTCAACCTCGTGTTGAAACTAGTACACGGAATTGCCGGCCCCAAGACCGGTTAAGTCGATTGCACATGAATTCCCATATAGGTACGACTCTTTCTGAAGCTTCCGAAGCTAACACAGACAAATAATGATATAGATCGCAAGATCTCAGCTTGCCATTTGGCGCAAATGCTATATATCGTGGTGGGCAGTATTCATAATGGTACAGTGCTACATTGATTTACGCTATAGTTCTCTTTCTCTTACTATCAGTACGACGAAATTACCGAACACATTCTCGGATTCTCTCAGCTCTGCAGAGTAATCTTATTCATCTGGAGCATTTCCACCGCTACACACTGCCGCCAGCTGACAAATGTACACGCTGTTGGAGAGCAATTGTAGTGTTTGTTCCTGCATCGGAATCGGCCACCAGTTTGGCGTGATATTCTCGAACGCCAAGAACTAGGCGTGGACCCAACACAAACATCTGCAAGATAGTAGCAATTTCCACAAGATAATCATAAAACAGGGCGCCCTCGGAAGTTGAGGACTATTGAAAGGATGATTGGACGTTCACACGTAGATATCAGATCACGATACTTACTGAGATCTTTGGAGATAAAGAGCCGAGGACCAAGCAAGAAACAGCAGCATAGCTAGCAAATCACAAACATCAGAAGAGAAGACAACCATATTTAAATTACGAGCTCACATTACATGAGGTTGCACCAACACCGCAAGCCAGCCTCCGATGATCCATCCTGTCGAAGATCGTCGCAGTTCACGGAAGTGTTTGACAACAATCCAGACTGTAAGAAACAGTACAAAGATCTGCCATGCAGGGTACAGTGCCAGTACCATGGTATATGGAATCTGAGTATCTTCCCCAGTGATTGTATAACCGCAGTTATAGGTGCCGGAAAGTATTAGCTCCTCTGACGTTTGTCTAATGAGCCTGTTGCGTTGTTTTTCGTTCATAAAAGCTTACCCCCAGAAGTTTGGCTAGTCTCTCTCTCGACAAACACTCCGCAAGTGATGGAGATAGCCAGCAAGATTATAATGAGAAATACAAGAATCTTTCTCGATCGCTGATACATGGCATATAGCCGAACGATCATCATAACTTGTATGATGTTTCAGCCAATGAGTCAATATCACTCGAGGTATTCCAGCTTAGTGACTCACCACCCGCCATGGAATTTACGACTACAAACATCCAGTTTATTGCCAAGTACGCAATATGGCCTGAACAACACAGTTAGTAGTGAGCATCGGAGGATCAACATATCCAACAAACTCACAGCTGTTGCAGTCATGATATTGCATCAACAAGCTCAAGCAGTTCACTCACCCCTTCATAGTAGTACAGTCAATTGGATGAGAATGACAGGCATTAGTGCAATATACGTACTTCATCTGTCATCGAGACTGACTGAATAGCTATATGCCACCAGTTAGCAGAAACAAACATGCTGAAAGTGTGACATACACAGTATCCCGAAGCTGAATGTGGAAGATAGCTTATTAGCACAGCGCCACTGTGGTCATCCTTACAAACATACACAACATATGGCATTGCAGCATATCGCACCTATAATGCTTCAGAGTCAGAAAAGATTTCCAACGGAACTTTCAGACACAAGCTACGTACACTGAAATAGATAATAGTCACGAGGGACCAGCGTTTCCTCTGCCCCAAATTAATTATATGATTATATTCTTATGGGACACTGCTCACCCAGACCAGTTCAACCTATGGGACCGTTCTTAGCCCTGAGTGCGTTACTCCGGTAATGGCATCAACATACCTCTTGTCCAAACATCAGCGCTGCAGATATCATTAGAATACCAGTAGTGGTTGATTACTATCCGCTCACCCCAATCATATAAAACCGCAACAAGGGCAGCAACTGCGAAACCGTAGTAAGGTTAGCTCGAAGCATCACTGACATTATGAAGTTGGCTCTCCACGAACCTTCAATATAGCTGTAAGAACGAGACAAAGCAATGAAAGGCCACAAACTGGGATCATTCGAGACTAAGGTCATTTGAGGGATGGTACGGTACGAGTGAGCAGCTAACTTGGTAGACGTATACCAATGGCGTCTATGATACATCACTCTTCCAGCTTTTATTGCTGACATAGGCACCGGGGTCCGTGGGACGAATATTCGTTTCCTGCCTTGATTGACCAAAGTAAATTGTTTCATCGAATCTTTGAGCACAGCAAGAAAAATCTGAAACCTTGATCAAACTATAAATTATACTTCAACTTCTCAACGTATTGCCACGTGCCACCATGATGCATCATGGTTCCAAAGTTCCACCAATGAAATCATACGATCATTAATCCTACACAGGTCTAGGTGGGAAAGTATGAGCCGTGGCACGAGAGAAGATGAGAGATTTGGACGATTGACAATCACCGAAGACTTACGCGCATGAAGGGATTTAAGGCCACGACCTATGTCCACCAACTGCTAGAGATATGCAGACAAGCTCAGGAAGCGAAGGGCACTTTCTCCTTGACAGGCTTGCGCTGCCCCTCGGTCATCGGGTTATATAAAAAGAATACTGATGTTCGAAACGGATTTCATCAATCATGCACATGGTGCCACATCGGAGTTGGATCAAATTGAACAGCTGGGTGATACGCCTTGATTAGTAGTATGCAGCGTACGAGAGGTACAGCAAAGAACTTAGCATCATACTACTGATTTGTGACGAACAATATCTTCTACACAGTAGCAAATTTGATGGTTTCACGTGCACCCTCACCGTGTCCGCCATAGCGCGTACACTAAATTTACAGTATTACCCTTCTAAAATGAAAATTCAGAAACAAGCTCATATGTGCAGCTAAAACCAAGTAGCAACTTACAAATTTTGTCAGCCCATCCCAAGTTCGTCTACACACTTCGCGAGCAGCTGGTTTCAAATTGGGGGCGAGAATGCAAAGTCCTTGCAGATGAACCTTATATACATTTCCTTCTGCTTTATAATACACTATCCCGACGAGATGCCTCCCTGAAAACGTTTGAAACAGTTTATTTGAGGGGTAACCCGCACTCCCTTCGAACACTCACCCATCTAACGGGAATCCTGCACCAAAAAAGGCAGTCACAGAACCCACTCCCGTGTCCATCTCCACTTGTTGTCTTGGTCGTTGTCTGAAGGTGCCATACCGAGCTCTAGCCTGTATCCGTAGCTGGTAACCTCGCACCATCATTTCCTCCAACTTTGCTTCCTCTGAACATGTCAAGTCAAGAGCCGCGGTCCTTGGAGTCAAAGTTAACCTGGCCTCACGGCCTGTATTGAGAAGATTCAGAAAGACGAAAAGTTGCAGCTAGAGACCACGTTCAACAAACAGACACCGGAGGCGGAATCAAGCATGTAAACTGAGCTTAGAAGACCTGGACCAATGAGACATTCGAAACCGCCGTCGGGTAGGTGTAAGTACTTTGGCAGGAGCTTCCGGGTGCTTGCACCGACCCGCATCCTCTATGAAACAAGAAAGTACCTCAAACCTGAAAGTTGCAGGACGGGTCCAAAATTAGAAGGCTGAAGCTTCCGAAGCTAACACGAACAAATAAGGATGCTGTTCCACACCTACGACAACCTGCGAGATGCACAACCATGTCAATTTTCCAGAAGAACTCGCGATCCGTCCTTTACTTCCACGTGATGCTCACTCTACATGCGATTTTTGGGATAAACAGCAACTTGCGTTTGGTGCTGAGGCACAACGGGAAGGGATCGAGACTTACGGGATCGCAGGTCGCGTTTGGTGACTAGATGTTGCTTTGATGTTTCCATTACCTTGCTCTGAGCGTGATGCCATGCAGGGAAGCAGCATATCTAGTGAACAGCTACATCGACCATCCTTCTACTTGGGAGTTTGATCCGCCCTTGATCGATAAGCATCTATCTAGGCACAAACGAGTTTTTCTCGAACTTGGTTCTGGCACTGGCATTGTTGCAGCAAAAATAGCTCAAGCGGCTGCTCTGTCCGGACGAGATCTAGTCATTGCAACTGATCTGCCCGAAGTCTGCCCGCTTCTGGAGAAAAATCTTTTTGTCACGCCAAAGGGCGATTCAGCAAACACACAGGTCACTTTAGTACGACCTCTTTCATGGGGTAATTATGATCATGCCATCAACATCGTACGAGAACTTGAGCTCGTTGACGATCCAAGTGGACATGAGCACGGCTGTATCACGCACATAATCTGCAGTGACCTTGTAAATACTATAGTGCTCTCCATGCTCTAAGACTAATCAAATGCAGGTATATTTTCCGGAGCTTCTAGCGCCCCTTCTACGCACCCTTCTCCATCTAACCTCTCCTCCCTCTATCTCCATCTTCGAATCACAGCCACGAATCATCATATCATACAAAATCCGGAGTCTTTCTAAAGAGACTCCATTTTGGTCGGCATTCGGCCTGTGGTTCTTGTTTCAACCTGTCATTGCACGAAAGACTGATGCGAACAACTTGCTCTCCGAGTGGCACCGATTCGGATCTGATACAGGGGGTGATGGCGATTTGGCATTCATCTTCGTGGCACGTAGACGTCCAGAATCACTAAACTGGACGATTCCGTCGGAGGATATTGATCTACTTGGAGGCGTTGGCGCAGGAGGAATGTGTGACAAGAAGAGCGATGAGACATTTGAGATCCTGCTCCTCATGGGCCTTGGAGAGTGATGTGCATTCACTTTACATTTTATGCACGTACAATACCCATTCAAATACCAGGAGATACATAGTACATACATACCCAACACAGGAATTCAACAACAACTTCCACTTCCTCATGACGTCTCAGGACACTCCGAGTCCTCCGTGATGGTAGAAGCGCTGGTTTCCATTCTCTAGTAAACCTACGGAGTTGTCGAAATTCTCAATTTCCTCTGCATACTCGGGTGGTGCAAAAGAGCGCATTACGATGCCAGTTGCGTGAAAAGATGTCACATTAACTGGTTGTGTCAGCAGTGGGCCAGAGACATGCGGTGCATGTACGAAGCCAACTGCTTCGAAAGGCTGAACTTCTAGATGGTACTGTGACCCGATAACAAGTTGCAAACAGCAGACTGGTGAACGGGTTTCTCCAGAAAGACAAGGAAGAAAGTTACTAACCCTCACAGAAAATCGGGGGAATATGACACTCTGTTTGAATGTCTTTTTTAAGTTCACTTCACCTCGGAGAACCCGCTTGCCCGGGGTACTGGCATCTGTTGCTGGCCAGAAAATAGCACGTGCCATTGTGCCAACGAAGAAGTTATCTGTATGCTTCCCAGCAAGATCACTTGTTGCGTCCGAGCCTGTAGCCAACGATCGTTTCAGGAAGATATGGATGGCTCGGTGATTGGCGAGTAAATCGAGAGCTTGCTCGTCTGTGCCTGTGAAAGTTATCCACAGTGGCATCGCAGAACCGCGAGCATAATTGAGCTACAGGTACAGTGAGAGGCCTGATGCTCGAAGTCAGGAATAGACCTACTGGTTTGGCTAGTGCTAGCTACAGATGTTTTATCGTTTTAGAACCTTGCGAATCGCAAAACGGGAGATCGACGTACATTAAAATCGACATCCCCTCTCTTGGCACCAAAGAGAGTGCCTGTGACAGTGACTGGTGGAAGGATGTGCCAGCCCTCCGGATCACCTGCCAGTATTGAACACAGGCATCGAAGACTACATCGCTCGACAACCCACCTTCAGGACCAACGAATGTAATGTTTTCTTTACATGCCTTCTGTAACATAAGAGATGGGAGTTCCGGCTTCGTGATTGGGAAATATCCAAAATCCGTGGTTAAACTGCGGGCTATTGAGTGGTTCCGAAAAGCGTCCGAGAGAGCGGTGAACACACGTTTGATTCACTCTAAGTGCGCCCCGCTTAATGATGGCAGTAATCTTGTAGTTGATGTAAGCTGGACTGGCTCGCTCTGTGAATGAAGGCGGAAGGGGAAATCTCTTCTTCTCTTTACGGTCTAGAACTTCCGTCTCGTTTGGAAGTGCTATCTCGAAAGGCCATGTGTAATGGCCTTTGTCGAGTTTGGATACTATGGATCCATCAGGAAGGGCCGTCGCTGGAGTCCACAATACTTTCTCGATGACAAGAAAATCTTGTCCTTCCTGTCCAATGAGGGTAGTCATGGCTGTCACCTGTATTGCCCATAAGCATCGTAAAGTTGCGCGAACAAATAGTGACTTGCTGTTACTAGGATAGCCTTGGGTGATTCCGACTTCAAAATGTCCAGAGTCACGCTCCCTGAAATGAGATCACCAGCATAGAATGCTGGGCAAAACTCCGACGTAGGAGCACGACTTTTTGGCACCGAAAGGAGAAACCATTTGTGTCCCTTGCTGTCTTCAAGTGATACAGTGTGCTCAGAGCCAGGGGTGAAGGCATTCAGTGGAGCCACGCTGCTGCCAGCTCGTGGTGTGTATCCGGGAAGTTCATTATCACCCTCTATGTGATTCATTGCAACACAAACAATTGATTGTTGGTTTGCGAGCTGCGAGGTTGCCTGTGGTAAGATAATTAAGATAAGGAACAAACATATTCCACGACCATCGTGTTGTGCGAGCTGTGCGCCTGGTAACCAAAGGTTGATGAGAATACCCAAAAATAAGCAGAGTCCATGCGGCTACCTAGTCCTACTAAGACCAGTTTTGGGCCTGGCCGGACAAGCCTCTGCAGCTCATTTCGGATGCATCCCGATTATATTGAGTTTACAAAGTGTGCTGCTGAGTCGAGACCTGGAAAGTTAAGAATACCAATCATTCAGAATGTTGAGGCCTTCCCGGCTTCTTCAAAACATGCGATAATAAGTGCAGACTGCCAAAATCACAAATCGTTTAGCAAAGAATGATAAAGATAATAGATTGTGTCGAGAGAAGTCAGAGCATCAAGTTCAAATTTTATTGTTGGAATCTGGGTGAGCAGCTCATGAGATCTCTCTCAACGTTCAACGTTCAACCCCGGGTAGCGGGCTTTCAATATTCGCTGAATCATTGCGGCTAACTGGCTCACTAGTGTACTTAGTATCACAATTCAATGCAACTTCCTTCAGCTTCAAGATCAGGAAACCCACTGCCAAGCGAAGTGACTTGTGGCACAGTCAGTACTGTAGAGTGTAGAGATTCGATACCAACTTCGACACGAGTCACAGCCGTCGACGAATCCCAAAAAGTGTAACTTACGAAACCATAGGGGATAGTATAGTGGCAAGTGCGGGTGGCCAGCCAGTCCTGTTAGTACAACATGATATTGACTTATTCTATATCTACTACGAGACACCAAAATTATTACCACAACCGACGAAACAACCTTTTCTTGCTCCCTGAAGAGTGCCCGACACTGCTTAGTGTGTTGATGACTAGTCGACTCGGACTCGAGGTCTTCGTGTTACACCGTGACAGTACTACTAGCATATGCATGCTGATAAAAAACAAGCGAAGGCATGTAGGTTCCTGCATCAGGATCGGCTACAAGCATAGCGTCATATTCTCGAACGCTAAGGATGAGGCGTGGTCCTAGCATGAACAGCTGCGTGACTGATACAACATCAAGAATACTATGATAAGTCATAGTCCCCATGTAATTTGAGTCCTATAGAAATGCTTTAATAACGGTGATACGAAGATGTCAGTGACAGATCGATCGGCATACCACGAGCGTTGGGGACAAAAAACCGAGGGCGAAGCAAGAAGCAACAGTGAAGCTAGGAGATGCGGTTCAGCAAAGTACGATATCTACATTCAAACAGCTCACCTTCCAAAGTAAACCACGTGGGTTTTTATTACCACCATCAAACATTCATCGATGGTCCTTGCCCTGAGCGGTCGCCGTGGCAGTTCACGAAAGTATTTTACAGCAATCCAGATCGCAAGACATAGTAAGAGGACCTCCCATAGAGTGCAGAGTATCCAAGTCATGGAATTGAGAAGTCGGGCGTCTCCCTCATAGTTATAATTGCATTGGTAGGCACCGGAAAGAATGAACTCCTCTGTTATTCGTCGAATAAGCCCAATAGACTGATGTCTTCAATCCATAATTCAAGCTTACCCCCTATGGTATGCCTCATCCCCGCTGCAGTAATCCCCACGCATGGGATCGTGATACCCAGGAAGGTTGCAACAAGAAAGATAAGCATATTTCTGGATCGCCGATACATGGCATGTAACCGAGCGATCATGATGACTTGTGTGACCAGTCAGCCAATGGGGGATTACTGAGGTTTCTGAATAGCTTACTTCCCAACAAGGCGGTGACGACTACATTAAGCCAGTTTAGTGCTAGGAACAGATTATTGCCTAAAAACACAAGTTAGTAACGAGTCTCGGGAAAAAACGCTCCAAACGAACTCACAGCTGTTGCAGTCATTATGCTGAACAAATTAATCAAAAATATCACTTACCCCTACATAGATTGCAGTTGATCAGACAGGAATGACAGGCATCGGTACAGAACACTCACTGCATCTGCTACCGAGATTGTCGGAAGAGTTACTATGCACTGCTGATCAGAAAAAAAAATGCAGTGTATGTCAAGAAACACACTCAGCATGAAGATCCTGATTGTCAGAGAAAGCCTATTAGCACAGCGCCAACTTGCTAGTCGTGCAAACCTACACAACGTATGGCAGTGTAGTATAGCGCACCTATAATATTTCAAGTTAGCACAACACGCCAATTTATAACATAAAACACGTACACTGAGATATAAAAAGGTCATGAGAGACCAGCGTCGCTTCTGCCCAAAACGGATTTATTATCGTGTTATTTTGTTGATATGGTACTTCGCTCACCCAGATCAGTTCAACCTATTACATCATGCTTGGTGAGATGGCTATTCCGCTAGTTGCGTCAGCCTACCTCTTGTCCGAAAGCGAGTGCTTGGAATATCGTTAGGGTATTAATGATTCTTGACTACTATCTTGCTCACCCCAATCATAAATAATCGCAGCGGAGGCTGCAACTATAAAACCACAACCAAGGTTAGCTCAAGACATCACCGACGTCAACTCTCCACGAACCTATAAAATAGCTGTGAAAATCATACGAATTGATCAGCGGCCACTGACTGGGATCATCTGAAATTACGGTCATAATGGAGGGATGGGTGTGTGAGTGGCAATTTTAGTGGATGTACTAATGATCTGGGCCATCAAAAGCCAGCATTCGTGCGGAATATCTACCACCACCGAGCACTTTTATATCGGCCTTTATCACAGCCCAGCACTCAGCGCTCATTCCGTAAAATCCTTGTCTCGGTTTGATCCGGTGGAAACCTGATATGATAGGATCAAGAAAGAATTTATACACCGCTACAAATCAAGCAAACTCGTAAGACGCAGTACCCTAAGGGCTGAGCTGGGGATGTTATAAAGTATAACATGAAAGATAGCTGAGGGGACTGTGTTTCGGATGGAGATGGGATCAAGAGCTCACTACGACATCTTCGATCCACTGTAACATTGACATGTCGCTATCGACTCAGCAACGATAACGAAAGCCACAGTGGTTTGATGGTTCTTTCCTCGACGTAGGAAAAATATAGTCCAGGATACTCCACCGTGCATATCATCAGTGGTTGCTATTTGCAGAAACTTTATCTAGAATGGGGTCGGTGAATCAGAAATTAAGCATGCGCCAGACTTTCAGTGACACATCTAGTACGAAATGTCATCCACAGAGTAACCTACCACAAAATTATCTTCATGACGAGCTCACGGGAACCGAAGGAGACTTTGTAGACAGGCCCCATCGTTGACGCGCGTATTAATCTCCCCTAATCAGACCTTGAAGCTTGAGGGAAGGAAGACAGTCGTTTTTCTGCGCGTATATACTTGCGTGCTTGTAGTTACGCCCTCCTGATTAGGTGCTTCTTCGAAACAGCTCCAAAATGTTAATTCAACCGATTGAATTTCTTGGAGTTGATTACGTCCTATTCGCCAGCAGCGCCGATGCCATTTGCAGACAACGATGAGGTTGCGAACCTGTGATAAGTCGGGAATCGTGATGGCCGGCGAGTCGCTGCAACCCTTGGGGCGCTAAGCTTGACGCATCACGGGTTTCCGAAGTGCAGTACTTGCTAAGGGACCGTCGCATTAGTGACCTTGGGATTACTTGGGCAATGGGCGCTACCCGCGTTTATGGTTATTGGTGTAGAACGGAAGCACAACGGCAGCACGGGAATTTCCGGACCAATTTCTGTCTTGCAATTCGCCAGCCTGGTCTTTGGTTTGAGCTCACCGAGCACCACAACGGCGGCAATGCATCGTGCCATAGCTGTCCCTAGACATGTTTCGGCGACGGTTGGACGAGGCCTTATACGGACTTCTCGCAGGGTGAGCAAACAAATTATAGTACTTCTGTCTGGGACGTTGGCTTATGAAGGAGTTAATTGTACTGGCAGCGACTAGCCACCACCGCCTCTACATCCAATGCCCCATCTAATTCCAACCCGGCAAAAGTCGTTCGCAGGATCTTATTCTATACTGTGGCAGCGACGGGCACGTTCTACATCGGCAGTGCATTCGTTTCCTTCGAAAACCAGCAGTACCGTGAATTGTTCACCGCAAACGTTCCTTTGGGGAAGGAACTCGTCGACTATGGCGAGGTGCACAAGTGGGATGAGATCACCGTCGAACAAACTGTGGTAGCTACCGTGGACGCCTACAAGACCGTCTACAACTTCGTACAACGGCAGCTGGGTAACGCGCCGACAGAAGAAACAATTGAAAAGACGGCCAAGTCGGCACTCAAGGAGTCCAAAGAGCGCGTAAAGTCTGCCGCTGCATCCCTCAAGACTGTCATAAAGAAAGTGGAGGAAGAAACGGTCCCGGAAGCAACCGCGAAAGCAATTTTCATTGCACGACAACATGGTGCACAGTTTGCTGATGAATTGGACGACCTGATTCGCAAAGCAGAGGCAGCCCTTACTGGGAAATCCGTTGACTCTCTTCATGAAGCGACAACTACACCGGCTCAGCCCGGGTCTTCTCCAGATACTATCCCGCCGCGCGATGACACTGACCTTATAATTGTATCGGACAAGCATCCTGGTAATGCCGTTATTTATGCTGCGCCGCTTCCCATCGGCTTCGAGCCCCCACCCGGGTATGAGCGCCCCGCACCTCCAAAGTCTGCCCCGAAGGCCGCTGCAGAACCCACTCCCGTGCCCCTGCCTCTTGTCGCTCCAGCCGTGTCTGAAGTCGCCGTATCTGAGCCTGTGATCACCCAGCTCGCATCCACGATTGACAACCTCGCTTCTTTCCTTGCATCCAACCCCGCTGCCTCCGAAAAAGCCAAAGATGTCCTTGAGGTGGCCAAAGCTGACCTCACTGGCCTCGCAGCACGTATTGAGAAGATCAAGGAGGATGAGAAGCTGCAGCTAGAGATGAAGCTTGACGAACAAGCGCGGGAGTATACCACAAAGCTTCTCGAGCTCGAGCTTGAGGCACAGGATAAACTAGATTCGCAACAAGATGGCTTCAGGAAATTCTACGACGAGGAGCGTGGCAGGTTCACTCAGGTTTACCGTGAGAAGCTGGAACAGGAATTACGCACCCAGACAGAAATTATCAATGAGCGGTAGGTGGCCATCACTGGCTTGGGCACGGTACCCGTCACTTTACTCACTCTTTACAGGTTGAAGGAGGAAGTGATCGCGCAGGGTATAGAGATGCAGAGGCGGTGGATCCGCGAGGTCAAGGTCCGCGTCGAGCAAGAACGCGGGGGTCGTCTCGCCAAGCTTGATGAGCTCGCCACAAGTCTCAAGCGCCTTGAACGTCTCGCACTCGACAATTCTTCATATCTTGATGAGAATATTCGCGTGCACAGCATGTGGACCGCCATACGTGCTATGCAGAGCGCTGTCGATGCGTCGATACGCAAGCCATTCCGTGAAGAGCTCCGTGTGCTCCGACACATCGCAGTCGCCAAGGAAGACGTAATCATTGCTGCAGCATTGGACTCCCTTGAACAAAGCGACATGCCCGACATTGGCATTGAGCCGTTTGCAGACCTTGCATCATGGTTTAGCACCTCTGTTAGGCCACGCGTCTCAAGCGTTGCTTTGGTCCCCGATCAGGATGCAGGTGTACTCACGCACCTGGCTTCGCACTTTCTTTCTTTGTTTAGGTTCCAGCGGCATGGACTCATTCCTGGGTCGGACGTGCTGAGTATACTGTCCAGAGCGGAGTATTACATGAATGAGAAGGATCTTGATAATGCTGCAAGAGAGCTAAATCAAGTGAAAGGAACTGCAAGGGAGCTGCTTCGAGATTGGTTAGAAGCTGCACGGAGACGGCTGGAGGTTCTGCAAGCTCTTGAGGTATTGATGTCTAAAGTCATTGCATGTGTCACACTAACGCCATCATAGGTGATACAATCACAAGCGACAATCGCATCGTTGCTTGTCGTATAGATTTGAATGCTAGCAATATATAGATATATCCCACCCGCGTAGCATGATCCTTTCCATCTTATCCAAGTCGAAGCTTGCACAAACCCAAGGGATTCACACTACCCCTGCATTGGCACATTCCCCGATAATGCGAGTGCACATTCGCAGATCACCTGCGCGCGCCGCACGACCGTATGTACCGTCTCCTGATTCTGCTCGGTAGTTGCCACGTTGCCCTTTGTGACCTTCACAAGCCCAGGGAAGATTGTCGCACCTACACGATCCTGCTCGCCTCGCTCGCTCTTGAGGCAGCGACGTACGAGCTCTATCTGACGTGGATAGAGGATGCTTCCGAGCTCGGGAACGAAGCTGCGGTAAAACGCGTCGGTGGATGATGATGGGGCACTGTGCAGCATACGCGAGAACGTGTATGCGCTGGCCAGAATCGGAGCTGTGTTGTTTGCTGATCCCCCGAGCACTTTGGTGAGCCCTGGGAGAGTCTCTGCAAGAATAGCGGCTGTCATTTCTGGGTCGCAAGTTTCCACTGCCGCTGAGAATGTTTGTCGGCGCCAAACGCATGCTACGACAGGGTTGCCTGGTGCATGACACGATCGTCAGCATGGGATTGAGAGAACATGAGAATTGACACGTACGGGCGAACAAGTGCTCGTGGATCCTTGTGAGTTGAACGTTTGCCTCAGGGGAGTTTGTCACAACGAGATTGTTGATGATCTCACTGCTGATGACTTCTGACATCGCATGGCGAAGGATGTTCTGTGCCTGCATTGCTGAGACATTATAAGGCACAGGATCATAAGAGCCTGTGATGTCGCCCAAGGCAGCTCCATAGATATCAGACAGTGCGGAAGGTGGTGCGCGTACAATATCTGCTGCCCAGCGATTGATCGAGCGCTCCAACAAGGACGCAGTATTCTATATGCATAGCAGACTAGAGGGTGGTCCCAGCACTCAATGAAATACTGAAACATACTTTGATGGAAAAGTCATCGACTGAACTACCCCCAAGATGTCTGCTCTCCTGTTGCTCGTCATTCGCAGTCCCTTCTAGCAAGGCGATTCGCGCGCGGAGTAATGCGACTTGTTTCTCTTGTTCTTCGAGTTGCCGACGTTGTTCTTCGACTTTCTCGTGCGCAATTCGCTAAAGATGAGATAGATGAGACTACAGGTCAATATCGAGATCACTGATCATGATGATAGTTACGCACGAAGTTAGTCAACGCATAACGGTACTGATCGCCGCTGACCGCATCGATCTGCTGGGGTATGTAGGCCATTGGGAAAATGGGTATCTGAATAGACACAGGATGAGGCTGAGTAGACCTCCAATGGTGGTCAGGACATTGAATCGAGGCGGTCACGTCTCAGAGGCAGTGTAACGCCTCACAGCGCTCGCCGTGTGCCAAGCTATGGGATATTTATAGTTCACACGTTTATGCAAGAGTATATTTTCCGCAGTTGGTATCACGCCAATCAAGGGATGTGCAGAACTACCTCACTTGACCTGTAACGACTCCATCCCAAACTCTCCTCCACTACCGCGGTCAAGTTCATTAAAAGGGTCACGCATGCTCCCCGTTTTCGCGCGCCACAGTTGTGTGTACAACGCCTTTACCTTTTGAACTTCGGCGTCAACAGCCGCAGTCCTAGCCGCAAGCGAAACGAATATGGCATGTTGCGTCTGGAGGGTGGATGAAATTGCTAGGGGAATGTAAGCTGAGGATGAGGGTGGAGCGAAGGAAAGTCTAACCTTGGGGCGTGTTTTGAGATTGGGATGCCGATGCGGATAGTTTCCGCTCAATTTGCTATTCGATGTATTAGAACACTTCAGGGTGACCAAAAATACGGCACCATACTTCGATAGTGTTTTTGAACCACTGCAGACGCTCCTGCATCTCTTGCGTGACACGGGTGAAGAATCTGGCCAGCAACATGTCAACACTTCAAGATGCTTCACATCGATGATCTACACGTACTCCAGAGGGAACGAAGCATGATTCTTGAGATATGCTGCGCTCTGATGCGGATTTTTAAAGCCCTCGATGATGTTGGTTGCGACAATCGTGTCTTGAACTGCTTGTTCAGTCTTCACTTTCAGGTCCTTGGCGAAGAGAGAGTCCGACTGAATAACGGAGGATACACCAAGCAGCTCCTGAATCGATAAAGTCGGTAACCGAACATACTGGATATATGCAATAAAATGAGGCGCACCTTGTGCAATTCGCGAATTAACTCCTGGCCCTTGATCGCCTCTTCCCCCATTTTTCGCTGTTTAAGCTCGTTGCTTATTTGTATACGTCCCTGAATGTGCGAGCTATGCGAAGTAAGCCCTGGGACATGTTAGCACTTATGATTAGCGTACTCGATGAGTTCAAACGTCCTCTTGATATCATCCGGAAGATCATTAAACTTCGTGGATTTTGAAAAAGGTGCAGGTCCGCTTATGGGTGTGGTACTACTCAAATGTCATTGAAGCTACCCTGAATATAAGTACCTTTGACTAACCTCATCATCCTGTGATATGTCAACACCGATTTGAATTAGCACGACACGAAAGGAACTCACGATGATTGTCTTTGTTGCCCAAACATCGATGTCCCCGCTGTGCTCACCCCCAGCCCGCCAGCAGGAACTTGCTGCTGAGTATTCGTGCTCCCGAACAGTCCACCCGGCTGCTGTTGGGTGTTTGCGAACAAATTACTTGTCTGTTGCTGTGGTTGCACGGTTCCAAAGAGACTAGTCGACTGTTGCGGCTGCGTAGCTCCAAATAGACTGGTTGATTGTTGCGGTTGCGTGCTCCCAAAGAGACTAGTAGATTGTTGCGGCTGAGTGCTCCCAAAGAGATTAGTAGACTGTTGCGGCTGAGTGCTTCCAAATGCGCCGCCAGTCTGCTGCCCAGTCGTATTTGTTGAAGGGTTTGCAAACAAAGATGTACCCGATGGCTGCTGTTGAGGCTGCCCAAATAGAGACGTTGTAGGTTGCTGCTGCTGCTGTTGTTGTGCGGGCTGCCCAAATATCGAAGTCGGTCCGGATGGCTGTTGTTGCTGTGTCTGTCCGAAAGCGCCTCCTCCAAACACAGAACTTCCTTGAGCAGGTTGCTGTGTCTGGGTTTGGGGTTGCACTCCGAAACCACCGAAGCCCGTCGTTGTGGTTCCCGCTCCGGAGGAGGGCTGCGTATTTCCAAAGAGCGAAGTGGTGGGCTTTGGCGCGTTAGATTGCCCGAAGATGGACGTGCCGGTATTACTAGTGCCAAAGACATTGGTACTAGATGACTTGAGCCGTAGGTTTGAAAACATGAATTAGAGCCTACCCTGCCCCGAACGACATGTTTGAAGATTAATCTGAATAGTTCGTTGAGGCTGAAGCTCAAGACCTAGTGCGTTGACACCACTCGCTGTTCTGAACAGTGAGCAAGACTACCAGGTTGGCCCTGTCCCGGGGTCCTAGTTTACGGTGCCTTGTACGGCAAGTTCCGAGGAAAAGCATACCTTGACTCACTACTCGACGAGTCACATTATTTGTTCACTGGACACCATAAAACGCTCACAATTGTCTTGACCATCGTCTACCATAGACTTGATCTGTGCCCCGAACGAACTGAGGGAGGGCCCACTAGTTTCCGATACCTCGTAACCCCCTGAATCACCAGATGGGAAACACAGTTCACCCAATGCATAGTTCCTTCGTGAATGCTGACCTTGTAGAGTGTTTTCTGAGGTTTCTGCCTGACTTTCAATGCCTTGCCTCAACAATCTTGACCTCAAAGGCCATCTACAACGTCTTTCAACAACATCCTCGCTCGGTTGTTCGCTCTGTAGCTTACAACTTGATTGGACCAGCCTTGCCACAAGCACTACGTTTCGTCCGATGCAAGAATGCGCAACTATATTACAAGCCCGTTGATGAACTCTTGGGTGAGGACGATATTCAGAAAAACCCAGTACTTTCCAGCGAGGACATTACAAGCCTTGTGGGCATTTCCACCTCCGTTCAAGAGCTCGAAAGCCTGTTTAGTTGGAGGTAATTTCTGTCATCTTTTACAATCCTATTTGTCTCAATTTTTTTTGTTAGAATGAAAGACCGACGATTCAAGACAAGCCAGCTCTCCTTGGCGGAGTCGACACGATTCCAGAAAGCCATGTACAGAATGTCCTTGTTCTCGGCTGTCTATGGCTGCAATGCTCACGAGTCAGCTATTGGATCCGACTCAGATCAAGAAGAAATCGATTCGGCACTCGAAGAAGCCAAGACACTACGAAAAGGCTTCTTCGGAAGTCTTTCCACTCCTGAGCTGAGGGACATTCAATGGGTTGAAACGTTTTTACGAGGAGTAATCACTCGTGATTATGGTGTTTGCTTTTCTACGATCCCACCTGAAATCTGTGAGCGCGAGCATCGCCCTTCAGGCTCCACCCACTCATGAAGCTCGTATAGACAGCCCTGAGTCATCATTTGTGCTATACTGTGCTCCCCACCACGTGATTGATGTATATAAGAGGGGGTTGGACTGCATCACCGAATGGGATTCCGACATTACTGAAGAAATTCTTTTCTATAACGACTTCATCATTGAGCCTTTAACATCTGTCCTAGTCGACAGGACAGAACAGCCTCTTCTTCCTGTCACACAAAAACAGCCTATAATTGACGAAATCGTTGGAGAGCATGATCGGTGTTCGTGTCCTCCATTATTTTCGGTTGATGATTGCTCATTTGGTGACAGGCTCGCAGTGTCGATCCGATACTGTCAAGTGCCTGGATCTATGGGGACCAAGTAGTAAGTCAAAAATAATAGTCTACAGCATAAACTCAATCCGTGATCACTGAAGACTGGGGCTACCTCTGGGGCACACCACCTCTCTACTCAATCGAGCAATTACTGAAAGGCCATGTCGGAGCAAATCTTGCAGACAGAGCGCATTTTTTGGCTTTGTTGTGTGAGACACCAGCTGAGGATCTTGTCGGAGGATTGTTCGACTACAAGACGCCGGCTTATAGCACGTGGAACAAAGCAGACTGGTTATGTCCACAATGCTTGGAGAAGTTCGTACGTGACCATTTGCATATCTGGTACTTGGGCCAGAAGGTTAAGCGTAAGCCTTTGCCCTTGATCACTTTCACGGATGTCCACTCACTTGATCTGCTTGATCTCCCCAGGAGGAGACGTGATTCCAGACAACTGCTGGTACGGATATAACTGTCGTACACAAACACACAGACTAGCACATGCGCAGAAATTGAATGTGAGTTCTTGCAAACTGCCCTAGTGTCGAGGATTAAATTTATTTTGGTTATAGCACTGGTGTGAACCCACCAGGGGAGATGCCCCTCCGACCAACGTCTAAGGGTTACAGATTCTTTTATGGACCATGGTGTGTATTTTTAGGCTCAGTGCTTTCTATCCTATATGAGTAGGCCGCGTATCAAAATTTAGCCGCGATTACCCCCACTATCAGCCAAGTCTGTCTTGTCTAGCTTAGTGGCTGGGGCTAGCTTTGTTTGTATTCAAGGTTACCACTCAGAATGACATGTACTAGAGTGATTTGACAACAGGGTTTGGCGAGGCCCATTACAAAAGGCTCCTGAACATAATGGACCAGTGATATTGAGCACCTGTCTGTCACAGGACGTTTTTGGAATCTAAAAACTTGAACGCTGATTGCTCCATTTCGCTTTTGACTTTTATTTTATTTTCATTCAATTGAAGTTGCATTCATGGAGCCAGGTGCGTTCTTCGAATTTGCCCAAATTATATTCTCCATGGATTATCCATTCTGAGACTACTTGCGAAGTGGGAAGTTTTTTGCTCAATGCAAACTCAGTGGGCTCATAGATTACAGGAAAGGGGTAGAAGATACAAATTCTCTATCTAAAAATTATTGGTCTAGACTATAACTCTGTATGGTAATTAGCCAACTGACGTGGAAAGCGAAGCCCTCGTCAGTAGCGTCCAGCAGAGCGCCACCGAGTCTGACCACCTCCTTAGTACCTGCCACAGGCATCCGTCTCCTGATATAAGCATCTGTTGACTGGACTAGAGGGAGGCTAGTAGAGCGGGGGGAAATGTAGCGGTTTCGAGCCTGCGAAAGCTCTCGTTAGGGGGCTGTCGCTACCCTACCGCTCATACTTCTCGTTCCGTTTAGGACTACTACTACTAAGCCTGTGCGAACAGTGGGAGTAAATGGCCTGCGCGATACTGCAACTGCAACCCCTTTAGGGCCAGCCAGACGCGTCAGTGTTCATGCATCATGACCCACCATTGGGGTAGTGCACGGTTGGGGAGCAGAGGGTTGTGGGTGGAACAGAGCTTCGTTACAAGGTTGGCCTTTATCCAACCACGAGGCCCACACACCATGGGAACCCTAATGCAACCTTTCGGAAACACCGAGAATGTTCGGGTCCGTGCGATGCTGGAAGAGAAGAAGGGCCCCTACCATTAGGTTGCATCTCCGACGCAGCTGGTTCAAAAACAAGAAGAAGGGACATGTTCTCCGTGGAAGTCTCTTCAGTGTGGTGGGCTGTGTTGTACAGCGTGGTAGATGTGCGTCGCTGGTATTCCGTGTGTCACGAACTGTAAACTACGAAACAATCGGTCAATATGTTCAGTGCAAGAAACAGCCCCTTACTCTGATGTCGTGCCTTCATACGATGCCTGCGATCACATCTTGAGTTGAATATTGAACTCGATGTGATGAACACGCACAGGAAGAGCAGCCGCGAGGACCACAACTGTGGTAGAAAATGTTTTACTCATAAAGCCCACAGGTCAAGTAATTATAAAATATGTTGTGTCTGACCAGCTGGACTTGGAACGCAATGCTGTGTCCACATAGCGCCTTATCAGGGCGGAGTATGGCGGCCCCGGGCATGTTAGCAATCTGTCAAACGCCAGACCATTATTAGCACGCCACATCCTTCACGCAGAGGTGTCCGGGATGGATCAAGTTATCGAAATCTTCATTGGTTGCCTGCGAATGTTCTGTCAAACCGTCAACTGGAACCCTGACAACGTCATACTAGTGGTGCCCGCTGATGGACTCATCCCGAAATCTTACACGGCTCCTGTGTGCCAATACCTATTACTTCCACGAAGCAGGGAAGCCTAGACCATTTACTATGGAATCGGCACAATATTTTCACACCTCATACGAGATTTATGGTAAGAGGTTGCGAATAACAATTGCCTCAAGCATGGCAAATTCCCAATAAGGCACAAGTCTTTTAAAGTGAAAAGGTCAGGTACACAAGAAGTGCTCTAACGACAATAATATGATATCTTACCTCATAAGCTACGATGTAGCAGGGGCGCTACGGGTTCAGGCACCTTCCTATGTATTGCGATGCACGATGGTTTCTTCCGTTTCTAGTGAGAATGTGCGGGAATAGTGAAGTTGCATGGGATGAACGTTCTCAAGAGTCACGGAGGTACCATGCAGGGGGTTGCCTTGACACCAAAATACGCGATTCCATTGCTTGAGTCTTGAGATCAGTGTGCCAAAACCCTCGACTACAAGTTCAAATATCCTACATATTGGAACCAGTGATACGGAGCTTGCCGACGTTGAAAATCTGGGAAAGACGGACTTCAGCCAAACGGTTCCCTCATCCGTGGGTGTAATCGCAAACAATTCGAATCTCTGGAGGGAGGAGGAATTGAATACTAGAAGGTCGCCCCCGATGGCATACGACGTCGGTTCATGAATCAAGGTGAATGACTATGAATGGACTACGTCACAAAGGTGCGGAAGCCTATCAGGAAACATTGATAGAAGCCTGAAGGAGAAAGGGCGAACTTAGGAAGACAGATCTATAAGGCTTATCTAGGATCCGGCTTACCATTCAGCGCTCAGCCGGGATGAAGGTGAGAGAAAAGGTAAGCCAAGTCCCTGACTTCTCGCATGCCGAGTATAAAGGAGAACTGTGGAAAGCGGGCCGCGATATGCTGTTGAGATCGTCAGGTTCGAGGTGCGACAGACCGTGGAGAAAGAAGAGAGCCTGATAGTAGTGACTTGGACAATTGCTCAGTCGCAGACTGTTATCAGCTCCGAACAAGGATTGCTCTGTGGTTGTTCTCATCAGCGTTTGGACATAATTTCCACGATTATTTTCCGCAACACGTGGTGTAATTAATTCCGGGCAATAAATTCGGTTAAACCCCCTCAGACCACAACTCTGTCTTTCGCTTCGAGCTTAGCCTGTACCCCACAAGTAGTATAGCAAGTTTGCTGTTGTTCATTTCTTCTCTGCTCGGTTCGTTCCTTTCTTTCTCATCATCACCATGGCTCCCACTCTCAATCACCCAACCGGCGTTACCTTCGTCGATGATGGCCATAACCCAGTCCACGTAGATGCTGCTACGTACTATGGCGGCGGCGAAGCATTCACTCGTTCGAGAACCTACAGTCATGTAAGGCGTCCTTTTCGGCGAGCACATTGTCAGTTTCTCATGCCACGTCTA